AAATAAAACTTGATATAATTAAATCATTCTAGAGATCGCTAAGTATTAAGTCTTAATTATATTAGAGTAATTAAATAAACAGATATTAATGTCAAATCCAAAGTTATATTAAGATATAGAATGTGAAACTGCTTTGTATTTCTTTGCTAAAAACAGTAAAATTAGAGTTATTTGTTGTAATATTTGTACATCAAAAAGATTTTAATGGTTTTCAAATATAGTGATGGTTTCTTCAATTTTTCTTATGATAGTTAGGACATATCACGATTATGAAGATTAGAAGAGTTAATATCCATATATTATATTAACAATTTTGAATGTATTTAAATTATTAGAGGATATTATATCAATTATAGCTAAGGGATTATTTATGGATAAAGGTAGTTATTTAACTTATTCTTGGTAAGTGATAGATCTAATTTATTTATTTGCATTTTTTATTGATACATACAAATAAAATCCAATAATAAATGTGTGTTTATTTTTAGGACATTTTAGACCAATGAAACTTATGTATAGAATTAAATGGTTAGATAATATAAGGGCTGCATTAGCATAATCATTATTAGACATGCTTAAGATATTATTAACATTAATTTCAGTTTGGATAATGTTTGGAGTTTTTGGTATAATACTATATGAAAGTTAATTTGGTTTTTGTGATGATAAAATGCAATTCAATGTTAATTAATAGGAATGCATAGAAAATGATAGAAAATGGATTAATTATAAACATAATTTTGATAATATAACAATAGCATTACCAACATTATTTGTAGTATCAACATTTGATGGATGGGGTGAAATAATGTAAGTGGCAGAAAATAGCAGATAAAGTATTTTAGGTCCTGCTCCATTTGCATCATATTTATCTACATATGCTTATTTTATATCATTTTGTTTTATAGGTTCAATGTTCTTTTTAAGTTTTTTTACAGGAACATTGTTTTCTAAATTAAGAGTAAATCAATAAAAAATAGAGATGTAAAATGTAACTAAGTCCTAAAAAGAATTTGTTGAATTATGTCCAATGATTTTGAAAGACTCTCCTGGTTTTTCAACTCCACCAACTCGACTTATTAGAAGATTATCATCATTTATAGTTAATAATCCTATTAGTCAGAAATTCATGTTTTTATTATTATTGGTAGATTTAATATGTTAATTATAATATCATCATGATATGAAATAAGATAAAATAAGAAATCTTAATTTAATTTAAAGGTTTTTAATTCTATTTTATGGTATTTGGATAATTTTATTATTTATGTAATTAGGTATTAATAGATACTTTGATAATTATTGGAGAAGATATTATATATTTTTAATTCTTATATCATTATGTGATATCATTGCTGATTTTCAATATGATTGGGTTATCCATTATTATGAATCAAATGTTTATACATCCAATTATTAAATATTACGACTTGCATTTATGACAAGATAATTGAGGCTTTTAGTCATTTTTTAAGGATTAAGCAATTTATCAAGATTAATTAGAGTCATGGGTTTTGCTATTCCTTTTTTAGCTAAACTTATTTCAATTCTAATTATTACAATGATTATATATGCATTAATTGGATGTTAATTATTTGGAAAAGTTAAAAAAGGAGCTGTCATAGATGAATACATAAACTTTACTAATTTTGAATATGCATTATTAGCATTATTTAAGTGTGCATCAGGAGATGATTTTAGAACAATAATGACTGATACAATGCATCATAATCCATATTGTTCAGAAAATCCTGATTATTGTGGATCAGATTTCAATTAATTGTATTTCATTACTTTTATGCTTTTCTCAAATTATGTTCTATTAAATTTATTTGTTTTAGGCTTGATAGAATAATTTGAGGAATTCTTTTAGGTATAGAATTCAATGATCCAAACTTATGTAGAATAAATTGATAAAATTAAAACTACTTGGTGTAAATATTCAGCTGATAATAATGGTGAAAGCATGCATTATAAATTCTTATGTCGATTCTTACTAGATATTGGTTAACCATTAGGTGGAGGAAATGATGATAATCTTTGGGATGCTGCAAAATTAGCATCCAAATTAAATCTTAGAAGGTATCTATATTATTATTATATATATATTAGTGATCCATATGGATATATTCAGTATAATCATCTATTGTATCATTTGTTTAGATGTTGCTATCATGACGAAATCTTTAAGGATGGATCTTAAGAATCTATTAAAAAGATTAAATAATTTAATAAAGAAATGCAAACAAGATTACTCTATTATAGAAGAAACAAAACTCAAAAGAGAACCAATATTTGTCTAAATAATTTACAATTTAAATCTAATTTTAACATTCTTCATGATTATCTAAATGTTTTAATCTTATTTAAAACATGGTAGTCATATTCCAGATTATTAGTTTAAAAAATAATCAGAAGATAAGATGATTTCACAGAAAGTGATGAAATGACAATAGATATGGAATATTTCAGTCCATAATAGTATATATAATTTCTTTACAATTTTAGTCGATAAACTGATTTTATATCTGATGGTTTTAGTTCAAGAAGGACAACTGATATCAAGTTCTAAGAGAATTTAACAGGTCATCATGTATCTAGATAGAGTCATGAATCTTAACAGTAATAACATTAGTTACCTATTTATTAAAACACTCTGTAATAAGAAACAGATAGAATATATGGAGGGTTTGATGAAAATGTAATTTTAGGTTTCAAAGAAATTAGAATTAAAAATTGTAATAAATGATTGTAGACTATTAATTTATCATACTTTTTTATTTTAGATTTGCATCTATGATTCTTAAAGTTCCTTACTTTTGCTAAAAAAATGTCTATAAGTACCAATATATTATTCTTGAGGATTCTCTTCACATTCAAATTAAAGCTCTATTTAAAATAAAAAAAATTACTTGCATTTTAAATATTTGATTGACAATTTGTATTAATCTATTTATAATCAAAATTAACTCCACAAAATGTACATTGAAGTTTATATTTATTTAATTCTTATTTATATATCTCCTCATTATTTAACCATTTTTAATATTCTTAGTAGACTTATTATTCTAAATCTGCTTAAATTTTCTATATTTCTATTTTAGAATCATTCACTAATTTCCAAATAACTTCATTCTTAAATTCTATCAACTATTATTAAATGATATTCTATTAGTATGATTATTTTAATTAAATGAACTCTTGAGGTAAATCATTTGAATTAATGTCAATTTAGGTTTTGATTCTTTAATTAGCAATTCTTTCAATGTTTTCAAGTATCTTACTTTATGGAATCTGTTCCTAATTATTTAAAGCATAAGATTATAGAGAATCAATTTATTCAATATTACTTTGAAATTTATAATTTCAATTTCATACCTTATAAGTTCATCTTTATCTTGATATAATCTTTAAAGTTTTTAATTTTCTGCTGATCTTAATCTATCAATTATAAAATCACACTCTTCTCTAGTCATATTTTCAATTTATTAGGTTTGATATTTGATTTCATCAATCCTATTTTCTATCTAATTCATCATATAATAGTACTAACCTTTTAGATTTAATAAAGTATTTCTTGTCTCTTTGGCAACAAACTTAAATTAATCTAATTCCTAATTTTTTCATATCTATAATCAATTTAGTCTTAATTCCCCATATGATAATATTGTTAGGGATACTATTGGGCATAGTTTTACATTGATAGTGTCTACTATTAATAATAAGGAGTTTTATTTAATTGCCCATGATATTCTTCATATGTTGAGTCTGACATGAATTTATTAGTATTATAATCGTTGTTTCTTAAAAAATTAGTGCTGAATTATTATTGACTTTAAATTCCCTAAAAATCATTCATTTATGCTACTCCATTAGAATGAGATTATGTGAAAGTTTGCATCTCATCTTCATTATTGGCTTGGATTCTAATAAAATTGATACCTATATTTTTAGTTTCCTTATCACCTCCTCTGCTAATTACTCTAGCTATCAATTGAGATTGATCTAAATCAGGAATACTTAAAATTTTAGTGTCTTTTTTTTCCAATTTAGCTGTTTTCTTCTTTTTATCTTTATCTTTTGATGACATTCAGTTAATAAAATTTATAAAAATTATAATTCTAATTAGAGATTATCTTTTTCTATTGAGAAGAATATATATATATATTATTATTTATACAATCATAAATAAAGAATTAAAACTATCTTACTAATGTTTTAAATAATATAAGAAAATATATTATTTTATTTATTTCAATATAATTAATTCTATAATCCTCATGCTTATATAGTTTAAATTTTTTTGAATATTAATCTGAATATTTAATAAAGTGGGATTATGCAAAATAACATGACGTATTATTAATGAATGATATATTATAATTTCATTATTAATATTTAATTTTCTCTCCTTCATCAAAATAAATAAAATTAAGTAAATGGATAAGCAATAAAAGAGTGTTTAAAATAGTTAAATGTCTATTTGGAGTAAAAGGACTTCAATTGAAACTATCTAAAATGAAGCTCTTTCTTCTGAATTTGAAAGTAGTACTTAAGACATTTCAAAGTACAATTTTGTTATTGGAATTTTAAAACCAGGATAGAAAAGGATAGGTTTGATTGCTATTAACAAAAATAAACTATCAATTGCAGGCATTCTAGGGATAAAGAAAATTTAGAAATGACTGATTTCTCAATAATTGATAATCTCAATTCAAGTTGTTATTTTAATAAATTAATAATCTATAATCTCTTTATTCTTAGTGACAATCAATTTATCAAATGGATTATAATCATGAATCAAAAGATTATAATTTTAATCATTTCGAATATCTAATTATTTTATTTGATTTATATGAATAATACTAAAAAAGAAGATATTCCTTAAAAAGAAAGTTCAAAATAAGGCTATATGAATCATGTTTATATATATTTATATATTAATTTTATTAGCCATATAAATTAATTAAAGTTTCTTAATATAAAATAAATCCCTTATTTCAAATTTTTAGGATTGCCTTAATTAGAGACAGTACAATCTTATCCTAAAACTTAAATGTTGGCAGAAAGGTAAGAGAAAGCATTACTCTCCTTACCTTTTATTTCAATAGAATCATTTCCAAAGCAACCAAAAGGATTGTCATTATCATGATGGGTATTCCTATGCCTATAAATAAATTCAATATTAATTATTTTTTTGATTCTTTCTCATCACTCAAGAAAGTTTCTAATAGTTATAATAATCTATTAAATGTTTTAAAAATTAATTCTTATCCATACATAACTAATAGTTTATAATCTTAAGAATTATAATACGCATTAATTAAAAGCGTATTATTTTATTATTCCGAATATATAATTTAATGATATTAATTTAAAAATTATTAGTAATTAAACTACATTTTCTATAAAATATCTAATGCTCCCATTAAGGCAGTATTAAAGTAATCAAATTATAACTATTGTTGACAGAGCATCTCTTAGGAATAATAACATAAGTTATCTTTTAGTAAATGATTTATTTCACTCAAAATACTTAATTGTTATATATAGGGTAACCTTGATTAATATTTCTCAGAAGTAATGACAATTTTTGAGGAATTAGAATCATAACCATAATCTAGATTCAATTACTCTAAAAACTTTGACATTTCAGTAATATATGATTTGATTTTGCTAGTATCAGAAGAGATTGTTTGTAGAAAGAATGAAATCTATTAATTTTATTAGAAATTCAATAAAGTAAATTGTGTTGGTATACTGTTAGATTATAAATTTAAATATCTTTCAGGAGTAATCGATAATTTTGAAATTAAGCTAGTAGTATATACACTTGTGCTAACAGTGAAATCAAAGTAGTCAATAAAAGGAGTAAATGTATTGATTTAAGTTTGAATAATAATAATAGAAAATATTAAATAGCCAATAGAAATTGATGAAATCATAATGTATAATCCCATATCTTTCCAAATACTTAAACTAGTATCACTTAATTTGGAAGAAAAATAAGAGTTTTCTTTCCCTTTTTAATTGATATTACCATTTTTAGTATATTTCTCATTTAAATTAATATCCTTGCTTTTATTATAAAATATAAGTTTAACTTGATTTTATGTAACCCATGAATCATCTTATGTTTCTAATAAATGTTAAGAAAGTGTTAATTTTTTAATTTCATCTTCAGCCTCTTCTTGTGTTACTCTACTTACAACAGAGAGAACATGAAAATAGATCTTATTAATTTATCTAATAAAGGGAACAATCAATAGAATTACAATCAAATGTAAACCACCAAAACTAGTCATTAAATATGTAACAATTAGAGCTTTATTAAGAACATTATTATTCTTTCTTGTTCTTAATTATTAACTCATATTATATCAAAAGAGGATTCATTTAATTTTTAATTTTCAGCTTCAAAATTGACTTTCATATTTGGTCCATCATCTCTATTAAGTGAAGATAAATATGTTCTGTTATCTGGAATAGCCAAAGTGACAATAATTGGTTAATCAATCTATCCCTTATATTTAATTTATTATTATTGAGAAGGACCAAAACTTTCTTAAATGGATAAAGATCTTTTAGGTTTTTCTTTATCAAATGAATCCATAGAAGAAACCTATTAAATCAAACTTTTCCTTAATTCTTCACCTCCATCAAATTATTAATTTTTTTCTTTTTTCATATGAATTTTTAAAACATCCTTTCTTTTTGCTTTTTATAGATTTAATGATGATAATTTGCACACAAAATATAAGAATTAATCTTTGTCACTTACTCCTCCAACTCCTACATCAATAGATGAAACACACTTGTATCTTACTTGCTATAAGAGTTTAAAATCATGAGATTCTAATGCTTCTTTTAATAAAGCTTTAGAATAATATTTTCTCACTTTGTTATCTATAAAATCTTAGAATTCTGTATCAAATAAATGATAACAATTCTATTATTATTTAATATATGAATATTTATTCTACATTTATTATCTACGTATAGATTTAGTTTCCATATCATTTTTACTTTCCATTAATCTCTCTCCAGCATCATTAAAATATTCAATTAATTCATTATAATTTCTAGGTACATAAAGAACCAATCTTTCATCCTACAATAAAGACATATTCTTTTTCATCAATAAAATTATTCATAATAACATTTCTATATTGATCTTTATCTAACATAGAACTAGATAATCCACCTTAATTTAAGCTCTATTAACGATCAATAAATTAACTTATTTGTCTTTAGAATAAATTACTAGCCTATTTTTCAAAAAACTTATTATTATTTTATTGTTAGAAATCTTAAGCTTTTTGATTGTCTGTTAATTTATTAAATTATTCTTAGGATTCTTTTTATAATTTTTTAAAGATATCTTTAGAAAGTAAATCTGTAATTGATTTTCCAATTAATGGTAAAAAGTGTTAAATGTTACCAAATTATAACAAAATGTCAGATTGTTTTTGATATGTTCTTTTTATTTAACTTTTTGAAGTATTTTATTTTTAATGCATAGTGTTAGTTTTCTTAAATAATTTAGCATTATCATCTTTGGCTATCTTATGCAATATAGCATTTTTAAGATGACCTAGTTTTTCAAGTTTTTAATTAATAGATTTATATTATACCATTCCAAATTCATCTAAAGCTCCTTTCAATATCAATTTATTAAATGTATGCATAGAAAAACCTAAAATTAGACGCCATTCATCATCATCTTTAATTTTCAAAATAGATCCTAATAGTGTAAAATCAGATAGATTTTAAAAATTAAAAGATAAATTAATATTGATTGGAAACACAAAACCTTATGCATCACATGCATAAGAATTGATTGGTTTATCATAATAATATGTATATCCCCTATGAATAAATCTAGAAATGAAATAATTGTGAGATGCTGTCAAATATGGTGGCATGATACTTGATATTTATAATTTATCTAAATTCTAACTTTAATGAAATGATTGTAATCCTCTAATACGTAGATTTTGAATCATATCTTCATAATTTTCATATCCTAACATATCAATCTATTCAATTTGAAGTAAAATTTTGATAATATCCTCTAAAAATCGATTCATATTTTAAATATCACCAGAACATAAATTTTCCCATAATGTTATCTTTTTTCTTAAGACAGATACAATACTCTTAACAAAATCATCTTTTACCATCTCTAATCGCGATATTTCAGTTACATTCATTTTTACAAGATCATCATATGTATTTTTATCATCAAAGTGTTTCAATTTAAGTGCATCAATAAATTATGATTCTGTTACTTTGGTAACATTTTGAAAGAAGTAAGAAAATTGAATAGTTCTACTTTAAATTTGTTTGAGTTTTGTGAGAGATGATAGACTATTTTTCTTGAAGGAGAACATAAAAGAAATGTACTTTAATGATAAATATTCAACTTCGTCTAAATGTAAAGAAAATGACAATTATTAAATAGTTTAATGAAACTATATTTTGACATATTATGAAATGAGATCTTCATTGATTATATTATTCTAGATGAATTTCATTGGTTAAAATAGAATAGCTTTAGATGGCCTTAACGTTTATTATTCATATTATGGATGAACTCCACCAACAAATGAATCATTTTTATGACTTCCATCTTTGATAGTGTTCTGAAATTAACTCACATCCAAATTTTGAGAAATATTATATTGATTACTATTTTTATCTCCATTACTCAATAAAGCTGTTTTAGATTGGAATGATGATCTATGAGTCATACTTTCTCCATTTTAAGTATTAGATCTAGATAAATCTTCTTTACATTCACAATTAGAATCATTACAATTTTAAGTATGATATTTTAACACAAAAAGTGAAAGCATAAATATATATGAATCCATTCTTGCCTATTCTATATACCATACAAGTGCTTCCAAAGATGAACACATTTTCTTTATGTCCATCTATTTCATTGATCCACTCCTCATGTATAATATTAAATTCTTCCATTTCCATCCTTAAAGCTATTTAAATAAATAAAAGAATATAGGAAATGCCAAGAGTAAAGTCTCAAAGATGTTATCTCCATTTATGAATTCTGTAATTTATTATCAGAACCCAATAAGGATACAATGAATAATCCTGTAGATCCAAACTTATATATTTTATTTTCAAATGTTATCTTATATGGCAAGAACAATATTATGTCTATCAATTTGAAAATGCTGAGCAACCATAAAATATATGGCTGTATCTGCAATTTTGTATTCCAATCTATAGCTACTATAAATATCACAATCAAATAGTAACAATAAGATGCTAGATTGAAAGTTCTATACAATCCTAATTAATTGAATTGATAACTACGATAGAAATAGAAGTAACTTAACACAATAATAGAGTGCAAAAATATGTTTATAATTGGGATTGTACTCCAGGAACTACTTTGCTTATTGAACATCCCCAAGTTGATAGATAACTAGAATTTAATCAAGTATCTACAATTGGACAGCTAAGCCACACTGCACATTCAATTCCCAACAACATCAATATATGTAATCTCTTAAAATTATTTTTAGACATAGTTATTTTATTCTAACTCTGATATTGCAAGTACGAAATCAAAAGAAGACAACCATAAAAAAAGAAGTATAGAATCAACATTAAGATACATATTGGTATAAACAATATATATGGTGGTCTTGTGAATATACTTAAAAACTAGAATAACTTCAAATATTACATTAATAAAATATTCATAACCTTGGTTTTATTCTTATTTTAAACTAAAGCTCATTAATGATATAAGTATTAAGATTAATGCTTTTGTCCCAAACATATTTTTATTATCTCCAATCTTAGCAATCTCGATTGACAATACTTGCCCAAAACTTAATTCCTAATATTATTGCATTTTTTATAATTTAATTTATAATAATATTTTAATTGAAATACTTCTAACAACTATTAACTCTAAGATCAGAATTTTACACTTATTAATATTTATATAAGTTTACACCACTATTTATTGTAATTTTAATTCATTATTCAAAATATATAAATAGTAATAATTTCTAAATAATTTATAAATATTATCAACTATTTTTTACAATCTACCAAGATCGGAAGACTCATTTCAACAAATAAAATTCTAATGAATTATATTCTATTGTTCATTAATATTATGAAATCTGTAATATTTATATTACCTTTTTTAACTTAAATTAACCTCCTTTGTATTTAAGGATGAGTTTAATTTGAATAAATTAAAATATATTCAAAGTATATTTACTATCTAATACTAAAATGTATCCTAAGATAATTAAATAATTTCTAAGTTATAATTTATTAAATAAAATGATATAAATAAAGGAAATATGTTTCCAAGATATTTAAAGTATGAATCTATAAATTATTTACAATGCAGTAAAAAGAAGAATAATATAATATGAAATCAAATTAATATAGTTATTTTATTGTATTAAGGAAGATTCTGTAGTTAATTATGGGAATTTAGGATACCTGATTAGATTATAAACAATATCTTCATCTTGATATGGATATATTTTATATTAGATAAGTAGAAAATTAAGAAAACGCAATTTTTAGTTAAATAAAATATTTAGAAATGCAGCAAATGAAAATTTATTAATTTTTTTATTGAAATGAATAAAATGTTTTCTAGATGTGTTAAAATTGATTATTAAAATTGAAATTGAAATTATGTCTTAATAATAATAAAAATCCATGAATGATACTATTTTTGATACTAAGGTTTTAGATAACTTTGAATAAGAGTTCTAATAAGTTCATGATGATATTAATCCAAAAATTCATTCTCGTATTGCTCCATTGATATATGCAATTAAAGGATTGAAATAAGAAATTAATCAAGTCTTTGCTGATTTCATTCGAGAAACTAATAAAGCTACTGATGTTATAAGGATAAAAGATATGTTCGAAGCAGTGTTGATGGAATATAAGTTTAGAGAAAAGGAAAGCATTAAATTAATGGAGGCTATTTTACAAAACGATTCTAAATAAATTAGATAAATATCTCAATTATTTAAAGAAATTCGTGAACTACAACATGAGGTGAATCAATTTCAAAGACAAAGTGAAGTCAAACGGTAAAGGTAATGTGGTATATTTAAAGGAAATCCAACAGATTTCAAGAAATAAAATACTTCAATTATAGATGAAACCAGCATTTATGATTGGGTGGTTGATATAGATTTTATAACATCTATAAATAGTTCAGGATGGAAAGTTTGGTTGTCTCCAAAGATGATAAACCAAGAAATTATCAATATAAAATCATTAGATGGAGCAACTGTTGCAGTAACTGGACTCTATGATAAAGGAAAGACTTTTGTATTGAATAGTCTCACTATGAGTAATTTACCATCTGGAAAGAAGGTTACTACTAGAGGCATTTCATTTAAGCATGTAAATGTAGATAATGGAACAAAACTTATATTAGTGGACACAGCTGGAACATATAGTCCTGTTAAAATAGAAAATGAATTATCTATTGTAGACAAAGAAGCTACAGAAACATTTATATCAGATCTTGTATTCGATTTGGCAGATTACTTTTTATGCGTTGTTAATGATTTTACAAGTCTTGATCAAAGATATCTTGATAGATTGAGTCGTAATCTATAATAAAGTACGAATAAGACATTTAGAGAAATTATTGTAATACATAATCTTAAAGATGTTGAATCTAATGAAATTTTAGAACATGTATGGAGTACATAAGTAACATAAATATATGCAAATGGAACTCTATAAAAAACTAAAGTAGCTGCACTTAATCCAATAAATAAATAACTTTAGGAAAAACATGTTCTTTGGTTTAAGACTCCATACACTAGACATGTGTGTATTGTGAATGATGATTGTAATTTAGGTAAGGGTTTAAATCCTTGGGTATTTTCACTTCTTAGATATTGGTTAAAGGCAGTTTTTATTCCTGTAAACAGAAGTTTTTCAGTTTTAGATTGTTTGTTAATTTAATCAAGATAAAAACTTGTTAATTTTTTTAGAAAGAATATTAAAATTGACCTAAAAAATACAGATGATCCTTTAATCAAAGTAATTAAAACAGAAAATGAATTTTAAGATAAAATTTAAATTCCTTAAGGTTAAGTTGATATGAGTGGTTTAATAACAGGATAATAGGATTCTTTTTAGCCTGCTACAGATATTATTGCAGGTGATCAATATATAATTTTGATGGATGCTCCAGGATTGACTAATGATGATGTAGATATTTAGAGACAGAATGTAGTAACTTTAGTGAAGGGGAACAAATTGAGACCGTATATAAATTAAGGGTAATTGGAAAAGAGTGAAAGGAAATATGGAGAATTTACACTTACATTTAAAGTATTAATTATGATTAAAAATATTTAGATTCCTGATATTTATGAAAGATAATGGTCTTATTTTGGTGTGGAATAAGGAGTGATCACAATAAAATACGATAAAGATAAAGATGATATTTGATTATATAAATTATTTTATGAGTGAAAGTCCACATTAATTGAAAGCCAAGATTGATTTCTTACATCAAGAAAATCAATAGTTGAGAAATACTATAGAGGATTTACAAACTGTCATCAAATTGAATAAATAATCAATGCGTTCAATGATAGATTAAGACGTTGGCAATCCAAGAATTAATTAACAAACTACTATTCGTGAGAATGAAAATACAATGAAAGCACTTAAATTAGTAATTACAGAACAACAAAAAGAAATTGATCATTTGATGTCATCGTTAGAGAAAGTTTAAAAAGAGAGGGATTTTGCATAAGGCAAAGCCCTAATCTCAGAAGAGATAACTTATGCAGCAGAAAAGAGTGAAAAGAAGTTTATTGCTGAATTGGAGTCTACTATTTTTGAACTTAATCATACCATCAGTTAATAAGCTTAAAAAATTTGTTAACTTGAAAAGTAGGCAGATTAAAGAGATGATACAACTGGAATTGTTATAAGATATAGAGATGTCATTCATCCTAATTCAGCCACTATTTTACTACATGATGAAATGGAAACATTACATTAATTGATCGTAAGATTACAATTATAAGTTAATTATTTAAAGAGTATTCAATTAAAATTAGTGACCCTTATAAATAAAGTGATTACTAATATATAAATGAAAATTTAAGGAGAGATAATAGATTTAGATGAAGATTATGAAAGAGCATAACATGAATTTTTAGAAATCTTAGCTTAAATTTAATGTAAATAAATTATTTGAATTACTATTTTTAGAATCTAGATTACCAAATGTAGATTTACCAGTTAAAACACATTCTATTTAATCACCTATTAATACAGATATGATTCATTCTCCAATACCATCTCCATTTCCTGCTAAAGCTCCTTAAGTTTTTAAGAAAAATTTTTAAAATTTGAATCAAACATTTGATGGAGGAATTGGTCTTAATGAATCCTATTAATAATATGGAAAATAAGAAGATTTTAAGAAAAATAATTCTAGAGTACCAAAGTTGAATTTAGCTAAAGCTTTTTAAATTTAATAAATTAATGCTAAAAGATCTACACAATAAATAAAATTAACTGAAGATTAATTATAAAATAGAGTTCGTAAATTAGAATAGGAACTTGAAGAAACTAAAAAGAATTTATCAAGAGAGATGATTTTATGCAAACATTATGAAATAGAAAATGAATCATTAAAAAGACATATAAAATAAATAGAAGGAAATAATGATATTTTAGTCAAATCTAATCTAAATCTCAATTAAAAATGGGAGAAAATTTAAAAAAGTTTTATGTATTACAAAACATTTTTTGTTGAACATAAGGATTAATTTGCTTAATTATAAATATTAGTTTAATCTGAAAAAGAAGTATTAAATATATTTTAATAGAAAGAAGGCTTAATCATAAGAGGATTATAATGAATTTGGTTTTAATTCTGCTAGAGTTAGTCATGCTAGAAAAGGTTAGACTTAAAGAAAGAAGAATTTATTAGATTAAACAATTACTTCATATGTCCCTATGTATTAAGGTAATATTATTATAATAGTGATATTAAGAATCCCTTATGGAAATAGAGAATTAATTAGCAAGAGTTAACCAATCAGAAACTTATAATCAGAATAATAGAATTGATTCAAGTTGTGCAATTGAAAATGATAGAGATGGTGAATTAGGAGAGTTTTGTTTAGATAGAGATGATAGTTATATAGAAAATAATGAATGGAAGAACAATCTAAAAAAAGAATGGACAATACTAGCAACTTAAGTTCACTCTGCAAAACCTAAAGATTTGGCATAACAAATAAAGTAATCCTAACCAATACAAAAATTATAAAATATTAAATCATGAAATATATCATTAATTATAATCAACATCCATTCCACTAATCATTTTTTTAGCATCATTAATTTATGAGAAAATTAAATTTGATAATTAGATTACTTTAATATTAGGAGATGGTGGAATTTAAGGAGTAGTTTAATTCTATAGATATCCATAATAATTGAGTAACTCAATTTCACTCTTTTATTCAATTATCTAATAAATTTTATCATTTAGGTTTTAAAGTTTTATTTGAATATCATTTAATCTATTAATATAATTCTCTTATGAATCTATTATTGAAGGAAGATTACAAACTTTATCTAATAATTCATTTTATTTATTATTCAATAATTAATGTAAAACCTAATTGTAAATTTAAAATTACTTAAAATTCTTATGCTATTTAAAGTCTCATGTGTTCTTAAATTGCAGTTTATTGAACTTATTTTTTTTCTAAATCTTATCTTTAATTCTCTATCTAATTTATTTATTATTCATTTTATTCAATTTAATTTTCTAATTATTTTCTAATTAATGGATATGATTTCTTTATTGTTTTAACCTCATGATTTTTATGAATTCCATGAATTATACATTCAGGACATATACATCTACTATTACAATCAAAACAAAAATAAGAAACATCTTCCTCAGGATGATCAAAACATTATTCTCTTGAATGTTGAATAAATGAATTTTCACTTTAATGTTTACTCATTTGTCGTTATGATAAATGAAATGATGATTTTGCTTCTGGATTCTATATTGCAAATTTTATTGTCTTTTCTTTTTAATTCTCTTTATTATCTTATCGAGTTTAGGATTTAGACTTCACTTACTTTTCAGAACTAATATTGGTTTTTTATACAAGAACAGGTTTTCTATTAGATCTATCTTATAATGTTTATGCTAAATGAATTTTCTCTAATTCATAAACACTATTAGAATCTAATTCAGTTTTCAACTAACAAATATCACATACAAAAAACTTTATAATATTTTCAAACTATTATACTTTTTTGTTCTTTTTTGCTTGTTAAATTGAAAATGATTTTGCAGCACAATCCAAACAAAGGTCATGATTACATGTTAACATTAGGATGTCATCAGGAACTTTTTAACAATAACTACACTTTGAAATATTCATCATTTTTAAATTTTCTATGTTCGTTAACTAATTTTATAAAATAATATAAACTTCATCAATTAGTAATAATAATAGAACATATTATAGATATTGTATAACCATTTTTCAATCTGATGAATAGACATCATTAGAATAAAGTAAAAACTAAATTATTTTTGATGAATTAAGATACTTGAGATTATACATAAAAGATTTTCAATAGAATCTCTTTTTATTAAATTAGATTAATTAAGATATATCACAGTTAGGAATCTTAATATAAACTCAGTAAATCATATATCTAAGTTATTCTTAAAATAAACTCAAAAAGATAATCATTACTTCAATAGAAATAATACAAATAATTATATTTGATTAATAATGAAATGTTTTAACAAAAGTAATATCAGTAAGATTAAACTTTTTTTTCAAAATTAATAATGTTAACTTTGGTTAATTAATATGATTAATTATAGTTAATAAAAGAATAATAATAAAAAATTTAACTTATATTATAACAAGTTATAGAACAGCTAATTTATGAGATTTATTGATTATATTTGTTTATTTTCATAACTATATGTTGATTAAAAATAAATTTATATTTCAAAAGTAAATATCCTTTAAATTATTTTATAAATCATCAAAATCAGAATAATCTAAAAACTATTTTAATTTTAATTATTTTTAATTTAAATCTCTAACATCTTTAACACTCCTGAAATTTAATAAATAATTTTCTAAATGTAATAATTCCTATAAATCAATAATTTAATTACTTAATCCTCTTTATTATCATAATAAGAAATAATAGGAATTCCATTTTCAATTTATTTGTTAAATGAATAGGAAGCATTATCTACTAATAAAACATTACATAATTTTCGATTTCCTAATATTCTAAAAATATATATTATATACCTTAAATCTTTAATGTATGCTCCCTCTCTTGTTTGAATACAATGTTCCCTGAATAATCGATGTGAAATCCATTATTTTTTTGGATCCAAATAATCAATAACCATATTTGCATAACATGAATGAGAGGCTGTAAAAATAATAATTTCAAAATCTTTTGAAAGTGTTTTAAGGATTTATTTTGCATAAGGTCTAATATTAATAGAAGCCTAAATTGTTTCATTATTTGGAAAAGTAATAGGTAATATGATGTCTCCTTGAATTGATAAATTAGAGTTGCAATGAATCAATGTCTCATCCAAATCAAAAACTATTGTTTTTAGATGATTAGATTTTGGCAAGTAAATGACTTTATTTGGATCAAATTATATTACTAATCTATTTGCATAAATTAATCCCTAAATAAATTAATTATAAATTCACTTGATATGTTTGTGAAAAATGTTCTTTAATGAGTTCATCAAGTTCTGTAGGTTTCTTACTTTTTATAGCTTAGATTACAGTTGAAATATAATACAAGAACTACATAATCTAAATAGTTTACAGGTTCATTTGGTTATGTTTCACTTATCTTATTTAAATAAAAATATTTGGAATCCATAGATTATTATCTTTCTGATTTATTTAAATTTGAGTTTGTTTGATTAATTTATGAACCCTTTAATAATTAAGAATTCTTATTAGAATTTCTTTTAATTTAAGTTACAAAATCTTATAATAATCCAGTGTTTTTATCTTATGATTATTTCAATAATTAAGAATTTGAAGTATAACTTTTTATATCTTTCATTTATGAATAAATATTGAAGATAGATTTAATATCCTTTTTTACTTTACTTTCTTCTTAACTAACATTCTTTTATTATTAAATAAATTTCTAAGGAAAGTATTTAGATACCATAGAATACTGTTTTTATTTTATTCTATCTGTTTTTTTATCTTATTAATTTTCACTTACATTAGCAAATGAATCCTTTAACTAGTGAAACTTTTTTTCTAAATATTCCAATTTTTCATTCAATCTCTTGTAAGCTTAATTTTCAAATGGTTTTTGTCTTTAATTCTCATTTGATAAAAAATCAATCCATTTGTTATTTAACTCTTTAGTTGATTTTGTATAATTATGTTTTAATTAATAGCCACTTTATTATAGCAAAGAGAGATATGAAACATTTTTCATCTAATTGATTTGTAATTGATTTCCTTTATAATTTTGATATGAATTTTTCTCAACAGCTGATTGAGCACGATAGAATTATTAAAGTGATGCAGATTTAAATAATCCACTATTTGAACGATTTTCATTTTTTTATTGACTTGAATTGCTGCTCTCTCTATTCTAATACTATTTCTTTTTCTGCAACAAAGCATAAGAATTTTCTTTATCAATAGTTATTATTGATCTGTAATTATCCGAAATACCTTATCTAGATATCAAATCTATATTAAATTTTCATTCAGTTACCTGCATATGAACAGTTTTATGTAGTCTTGTACATCATCTTTAGATTCTGATATTTAGAATAAAAAGTCTGTTTATTTTAATAAAACAAAAATATGCTCATTATTTTATAGGTGCTTTTAAAATACCTGCTTATTCTTGATTTTTTAAGAACTCTAAGTTTTTTTAAAAATTCTCATTCTAATGCCTTTGCTATTACTTTTATTTAAAACGGTCGACATTTGATTCTTAGGCTTTTTGGGGGTTAACTTAATACTTTTATCGAGCAGGTGAACTATAAACTTTATTATTTTATTATAGATTTTATTTTTCTTCAACTTAATCAACCTTATTTTATAGTTTACTATAGTTATTTTGATTAATTTAAGAAACCTTTTATTAAGATGTAAGTTCTAATTAGATGTCATTCCTATATAATTTTTTGACTTCTTCATTGTTTTTTGATTAAATTTTCTTAGTTTCTAAAATTACTTCTTCTATTTTTTTGTTCTCATTAAAAGTTATTTTAGGTTTTTCAAAAGATTTTTATTACTAATATTCACTAAGTATTATAGTCTCAGGATTTTAATAAACAAAATTTTTCTACTTATCTTCATTTTATCTTTTCTGTATTAGATTATATTAAATATGCACTTTCTCTTAATTCTCAATTTAATTGAAATTCTCACTATTTAGGCTTTACTATTATTATTAGGGTCTACTCCTCTTAATTAAGTTTATATATCTTATTATTACTAATTATCAAAAGTATTTTGTTATTTCTTATTAATTACATTTTCATCAGAATTTATATCTTTAAAAGATTATAATCCATCAAATAATATAGAGTCTAATTTCAAATCGCCTTCTTTATCTGCCTTTACAAGTTCATATGGTTCACAAATATTGACTGATTATTCTGTTCCTGAATTTAGTGCATATTTTTTTTTTCAAATATGAAGAAACACCAATATTAAAAAACCTTATTAATTTGACTGATTTTTTATCCAATTCATTTTTAAATGGATCCAATAAGATTTCATCATAAAAGTTGCCAGTCCAAAAAAGATTTATTTCATTTCTTATAAATGCAATAAGAGAACAAGTTGAAACCATTAAAACTTCTGTAAATATTGATCTATTAATTAAATTAAATAAAATACGTAGGTAAAGGGAATGATATCAAGTACTATACAATTACCCAAAGTATCAAACCAATTAAAAGTCCAAAAAAACTAACAATTTCATATACAAATGTTTTTTTTAATCTATCAAATCTAAGAACATAAGCGAGGAAGAAACCTATTATCTAAGTGATTTTAAAGTAAAAAAATTAGTATATTATGTATAACCTGGAAATAGGATACAGAAAATTATAAATATTTTAATTGTATTGAATATTGAAACCGATGCACATTTCTTTTTGTAGATCTATCGAAAATATGGAATCTATGCAGATAATGGAGTATTAAAATATCTTAGGATTAAACTATCCCATTCATATCTAATATTAATAGCTAAATAGACAGAGCAGAATATATCCATAGCCATTATTGGTAAAAAAAATTATAGACAATTTTTTAAAGAAATAAACTTAAATAACTTGATAAGTGATCCAAGAATACATATTGATATTAAATTACTTAACTATATAAAAGAATTTATTTACTATCCAAATTTATTCTGTAGCTATATAAACTACAAACATTCCAACACCCAAAATTAAAGAAAAAAAATCACAGTATCTGAAATAATAAATAGTTTTAACAAAAAATGGAATTTATTTTCTAAATGCACAAAAGAGCTCATCAATAAAGTGAAATGTACAAATTACACAAAGTATATAGACTAAAATTTATATTGGTTTCTCAGCTTTTTCTTATGAATACAAAGATATAAACAAAGCTCCTAATAAGAGAATCATATAAAATAATGCTTAAGACCATGTTAATAAAAATCCTTAAAATGGAGAACTTTCTTAAGCAATTTTATTCAACTTTTCTTATGATATTGTTTGAATTAAATTTAATTCAATTTTAATCAGTTAATGATGTTAGAATTAAATTCACATAACCTTAACTTCTCTAAAAAATTAATTAAATTATATATATTTTTAACTTTTCAATAATTACTTTCTTAATTATTTTGTTATGAAAACAACCTTCATAGCTTAAATTTTCCCAAACATTGAAAGAATTAATATAATTATGCTTTGAAAAAATATTAAAATTAGATTACTCCAATCAAATCTAATTAAATAAAAAAAGTACCTTACTGGATAATAGTCTTTGCCACATATAAATTGATAATTAAATATCACAGGATTAAAACCTTCAAACTATAAATTAACTTATTTAATGCTCCAATATCTATCATTATTTAAACTTCTTTAACATAAATGTGTTAAATTCAATCCTAAATAATTATCAAAGCCTTTTATAATTGATGTAATTTGTTATCTAATTAACTTTGACTTAAATATCTTAATCTGAAAATTCTTCAGTGATGTTTAACCATTAAATAAGCAAAGGTNTATTGAATATTGAAACCGATGCACATTTCTTTTTGTAGATCTATCGAAAATATGGAATCTATGCAGATAATGGAGTATTAAAATATCTTAGGATTAAACTATCCCATTCATATCTAATATTAATAGCTAAATAGACAGAGCAGAATATATCCATAGCCATTATTGGTAAAAAAAATTATAGACAATTTTTTAAAGAAATAAACTTAAATAACTTGATAAGTGATCCAAGAATACATATTGATATTAAATTACTTAACTATATAAAAGAATTTATTTACTATCCAAATTTATTCTGTAGCTATATAAACTACAAACATTCCAACACCCAAAATTAAAGAAAAAAAATCACAGTATCTGAAATAATAAATAGTTTTAACAAAAAATGGAATTTATTTTCTAAATGCACAAAAGAGCTCATCAATAAAGTGAAATGTACAAATTACACAAAGTATATAGACTAAAATTTATATTGGTTTCTCAGCTTTTTCTTATGAATACAAAGATATAAACAAAGCTCCTAATAAGAGAATCATATAAAATAATGCTTAAGACCATGTTAATAAAAATCCTTAAAATGGAGAACTTTCTTAAGCAATTTTATTCAACTTTTCTTATGATATTGTTTGAATTAAATTTAATTCAATTTTAATCAGTTAATGATGTTAGAATTAAATTCACATAACCTTAACTTCTCTAAAAAATTAATTAAATTATATATATTTTTAACTTTTCAATAATTACTTTCTTAATTATTTTGTTATGAAAACAACCTTCATAGCTTAAATTTTCCCAAACATTGAAAGAATTAATATAATTATGCTTTGAAAAAATATTAAAATTAGATTACTCCAATCAAATCTAATTAAATAAAAAAAGTACCTTACTGGATAATAGTCTTTGCCACATATAAATTGATAATTAAATATCACAGGATTAAAACCTTCAAACTATAAATTAACTTATTTAATGCTCCAATATCTATCATTATTTAAACTTCTTTAACATAAATGTGTTAAATTCAATCCTAAATAATTATCAAAGCCTTTTATAATTGATGTAATTTGTTATCTAATTAACTTTGACTTAAATATCTTAATCTGAAAATTCTTCAGTGATGTTTAACCATTAAATAAGCAAAGGTTCTTCACCAAGATTCTCAATATAAAATGGTAGATTAAATAGCTATATAGTTTACCCTTGTTTATTTAAATTCGTCACTCTAAATTTAGTAACATTGTTTGGACAACAAGATAAGGATGGGAATGCTGTATAATCAAAATTCTCATAAACTTTTTAATGAACATAAACTATTTGATCCTAATCTTCATCATCAGTATAAGATTGCAGCAATGGACCAATAGACAAGTTTGCATTAGGGAGTGTTGCAAGAGTTATTGTTAATAAATAATAAATAAACATAATATACTAATTCTGTTCTTAAATTAATAATTGAATACTTTTGCAAAATAAATAAATTTTTGTATCCTTTGTATTTCATCTTTTGTACTTTACGAATCAAATTCAAAAATGTAAAGTATTTTATATATAAGTAAATGATTTCAACATTATAATTTATTTTCTGCTAAGAGCCATTCTTCAACTATTATTAATATTACAATTAGCTTGTATAAATTGAATGTCATCATTTAGATATCACCAAATCAAATCAAGGTTGAAAATCTTTAGCATTTTTTTATGATTATAGGGATATATATAACTCAATATGTTAGTTATTGACTAAATATCTATTTAGGCTTAATAATTAATAGTTAAATATTTTAATTCTTAGAGTAATTTTGATTAAATAGCATTACACATCCTTTATATATATTATTAAAGATCTTTTTGAAAATCAATTAAATCTACTTTGCTAAAATGCTTACAAAATTTTCTATGTTATTTTAGATCTATGGTTCCTATTAAAAGAATTAACATTTTTTTATTCTAATTAGGCTAATTTTTTGTTATTTATATCGAATGATGTGTGCTTTCTTATTTAATATTCAAAATTTAGGGCATATTATTGTTTTTATTAATCTTAAGTTAAAATTTATTCTTTATTTTTATAATCCCTCTAGCTGATCTTAAGCAATATAACTTCAAACTATTTATCATTTCAATGTTTTCTTAGATTTAAGCATTTATTCAGAGTCTAAGAGCTTTTTGCAGTTTTAGCAAGCAAAATAGAGTATTTAGCAATTTAGAGAGGAAAAAAAAACTAACCATAATTAAAATATTTGCTAGATTTATTTGTATGAGTAGAAGTTTAGAGAACATCATATTTCTATCTGTAGGTTTAAGTTAACTCAAACTCTAAAGGGAAAGATTATTCTAAATTATATAAAAAATATTAATAAAACAGAAAATAAAATACTAAACTAACCTAATATGGATTAATTGTATCTGAATCTTTTAGGATTTTATCTTAAACAATTATTAGGATTATTTTCGACATTTAAATTATATAATCAATAATTCTAAAAATTCTGTTATTTTGTATTATCCAACTTAGAGTATATAACATGAGTAGTTTACTTTTAGAGATTAATATAGAGGATTCTTAAACCTGTTAAAATAATATTATAATTTAAGAAATTATTAGTTTAAACTTTAAACAATTTTTTTAATAATATTTATGGTTACTCTTCTTTATATATTCTCACTTCATCTATATTCTTTAAATTTCATAATCTCCATCATATTTTTGTATTCTCTTGAGAATATCTATTTAATATAAGTTATCAATAAAGTCAATACTCTTATTATCAAACTATTTTGATGATTAAAAAATTAGAATATAAGTAATTTTTTAATCATATGAACCGTTTGGTTATTAAAGAAATATGAATTATTTAATTCTCTTAACTAAATTTTATTCAAAGATTTGATCAAATATTATGTTATTGTTATTTTACCGTTACAGATATTCTCGATAAATTTAGGATAATAGAAAATTAACCAAAAAGCAATAATAAGAAATCTAGAATCCCTACATATGATACAACTAAAATGATTTAGTTATTTATAAAATGGGAACTAATTTTGAATCAATAAAAAAATATAAAAGTAAACAATATTAATAAAATGATTCATTAATATTGTTTTTAAGGTTAAATTATGTAGTAATAATCAGTAGATTTTAATAGGCTCTATAAATAAGCATTTTTATATGTTAAATTTTATATTATCTATCTATTTAGTTAGAATTATTTGAACCTTTAATTGTTAAGATTTCTTAAAATAATTTAATATAAAATTAGAGATTTAAATTAAGCTATAGAAATCTAGGTTAATTAGCTAGAATAGATAGTAGAAGTGATAATAATATCAGTAGGAATATTTTGAATTATAATACAGATATTAATATTAATTAAAAATGTATCTGAAAAATTTAGAATTTTATAGTGGAAGTGGATATAAGCAATCAGGTTTCTTAAAAAAGTGGAAGGAAAAACTTTTAGTTTTTAATTTGAATACAAAGGTAATAAATAATGGAATATTTAGGTATTATAAATATAAGATGCAAAGAATCAAACTCAAAAATAAATAGATATTTCAAATTATAACTTAAAGAAGTTGGGAAAGTATTAAGAGAAATGGTCAATAAAACTATCAACAACATCGAATGAAGTTAAATTGGGATGGAATAGTGAAAAAGAATTTTAGCAATGGATCGATTGTTTCACTGGGGAATGGTAGAAAAAATAAGAACACTTAAGATTTTTAGAGGAATTCGATAAATCTCATCCAGAGATTGAGCCATATATTGAAAAATAACCATTGATATTTCGACCAAAACAAAGCTTAATGATTCGTGATAAGATTGAAAATATGATTCCTCATTTACCATAGTTCATTTAAGTAAAGAAAAAGAATAAACAAATAGAAAGATATGGAGATTCTACTATAAAACACATTATAGAATTTGGATGGTTTTAGTGACATTCAAAATTTCAAACAAATTTTAGATTAAGAAAATGCAAAATTGTATCAGGATCCAAATGATAATTTGCATATGAAATTAGTTTATTATTCAAAGATTGAACCTCGAAGAATCTATGATGTAAATAATGATTTATTTATTTATTTAAAGGAACATGTAATGCCATCAACATAAAATTGGTTACCTGATGTAATTAAGCAATTTTAAGTATTTCCAACTAAGAAAGGATGTAGTTTGGTATATTTAGAATTTGAGTTTAAAGAAGATTATGTAATACCTAGATAGCATAGTATATAAGATGAAGAACGATAAGAAGAATAGAATAATTTTAAATTTCATTCATCTTAATCACTAAATTAGAATGAATAAGAGGAAAACAATAAAATAAGAATAGTATTTACATAAAAAGGATTTGAGAAAGATGGTATCTATTGTGTATTTCGTAAATATACAGGATAAGAAATGTATCATGATTAGATTGATAGAAATCTAGCAAATTAATTAGGCAAATATAAGATAATTAGATCTGCTCTTGTTGTATAACCTTCAAAGTATAAAAAATGATATCATTTAGCAAACAGGAGTTTAAAAGTTTACTAATAGAAGAAATATATGTGGATTGTAAAGATTTAGATGCAGGAGAAAAGTTATTAAAAATCCTATTATTAAATATAACATCTTCAGACAGAAATTTGATGTAAATTTAATAGGAAATATAATAAATAACTGAAAATGTGGAAGTAAAGAATTTAGAACTATTTGAAACCATTTAAATCTCTATAAAATTAACAGAATCTGATATACAAAGAATAACATCTGAATAACATTAAATTTAATCAAAGGAAGAATTCTAAAAGTTAATTGAAAAGGTTGGAAATGGACAATATATTTTAGATGCAATCTCATAATATTCAGATCAAACTATTGTTTCTGGTTTAGACAAACAACTACAAACTAATGATGAAGAAGGTCATTTCTTATATACTAAATTCTATAGAGTTGATAACAATAAAGGAGGTTTAACATATCATAATGAAAGATTATTGAAGGATTAAAGATCTGTTCTCTTAAATATGATAAAAAGGATGGGATCCAATCTTATATAAGGAAAGTCTGTAATGTCTGTCTCTTTGCCTATCTAAATTTTTGAAAGTAGATCATTTTTAGAGAGAATGGCTAGAGCTTAAGGACATGCTCCTATATTTTTAGAACTTGCAGCTAAATCTAATGATCCTTTACAATAATTGAAATAGACTATTGCTTTTCATATGGCTAGTTTTATGATGGGAATTCAGTAAGAAAAACCATTCAATCCAATTTTAGGAGAAACATTTTAAGGTAGAATACTTGGATGTCCTATTTATTTGGAATAGACATCTCATCATCCTCCAATTTCTAATTATATAATGTTTGGAAGAGATTATAAATTATATGGATCTTTTAGTCCTATAGTTAATATGGGTTATAATAGTCTCTCTGGAGAATAACATGGCCATTCTATAGTACATTTTCAAAATACTAATTTAAAATTTTATTACATTAATCAACCATTTACAGTTTATAATATTATAACTGGATAAAGAAATGTGAATTGTCATAAACGAAGTTTCTGTTTTTAACCTGATCTATAATTGTGTGCTGTTATATAATTCAATCCAAAAGATGAAAATAAAAGTTTCTTTTCTAGATAAACTACTCCAATAGATCATTTCTTAGGCAAAATTTACAAAGTATCACCTATGTGTATTTAACGTTGTAAAATGGCACACAAAACTGGATCAGGATTGAATTTAAAATTAAAACTCAGCAAAGAAGAAATCTTAGAGACTTATGATTCTATTAGTGGCCGATGGACATCTCATTTAGACATAAATGGCTAAAGATATTGGGATATTAATATACATAGGTATTTACTATTATTAATCTACTTAATGATAGACCCTATGTGTTAGAATTAGAGTCTAGACCTTTACCATCTGATTGTTTATATAGATTAGATTTACTTCTAATGAAAATGAAGGATATACAGAGAGCTTAAGAAACTAAAGAAAAAATGGAAGTAGATTAAAGAAAAGATTAAAAATTAAGATAAAAAAGATGAATAATTTTATGGATAAATTAAATTTATACACTACTCATTAATGTTTTAAGAAATATTACATTTTTTATCTTCTTTCAGATAATTATTCAATAATTCTTAATATTTAATATGATAATTAAAGCCCTTCGATTAAACAATTTCCAAGATTTTTACATATTATGAAAAATTCATATTATGAAATATTTATATTTTAAGTTGATAAAATCTAATAACGTACTGACCTGCTTATATATAAAATTAATACTATTGAGGATAACTTAATGGTACTATGATACCAATCTCTATTTATTAGTCTTCTTTAGCTAATACCATTTTATAACAGTCATGAAGATGTTCAGCTTGGCCTTCAAATCTATAATTTAATTAAATATATGATTATAAAGTTTTATCCTCAACTAATAATGTTGTATCTTTATTTTATTTATAAATTAAACTTTCTCCTAAACAAAACTTATACCAAAAAGGAGTATCATCATTTATTTAACAATTACCAAAATATTTTAATTGATATTTCTATTCAAAATTTAATCCAGGAAAATTTGTAAGCAACTCATTTTTTTACAATTTCTATAATTATATTTTGATTAATTATATGTTGTATATTCTTTTTTATAATTATAAATAAAATTCTTGAGCACTCAACTCAAATCCAGTTAATAATTTAGCCCATCTAAATGACATATATTTAGTATTAATATTAATTTCTTCATCACTTTTTGCATTTACAAATATGGGTTCTCCAGGATCTCCTTAAAATAATCCACAAAATAATTCTTCAGAAGTTATTTGATTTTTTCGATCAACTTAAAATACAATCTTATCCAATGTTGTAAAGTATCTTATACTAAATGAAAAAGGGTATATATTTTCATAAAATGATTCCAATTTAATTCCCAAATAATTTAATGCAATTTAATCAAATATTCCAGATTCTATTGTTACTTTTAATTCAAATTATGATTATTTATAAATACTATCTGCAATTGGATGTGAAATGATTTCTAATTGTATGAATTTTGTTTGTAATTTTTAATAAATTTAATGTAATGGTTAAGGTAATTATTAAAAGAATTCCTATTGAGATGGAAGTGCTAAATGAGGAATTTCAAACATATTTAATGCAGGTATAAGATGTGATTATGTTTATTTAAGTAAATCTGGTAATACTTGAAAATATTATGATTTCTTTTATTCATAGTGTTATTATAAATGTTCAAATTCATTTGTAATTTCTTCATATTTTTTCTTTTTTTCTCTTCTAACTTCTAATTCAGTTTCTAATTTATGCAAAATTTCTTTATTATTATTTAATGGATTTTTATCCTCCAAATCAAGTTGTTTTTTTATTTGATTATAATGATTTGTTTGTAAGGCTTTAAATTATCCTATTTGTAATTACAATTAAGTTTTAGAATATTTCAAACACTCAGAATTGATTGTCTATTTGTCTAATTAATCTTTTTCCAATTAATTTGTACGCCTATTACCTTCTATACTTCTATATAATTCTCTATGAGTTTTTCTTAAATCAGTCAACAATTAATAATCAATACTATCATTTCTTTTACCTGTTGCTTTACTTACATTATCCCTCATTTAGTCTATCAATTTTTAGATTTTTTATTGTAATTCCATTTTTTATTTTAATTAATAATGGCAAGATTAATAGGAAATACAAACATTAAACTTAGAAATCCTCTTCTAAAATTATGTTAACCAATTTCTTCTATATCTAAATTGATTGCACTTAAATTAGTATTTATTGATGATATTTCAAATCATTACACTATTAACTGTAAAAAAGTAAATTGTTTTTACACTTAAGGAAAATAAATTAAGATAGAGAAATTAGTGGAAAAAGAGTTAAATCAATATTCAGATTCTAATTAACTAAAAAACCCTAAATTTTATTTCTATGATTTAAATGGTAATTAGATTATTATGTATGATCTATCCATTGAAACATATCTAGTCAGCACAAAAGATAACAATCATTGGTTATATGATAAGAAATATGAAAAACTTTTATTCTAAATAATTTAGATGGATGCAAGCATTATAAGTAATAATAACCTTTCTGATGATAAATCAAGGAAACCTTCATTAATGAATTCAAATTAACACATTATCCATAATAATCTATATGATCATTTAATACCTTAGAGTAGTTTCAGATCTCGTATACTTTAAAAGGGTATTTAAGATTTAGAAAATGTTTATGATAATTTTAAAATGACCAGTCGCTAAAATTCTGATCCCTTTATTATTACAAATTGTAAATTCAAAACTACCCATTAATCTTTCAGTTCATAAAATAGACCATCAAATGTATCTTATATAAAAACCAATATTCCTAATTCAACACCAAGACATTATTTAACAGATTAAGAATAATATTTTATAGATAATATGTAAAAATGTTAGGATGAATTAGACAATTTCATTAATAAACTCAAAACTAATTTATCTAAAGAAAATGAAGAAGTTGAAAAAATAATAAAATTTTATGAAAATGTCTTATATCCAACTCCAAAAAGTAGAGCCCTTGAAATGAAATAAATATCTACTTCGAGTTTAATAAGCACTAAATTAACTAAGATATTAGGAAAACAGTTTCCAACAGATACAAAAGCACCAAAAGCTTATGTTCCATAAGAAAAGAAAATGTTACATAAAATACCACCTTTATTACATCTGAACATACCTTCTTTATAGGCCAAATATAGATTAAATAGAAGTTAATTATATGCTTTCTTCTCACTTTATAAAGTATTACATCTCATTTCAGGATATATGAAAATAAAAAGTAAATAATTAAAGGTTCAAGGCATTACTTATGAAGTATACAGAAATGGTATTGAAACCATTCAGGATTAAGCAGAGAATATGGCAAGGGGAATATTTGATATAATAGATAGTAGATGTTCTGGTTTCTTAGATTGGGGTTAATTTTTATATTTAATGAGTTCAGTATAAGCTAAAACAAGAGATTAAAGAATAGATTTGTTTATTAAAATAGCTGATTCTAATAAGGATGGTTAACTTTCTTACTAAGAAGTAGTAAGATTGAGTTAATAAACATTATAGAAGTTTATTAAAAATAGTAATAGAGAATTTTTGGATGAAATGTCATAATTTTTCTCTAAAATAATATTTGATTCAGTTGGAGTGGATTATTAATAAGAAATTCAATTTAATCAGTTAAAAGAAGTAATTAATTAAGGACATCCTAATTCAGATTTATTATGTATGTTTTGTGGTGCAGATTCTTGATTCTTTTTTTGCTTCATTTTATTTATTTAATTAAAATGATTGCTTTTTAAGGAATTAAATAAATATACTATTGCTGTTTATTAAATTTTAATCAGATTTTATAAAATATTTGTGGTTTTTAATAATAAAAATCCTAATTTAATCAAAAATATTGTAATTTATTTGGATATACCATTTGAAATCTCCTTCTTTAAAGTTAATAGAATAGCATTATTAATTCTCTTCATATATTTTAATATCTTTATTTTTGGTTTTACAATGAACTATTTGAAATTAAAACAAATTTATCATTTTAAGCATAATTTCAAATCCCTTAATTAATTATATAATTTAATTGTCATAAACAGAATATCAATTATTCTCTTAAAAATTAAATCAATAAGATTTCAGCCCCAATTTTATTTTGAAATAAATCTAAAGTTCTTCAAAAATACTATTCAGTAAATACTCTTGTAAGGCATTTATAGTTAAGCTACACTTTTTGGTTTCTGATGGATTACTAGGACTTTAGGTTTTCTAAGGTCTCATCATTATGGTCTTTTTATTTTAATCATTAAATTGTTTTTAATCTTTATCTAAAATTTAATAATTCCATTATTCATTTTTTAAAAAAAGTTAATTAATTTCTCATTTGTGGTCCTTTCCTTAGTTTTTTCTTTTGTTAAAAGTTTCTCTTATGATATTTATTCATTGAATTAAAGTAGTTAAAAGAAAGACTGAATGATCTCGAGTAGAATAATTAATTAATAAAATAGAAAATTATATAATATATAGCAGACAGTTTCAAATTAGACATAAATGAAATAAAATTATTTAATACTTTTATTTTATTATTGTTTTACTTCAATTTAAGTTTAACAACATTTGCTGCCAAAATTGGTTGTAATTTATATCAATAAGAGGATAGTAAACTAGTGACAATACAATGAATTGTGTTGTAATTACTCATTAAGTTATTAATATAAATTATAGATCATGTTTTTATCAAGAGATATCAATTAATTTAAAGTAGAATCAGTGTTATGTTTAATATGCTTATGACATTTAGAGTTTACGATGCAATGATTACATACTAGCAATTCTTTTTTAACTATATTCTGTTTTACAAGTTCTCTTACTTGTTTATGCTGATTTATGTTCTGATAATGAAAAAAGATTCTTGTTTTTTATAAATTATTATATGGGTCGTTTTAAGAAGTTATCGAAGTTAATTTAAGATAAAGTTTTTTGTTTTTACCTATAAAGTTGAGATAAGGGACTATGAATTTCAGATTTGGATTTATTATGGAATTGATGCAACATTTATAAAGCATCATTTAATTAGAATTAAGGAAGTGAAATTAATGTTGATTATCCTGATTATTTCCTTGGTTTTACTATTGATACTCTTGGTTTTAAGATTCTTTTACTATTCTTTATTTGTTGAGTTCTTGTTTTCTTGAATTTATAGAAAGCTATTATAAATTAAACTGCTCTCACAAATATCTTAAATCGATATAGAATTTTTTTATGTCTAAGTTATTTCACTTAGAACAACCCTTATGAGATTAATCTACGCCACTTGCTTCCATAAGAACCATAAATCTTTTCATCAGAACTTTGTGATTTATGCTTTTTTAAAACATTGATACATTTCTATTTTGTTGTTTGAATTTGGCTTTTCCCCATTAAATCTGGTATCAGTAATGGTCTCATTTGTATTCTCCAATTTTTTTCTATTAATTTTTGAGGTGTTTCGTTTGTTATTTGAAACTCATTTGATTTTTTATGAAGCTTTTTATAATATGAAGGTCCTTTTAATCTGGGACTGGATTCTTAAAATATTAATAGAGGACATTGAGATTGTATGTGCTCATTTATTAGATTATCCATTAAAAACTATTTGCAGATTATACTTAGTAATATATTATATATATATAAATATAAATATTTATAATAAAATTGAAAATGAGCGATATGTTTTAGGGAAATAAAAGTGGAGTCTCATATGGAAGTCAATATGATGCGTAATATCTATAAGGAAATATTGAATTTTAGTTTAGGTGCTAGTTTTGGTAGAATTGCTCCGTAAGATAAATAAAGTATAGGATCTAATAATGGAGGTGGAAGTTTTGCATAAGTTTCAGTTTCATTTTTGGTACAACCAGATCAATACAGATCATCAGTTGGTTTAGAGGAAGGAGGACCATAAATTCAAATATATGAATATTAAGAACCATAAAATTAGAAAGGAATACTTTTCAGAAGTAGTGGAGACTTTGAAATGTAATTTGAGGAGATTAGAATGGATAGATTAAATATAGATTAATAATAAAAAGTTGAAGAGGATGCTTAATAATAATAAAAATTCAATTAAAGGGCATCAAATGAATTCGAAATGAAAATATGTAATATTCTATATATATTATAGAATATGCAGAGTAAATTAGTACAAATTTTAAACCTGAAATATATCAGATGGTGAATCCAAATATTATTGAAGAGAATAAAAATCTTTTCAACGTTAATATCTCTAAAAGCATTTATACTAATAAAATAACATAGCTTGTTGAATAGACTTAATTGAAATTAAATTAATAAAATAGAAATTAAACACCTACTCATCTATCGTAATTATTTAAATTTTATAATATTAGTAAAAGTTAATAAAAATTATAAAGGAAATCACCAAATTTATAAAGAGATCATTCAGATTTGTCATCAGATTTTAATTAATAGAATAGCAATGATCCTAATTAAGATCCAATATAATAAAAATTGGCTAAAAATAGAGAATCAGCAAGAAATTCTAGGGCAAGAAAGAAGATTTATTATGAATTATTAGAAGTTAAAGCTTAAGAATTGTAGAATGAAGTGGATTCATTAAAATAATAGATTTAAAATTAATAAAAGTATACAGAAATCTGTAATAAATCTTAAGAAAAAGTATTATACTCTAAGATAATTAGTTTTAAATGTTTTTAGAATAATAATAATTATTGTTTGATAAACTAGAAACCTATATAATTAAAAATAAAGACAATATGGAAATAGGAATGATTTTGGATGCTTTAAGATACAGAACTAATTCAAATAGTTAAGAAAGAAATGATGCAGCAAGGAATCACTTTGATTAAATGGTAGAAGTCTGTCTTCCAATTCAAACTAGATATTTAATATATGCATTGGAAAAGAACAAAGATTTTTTTGCTTAATAACCAAAGTATGTTTTTTACAATACAATTCCAGTGATTATTCTGATTGGATGATTGATTCTTTTTAAAAGACTGATATAAAGCCAGAATAAATTGTAAAGGTTAAAAAGATGAAAACTAAATTACAAAGTGTTAGAAATAATATATCAGAGTATAAAATAATAATATAAAATAAGTTCAATTCATAAAATAAAAGAGTAATTGAAGTTAATATAATGTGAAGCTTTGAAAGTTGATCAAATGTGGGAATAATTGAAAGAATGTTTGACACCTATTTAATTAGGATCATGTATTTTAGCAATGAGATAAGTATAATTAATATATTATTAAATAAGAACCAATACAGATAAGAATTATAAACATCTTCATTATTTTTATAACTCAAAAATTCTTAAATGGTATAAAAATTAATTTATATCTAAATAGTCAGATGAAGATGAAGTTTAAGGTAACTAAGAGTAATTTACTGTACCAAATAATAGAAAACTTATAAAAAAATCATAGAATTGATATGCTTATCTACATATTCATTATTTTACTAATTAAATAAACTTGTAAATTTAATTAAAATTATAATAATTTTATAATGTCATTACATTCTCTATTTTCTATTGTTATTATTTATCACTATTATCATTATTTTTATTATGATAACTTCCTTTTGATAATCAAACTTTTTGTTTATTTTTATAGAAATTAATGGTTATTAATTATAAAAGAACAAAATTCTTTTTAAGATAATTTTAAACTAAGTTAATATAAAGCAAATTGTTTTAATAATCATTTCTTTGTCTATGCAAAAATGGAGCAACTTTTAGGCTTGAGGATAGATTAGATTGAATTGGAAGAGTATCTTGGAGAGAGAGCAGGAGATTGACTTGGAGAGGATTTTCGATTCTCTGAGAAATAATAGATTTGATTTTAATTGCTGAATCTAAGTTGCTTCATTTTTAATCGTAATCTTGATTCGATGTCTCCATTTCTGTTGTTGTTAATTAATGTTTAAAATTAATCCTCTTAATCAGAATCTGGCAATATCATATCTTCTTAGTCCCCTTTTGTTTTTATTATTTTCTGGATCAGAATCAATTGCAATGGTACATTGTTCATATGTCACTTGAAATTGATATGATAAATTAATTATTTATTATACTCTGTATACATTAAAATACAGTACTAAATTCTTGATAGATGACTGGAGTACTGATTTATAATTTGATATTTTCTTTAACAAAGAATCCATAGCCAGATATTTCGTCATTATCAATTTATTTTAATTATATTAGATGGATGTTTCTCTAAAGGATTTAATACTAGATAGAATTCCAGACTATTTGAGCAGACCATCAAACAAGGTTAAGGCCCTTCATTAGAGCATATCAATATATATTAGTTAATGCCTCCCTTCTATTAAAAATATTTTTAGATATAATCGCAATATTAGTAGCTAGGCTGCAATTAAAAAGATTAATTTGTTGGGGAATTATATAAAATAATTATAATATTAGATCAATCATCTTTAAGACAATATAAGTAGCATACATAAATAGAGAGATTAAATAAATGATAACATAATTTCAAAAGAAAATAGATTGAATTGCATAAAACAAGGAATGAGAACTTAAAGAATTTCAAATTTTCTAAATCAATTATTTGAAGAATTGGTTGATAGTATAAAGAAGTTCAATGAGAAATGTGTTTATTTGAAACAAAAAAATTAGGATTTCAAAAAAATCTTAATTCATTAGAGGAAGAAAATAACGAGTTAAAATAATAATATTAAATTGTAATAAATATTAATATAAATAGGTTAGAGATAGATATTATTAAAATTTGAAAAAATTATACAACTTAGAGTAGTATTGATTCAAAATTGATTAAAAAATGATGATTATATAACTATAGTTGAAATCATAAAGATTTAGTTTTTTCATAAAAAGTTAAAAGAATGATACTATTTAATCAATCTATACAAAAAGAGTACATTTAATTAGCAATTGATTAAGTTCTTAATATTCTCTTGAAGATATATGTATTATATAATTATTTTAATGAGTTCATTGAGGAATTATTTAATAATTTGATTTATTGAAGTTTTGTTTATAAATATCAAATTAATTGTATTACACAGAAAATCAATTAATAGAAATTTGTCATAAGTGATAAATTTAAAGTATTATCTTATATAAATAAACAATAAAGATATGAGTAAGAATAAAAATCATATAATCCTGAATAAAAGAGTAATAATAATTCTAATGAGAAAATGTTGATTTCAAGTAGTCAAAAGTATAAGACTTATAAAAACTTGAGGTGTTCTATTTTTGGATACTAAGAGATTATATTAAATTTACTCTTGATTATATTGTAATTTGTATTTCAATTAATTAATTTATAGTTATTTATATTATTCTAAGAATGTAAGATGAATATGATGATCATGGAGAAGATAATTTCTAAGATGATGAAGAGTATGATCAATTTAATTAAATTGATTAGATGGATCATAATTAATTTGATAGTTGTATGATTTCACATTAATATTTAAGCATAGAATGAAAAGAATTAATAGGACTTAAAATATGGAAATAATGCAGCTGAATAATAGAAACAAATAGAAGATAAAATATCAGAAGATCTAGAAGAGAAACTTAAAATGTTAGAGGAGTATTCCAAAGATAAAAGTGAAGAACAAATTTTGAATATAAGAATGCATTAATTGGCTTTAGCAAAAGTACATTATCATATTAATTAAGATACTTGTGTTTACTCATAATAAAGGACAATTCAAATTAGTCAAAGCACATACAAATATAGGTGAAGCATATCTTAATTATAAGTGTTATGAATAAGCTATTGATCATCTTACATTAGCATTAAAAAAGAATAGCAAATTATTTAATGAAGAATCAGAGAGTAAGAGTTATAATTCAATCATTCTTACATTACTTGGAAAATGTTATTTAGAAATTAATAGTTATGAGGAATCCTTAGATTTATTGAAAAAGGCTTATGAAACCCAATGTTAAATATATGGGGATGAAACTGAACACTCTATCNCAAAAAGAGTACATTTAATTAGCAATTGATTAAGTTCTTAATATTCTCTTGAAGATATATGTATTATATAATTATTTTAATGAGTTCATTGAGGAATTATTTAATAATTTGATTTATTGAAGTTTTGTTTATAAATATCAAATTAATTGTATTACACAGAAAATCAATTAATAGAAATTTGTCATAAGTGATAAATTTAAAGTATTATCTTATATAAATAAACAATAAAGATATGAGTAAGAATAAAAATCATATAATCCTGAATAAAAGAGTAATAATAATTCTAATGAGAAAATGTTGATTTCAAGTAGTCAAAAGTATAAGACTTATAAAAACTTGAGGTGTTCTATTTTTGGATACTAAGAGATTATATTAAATTTACTCTTGATTATATTGTAATTTGTATTTCAATTAATTAATTTATAGTTATTTATATTATTCTAAGAATGTAAGATGAATATGATGATCATGGAGAAGATAATTTCTAAGATGATGAAGAGTATGATCAATTTAATTAAATTGATTAGATGGATCATAATTAATTTGATAGTTGTATGATTTCACATTAATATTTAAGCATAGAATGAAAAGAATTAATAGGACTTAAAATATGGAAATAATGCAGCTGAATAATAGAAACAAATAGAAGATAAAATATCAGAAGATCTAGAAGAGAAACTTAAAATGTTAGAGGAGTATTCCAAAGATAAAAGTGAAGAACAAATTTTGAATATAAGAATGCATTAATTGGCTTTAGCAAAAGTACATTATCATATTAATTAAGATACTTGTGTTTACTCATAATAAAGGACAATTCAAATTAGTCAAAGCACATACAAATATAGGTGAAGCATATCTTAATTATAAGTGTTATGAATAAGCTATTGATCATCTTACATTAGCATTAAAAAAGAATAGCAAATTATTTAATGAAGAATCAGAGAGTAAGAGTTATAATTCAATCATTCTTACATTACTTGGAAAATGTTATTTAGAAATTAATAGTTATGAGGAATCCTTAGATTTATTGAAAAAGGCTTATGAAACCCAATGTTAAATATATGGGGATGAAACTGAACACTCTATCTAAACTTTAACTTTAATGTCTAATTGCCACATGTAAACTATTAATTAATTGTTTTTTATTAGAAAAATGAAAGATTTTGATGCAAGTGAAGAATGTATTACTAAAGTCTTTGCTATCACTGAAGCCAAATATGGATATAAATCAGAACAAAGTGCAATTTCATATATTGAAAAATCAAAAATATATGCATGTTAAGAAAATTGGAAAGATGCTATTGAATGTTTGTCAAGTGCTATTGATATGTTGATTGAAATTAATTATCAAAAAACTGAATATGTGGCAGAATTATATCATTAATTATCTACTTATTATGAAAAGATTTAATAAATTGATGAATAAATTGCTTGTCTATCAAAAGTGAAATAAATTTATATTGAATTATACACAACATAAGATAAAAAGGTCATCAAAATTAAAAGATAAATAGCCATTATATAATTAAAATAAGAAAAACATTAAGATGCCTTGGCTGAACTATATGAGACTGAAGACTTAGAAGTTAAAGTTTATGGAGAAGGAAGTGTGTAAGTAGCTAAAACATAGAAAATAATAGGTAGTTTTTAATTTAATCAAAAAAGGAACCATTTTGTTATTAGTATAAGAATTTAGAGATGCTTTGAATTATTTCTAAAAGAGTTTAAAAACATTTGAAGAGAATGGAATGAAAAAAGCAGTTGCAGAAGTGAAATAAAAGATAAAATGTGCTAAAGAAATGAAAGAGAAAGGGAAAACACAATTTAATCTTAAAGATAAATAAAGTTTAATGTAAGATTATTGATAATATATATAATCATTATTACCTATTTTTGTTTTTTAATGTAATTTTTCATTTTTTTAATTATTTTTACTCTAATTCCTTATCAAATATTATATTATAACTAAATGAAACTTCTATGTCTTTTAAATGATCACATATATTAGAATGAATAATAAAATCAAATTCAAAAATCATTCATAATTTTATATAAATTTTGATATCAATTTAAGTAGAATAATAATTAAATAGCCAAAATATGAATAGCCAGAAAACATATCAACAGAACTATATATATAGATTTGATTATTAATAAAATATTGTAAAGTGCTGAATTTTTTACACAAAGATATATATTTTGTAATCCAAACAAAGTGGATAACCTATCATTAATTAGATCAATTTAAAGAATTCTTTTAATGTCAGATATTTTGTTAAAAATTATAAAATTATCTGATAAAGTATAATTATAATTGAAAGCTCATTTGAAATATGGAGAGAAGGGAGTCCATCCTTTATAATAATAAGAATATTAAAAGCTTCAGACATTATTGAAATATTAATAATGAGAATAAAAATATGAATAAATATTACATTATTTGAAGATTATTATTAATCTTTATATAATTATCAATAAAATAAAGATCTTTGTTTAAAATTAATCATAAGCTTGGAATATTATTTGAGTAAAGTCTAAAAATATAGCATCATAATATGATGTTGTATATAAATTCTACATATTTTCATTATTCTTGATTCAATGTAAATTATTAAGTGATTGATTAAATTTTATTACATCATATTAATGCTTCGTTCCAGTTCATTCCTAGGAGGATATTCAAGATCACGTAATATATTTTTCCATTAAGAGAATAGTATCTAAAAACAAATTAAGGCCTAGAGTATAGTCTTACAGACATACCAAATTAAGGTATTTGGCATTGTTTTTTGCTTGCATGATCATGATAGGTGATGCTTATTGCTTTGATAATCCCATGGCTTTATAAAGTGAAATAAAGGATTAATATGGGGTGGATCAATTTAAATTCAACCTATTATATACAGTTTATTCATTACCTAATATTATACTCCCATTTTTTGGAGGTGTTTTGATTGATAAAATTGGTGCACGAACAGCCATTTTACTTTTTTCAACAATCATCATGATAGGTCAATTGGTTTGTGTTTGGGGTGCATCAAATTTAAGCTTTTGGACTTTAATAGCTGGAAGAGTAATATTTGGAATGGGATCAGAGAGTTTGAATGTTTCATAGAATTCTATAATGGCTATCTGGTTTAAAGATTAAGAGATGAGTTTAGCAATAGGATTATGCATAAGCATTCCTAAAATTGGTAATGCTTTCAATAGTCTTCTAAGTCCATAAATATATTCTAAATATTAATCTTTAGCTGCTCCTATGATAGTGGGAGTTGGAACACTAATTTTCTCATTTGTAAAGATCATCAAATAACTATCTAGATTTGTGGATTAGCCCTAATTTATATGGACTATAAAAGTGAATAGAGAGAAAAACAAAATCAAATGTTATTGAATAAAAATGATGAAAATCACAGATCTCAATCAGAACTTTCTGCATCTGTCAAATAATCAATTAAAGATGATGATTGTGATTCTCCAGATCTAGGAAGAAGCCCAGAAATATGTATGAATTACTTATATTTTAAGTTGCCACTCCATAGCATTAAGAAGAAGCAGTAGAACATGAAGTTAAAGAAGAAATCAATTTCAAAGATATAGCTAAATTATCTGGCACCTTCTGGATTTTGATTATAATTTGCATGTTGACAGAAGCATTATTTGTACCATTCCTTGATAATGGAAATGAATTATTACAAGAAAGATTTGGTATGACAGCTGAAGAGGCAGGACTATTCTTGATTATACCATACTTGGTTGCATCAGGATCTACTCCCTTTATTGGAAACATGGCTGATAAAGTAATCTAATTTATAATATTATTAAGCTTGGTAGAAGAAGTTTATTAATTATTGTAACATCATTCATTTTTCTTATTACACATATCCTTTTTATTTTCAGAATGTGTACATCAGTTTGTTTTTTAATCACTATCCCATTAACTATTTTGGGTTTGTGCTTTGGATTCTATGCTTCTGTTGTTATTCCTTCAGTTCCATTTGTTGTCAAATCTAATCTTGTTGGAACAGCATTTGGATTAACAGGTGTATTTTAAAACACTGCTTTAGCCTTATTTCCTATGATTACTGGAATGATATTTAATTAATTCAAATATGATGAACATGGAGAAGAAAATGAAGAAAGAGGATATGTCTATTAAAGTTTTTTCTTTATAGGTATGAGTATATTACTTGTAATTATTGCCATTTTATTGATGTTTGTTGATAAAAATGGAGAAAGAAAATTAAGTTAGAGAGGAAGAGGAATGGGAAGGAAAAATAAAGTTGAATATGTAAGTGTGCATGAAGTTACAGATATGCCAGCAGATAAAAAAATTAGCATCAATTATGATAAAGATCATAGAATTTGATATTCAATTATTTATTTTAATAAATAATTTAACTTCAATTTTTAAACTATCAATTAAGTAATAATATTATTCTCAATAGCATTTTAATATTTATTAATAATTTCATATTATTTTCTTTTATTTCATATGTGTTTATTCATTAATGAATTACTCTAATTTCCAGAATAATCTGATTTAAGAAAATCTTACTAAAGATTTTAATTTTGAGAATGATTAATAATATATACTATGGGTTTATTCAACTTAATAAATAATATTTTATTATTTTAAGAATGAGTATTAATAGATTGCATTTTAGTAATTATTTATTCTAAATTTTACTAATCAAAATCTATATCAAAATATATGTTCTCTTTATTTAATTTAAAATATATATATATATATACTTTAATAAAGATTTAATTAAAGTAGTTATTATTGTATTAATATTAATATTTTTGTCATTCATTTTTAAGTAAATAGTTTATAAAAATTAAATTAAAAAACCAGATATATTTTCTTTGAATGAACTGAATCTATAATCAATATTTTATTTATTGAAAATGTATTTTCTTTCAAATATATTGTTTATAATAGAATTTGAATATCAATATTAATTATATTTGAAATTTAGTATAAAGAAGAAAGATTAATAGAGAATACAAGAATATATAAATATATTTATCATTAATTATCAAATCAAAATTGCAAAATTCAATTAACTACTAAGGTGCTACTTGTACTTTTGGTATTTTTTAATTAGGTTTACATGTTTTAATCATAGCTATATCCATAAAATAAATCTAAGTATTTGATAATCCTTACTTTAGACTGAATTCTTTTTCAACAACAATCTATTTTCTACAATTTATTCATCCTAAGTGTCATTATCTTCACTAATATTATTTATATAATCTAAATTCTCTTAAATTGGCTAATGAATAAAAAATATTAAATATACTGGAGGTATGAAAGGTGATTGAATTTCTTTATTTAGTAATTTTACCCATGGAAAATTCTATAACCATGGATGTTGTTTCACTTCATTAGGTCCATTAAATCCCAATCTATTAATAGGTTTACGCTATATTAATTTATTAATGAAATCAGCAGCATCAATTGACCAATCATCAGGCAATTCACTTCTTTTTACTTAGATTTGTCTTGTTAGAATTTGATCCCTAATCTCCTATCTTGTTCTTCCATTATATGGTCTTCTCCCCAACATAAATTCATATGTCATTACTCCCAAAGCAAAATAATCAACAGCAATAGTATGATTCTATCTACACATAACTTCAGGAGCTATTGATATAATTTATTAAGATATAAATACCCATATATCCAGGTGTTCCACTTGTATCTTAGGAATTCTCAGGTTTCCAAATTCTGGCAATTCCTAAATCAGTTAACCTAGCATAACCATTACTATCAAGTACAATATTTTCAGGTTTAACATCTCTATGAATAACATTTGAATTATGTAGATATTCTAATGCCAATATAACACAAGCAATGAAAAATTTAGTTTAATGTTCTTTAAATCTTCTCATACGACCTATATGATATCTGAGATCACCTCCTGTTAAAAGATCCATTACTAAATATAAGTTATCTCTATCTTAAAAACAGAAATTCATATTAATTAGAAAAGGATGTTTGAATTATGCTAATAGATTTCTTTCATTCATAACAGAATTTNTAATAGAATTTGAATATCAATATTAATTATATTTGAAATTTAGTATAAAGAAGAAAGATTAATAGAGAATACAAGAATATATAAATATATTTATCATTAATTATCAAATCAAAATTGCAAAATTCAATTAACTACTAAGGTGCTACTTGTACTTTTGGTATTTTTTAATTAGGTTTACATGTTTTAATCATAGCTATATCCATAAAATAAATCTAAGTATTTGATAATCCTTACTTTAGACTGAATTCTTTTTCAACAACAATCTATTTTCTACAATTTATTCATCCTAAGTGTCATTATCTTCACTAATATTATTTATATAATCTAAATTCTCTTAAATTGGCTAATGAATAAAAAATATTAAATATACTGGAGGTATGAAAGGTGATTGAATTTCTTTATTTAGTAATTTTACCCATGGAAAATTCTATAACCATGGATGTTGTTTCACTTCATTAGGTCCATTAAATCCCAATCTATTAATAGGTTTACGCTATATTAATTTATTAATGAAATCAGCAGCATCAATTGACCAATCATCAGGCAATTCACTTCTTTTTACTTAGATTTGTCTTGTTAGAATTTGATCCCTAATCTCCTATCTTGTTCTTCCATTATATGGTCTTCTCCCCAACATAAATTCATATGTCATTACTCCCAAAGCAAAATAATCAACAGCAATAGTATGATTCTATCTACACATAACTTCAGGAGCTATTGATATAATTTATTAAGATATAAATACCCATATATCCAGGTGTTCCACTTGTATCTTAGGAATTCTCAGGTTTCCAAATTCTGGCAATTCCTAAATCAGTTAACCTAGCATAACCATTACTATCAAGTACAATATTTTCAGGTTTAACATCTCTATGAATAACATTTGAATTATGTAGATATTCTAATGCCAATATAACACAAGCAATGAAAAATTTAGTTTAATGTTCTTTAAATCTTCTCATACGACCTATATGATATCTGAGATCACCTCCTGTTAAAAGATCCATTACTAAATATAAGTTATCTCTATCTTAAAAACAGAAATTCATATTAATTAGAAAAGGATGTTTGAATTATGCTAATAGATTTCTTTCATTCATAACAGAATTTACACTTCTTTTAGCAATTATTTTAGCTTTAGACATTTCTTTCATGGCAAATTATGTTCTACTTTTTTTTAATTCAACTTTCCAGACCCTTCCAAATCCTCCTTTGCCTATAACAAAATGAAAAGCAAAACTAGATTTTGTTACACATATCTATGTATCAATTTATAATTCTTCATCTTCTGGTTCTTCTTTTTATACCTTTTTAATTGGTGGACGTTGTTAAGACTATTATTAAATGGAATCATATTTAACAAGCAAAGAATTAAATATACTCTCAAAATTTTATATATTGGCTTTTATTTTTGTAGTAGAACTTACTTAAGGTATTTTTATATGTGGAACTTCATTTATATTGATTTTTAGGTTGGCGCTAGCAAATTTATTATGATTAGATAATTTTTAAGAAGCCTAACGATTGAGACTTATAGAATCTTCATTTTCAAAAATCTTTTTAGTGTCTATAGTAGATTATTTTGGTGATTTTTGTATTGATAATTACATGGGACTTTTTGATCTTGATCTATTACTATCTTTACTAAAAAAACTAAGCTATGGATTTTTATATGGCAATGCATATTCATTTATATTAACTTACCCAATTCTTATTTTGTTAGGTGTATGTACTGGTGTATGATTTCTTTATTATTTGTCTTCAGCATTCTTTTTTTATGCATATTGTATAAAGTTGCCAACTGCTATAGGGGATTTTCCAATTCGTAATCTATCGGAAGGAAAATTGGAGAAAGGTTTAGAGTATTTTGAAGAAAAGAGTTCCCTTAGATTACGATGGTGGTTAGACATTTATAATTATTTTAATACATCTTCTAAAATTCATATTATTAAAACAAAATGCAAAATTATTATATTATAATGGATAAATCTAATTCAATCATTCATCTTTATAGTTTTATCAATAATTAACATAGTTTTATCTTCTTTAAATTAATGATTTTTCTTTAATGTGAAACTTACTATTAATTCATCTTAAGTATATCCAATAGATTATAATTCATGAGTAATTTTTATTAATTTTTCCATAATTGGTTAATTAGTTATATTTCCATCATTAGCTTTTATTTTGATTGCCAAATTTTTATCCTTTAATTAAGAATTTATTTAAATATCAAGAAAATTCAAACATTTATGTTTGATTGTTTATTTTCTCTATTATTTGATCTAAACTCTTTTATTTTTGTCTAACAAATATTATTCAATAATAGGATTTTCTTGTATCTAAAATAAGGCAAATTGAAGAGCCTTCTATTAAAGAAATTCTTAATCATATCTTTCTCCTGTTGTAATAAATAAATTATAATCTTCAACTAATTCTGGGTAATTGATTTCCATGTAGTTTTTATCCTCAAATACATAATTGTTGTCATATTAAACCAAATAAGTATTTTTATTATCTTCATTTTCTTTAATTATTCTGTTTGGTGTTCTAATATCTACAACAATTTAATTACTTCTTTATCTTTTTTATGACATACTTATTTAATGGATTCATAAATATTCATGTCTTTATTAAAATATTTGATATTTTCCAAAATTCATTCCAAAAATTATACCAAATAGATTAATCAAATTAATAATTTCATTTCATTAAATTTTACAAATAACAATACCAGAAGTTCATCTTATCTTGAAACTTTATTAATTCTAATTAACATCTAATTAATCATACTCTAATAAAAATATATTATTTAATATTAAATAAGAGAATAATAACATATATATATATCACAATAATTAGAATAATTTAAATTAAGCCCTACGTATTAAACGAGGAGGTTTTTTGGATGATTCCAATTCAAAATCAGCTGAAATTTATGAAGCATTTTAGTTTCTAGAACTTTGATTACATCTAGGTGTATTAGATTATGACCGAACTTTCGATTAGAATTATTTAGACTAGAGTTCAATTTCTAAAAATTTTCTCATATTTTAATTTGGAGTAATTAAATCAATGTTTTTTCTTTTATTAAGAGGTGTTAGAGTTCTTGATTAAATATTTCTATTTTGTTAACTATTTTTTCTTTTAAACAATTCTTCTACTTTACCTTTAGTCTTTTGATTTAAAAGGTTTGTATAAACTTTTGATAAAGTATTATTCTTATCAGATGTTTTTAATTAACTGGATTTTAAAATTGATTTAAAAATCTTCTTTCCTTTTGAATAATTGAAGCAAACCTCTGTAGTACCTAAATTAATCTCATATCTTGACCAAGAAACTCTTTTTCTACTATAATTTTAAGATTTTGGTATAGTGGTGGTCATGAATTTATCATCATTTGATTTTTGTACAGAATTTAAGTAAGTATTTTACAAGAGTGCTTCCTCTTAATCCTCTGGTGTTTTATTCCAATTTCTACTTATTACTGTCTCACTCATTTCAACTTTCTCAAAATCAATGAGCTGCTTCAAAAATGATGCTCTAATTTCGAATTCCTTTTTTAATATGTTGATGTATTGGAGAGCTTTAAATAAACTCCATTTAAATCTAATACTATAAATTGAAATGATTACCTAAACATAAGATAACTCACTAGAGCTGTTAGTGATCGACTTTAACCACTTACACAACAAAATAATACACTTTCACCTCTATTTAAGGCTTTTTCAACAAATCCCTAAATTTCTCTTATATTTTCTAGAGTGACTATAATCTAGCTAGAATAAATTTATACTTAAGAATCCTCATCCTTCCAATAATATTTTAATTCCTTTAAATTATCTGGTACTTTAATTTCTCCAGCTGCACAATTAACTACATGAGTTATTTGATTTATTTTCATATATTATTATTCCTACCATAGATAATATAATAAACTTCTAAAGGGACATAATTTCCAATAAATATGCCATCTAAAATCCTGGATGCAATTATATTACTAAATTGCCTAAAATTAAGTGAACTATTTAACATTAATTAATGTTTAATAATGATCTTAATTTAAATAATTGAATTAAGCTACAATTTAGGTCTACTAAGATAATTTATAAGATTCAATTAAAGATGATACTAAAAAAAATTCAACATGTATTTATAATTGATATCAAGTGAAGGTTTTCATTTTACTAATTATAATAAACCTGCTTTCTAAGATTGCTTCAATTTCTCATTCTTGAATCTTCATTTTATTGAATTTAATATTTTTCAATCTTTCTATAGAATAATATTCTTGGTTCCAACTCTAGCTGTAGACATCGATGCATCTTTATAATTTAAGACAAACTTACTCAATTTATATTTTCGTATTCCAAGCTAAGAATGTTAAAAGTCTTTATCTATATGAGATGATTTACAACTGTCATAAATATTACAAAAAATTAATAAATAATGCTAAAATAATGAGACAACTTTGTCCTTGATCGATCTATTATTATTATATTTTCGAATTTTTTAAGATCTGTATAATAGAACTAAAAAGAGTTGATCCACATTCTTATAAAAATGATTTGATAATCTGCAATCTACTACTAGGTTTTTAATATAATATCTAAAATATATTGATTAAGTCATTATTATTTATTTTTAATTTTCTTATTTTTTTTGTGGATTCCAATTAAAACCGCATAAGAGAAATGTGATATTTTAATAAATTCACTTGAAATGTTATATATAATAATAGTAATGTCAGCATAGTTCATTTAAATTTATTATTACATCTTTGAGATTTAATTTGATAGAATGATTAAATGAATATTCATTTTATTTATTACTAAGAAGAATCTTAACTCTTTAAAATAGTTTTTGGGAAATTGAACATTTAATGAGTCTTCTGAGATTTTTTTATACCCTTCCATATTTATTTAATATATCTCTTCAGCATCATAAATATTAGTATAATATATTATTTAATAATAAAATATTAATGATTTCAAAATTTTTATTAACGATTACTTTATGCTTCCTTTATATCTGTAATCATAGGCCTTGTAATAAGAGTACTAGGATTAAGTTATTTAATATTTTTCGAGACTAATAATTATTAAATAAGAATACTATCGGATTTCTTATGTTGTATTTCCTTCATAATTTATATGATTTCAGTATTTGGATCCATTCCATTTTTTCTTGATTAAATAAATTTTAGATACTTTTCAGATCTTCTTCCTAAATCAGAGCGATGAGATTCTTCTGATTTGAGTAAGTCTGATTACTTTCTCGAATTTTATTAATTCATAAAACCGAAAAGTCTAGTTTATATTTCAGTTAATTACTATTTAGACTTTTTTTTATCTCTTTTGGGAGATAATTATCTGAAACAACTATTTGCATCTTTGAGTCGTTATTCTCCCAATGAAAATAATAAACTACCATAAGACTTAGAACTATCTTGTTGAAGATTATTTAATTTATCATTTAAGGCTTATTTGAATTTTTAGGTAGCTCTACCATCAGGAGATGATATGGAGTATGATTCTTTTCTCAGAATTCTATTAATTATATTAGAATAATTGATGGTATCAGATTTCATTGACATTAATTCTCCTACAGATGTAGAATTCTTAGTGCTTAAGAAATAGAAAAGAATTTTACTGTATTTTTTAGATTTAAATATCTTCTTAAAATTATTGTGCATTTTTTTAAATCTTTTAATTTAATTATTTTTATTAAATAATTTATGCACATTTAGACAAAGGAGATATCATAGCAGATCTATATTATATTACAATTATTACAAATTCACAATGTTTTTGCCTTCAATTGGATAGTTTGTTGTGATATTTAAAGGTTATTTTTATAGAGTCAATAAACTTGTTCTGCTATCTTTACTAAATGATTATGCTCTATTCTCTGATTATGGTTAAGGAGAATGATTTTGATGATTAATTTTGTCTGTAAAGATATTATTATTAGTCAATTACAAAATCTTTGAAGTTTCTAATAATTCAATCTAAATTTTTTATGATAAAAATATACATTATTTTATAATAATATTATCTCATATTAGAGACGAGCATTTTATTAACATTTTTAATTTAATTTTTCTATTAAGTATTAAATCTTTTCATTATTAGACATCTTTATTGGCATAGATTCCATAAAATTACAAGTTTCAAGTTTTGTATTTTTATCTACACTATATCTTTTTGATAATATATCTATTTTAGATTATAAAATTAATTTATCAGAATTCAATGTCTATGTATTTTACTTTTATTCAATTAGTTATTATTCTAAATATTAATTTTAATTCATTAATTATTTTATTTACTACTAATATTCTAATTACATTTAAGTTTTTTCTTTATTAATTTAAGTCACTTATTTTCTTAAATCTTCTTCTATATTATTCTTATTTTCTTATATTGATTGATTTTTTAAAACTGTCTATTCAGAATTACTTTGATTTTTATTGTTATTCTAAATATCCTAATTAACACAAAGCTATTTCTTTACTATATGATATTTAAAAAGAATCATTTACAATTGTTCAACCCACTTCCTTTAGATGGAAAGCAGAATTTAGTTGTATTTTTATTTTATGGAGCTGGAGGTTCTGCCATTGTATCTTTTTAACTTTAATATGTATCTACTCTCTAATTAGTCGATTCTGATATTATGCTTTGAGGATTAAATTCAATAAATTGCATATATGTTATTTATTCATTTTCTTAGCTTTATACACTTTTAATTTTTGATTTGCTCTTTTATTCAAGAGAATCAATAGATTATTATAATTCTGATGATCTTGATTCATGTGTTTATTGACAATCTATACGAATCAATTATGAATTATTTGTTTGTGATTATTTAGAGAAATTTATGTCTTGATTGTCTTAATCAGGAATATTACTACAAAACTCTTCAAAAGTGTCTAATTCTGGAATCTGTTGTAAGTATTGTAATACTTACTTCATTCTCCATTATTATTTCCTATTGGATACATTATAAATTGCATGGAACTCGTTATTTATATGAAGGTTACATGTACTTTTTTAATTTAAATTTTTATAATTTTTTGAATAATTAAAACAAATATATTTTAGTATATTAAAAATACAAATAAACAATGAATCATTAACACTTACTGCAATGGAATTCGTTTTGAAGGTATTTGCCATTTTTTATACCTACACATTCGAAATGGTACCAATTCTTACATGAATCACACTTAAAATGATATTATGATATACTTGTATATATTGTCTATCGGGATTCACCGGTTAAGAGCAAAAGCAAAATTATTAGACTGAATCCATATTACCAAATTATTTTTTCTAAAGATCCCATTCTAATCTATTAAAATAAATAGTGGATTCTATTTCATCTAACTCTTAATATTCATTGCAGCTCAATATTTTACAGCTAGCAATTATACTCTAGGCTAAAATATACTCTTAATGGTTAGTTAAAAATAATTCTTGTTCAGAAATCCATTCTGAACATTTTGGCTTAGATTTGATGATCTCACTTTTTCTCATATACCATTAAATTTTACACAAACATATCAATTTCGTTGTTGTTGGCTCTTTTATTGATATAATTTATTTTAAGGTTCCAACATAATCCTCATCATGTTGATCTCCACTATTAATTAAAACTGAATCCCCAACACTCAATACTTACCCTTGAACCTTAATTGTGTCATATTCTTCATATAACCCTTTAGTTTATGATCCAACTTTGACTAATGTTTTCCATGCCTTTTATTAGTAAAGTTCCCTAATTGTCTATCGTTTCTATAATCTCTTATGGATTTGTTTTTTTATCGTTGCAGAACTCTCTGGGGACTATCTTTTCATTAATTTACTATAGTCTGCCACTTAGTTACCTTACTAAGATTTAATCATATTTTATTTAAATTTCTACAAATGCGTAAATTTCTCATTTCGCTTTATAATAATTTAAGCAAAATTAATCACTCTATATATATAATATTCATATTGTCAATTTTATAGCCCAAGTGTTAAATTAAATTAATAAATTTCCCACGAAATGGAAGTATATATTACATTAATTATCTATTTTATAAATAAGTATAATAAAATTCATTCATTTTTCAAATTGAAGTAAATTATTAGAAAATGCTTCTGTTATTTAAAATAGAAATTTTCATAATAGCTATATAAAATTTTACTAATAAATATTATAGTATAATAGTTAATATCGGAATAAACAATGTTTTTATATGGATTATATTAATATATTTATATATTACATTAATATATAAATACTTAGTTCTAAAAATAAATCCATTAAATTGAAAAGAACTTTATTCATTGTAACTTGTTTATTTACTTTGATTCTATTATGAAGAATTCATAAAATACAAACAATGTAATTATAATCCATTCTTTAATTTTCAATACTCTTGATTATTTTTGAATAAGTATTTAATACTTTATTTTTATTTATCTAAGCTAAATTCAACTAAAATTATGATTAGGTTTGCATTTTAACTAAATCTGAAATCTTTGCTATATTTAGATTCTTATTAATATAATTATAAAGTAAAATTAATTGTTTTTATATTTTTAATTAGTATTATATTAATAATAAATATTTATATAATATTAATAAAAAAAATATATATTTATGAATATTTAATAGTTTCCCTAATAGAATTTGATAAATCTACCTAATCATTAAATGACTATCATTCTCTAAAATATAAAAGGTGCTGGAGCTTCAGGTGCTGTCTATTAAGGCTTTATAAAAAATAATAATTAATAAGTTGCTATAAAAATAGTTTAAGAGTTAAGTGATAGAGAGAGTTAAATATTACAATAGATACAAATATAAAAAAAGAAACATATTATAATTATATACGCAATAGAAAATTTTAAAAATTAAGTTATTGTTGCAATGGAATTGGCAGAAATGGATTTTTACTAATTTATGAAAACAAATCAATTTAAAACATCTGATGCAAATGAGAGAAATTAATTATATTTATAAGTATCAATATAATTTATCTTAGATGCTATTAGGAGTTTAAGAATTTCATAATTTAGGTTACTTACATAGGGACTTAAAACCAGAAAATTTTGTGTGTTGTCGTGATTAAAACTAAAATTTAATCATTAAATTAATTGATTTTGGCATCTCTAAAATTCAATTAAATTATGGGGGTCAAACCATGAAAATAGGAACACCTTATTATATGTCTCGTGAAATCATCAATAATGAAAGTTATACTAAGGCTATTGATGTTTGGGCAATGGGACTTATTTGGTATGAAGTCCTTACAGAATCAACATTTTTTAAAGGTATAAATTATTTTTAATCTAGGTAATAATTAATTATAAATCATTAATCAGATCTGTTCAATTCAATAATCTCAAATTGATTAAAAAATCGATGCCCTCACTATGATTTAAAATAAATATAAAACAATTATGAAGGGAATGATTTGCATTGATTAGCATAAAAGAATTTCTATAGATGATGCAATATATAAAATAAATGAATTTTTTTAGGAATAAAAAATAGAAAAAATTTAAGTAGATTTAAAAATATAATATGAAGAAAAAGAAAAATTAATCAAATTAGAAAATGAAAGGAAAATTGAAGAAATTCAGAATAAATTAAAATTAGAATTGGAAAATGAATTTGAATTATAAAAAGAGTAACTCAAATTTGAATACAATTAAAAAATTTAATAGAAGGAAATTGAATTAAAATAAATTAATGAGTAAAAACCTCTTATAGAATAAAATCAGCAAAATTTAGAGGAATAAAAATTGAAATAGGAATTATAATATTAAATTGAAATGAATGAATACAAAAAAAATTGTAAATTAGATTATGAATAAAAAATTGAATAAATTTAACTTTAATAGAGAGAGATATTTGAGAAAAATAAATATATTGAAGAATAAGAAATTTAAAAAAAAATAAAAGAAGAACTCACTAAATTATACTAAATAGAATTGAATAAGAAATTATAAGAATAATAATTAGAAGCTGAAAATTATTAGAAAAAAGAATAATATCATATTAAAAAGCAAAATTATATTTATATAATTAATCTATTAAAAGAATCTATTTAAAATGCTATATTCGATATTAATTAAAAAAAATAAAATATAAATGATTTATAAATAGAGAATTAAGATAAATATTCTATATTAAACTCAATTTAAAAATTTATAAAAGATAAGGAAGAAAAATTAAGTGAAATTAATGAAGATGAAAATATTTTTTTTACTTTAGATGAAAGTTTAAATTTTTCTAAGTTTGTAGAATTTGAAGTAAAATATAAAAATTAACTTCAAATTCATATTGAGGAAAAAAATATGATCGATCAAGAAATTAATAAATTTATGGTTGGTTAATTTAAAAGATAAGAATAAATAGTCAGAGAGGATAAAAAAAGGTAAGAGGAACTTTAAAATCAATAAGAAATGAAAAACTTAAATTAACATTAATAAATATTAAAAAATCAATATAATGAATTCTAAATATAAATTGAAAATATTAAGACAATATGTGAAAATTATTCTAATTATGATCAAAACATAAGTAATCATTTTATAAGATTAAAACAAAATTCTAATCAAATAGCTTTAAGCTTTAACGAAGTTAAATAGTATTATTAATCTTTAGAAAATAATGTTACTTAAGACTATATTAATCTTATAAAATTAAAATTATAAGAAATACATAATTAATAATAAAGATTGCAAGAGAATATTATTTAAGTCAACTAATCTATTTCCACTTATGAATAATAGTTACAAGAACAAATGCATTCTTATTTGACATATATTTAATATAAAACATAAGAAATATAATTCAAAATCGATAATATCATAAACAATAATTATGAAAATAATGATATGATCTTAAATTAGTTTTAAGAGAAATAAAAGTTAATGGAAGTATATATTTAAAAACTAAATAAATTAATTTCAATAAAAATTTGTGATTCAATCAATGAGTTTATGTAAATTAAGTAAAGTTATGCAAAAGAAGAAAAAATAATAACAGATTTATCAGAAAAATTATAATAAAAATAATTTAGTGTGACTAAAATAAAAATAATGACATAAAAATACTAAGAATTCTATTTAGATGTAATAAGCTGTTCAAACTAATATAAATAATCAATAGAATAACTCTAATCTTAATTAAATTAAATTAAATAGAAAAGCTAAAAATTGGAAAATTAATAAATTATGTTCTTATTAAAAAAAAAATAAGATGAAATTAATGAATTGATGAAAGAAGCTTAAGATAGATTCGATGGTTTATTAAATAGGCATAATTAAAATTTAGAATCTTAATTAATGCTGAATAACCTAAAAGAGGAATATAAATAAATTTAGACTGAATTTGAAGAAAAAAAATAGGAATAAATGAAATATATAATAGAATTAAATAATATATTTCGTTCAGAATATAAATCTGAAGCAGATTAAAAATTAAAAAAGTTGTATTGTGATTTCACTCTCTTAAATTAAGAGTTTGATCAAAAATAAATTGAATTAAAAAATTTAGATATTCAAAATTATAGCTATAAAGAAATTATGGATTAACATTAAATAAAAAAAGAAGAACTTCAAAAATAAATAAAAATGATTGAGTCTTTAGAGAAAAAATTCAAAGAAAATTAAGACGTAACTAATGATTTGCTGAATCAGACAGAACTAAATACTAATTTTTATGAACAATAATAAAAACTTATATCTCTTTTGAACGATTCCAAATAGAAGAGTGAGCAAAATTTTAAAAAGTTATAATAAATAAAGGGTATAATCAATAAAAAATAAGAAAAAATCAAATTTTTTAATTTGTAAAATGAAAATTCAACCTAAGAAAAATGGATATAAACATATAATATTGTAGTTTAATTAAATTAAGAATTGCTAAATTATAAATAATAAATTTAAGGGGCTCAAAATAATAATTATGATTAATTAGATTTTTTAGATCAATAATTTTAAAATTTAAAGAATAAGGTCTAAGAGATGTTTAATTAATTACCTTAAAAAAATGATATTTTACAATTTAAAAAAAAATTTGAAATAAATAATGAATCTTTTTATAATACATGTTCACTTATCATATTGCTTAAAGGTTATAACATAAAAAGGTATATTTTAAGACTGAAAGAGTTCTAAGAAACATAAAAATAAAAATAATAAAAATAAATTAATAAACTTAATGAATAGATAAAGAACGAATAACAAAATTCTGAAAATATTAAATAATATGAAATGGAACGACAAAAGATTTAATAAAAGAAAATAATTTTTACAGATAAAGTTAAATTCTATGAATTTGAAGTTGAGGAAATTGTTAAAAAATATGAACTTTAATTAGAAAGGAAAGACTTGATTATCAAGAATAAGGAATATAATAATGATGAAAATAAATTAGATAAATATATAGAAGACATAAGAAATCACATTATTACACCAAATACTGTTAAAATGAAATCAAATATCAAGGATTAAAAATTTAATAAAGATTTTTGTAATAAATTTTTAGATGAATTAGAATTCTGTAAAATTATAGGATTAAAAGAAATACTTTAAATTGTTAAATAATGATTAATCTTAAATATTTTTTTCAAATAAATATAATGTATAAATATTTTATTCTTAATATATTTACTTTATTTCTAATAAATCTCAATTTAATAAAAGAATTTAAGAAATAAGAGTGAGAATTACTTTATGAATTACATTTTAATATTTAATCTCACATTATTTATAAGTACTATTTTATAATATACTTCTAAATCAATCTCATTAATTTTAGGTAATTTAATATAATTAATAATTCTTCCTGTAATAATATTTAATTAGTTTTCTAAAATTATAATCATAATCTAATCAGCACTTAAAAAATTTATTATCTTATTTATTTAATAATTTATGATTAAAATAAAACCTAATGGAGAGCTGTTAAATTATTAATTCTTATAGGTAATGTTTTATTACCATTTTCAAGGTTCCTTAATGCAACTTTTGTTCAACTTATATTAGTAATCTTAGTATAATCAAAAAGGATCAATGGCAATGCTAAATTTGTAAAAGATTGTTAAAGCTACCAGTTTGGTATAAGCAATAACCTATCTTATATGATAACTTTGAAATTGCTTTAACACAGCCATCTTTTAATAGAAGAGCTCTATTTTTGATTGATGTGACTTCTCAAGTTTTATGTCGAATGATTATTCCTTTAATTGAGTAATCTCTTAATCAATTTGATGAAGTATTATAAATAGTTATAAATCAAGATTGCCTTAATCCCTTGTACTCCATATCCTACTATTCTACAATTTGTTAATAATAAAATCAGAATGATAACACTTACATCATAAGATTAAGAATGCAAATTAGATCTTTTCTTAAATTGTTCAACAGAATTCTAAAAAATTAGATAACTCTGTAGAATCATTGAAAGTCTCTCATAATATAATCAAAATGCTAATGTTTTAAAATCTAATTATCCTATTGAATTAGCTTAATCATTTATAAATAGATTGCTAGAATATTAATCAATTAAAATTATTCATTTTACTTGGATAAATTAATTCATTAAACCAGAAATTAAATCTCAAACAGATATAAAAATAGGAAAGAACCATTATCATTTATTCATAATTCAATAATCTTGCAATGTTTAGGATTATTATAATGAAATTTCTCGAAATTTACATGGAAAATGTAATGTTTACAATGATGATGATTGTAAAATTTTATATAATATTTAGTGGACACATTTTACAATGAAGTTGATGCCTTTTTCTAAAGTTCATTTTGTTGGGAAGCTTAAATTCAAATCAATTTACCTCAAGGTTGGAAGATTCAGAAATTTTAAAATCTAAATACCGATTCTAACTAATTCTATTTACCCTATCTTACAAATTAAGATGAAATATAAATTGAATTCATTTAAGAAGTTAAATAAAAACCAAAAGATAATTTAGTTTAAACTATAATTTCATATAAATCAAAGACATAAAAACACATCTGTGTTGCAAATGAAAACATTTTAGAATGATTATTTTTTATAGTTAAATGCTTAAATCAATGTAAATTTTAAATGGTTATTATATTAATCTCTTTCCAATCATAAATTAATGATGATATTCATATACTCTTAACATAACATTAACAACAATATCTCTAAAGAGTTTCAACATATTTAACAGTAACTGATATATTAGATCAAAGAGCGTGAATTTCTACTTCACCAAACATTTTCAAAAGATTTTAGAAACTAAACTAGATGATCTTGACTTTTCAGAAACATCTAATTAAAATATTTTGCCTTTAGGATCTTTTGATCTATATTTTTGATGTTTATTAAGAGTAATATTAAAAATAAATTTGCTTTCTTAATTAATTAATTATTTACTATATAAATAAATATATCTAATCTTTTATTATTTGAATATGGAAGTTTGAAGAATAGAAAATGAAATGGTAATAAGATTATACATTCATAAATGAATAACTTCATATTATTTCTAGGTTTTAATCTTATTAGCTAATTGCTTGGCTCTATTATATTAAACAATTGGGCATAAATTTTTTGTTATATCTTTCTAAAATTATATAAGCATATATATAAAATACAATTTTAATATTAAATTTAGACAATTTAATTGGTTGTTCCAATTCTTCATTTATTAAAGTTTATATATTGGAAATCTGTTTTTCTATTTCCTTTTTGGAAGCTTCAGTTGATATTGTTTATACTTTTTAGATTAGGTATTCATTTTGTTAAGGTTGATTATTTTATAATTATATTTATGATTATTATTGAACCTTTTTAGTTCTGAGCAAATCTTACAAATTTATAAAGTATTTTTGTTTAAGTGTTTTATGATTGAACTAATAAAAATAACATGAATTATGATGTTTACTATTTATAAAACTGGGATCCTCAATAAAGTTCTATGAAGAGAGAATAAATATAAAAACATACATCTAAGATTATTTTTTACTTAGTTATTCTAATTTATAAGACTCTAACATTCAATTAATTATATCCCTTTGACAAATACCTTATCTTTGAATTTATCTGGGAATATGAAATAATATGTTACTTATATAAAATGTAATAAATCTTCATCTTCTAGAAAGGATGAAATCAAGAAAACCAATGAATCAAGATCAAGAACTCTTTATGGATTAGTCAAAGGAGCTATAGTATTGCCATAAGCAATTTGATTGAAATAATGTTGTATTATAGAGTTCATTATTTATATATAAATGAAAATGTTTTCAATTCTTAACTAATAATTTATCCTAAATTAGATTTTTATAATTATTTTATTTCATCATGAACATTTTTCAATATGCCATCTAGGACTCTATCTTATTTCTATTATTACAATTATTGCCAACCTTTACATAAGATCAACAAAATTTAAGAGATATTAAGATAATTTTACTTCCATTCCTTAAACAGTTCCATCAATATTTTACAAGTACTAGTTTAAATGTCTCTTAACTATTTATTTCTTTATAATTTTAATTATTCTTGTATTTCAATTTACCTTTCAATTTATAATACAATGATGTCATCATTCTCTTAACAAATATGAATCAATTATTTAGATAGATTTGTTAATTCTTACATAATAATTTATGAATAATCTTTATGAGGTTCTCCCTTTATGTTTGATTCGAAAATAAAAGTTTATGATGATTTCATATCATGTATATCAGATACCAATCGATGTAATAATTAACATAAGAGAATAGAATTAGATTCTAATTTACTTGTTGTATGCTATATTCCATCTTCAATAATTAATTCAAATTAATTAATTGGTAATTTGAGATCAGTTATAAATTTGTTCAATGATATAAATATATCATCTTATTAATTATAAGAATAGTAAACAATTACTAAGAAATCCTTAAGTTTTTGCCACAACATTTAAATTTTGAAATTTCCACTTTAACATTAAAACTATTATTATAATAATTTAATTTACATTATTAATGAAATCTAGAGTATTATTTGAATAACCTTAATTCAATAATTAATCCAATAAACAACAAATATCATCAAGTTCATAATTAGGTTATGATTTTTTAAAATCAGAACTGAAATTAGTTTATCTTTGATCAATTCTATAAGAATTCTTGCAACTAATACTTTCTCTTGGAATATAGGTGGAATATCTATTTGCAATAAAATGATTCTTTAAACTTACACTCCCTTCTTATGTTCTTGTTGTAACAGTATTACTAAAGTTTGTATTACAATTATAAGATTTTCTAAGTGTTTCATTTTCACCTTAGATTCTTTCTAAATCTTATAAGGATTTAGCAAATAATTAAGTAAGAGATGCTATTTATTGATTCATTTCTTCAATCTAATTTGATTATTATATAATTTTGCTATTCATCTACTAACTCAATTCTAATAATTCCAATCTTTGAACTTTAATATCATTATATTCTTTCTTCTATAATTCTAATTCTTAAATTTAATTTTGCATATTTTAAATCTTGATATTTTAATTATTTTAAAGACTCATATTAAATTTTTGGCTTGTCTAATTGAATTCCATTAGTAGATCAATTAATTTATCTAAATCATTCACATTATTAAATTCAGTATTTAGAGTTTTGGCTAAATGAATAATGTTATTAAGTTCAAGTGAATTGGAATTATTTTGAAGTATGTATTGAAAAGCAATTTTGTATTTTGAAACTCTTATTTCTAATTGTTAAAGTGCATCAGTATATAATTTGATATCAGAATGATATTGTTATTTATAGGCATCCATTTGGGAACATACAAAATCAATTGTTTCTTATAATTATTGACATTTATTCAAACTTTAATTTTACATTTTCTACCATAAATTATATAATTCTTATTCTCTCTCCATTTATTTATCTAAAAATTCTTTCATACATTATTCTTTGAAATAAATTAGAAATTCCTATTCATCAAGAAAATATTCATTCTATCTTATTTTTTTTATGCTGCTGTAACAATTACCTTGATTATCATTTTCTTTATCTGTCAATAATAGTTTTCTTTTAACTTGTTTATTCATGGCTAATTAATAAAAATATGGTATAATACATTAAGTCCTTGTAATTTGAGGAGAAAGAGAAGGTGCTTTGATAGGTGAAAACAAATCTAATTGTTCTATATATACATTTTTCATTGATTTATTTAGAAATGAAATTTGAGTATTTTGTTACTACAACTATTCATTTAACTAATTGATTTATTTTTATAGATCGAAATTGCTAAAAAATAAATAGAATAGAGTATTACTTTGCTAATTCTTAATCTAATTTATTTTGTGTTTGCAATTACAAATTATTTATCTAATCTAACAACTTTTCTTATTCAAGAACACGTTGATTTACTTAAAATTCAAATGTATCAATTAATAGAATGAATTCATCTTTCAAATTATCTTGAATCTACTCTATGAATTGTTAATAAAGCTCATTTTCTTTTAAATTCAATTTGTAGTTGTTAAACATATATTTATTTTATTCAGTTATTAATTAGTGTGATTACTATGAATTTATATATTTAAGTTTTTTGAGTGTTTTTATTACCTAATAAAAGCATCATATTATTGTTTATTCAGCTGTTATCTATAGATTTCAACTTGATTCTAGAATGGCATTATGATTAATTATTAACTATTATTTAAAACATTGAATTTAGTGATTCATTACTGGATATAATAAAAATTCAGTAATTTAAATTTGATAATATGTTAAATGAATGAGATATGAATTCTTTCAATTATTTTACACAATATTATTATATTAATAAAAAGTAATAAAAAATAAATGTAAGTGATCTATCAGATGATTTGTATAAGAAAGCACATTTTGAAAAGTAAAACATATTATTTAGAAGTACATGATGATTAAATGATATTAAGTGAAGTAATTAAATTTTAATTAACTATTAAGCATAAAAATATGTCTAATGCAAAGTATATAATAAAATATACATGGGAAACAAGGGTTATGTGGAAAGCATCTGACAATGAACAATTATGTTCATTTGGAATTTATTATAACAATAGAATTAAATGGTTTGATTCTGATCATAATTCATTAAATTTACTTAAAATACACTTATCAGGAAAAGTATTTTTTGGAAATATTTCTATATTTTATGATTCAAATTAAATATTAGGTTAGGGAGCATCATCTAAAGTTTGTTTAGTTAAATGTAAAAAGAGTATATCATAATATGCTGCAAAATGTATTTCTAAGAAATATTTGTTATAAAAGAAATCAAACGATAGAATTGTATGAAATCATTCTTAATTTTTAGTATAGATTACAATAAGAAATTGAAATCCTTTAAAGAATAGATCACCCTAGTTTTGTCAAATTATAAGAGATCTATTAAGGAGAGAACTCATATTATATTGTAACAGATTATTTGGAAGGAGACACTCTCTATAATTATATTAAGTCTTATCCAGATGATCAATTACCTTCATATAAAATAAGGGAAGCCATTAAAGTAATTTATATTATAATAATAACTAAGATAATAATAACAGCCTTGAATTACTTAGCTTCAAAGAACATTATTCATAGAGATATAAAATTAGAAAATATATTATTACAAAAGCCAAATGATATTACATCTTTAAAATTAATTGATTTTGGATTAGCTATATACAAATAACCTCTCTAAAAATTAACTATTTGTGGAACACCTGGATATATAGCACCTGAAATCCTAAAACATACTAATAAAGAGGAATATTTCACTGAAAAATGTGATATCTTCAGTGCAGGTGTTATCTTCTATAAATTGTAATCAATATTATATATATCAATAGGTTAACAAAGAAAACTTTATTTAGAGCTTAAAATACATAAGAAATTATGGAACAAAATAAATAATGTTAAATTAATTTTTAAGAATTTGAATTCAAAATATAAAAAGAAGCATTGAATTTATTGAAAGTTATGCTTGATCCAAATCCTAATACTAGATATTCTGCATAATAATGTTTGGATCACCCTTATTTTAGTTGCAAATTAGAAAATATCAATATTTTATAAGAAATCTTAGATAAAGCAACAGGATTCTCAGGAATTACTCAAATTAGTATTAATGTCTTATTAATTATAGTTGATTAAAAGAATACAAATTCTATTGGATAAGAAAGTCAAGCTGCTTAAATTAAAAGATGCAATCCAACATCTTATAAAATTAGAATGGAATTACGAAAAAGAACTAAAAGTCCTAGAAAATATGCTGATTTCTAATTCTACTATCCATCTTTTTGTTAAATGAATTCTTATGAAAGTCTTAGTAGTAAGGGATCATCTAATAATATATCCCAATTTGAAAATTTTATAAATGATAAACTTGATTCAGTCATTGAAGAAGATGAGAAGCAATAAATACATAAAATTTGATATACTTACTATTTTATATTATCTTTATCATAGAATTTTATTAATTTTTTTATAATTATTTTATTGTTTCTATATGAAACACCTCAATAAAATATAATTTTGGACAGGTAATTGTATTAATTATGAGAATATTAAAATTATAAGAAATTCTTTAATAAAAAGTATCAGTTTATAATAATAATCAATAACGACGGGGTTCATGGTTGGAATATTAAGCACAAAGAATTATTAGACAAAATTCAAAGGATTTTTTAAAAAAATATAAAATCTTGTCTTCAAATGAATAGCAATCAAGACTTAAAAGAAGAGTGTATTGAATAGATTTAAGAATCTGAAAACTAACAGAAACTCTTAGAAGAACCTCATTACATAGATGATGATGATCAAGTATAATATTTAATTATCTTAGTAAGGTGATCAATACTCAGAAGAAGACTAAGTTCCTGTCTATTCTCCTTATCAATTATCTTTATATAAGAAACCAATCCCTAGAACTTTAGATGAATTTCATTTAGACGAAGATCCAAAAAAGAAGGTTTGTATTGAAGAATGCTCAACCACTGAATAATCACAAGACCATCATGCTATGGGTGACTTAGAAATATTAGCAGCAATGCTATAAAAAGAAAATTAGAAAAAATTCTCATATCCAAAAAATCTTCCAATTCCAACTAATGTAGATGAACATTTCTCTAACTTAAAAATGAGATTTCATCCTTCCTAAAAATAAGAAGAATTTATTTCATCTTATATTAAATCTGATGATATCATGAGAATCAAAATTGGATTATGTGATGAAATTCTTAATGATGATGAAACACAAAAATTTGAGGATTGGGTAGAATAATTGTGTACAGCTACAAATCATGAATCATTAAAAGAAATGGCTAGAAAATAGAAAGTAGCTAGATATCTAGAGAAAAAACATAGTCGAACATACGAAAAGAAAGTTCACTATCATGTAAGATAAAAAGTTGCTGAAGAACGATTAAGAGTCAAAGGCAGATTTGTTACATGGACATAAGTATTCAATTGAATTTTATAATTAGGCTTTAAAAATGTTGAATCAATAATAAGACTCAATAAAATCATGGACCTATAATGATTACTTTAAAATTAAAAATTTACTAAATGAGAAATTTGGAGCCATTAGAAGTGAAAGATCACTAAAGTTATGATTCTTAAACTTTTGTATTTAAAATTTGTGTATTCTTTAATACATCTTATATTAAAATAATATATATTTAAAATATCAATAAATTTATACACTTTAATTATGTTATCTAACAAAGTGAGACACCTATAATTAGACATCATCAGTATTTTATTATTTCTTAAATATTTTAGGTAATTTTAATTATTAAATTAATGATATTTTTGAATCCAAATTCTTTTAAGTAGGTGTTTTTAAGTTTATAGAAGAATATTAATGTTAAAATTATTATTATAATACCTTAGCCTTTCTACTCTATTGAATTTCAATGAGTGGACATTCAATTGTTAATTATAAAGACTTCTCTTTTGAATGTTATGTTATAAATTCATAATAAGATTAAATATTTGTAGGTTTATGTTATATTTTTCCTAGAATTTCTTTTTATAATTTTTATTAAGAATTTTTATAAGAGTTTCTCTCTGAATTCTTTTATGGTAAAGTTAATTTTTATTTTTGAGACAATCTATTATTTGTAGTCAAACTAATTTTTTCAGTTCCATCATCATCATCATCTTAAGTTTTAATATAATGTGGTGAAGTTATGGAATTGAAATAAAATTCTTCATTAAATTATACTGATCTTTATTATCCAAGAAAGATGTCTTTAGATATTTTTTTATTTTGATCTAATTTAGCAATCAATTTATTTAGTTCATTTAATGTCTCACCATGACAACAATATAATTTAAACCTCTTATAAAATTATAACTAATATACATCTGCAGGTAAAAATAACATCTTTGATTTTTCAGTTAAACATACAGCCTTTGATTATCTATGTTCATGATTTTGAACTATTTCTAAATAACCAAATAATTAACCATATCCACATCTATTTAATTTTAATTGAATATTTTTAGTGCCTTAATAAAATAATATAATTTTTATACTTAAAGATCTATTCATTCTTTTTACTAATTAATTTTCATTTAAATTATCGTTTTTTGCATTTTGAGTTATTTCTACTTATCCATCTAATACAAAATAAACTCCTCTTAAAAAATATTATGTAAATTTACTTGACAATTTCACCTTCTTTATAAATCTAGGTATTATAACAAAATTCAATAGGTTATAGATGATATTGCATTTAGTTTAATTCAGAATCATTCCAATCATTAAATATAGAAATTGATTTCAAGAACTCAAAATTCTTTTATTGTATTCTACTATAATATTCAGCTAAGATTATATTTATTAATAATGATACATAAAAATTTATTAAAAGCTTCTCTTGATAAAGTAATAAATTATGAATCTTCTTTACATACAATTGTTGCTTATCTGGGAATAAAATTTGTAAGTGCAATTTCACCAAAACTACCTCCTTAAGCAATCTAACCTACCTTCATCATATTTGGATATTTTGATAATAACATATTTTCATCATCTAAATCTGTGAATTCAAATTCATCCTAAATAATTAAATTTATAATACTTAAAAAGTCCCCTCATCATATTCAACTTTCTTATCCTCTTTTGTAAATCCTCCACTCTATAAACCTGATTTACCTACCAATACCTAATTATATTATTATACTTTAATACCCAAACTGATCCACTTAAAATGATATAAAAATTCTTACCAATATCTCCTAATCGAAATAATGTTCTTCTTGCTGGTACTGCTATATATTATAATTCCTAAATTTTATTATAGATATTATACTCTAAATAAATTTAACATCTCATCTTAACTTGTTGTCTTACTCATTTCTTAAAAATATTTAATTGATGAAAATGCCATTGATAACAATTACAATTCATTAGATGTTCTTTGTTTTTTAGGTTTTTCCAAAATATCAATTATTACCTTAAGATTTATATTTCTTATATATACTTAAAAATGATCCTTGTTTTATAGATCTATATATTCTTTGGCCAATATTTCTTTAACCTATTATTAAAGATGAAGTTATTATTTTATTTTTTCAATGTTTGATAATTAATGACTCATTTATTTTATATAAATTATGTTAGTTCCCCTTAGAATAATTTATATATATATTATATATTAATTAATTAAAATTATGTAAAATTATTATATATATCATTAACATATCATTTCTAGTCTTCATAGAATATAATTATTTACATAAATAATTATTAATATATACAAATTCAAAATGATTTAATATTAAATGCAGAATCAACCATTCAAATTCTCAACAATCAATTTTTCTAACCCTAACTCCTCCTTTCACAAATATGTTAAAGATGAAGCATTCATATAATTTATACCAGAATCTAAAATAGAAGATTAGCATAGATCTTCTATTTCTACTGAAGGATCATATGACTATTCAGAATCTTAAAAAATTAATAAAAAAGGAAAGATCAGCAAAATTAAAGATAAAGATTAATCATTACCATAGAAATCAGAGACTAAAAACATTCCCAAAAATTTCGGAGTCTTATTAAAGAAATATTTATGTATTCATTTCTCCTCCTAGATTACTAGGTAGCAAAAATACAGAAAATTAGGCAATCAAAGCATTCTTAAAAAATGGAGAGAGTAAGAAAAACTTCTCTCGACAGGACTTTACTAGGTTATTTAATGATCCTATCGCAGCTGATTTATCAAGGCAATATTTCTCTGGATTTCAAATTATACATGATCTTATGATTAGTGAAAAAATACAAGATGTTAAGAACCATATCAAATATATAAGTAAATTTTATAATTCTACTTATAATAAATAAGAGCTAGATGAACTTAAATTATAATGAATATTTCTGATTAATATAAATATTGAAAATTCTATTTTTCATTAAAAAAAAAAATAGCAAATTAATTAATTTTATCATTCCAATTCAAAATTCCTCAAATTTATCATTGCTAATAGATTTCAAGTTCTTAATACTCAAAATATTAATTATCATTATAAAATACCATATGATTTAGATTTTTTTAAATCATTTTTTTTTTTGATATAATAATTAAGGCTTAATTATTTATTTTGTAAATTAAAATCTTTTTGCTAAAGGAAAATACTTAGTTTAATTATTTACTTAAAGAATAACGAATATTTAAACTTTTATTTTTCTTTTATTCATTTTGAATCTTTCCAAAACACTCTTTATAATTATAAATCTTCATTTTATTTATGTTAATTTAACTATTCTCTTTATTATTAAAGAGTTAATAATCAACTGAAATTATTAAGGTTTGTTAAATATTTACAAGAAACAATATTTCTAATATATATTGAAAATTAATTGTATATTTTTTAATGAAGTCAATAAATCGAGTATTAATAATTATGATATTAAATACTATAAATAAGAATCAATCCATCTAAGAAAAGAAATAATCTTTATTTGACTTTTATTTAGTATATTCTAATACTTATTTATCAGTGTTATGAGGCTTTAAAATATATGATTTATTATTAGACTATGGAATTGCAGTAAAATAAAATTGATTTTATTGCTGTCTTTATTATTTCTTATAAGGAGAATTTGTCATTAATGTATTATTTCCTATACTTTAATTTACTTAATTATTGGTAACACAGTTGTATTTAGGTGAATGCAATTATTAATCCATGTTCTCTTTATGAAATGAAAATTCCATATTTGTGTTGCTTTATTATTAAATTTAGCGTTGTAATTGTTTTATCAATTCTTCTTATTATCTGATTATAAGATCTTTATCATCTGCTTCAGTTTATGTATATTGATTTTCTCTTTTAATAAATTTAACTTTGCATCGACTCAAATCTGGCAATTTTTAAAATTGATTAACTTTATTTAAGTCATTTATCTACACTTCACTAACCTAACTTTATTACAATCCTTGAACATTAAATTCTTCTGTTTGAATTTGTGGAGATCTGTTTACTTAACTATTTGAAATTGGGATTATGCTTGGAGTATTTCTTCGCTCAGAACTTTGAGATGTATCAAATATTCTAGCTCTTCTTACTGATGAACTTGAATTTTATAAGTAATTTGATCGTTAGGAATTATTTGTACTTTACATTTGATTTTAAAAATTAATTATATATATAATATACAAATGAATCTCAATTAATGAATATTTATCTATCGAGATTTTAATTTCAAAAACTATCCTTTTAATTTTTTCTAAATTTTACACAATAATTATTGATATTCAAAAGCTGATGATCATATTATAATCCTTTCAAAGATTATATTATGCTTTTAATTTATGATCAAAATGAAGATATTTAAAAGATAAATAAAAATATATATAAATTCAAAACTTCTTCTAAAAAATATTGATATAGTAATCTTTGCATCTTTTATTATAAAATAATTAAACAATTATTTTTGATAATTTTTTGCTAAAGTTTCAACTTAATCCAAATCTATTTTATATTCCCTTAAAGATATTTGTAGCAAATAAACTTTTGATTATTTTTCATCAAAAAAATTATAACTTATAAACTTATTGAATTTTACTTAAAATTAAATCTAAATATCAAATAAATCTAAAATTTTGTAACAATTAGATCTTTGAAATTTAATGAGTTGTTGGATATATATCAGAATAAATATTGTTTTCCTTATTATTAATCCTTTATATTTTTTAATCTTTATTTTACAATTTCTTAATTAGAAAATCTTTGTAAATATTGTATAAAATTGAGATAAACAACTACTTTATTATAGTTCATATTAAAATAAATATTAGAATTTATTATAATGAATAAATTACCAACTCAATAATTTAATCATTTTAAGAATACTTCGAACAAATGTATTAATATTCATTATATAACATTCTCGTTATTTTATTTTCTTTGATAAAAGGGGGTATAATATTTAATTAAGTTTAATGATTTGATGTTTGAATGTTGAAACATTAATTATTAATAATGATTATTATTTCATATTCCTTGATTATTGTCTTTATTAAATCAAGTTTAAGTTATTCTTAAATTTTCAATATCCAATAGTAAATAGTATTAATATAAAATAATAATTCTATTTTTTTAGCATTTGCAAATGAAAAAGAAACCTTATTTATTATTGAAATTAATGAACAAAATTTTTTAAATGATTTAAAACTCACATGCACTTATTAAGCAAAAAAACTCTAATGATTAATTGTTTTATTGCAATTCAAAATAATTAACCTTTATCAATTCACAGTTGTATAATATTTAATTATTAAAATGAGTTAATAATGAGAAAGGAAAATTAAATACTATATCTTTTTGATTCCTAAATCAAAATCTCAAACTAGCTTGAAAATTTTTTGTGATATTTATAAATTAATCTTTTAAGTTAATCAGAATATTAAAATACTGATTAAATGAAACAGAAGAGGGCAATTAAAGTTGATAATGAAAGACTCAATAAATTGTAAACAAAAGAATCTAGTGTAAACTTAGATTGGCTGCTTAAGTAACCAAATGTAAATGAGCTGGAATCAACATTGTAATTTATATCCTTTATAGATTTACATATCGAAATAGAAAATTATGATATGTAAGGTGTTTGTCACATTTTTTGTAACAATTAGATAAAATTGAAATTCATTTAAATAGCTAATGGTCTATTAATTTATGAAGAAACTAATTGTGTAGTTTTAAGTGACTGTGTTATCTAGAAGAAAAAATTTCATTGTCATCATAATTAACTATTTTTGATATCTTTATAAAATCAAAAAGGAAGACTTATATTAATATTCTCACATCCTATATCATAAAAGGAATGGTATAAGATTATAAAATTATCGGCTAAACAAATTGATTTTCTTAAAAAATACAGAATTTAAGACAATATATGCTTAAACTTTTATCTAATTTCCCATAAAAAAAAGAAGAAAAAATATGCAGCTTAAATTATAAATCGAAAAAATTTTAAACTCTATGATTAGTAAGAAGTCATAAATAATTATGTAAAAATTTTAAGAAATAATAATATCTAAAATGTCTTTCCTATTATTAGTATATTTGATGAAAATGATATTCTTTATTTATTAACTGAATAATTTATTGGTAGTACTTTTGAATAATTGTTATCTAATCATAAAACCTAAATTATTCAATCTGATTTAGCTTTTATTATTTTTTCTGTTCTTTAAAATTTAAAAAGTTTATAAGATGAAGATCTTTTTCATGGTAATATAAATTTAGATAATATTATAATTGTAAATAAATAAAGTTAAGTGGGAGTATATGTTATAAATCCAATTTATAAAGTATTATTTTTATATTTAACTTAGCTTTATACATCAAAATCTATTGATTATTATCTTCATAATATTTGTGATTATCTTATTGCTCCTGAAATTAATGAAAATTAAGCTCCATCAGTTTCTAGTGATATTTATTAATTAGGAATCCTTTTGATGTTAGTCAGTTTTTATAGTATGTAAGATAATCTTAATCCTTTATTTATTCAAAGAATATTATAAAATAAATAAACTTTGATATCTTCATAAGAGATAAAGTTTCAATAATATCAAAATTCTGATTATCCGTATCTTTTTAGTGCTTGCTAATTAGAGTTAATTAAATAAATGACTGAAAAAGATCCAAATAAAAGAATTACAGTTTAAGATGCAATAAAACATGCATGGTTTATTAATACTAAAGATAAAGTCAAAATGCAAAAATAAAATTTCAATAAACATTTACCCAGTCTTAAAACTATTATAGAAATGGTTGAATAAAGTGATAAAGATATAAAGAGAAAATCACTTTAATCAACAAATTTTATCCATTAAATGGTATCCATTTAAAAATACGAATTCAGTCCTTATAGGTAATAATAACCAGAAATTAGTCCTCTTAAAAAGACATCAGAAAGTTTAACTGAAATTGTAGATGAGGAACATTAAATAAGTGATTTAATTGATTAGTTGAATAACAAATAATATCTAATGTTGCCTTCACAATATAATCATCTCAATTAAGCCAATAATTAATTGAGACTCATCCAAACTGAAAATAATATTGACTAATCTCAAGTTTGAAAATATGATATCAATACTTATTGGTTATAAATTTTATAATTTAATATCGGGGTATATACTTTGAAAATTAATCTCAATTATATGATAAAAGATATCAGATGTTCATCACTAATATTATTATGATCTAGCAAAATTCAGATGCCGAAATGAGATTCATCAATTCTCCAGCTTCATCTCCCCGTTCTCACAAACTTTCTAAATAAATATAACCTTTTGAAAACATCTATAGTTTTTAAGAATATGAATCAACTCCTTTTGTACAAATATAAATAATCTAGCCATTAAACAACCTAGTTGTTTTAACTAAAAAGAAAATTAGAAAAGCATTGTCAATTAATCAAAAGTGTAATACTGGTCATTGGACTCCTGAAGAGCATTAGATATATGTAGAATTTCTTTAAAATCATTTAATATCATCAATAAACAATCAAGAAAATAAAAAAAACAATAAGATATTTAAACTTATGTCTTTAACTATAGGAACCAGATCTCCATCATAATGTAGGTAACTTTTACTTAAAAATTAGATCTCATCATTAAAAATTTAATCCTAGCACTCCAGCAGGTTAGAAAAGAATCAAAAAAAACAATAAAAAATTAAGTAAACATTTTATTTATTATTTAGATGATAATTTTCATATTAAACTACCAATCACTAATATGATTAAACAATTCTATACTCCTGATCTCAAACCTAATTTAGGTTTTCATTATCATTATTTTAGAACCTAAGTCTAATTTTTAAGATTTTCATGATTCATCAGAAAATTAATAGAATGAATCTTTCAAAATAAGAATTAGAAAGTATTCACTTAGCAATATAGAAGATAATTCAAATTTTTATAATCCCCATTACAATCTCCTTTTTGAATGAGCTTTATAAATCAATAATTTTTAATTCTTATAATCAGAAAAAATGCAATAGCATTCCCTAACTTTTTTCAATTTAAATAATTAATTATGAATTTATAAAACTAAAAATGAAAGATCAATCATCAAGAATATGTTTTTTTTAGTACTGAGTAATTTTATTTTGCCCTTTTACCTTCGATTTTATATGCCATACTGATTTTTCCCATCCATTTATCAAAAGTTTGTATTAATGAACAAATCTTACTTTTTATCTATTTTTCAATTGTAAAAAGGTCTCTTTTTCAGTTTCATTTAATTTATCTATTTTAGAATAAAGATCATGAAATTAATTCAAATCCTCAGCACTCTCATAATTTAAGTATTTTTATATAGCTAAGTTTTTCTGCCTATTCTCAAAATACTTATTTTTCATTTAAATTTATTTATAGAATTCCTTTTAATTCATAATAAATAATATTATAAATATAAAAGAATGTCATGCTTAAATATTAAAATTAAAACAATTAATTGTTTTTTCCATATATATTCAATTAGTAAGACATATTCTTTATAATCATAGCATATAACATTTCTAATCAACTAAGGGATGAATTGATCTTATAATACATTTGATTCACATTTTAGTAGGTTTTTTATTGAATTAGTTAATGAAATATTAAATAAAATAGGAACTTATATTCCTTAATAGATACGGAGTATTTAGATTAGATCAGATCAGAAATAATTTTAGATAAGAGAGTTTGAGAAAATAAATTGACATATTAAAAAATTTATAAATTGCAAAATATACTATTGTACCAATTCTTTAAATAAAAGAAAATAATATAATACTATTTTAATTATTTAATAATATATACTATTAATGAATTCTCCTACATCTTATATTATTCTAAAAATTTATCTCTATTTATAAAATCTATGAATAAATATAAATATGTTTATAATAATCAAAACATGTATAGTAAGATCCCAATCCCTATAATAGCTGAAAAACATTTTTCAAGGCATCTATAATAAGATTGCACATCGCCAGTAGTAGCATTCGCGATAAGCCCAGCGCAAGTTTTATAATATAGAACCCTGTCACTACCTGTAAGACAATATTCGCTTGATTGCATGATATAAACAACTTCAGCAGTAACAGCACAAGCTTGACCACATTTATCTCTTATTTCTAAGCAATTATTCCATAGACAATTTGCATAATCAACTTCTTAGTTAGTATTCATCCCTTACATAAAGCAAGCCAAAAAAATTAGTAATTTCATTAAATATTTATCAATTTTATAAGTTTATGAAATGCTTATTATAAATTCAAAGAAATAAATACCAGGTTATATAGTTAATGATCATGAGATCAAAGAAATATAAGCTTTTGATAAAATGTAATGAATGATATTAAATAAACTAAAATTGAAGTTTAAAAATATTATTTGATTTGGATTGAAATGGATATGTAATAATAAAATTTCTTGATAATTTCAAATAGTCCTTACTTATAACTATTTAAGCAAAAACTATATTAATTAATAGAAATCAATAAAATAAGCAATAATTATAAAGATCATATTATGTATTTACTAAAAATTATTGCAGTATAGAATTATAAATAGTTAAATGAAATGGATCTCCTTAGAATATAAAAATATCATAAAATTGAGGCAATAGCAATCTATAACTTTACTTTAAATAAATTATAATAAATTTAATTATTAATTATAGAAAAGATGAGTGCAGAAATTTTGAAAAGATTAAATCCAACATTATATTAGGTTTTAATAAAATGAAAATTGTGAGGTAATATCTATTTATTTATGGGCTTATAAAATTTGGTCACAAAAAACTAACTAATATATTGTTAAATTATCGATTTAGAGACTATTCTTGATAGACAAGTCAAATTTTAATAAAATAAATTTTAAGAATAATAATTGAAATAAATATTTGAATGAGCTCTCAATTTATAAGAATATCCATAATAATAAATAAGGGTTTCTTGCATAATATAAATTAATACAACCATTAATTCAAGCTTTAATTAAATATTTCCAGTCTTATGCAATAGAATTATGATAGCCTTTTTGCATTAAACTATATAAATGAGTAAATAAATCTATAACAATATAATCAATAACACTCATTTTTTATATAAATAACTAATGATTTATTGTTTATAGACAACAAAAAGACATTCAGTACAGAAATTAAATAAGATTTTAAATTTATGTTATTCTACAATAAATAACAATTAAATAAATTATAGATGGAATAATCATCTAATAACATTTTGAATAATGGTTTAGTAGTTATTTATATGAATATTATGTAAATAATAATTTGTTATGATACAAATAAATAAACAAAATTTTATCAGCTAATCAATAAAATATACCTTATGCAAAATATTAAAATTTATCATACCTAATAATTAATTAAATACATAATACCATCTAGCCCTCCAATTATCTAATGATTTATTAATTAATCCTTAAACATATACAAATAATTCAGCATCTGAAGCAACTCTTGGGTTAAATCTATTTTCTAATTCTTTTAAAGCAACTTCACCTTTTTAAAAACAAGGTAGTGTTGTTCCATGACCTGTATACATCATTTCTACCAATAATAATATTTCATTCTAATGTTTTTGGCAAGCTTTAAATCCTCTAATAATATATAAATAATTATACTTATAAAATAATTTTCTGAAATGATCTTAAAACAAAGTTCCTTTGACACCTCCTAAAACTTTAATGTAATCAGATAACAATTTAAATGGAACTTTACCTTCAAATTCCATTCCTTTACCAGGAGCTATAGATAAAAAAAATCCAAAATCAATATGAATCAAATGACCTTCATCATCTAATAATATGTTTCCATTATGTCTATCTTTAACTTATAAGAAATAACAAACTAAACAATAGGCTGCAAGTGATTAAACATAATTTTATAATGCTTATTCAATATTGTTTCTAAAAAAGGATCTGAAAAAATCAGAGAAATCACTGAATTAAGTAAACTTTTTTTAAAGATTCTTTTATAAACTATCAATTGTAGTAGCATTTTTAATCATTTCTATCATACCACTATCAGGTCCTAATGATAATACCTCATAATATCTTAATTTTAATGGTAAACCCTCCTTCTTAAATATTTAATCAAATTAACATATTAATTATAAAGCAAATTATTCTTATTTTAAATTATCTCCTGTTTTGATAATCAAATGAACTAATTTCCAAGATTTCAAAGCTTAAAAAGGACTTTATTTTTTAATTCTTTCTTATTAAGCCAATGAATTTTCTCCAAAAATAGCTTATTTGATCTCTATATATTCTTCCTAACTTAAAACAAGTCCTTTTCCATCTTATAAATAACTGACTCTACTATTAAAAGAACTTATCTCTAATTTGCTTTAATCTTCTAATTTAGAAACCTACTAATCAGTATTTTATTCAACTCCTTTATTACTCGATTAATCATCAGTTGCATTAGAAAATGATGGTTATTAGATAATCATCTATTAATCTATCATTTCATCTCCTTAATCTGAATCTTAATTAATGTTATTAGTTTATCTATAATTATAAAATAATCCTATTCCACTAGACTCTGGTTCATTATTTTAATAATTAAATTAGTTGAATTTTATATTTTAAAATTCATTATTAAAAGAATTTTATGCATCAGCAAGTGAATAGGTTCTATTCATTTATGTAGTTTATTATTCTTAGATAATGTACTAACTTTTAATGTTTCCATCATTTTTTATCATCTATAAATATGAGATAATAATGTACATTAGTTTTGATAGCTAACGACAATTATTTATCGAATAATTATTATTCATTATAATCTCCCTCTATTTCAGGCCTATAGATTTCAAGTGTTAAACTATAAGGACTTCTCATTTTGGTAGAAAATACTCGACTTTCTTTAGATACTATATTTAATACAGCATAATTTCTAATTTAATTCTTAACAAAAGGTACATATACAGCAGCTGGTAAATTAGCATTTATTTTATTTAATAAACTATGTAAATATTAAGTTTTAGAATTGGATTTAGATAATTCATCACAAATTTTAGTAATATCATACCAAAAGTTTAAATTGGATTAAAAAGCAGTATCAAGAGGTAAGATATTTTCATTACTCTCAAAAATAGAAGTGTAATCTTCTAATTCAATTTCTTCATGATTTCTTACTATATATTAAGAGGGACTTTTATTAGACATATTTTATTCCCATTCATTTGTTCCATAAAGTTATATTACTTCATTTTATTTAAGTGATTTAATACGGATAGACCCTTGATACACTTCCTATTTAATTTTTTTGTTTGATAGTGATGTTATTGATTTTCCTAAAGTTGAACTTTTTAAAGAATCATCAAGATGAATCTTTAATATTTAAGTTGCTATTAATAAATTGCCTTAATAATTTGATGTCATTTTTTCTTCGAATTCTTACACAAACTTTTAAACTATTTTAAGTTCTACTCTATTATTATGAGCAACAATTTATGATAAACTCTTTAATTAGAAGTAGACAAGATGAGCAAAAAAAAAGTCTATTTATGATGCTTTAGTTATGAATTATATCAGTCTTTCATCTGATAGTTGTTGATGAAATACTAAAAAATTAATTAGTTGAGGGATAAAATATTCCAAATCATTTCTTATAAGGTTAGCTTCAAAATTTGGATTAATACGACATCTTTAAAGCATTTCAATAGCTTTGCTTTTGTTCTCTGATATATAGAGTCTAATCATCACTTCTAAAATGGCATCATCTGAAATCTAACAAAATATTAATCTAATACATCTAAACTATTATCTTTATATTTTTTAAGGATTTTAGCTGATTTCTTGAAAGTTTTTGGGAATTCTCCTTTTTATTTCTTACCAAAACATAAACAACCAGAATTTTTACTTTGATCACTTTTTTGCATTAGTTAAATAATAGTAAATTAATATTATGATATTACATTAAATAAGATTAGAAAGAGAATTCAAAAAGAAAATAAATAATTTATTAACTCATCTCGATATAAATTTAATATGTGGAATTCCTAAATTTAGACTAAAATTCTATTGTTTCGAAATTAGATTTGATAGAAACTATACTAAATATAGATTTATTATAATATTGATCTAGAAATATAATCAAGTCAAAATAGTCATAATAGTCATAATATATCTATTAAAGATATTATTAACATAATCCTAATGTCGTAGTATTCAAAAGAACTACTTTCAAATGATAGATTAAAACATCTATAAGAGAGATATTAAAAAAAATAATAAAATAAATAAAATAAAAAATATAGAAAATATTAAGGATTATAAAATATTCATTTTTTAATAGTATTATGGATTAAGCTAATGTGATTTAATTGAGTAAGTAATAGAGATCTGTCAATTATAATAAGAGTTAGAGTAGAAAGATAAATAAAATTTATTCTGAGGAAATATAATTATTATGAAGAATGATTAAATAATGATAAAAATGTTCAAATTTGAAAAACACTATTTCATTATAACAAAAAACAAATATTAAGATAATGATATAAATTAATAACTAAAATAAATTTAAGGAATGCTGTTTGATTGTAGAATGGTTTTGAGATAATAATATTGATAAAGATATTAGAATATGGAAGATTGGTTTAAATAAATGCCTAATGGTTAAAAGAGATTGTATCATTCCAATCAGAATAGTTATCTAAAAATTATTAGATCTGATTTTAAAAAATAGGTTTGAAGGGAAATTTTAATAATCTGATTTAAATGAAAAGAGACACTATATATATATTAATTAATTTAACACTAAATATTTATAATTTCATTTTTATGCAAATTATGAGAACTCTTATTTCATTTATTATTCTTTGAGCTTTTATTCATAAAAGATCTTTTCCTTTAATTCTCCATTTTATTCTTTTGCAAGTCTTACTTATTCTTCAGCTATTCTTCTTGCCTCCTAGTCTTTTTTTCTAAAAAATAAGAAATTCAAATTTACAATTTTTCTGGATCAGATTCGTATTAACCAATTTCTTGCATTAATGTTGTAAAAGCTTCTTTTAATTTTTTAAACATGTCTTTTTTAATTAAATCTTTGCACTTATCAGAAATTGCTGTTTTAGTATTGCAGCTAATATGAATTAATTCAAAATCATTATCTAAAGAATTCAAGTCTTTAATTTTATATGTCCCTTCTGCTTCATGATCTTTATTAACACCTAATTTTTCATTTATATTAAATACCATGCCATTCAACTTCTATATCAAAATCATATATTAAAACTTGTTTGCCTTTTCTAATATTAATTTAAGCCTTTAAATAGTTTAACAATCTTACATCTCCAGTAATTGACTTCACTTCTTAATTGAATAAAGTTATATCTCCAGATTCAACTTTACATGATTTGATCTTAGATTCAATCAATTGCTTAGAAATTGGTGTGTAATTTTTCTCTTCCCAATGCCAACTATTTGGATTCCATAATGATCCAGCTCCTTATTGTTTAGCCATTAATTATTTATTTAATTGAACTAATAATGAATGCTGGTTTCATTTTTTAATGTCATTAAAATCTAGAACTTTCGAATTAAAAACTTGTTCCATTTTTAGTCTAATGATTATTTTTCTTACAAAAAAATTATTTATAATAAATTATTCAATAGGTTTCTTTTTTTCATAATCTTATAATAAATCATATTAAAGCTTCAGGACATCCTAAAAATAACTAGTTTTATTTATAAATTTAATTAAAATTTTATTTTTATAAACACTAAAAAAACATCTAATAGTAATAATATTATTATACTGTAATTATTATAAAGACCATCATGAAAACTATAAAATAATAATATTATCTATATAACAAATTAAAATTTTGATTAAGAATTTAAATATTAACAAACTATTTATAAGTTCATTAAAAGCTATGAATTCTACAAAATGATAATATAAATTATGATACTATCAAATTTGAATTAAAAAATAATTAGAAAGCATCTAATATTATTTTTTTTATCATCATGAAAGATTAATAAAATAATTATCTAAAATTCTTTAAATTGGCTAATTTGAATTTATCAATTTTAATACTTATATAATAATAGTTGAATAATTATGATAATTATTATTTTTGTTGATTTTTTTGTATAACAGTTGAATTAATATAGGCAAAGTCCTTTAAATTAAGTTAAAACATTAATTAAAGTGTTAGTATAACTTTAAATCATTAATTATATGATTTTTAAAAGGAATTCATTCAAAAATATTACTGAATATTTTTTAACTGACATTGTTTATCTTGGTGTAATAAATTTAATGGATTTGAAATATATTTTGAATTAAGTATTGTATTATTAAAAGGTTAACTATTAAATCAACATTATATTTTATATAATTAGTAATGGAAGAGATTTTAGTTTCTTAGAGAATGGGACCATCTGCACTGACTCAATAATTATCATCTAAATAGGAATCACCTTGTAACTTAATGCTAGAGGATGATTATCAATTAGAAAGCCAAAGAGATATGATAGAGAACAAGAGCATAGATATGAATATGTCAAGATTTGAGAGTAAAGTAATGAAATAATATAATTAAAGACTGAATTTAAGAAACATGCATAATTTTTAACAAATAGAGCACTAAGAACAATTTAAACATAAAAATAATCTCATTTTTTGTAAAGCTTCAAATTATAGTTACATGTTCATCGATTCATTAATAACTTATTTACTAACTCATACATTCTTAGAAATACTCAGAAATAAAAAATTTAGGATAAGCTACTTGAAAAATAATTTATTTCATAACATAGGAAAAAAGGTATTTAAATATTAATAATGAAGATTATGAAAATAAATCAGTTATTCCTATATTCTTACCTTCTACAAATTCTATAATGTTATGGGATATATTTGGATTTATATGTAATCTAATGATGCTTTGGTTGACTCCATTTTTGGGAGCCTTTAATAATTATTAGAACTAAACAATATCAGTCTTACAATAAATTATATTGATATAATTAATTTTTGATTTTTTGGCACAATTTAATAGGGGAATATTTGTATCTGCAATTCTAATAACAAATAGGAAGAAAATAATTAAATAATATTTAAAATCAAATGCTTTATCTGACTTTTTAAGATTAATTATTTGGGGTGATATCAAATATTAAATATTATTTACTTTTTGTTTTGAAATAATAATAGTTCTATAAATAATATTGATATACTAAAAAATACTTAGATATTTACAAGAATATTATTATTAATATATATATTCAAAAGGAGGATAAAATTTTGTTTTAGATTTAGTTTAGTTGATAATTCAAATATATTATTTTGCACATATTATTGCTTGTGTATGGCATTATGTAGGTGAGAATACTTATTATTTGTAAAATTCTTGGATTCTTGAAAATTAATTGAATGAAGAAACAATATGGAATAGATATAATTCAGCATTTTATTGGGCAACTATGACAATGACAACTGTAGGTTATGGAGATTTTTCAGCAAAGAATTAAATTGAAATGATTGTGTCTTCTTTTATAATGTTTTTTTCTAGTTATGCTTTTGCTTATACAATGAGTTCGATTGGAATAATCCTTAAAAATGTTTATGATACTAAATAAACTTATAAGTATAAATACAAGTATAATTAGAAAGAACTTAATTTAAATGATTTAATATATGAGTAAGAATTAGGTTGATGAATCTACTTAAGGAAGAATAAGAAATTATTTAAGATTTTAATAAGCTTAAGAAAAGAAAGAGAATTAAGATGAAATAGCAAATATTATTAATCAATTACCTAAGAATTTATAACAAGATTTAAATTCAGATATATAATCTAGAGTAATTAAAAAAATGAAACTTATAATAAATCATTTCTCTAAATATACATAATAATAGGTTGCAAAAAACTTAGAGTTAATATAATTCATTCCTGGAGATTTCATTTATAAATAAGGTGATTAACATGAAGATAATTTGTATAATTTTAATTTCATTTAAGATATTTCTTATCAACCGGAGATGTTATATTAATGGAATGTCAAACTGAATAAAATCTTAGATCTGTCAAAAATTCATAATATTTAGGATATTATTCTTTTTTTACTGGGTTCTCTCCAAAAGAAACAGCTATTTGTTAAAGTCCAAGTGAACTATATAAAATCAGTAGAAAGAAATTCCTTGATATTATTCGTTAAAATTAAAAAGATTTTGAAATATTCCATCATATCAAAGAGAAGTTGATATTTTCAACTAATTATGTTCTTTTTGATCATAAATGCAACTTTTGTAATAGGTATATACATTAAGAAATTGATTGTCCTTTAATTTAATATAAACCTGATTTAGAAGCTATTTTAAAAAAAGAAAATTTTAATCAAATTCTAAATCTTAGAAGATAAGTAATCAGAACAAAGAGAAAACATCATGCATTAGGTTAACATTAACCAATTTCATAATAACTTAAATTATATCAATAAGATAATCAATTTTGTGAAGATACAGATTCTGATTAAGAAGGAAAGTTTGGAAATTAAAAATCATTTTTTTCAGAACAATAAAGAAGTTCATCTTAATTATTATAATCTGAAGATGATGGACATTTTGAAAATACTCCACCTAGATAAAATCAAAAAAGAGCTACTTAACATTATGGTCCATTAAAATTATAAAAAAGTAATATTATTTTAAATAAAATTAGTGTCATCTTTTTCAAAATAGAAATTAGGATAAGTTGAATAGAAAACATCTTAAAGGAGAATGCTTATATAAAATGAAGAATAAATTGCAATAAAAAATTATTGTATGATTGAGGAAGTGTAATTATTATTATAAAAATAATTTAAACCCTCTTTTAATTTGGATAAGGTATGTAATACTTTTCGAAGTTATATGCCTTAATATACTATTGAATCATAAATTAAAGAAGTTCAAAAAGTACAGAAGAAAAAATAAAGAAGATTTTGGAAATAGAATGAAAAACTTGGAAAATATACTTTCTCTAATAATGTAAAAGTTTTGACTCTTAAGATACTTAATTAAGGCAAATAAATAAACAAAAATGTTAATTAAATTTGATATAAATTATAATTATGATTGATTATATAATTAGAATTATATTCAAACATAAACAATTATTTCATTAAAATTTCTTCATCTATTTTTAAGATTGATAATATATTGAAATTTCTTTAAAATTTTAAGTAAATTCAATTTTGATCATCATAATATAAATGTTGATAAAATTGATTTTATTAACATAATTCAATCTTTAATTGAAATACTTATCTGAATAAAAATAGGATGATTTAAATTAAATAATGTCATTCTCTAAATTAGTAAATTAGTGAAAATTATTTTTATTATCTTTATTTGTATCAATGAATTCATTGTCTTAGTAATTTAGTCTTGATTAGACTGATTAAAACTTTTGTGGCCCAAAAGTAAAGTTGGATGACAATAGACTCAATAATGTTCAAAAACAGTCATCCCATGACTTATTCAAAAGTTCACTGTTTCAAATATCAAATGATTATATAGAAGTAGCATAGACTCCAAATCCTTAATTTTAATCAGCAAAAAATAATAGATGGACACGTAGAATGGTAAGATATTGATATTTAAAATAAGTTAACCAGAAAAAACAAATAGGAAGTAAGTTAGAAATTAGTTGATAACTAAGTTTTTAAGACTTTAGCAAAAGAGAGGTTAGTTAAACAATTTAAGCGTAATTTATTTTTGCGTTCTTATGTAATGAGTAAAGAATACAAAGATGTAATTCAAAATCATTTTAAATATGAATAAAATAGTTCAAAAAGAGTGGAATGTATTTTAATTTGATTATAAATAGTTAATTCATAATAGTAAGATAAATAAATATTTCTTATACCTGGCAGTAAAGTGACTTTGATTTTAGATCTTTTGTCCTTATTAATCAAGATATTATGTCTTTGGGTATCTCCATTGATAGTATCTTTCAGACCAGATAATTATATATTTATGTGGTTCTAATTAGGAATAATGTTTTAAATATTCATAGAAATCTTCATCTAAACCAATAGACCAATAAATATATAAGGTGAAACAATAACTAATTAGAAAAAGATCCTTGCTAATTATTTTACTTATCATTTATTTGAAGATATCGTAGATATAAGTTGTTGGGTAATATAATACTTAAATATCAATAATATATCTAATAGTGTTGCATGTGGATTAATAATATTAGTTTCATTTAAGAAGATGTTAAAAAATTATTCTAATTGCAATGAGACAATGTTTTTAAAAGGAAGTTTTAATTATGCATTAGATATATTTACATTGATAATAACTATCCTATCATTTGCTCATGTGATGGCTTGTATACTTCATTATGTTGGATAATTGACTGTAATTACAGGTGAATCATGGTTATTGAAGTACTCTATTGATGATGCATCTATATGGGTATAATATAATTATTCGATCTATTGGGCAATAATGACAATGGTAACAGTAGGATATGGAGATATAACAGCTGCTAATCAATATGAAATGTTCTTAATAAATTGTATGATGTTATTGAGTAGTGGAATGTTTGCATATTCAATGAACAGCATTGGAATGATTCTAAAGAACAATTATGACATTCAATAAAGATATAAGTAAGAACAATATTTATCAATAGAAGATGTTTAATATAGATAAATAATTATATGAAGAAAGGTTAATTAAATTAGACAATTTAAAATAGAGTAAGAAATTATGTAAAACATTATATATAAACAGAATTTAATGAAAATTATGGTGAAGTAAAGGAAATCATAAGTCATCTACCTGCTAAATTAAGATAAGAATTAACTATGGGTATATAGATGAATATTATGGAGAATATATCTGTTCTTAATCATAACTTTTCATAAACTATATTAAAATAATTATCATAAAAAATAGAATAAGTAAAATATATACCAGATGAAGTTATATACAATAATGGTGATTTAGAAGATTAATATTTGTAAATATTTATATCAAAACATTTATAGATATTATTTACAAGAAGGACAAGTACTTTTATGTGAAGAGAGAAGTAATAAAGTCTTATAAACAATTAAAGTAGGAGAGACATTTGGAGAACATTAATTTTTCACAGGATTTCCAGCTAAAACATAAGCAATCAGTTATGGTCATTCAATTTTATATAGAATTCATAGAAATTCATTAATTAAATTATTTAATAGTGTAAGTAATAAAGATTTTTAAAGATTTCATAATATTAAGGATAATATTATATACTTGAATAATTATTAAGTCATTTTAAAGAAATGCAATATTTGTAATTTGTATAATCATACTAATATTGAATGCCCTTTAATCTCATATAGACCAGATCGATTTAGAGTAGTAATGTAGCCAGATAAAAATATTAAGTAAGAAATGAAAAGATAAAAATATAAAAGAGCTGGAGATAAAATTAATTCGTTAGCTATGAATAGTAAAGTAGTAGAATCTGTTTAAGAATTTACTTCAACTTAATCAATGACTAATTTTCATGAAATTGAAGATACTAATCAATAACTTAATCCTAAAATCTATAGTGGTCAAATTCAATAAAACACATAAGGAATAAGTAGTAAATTAATGATAGATTTTAAATAACAAAGCAAAGACTTTTTTAATTTTGATAAATAAGGCTCTGATTAATTGGTTGAAGCACCTCAAAGACCTCCTAGAATCTCTATCTCAGGATTATAAAATTTAATTAAAAAAAGAGTAGTACATAATATAATGAAAAAGGATCTTAATAAATAATAATCTAAACAATCATTTAATAAAACTCCATCCCTTCGAAAATAATAATCAAATGTAAGGTAATCTTCAAAACATTTAACAAAAGATGAATTGGAAGGATAGCCTAGTGAATTAGATTAGAAAGAATTTAATTAATTAGAATATATACAATCACATCCTTAATAAACTAATTTTTCAGTTGATCATTACTATAATTATTAGGGATATATGCAAAATGATAATCTATTGTAAGTTATTAAAAAATATGACAAAAATAAGATGAAAGGCTCTAGATTATGGAACCCATATAAAAATTCAAAAAATTCTGATGGAGCCATTTTCGGATCAATGGAATATTCTATTGTAATGAATAAATGAATATTATTAATTTAAAATGCTATTAAAATTGTTTATAACTCAATTAAAATATTTTTAGGAATCTACAAAAGAACTGATTCATTTTTAATTATAATTGCTTAATCAATTTCATATTAAATAATGATCTTTAATGATTATTATAGAAAATATACAAAGAAATATGTTTTATATATTTTTTGTATAGATTATAAAAGTATAAAGTATAATTTATAATAAATTAGTTAGTTATTTCATTTCCACTATATATAATTTATACATAAATTAATAGATTTGAAATATTTATGAAGTATAAGACTTAGTTGAAAAATTAATAATATCAGAAAATTTAATTATGCATTGATCCAATTAAAATAATTGTTTCATGAAAAATATACTCATAAACTATTGTAAATACCACGAGGTCATTAACTTGGAATAACTGTTTTAAAAACTTTAGATCATAATATTTATAAATTCTATAAGATTACAAATGAGTAAGATATATATATCTATTTCCATAAAAAAGTATTTTATTATTACTTTTATTCATTATTTATCTTATCAATCTATAATTATAAATATATATCAATCTACAAATCTTAATCTTTGATAACTATTTTTATATATCCTATAAATTGTAGTATAAATTCTGATGAATTAATAATAATAATATGAGATATAATTAAGAAGAAAATGAATAAGAAATTATTGAAAACAGATCACCAAGAAATGAAGAAGAAGAAGAAGATAAAAAAGATGAAGCAGAAGATGCTTAGAATCTATAGAATTAAAAGAAAAAAAAGAAAATATAATAGTTTAGATTGAAACCTGAATAAATTACAGATCCTTAAAAAGGAGTTCTATATTTATATAATTTATGTAAAAATTATCGTTTTGGCAATGATGAACTTGATGAATTAAACAAATATATGCATGTAATAGAAGAATGGCACTATTAAGTCATGCCTAAATATGATTTTGATTATTTTACAAATAGATTATAAAAATTTGGAGGGAATAATAGTGTTTAAGTAATATTTTCATTTATTTTTAAGACTCATTTATAATTCCTTAGAAAAGCTCACAAAGGTCTTATTCCTTGGCATTTTGTTCTAAATCCATTAGGAGAGCAACCTATAGATGATCTTTCAATAAATTAAACCATTAATGAAACAATAATTAATAATTCAGCAATGTAGGAAGAATAGCCTTAACAAAATTTAAACTATATTGATCAAAATTAGAGTTAGCCAGATTTATAACAAGAATAATAATAATAATAATAATAATAATAATAATAATAATAATAATAATAATAAGTCATTTCTACAACTTCATAAAAGAAACCTCTAAAATTATCTTTGAAGAAATAAAATTAATAATCTTAAGTCAAATCAGTTAAAAAGGAACTTACTGTACGTTTTAATGATGAAGTTTAATATTAACCAATACAATAACCTATTTAAGAAGAAAATTATGATGATATTTTTGAATAATTAGAAGCTGCATATAAATCCAAAGAAGAGAAGAAATTAATAGATTGAATAGTATTTTGATATTAATTCTGATGTATTTTTGTATTTTTATCATTATCTTATAAGATTTTTTAATAAATATAATTTGTCTATTGATTTGAAAAGCAAATTAAGTTTATTTTAATACATGATATACTTTTGTATTAAAGAATAATATTATTATATTATCTTTAAAAAATAAGTTAAATTAATAAAATTAGATGTACAATTCTGTGTGTTTTGTATATAATATTTTATTTATGATAAAATAACTATTTAAATTGAGAGTATTTACATTTTGTCAAGAAGCTAATTTTGGTTTTAAGAAAGTTAAACTTGAAGAAAAATAAGAACATGTAAATTAAGTGTTTCATAATGTTGCAAATAAGTACTTATTTATTAAAAAAATAGTTATGATTTAATGAATGATTTTATGAGTGTTGGATTACACAGATGTTGGAAGAATTCTTTTGTTGAAGAATTGGGATCATTAAAAAATGGAGATTCATCTATTAGAGTATTAGATGTTGCAGGTGGTACTGGTGATATAGCATTTCGTATACTTGAGAAACATAAAGGAAATAATATGTTTAATGAAAATCTAAAAATAACAGTTTTAGATATAAATTAATCTATGTTGGATGTAGGATAAAAAAGAGCAAATGAATTAGGTTATTAAAATTGTAATATTATATTATAATACAATTAGAAATTGAATTTGTATGTGCAAATGCAGAAGAATTGCCATTTGAAGCAAATACTTTTGATGCTTATACTATAGCTTTTGGAATAAGAAATGTACCAAGAATTCCTAAAGCAATAGGAGAAGCTCATAGAGTGTTGAAATAAGGAGGAAAATTCTAATGTTTAGAATTTAGTAAAGTTCAGAATCCTATTTTATCTTTTTTCAATTAATTTTATTAATTCAATTTTATACCTACAATGGGATAATTAGTAGCTAATGATAGACATTCCTATTAATATTTAGTAGAGAGTATTGAGAAATTTCATAGTCAATAAGAATTATTAAAAATAATAGAAGAAACTGGTTTTAGATATGCAGGATTTAAAAATTATATGGATGGAGTTGTAGCTGTACATTTTGGATTTAAGTTATGATATTAATTGATTGTGATAATTTTAATTGTAAATTTAAGGTAAAAAATATAATCTCATGGTTATTTACTATGAAATTAATGGAACCACTTTAAAATTTAAATTTCTTTCATTGCTTGTTCACTGATTTCAACAATGATTTCTTTTTCTTTATAATCATTTTCATTGTACTTTTTGATGCAATAATCAAAATATTGTTTAGGCATCATGTTATCTAAAGTGTATGATTATTACATTAATTAATATAATGAATTAAACAAATAAATAAAAAGGAATAAAATCACTATAATCTTCTTAATAAAAACATTTCCTTGAGTTTCTCTTTTTGTCTTTTTTAGACATACAATTTAAACCTATCTGGTTTAGGTTAATAAAACTCCCTATTTTAATTTATATCATTTACTTACTAATACTTTAAACATCTTGGAGTAGAGTATTACATTAATCAATGCAATTTTTAATATCTCGAATAGGAGATAATTTATGTCTTTGATAAAAAAAAGGTTAGACATTTGATCTGCCACTAATACTATATATTGAAGTTCCAATATATTCTTAATCCTATTGGATGATTTACTTAATGGATCTTTAATTTAAATCTTATTAATTGAAAGACGTAATTCTTGATCTTGGAAGAGTGGTTTTATCGCTACGTTTCATCATATCTATGTTCTTCAACATAATTGGTGGAACATGATTTGATTTATTTCTGTTGAAATAATTAAATATAATAATACATCTCTTGTTCTTATTTATGTTTAAGTGATTATAAATAATTATCGCATTGCTTTTTCATTTTCTTAGACCACATTTCGAAAATTTGCATAGAGCCTGATGTATCATTATTCCCTTTTTTTTAAGATATACTTTATTTTCTTTCAAGTGAAAATTCATTCTAAAAGGATCGAGAAATTTGGCAACTCTTATTCTTTTTCATTTTTAATTGTTCATTTAATATTTATCTTTTCATAAAATATATAATAAATTCAAATCACATATTTATTGATACATATCAACCAAAGCTAATTTATTCTTAAAATAGCTATTTATATTCTCTTTTAATCTTTCTTAATTTTAGAATAAAGAAAAGACTTGATTAATTTCATCATTTTATTCAAAAATCAATCAAAATTAATGATTAATTATAATATTATAAGTAATATATCTATAATAATTATTTAACAAAAATTTTATTTACTAAGATAAAAGAAGAATATTAAAGAAAATGTAATTTTATTTTAAGATAATATGGAATTATTTACTATTTTATAAAATAAATAAAAATTATTATTGAGTATAATATGTCTAACTGTCTTGTATAATTAAGAAAGTACTTTATCATCTTTTTAATCTCTTATTTTTGGAGTGTAGAAATAGTCTTCAGAATCAGATTTTTGTTTAAATTCAAAGGGAAATTAATATTGATTTTATAAAATATATTTATAATTGTATTTTTAAGAACATTCTAATAAACAAAATAATCAATATATTTATCATCAGCATTATTTCCTTAATTCATTAGAAGTAAAACTTTTTATTGTTATAAATAATTATATGTATATATATATAATTAATTGATATTATTTATATATTAACTTAAATTTTCTAGTTGAGGTAAAAGTAGCACAGATTGATACGAATTGAATTTTTAAATATTTCATTATTATATATAGCAATTTCAACTTCAAATTTTAATCATTCTTTTTGTTTGAGTTAGTCATTTTTTAGTTTCTGTGATTACAATTATTTTTTCTTAGAACTATAGACTTGTGTGTTATATCTAAAATATAAATCAAGTTCTGCTTTATGCTATGATATAAAGGGCTTTACCCATTTATAATTAGCAAAGAACAATTTAAGTATTTTACGAGCTATTCTAGATTTTTTAAGTTTTAAAATAGCATTCCTATTAAAACCTTGACTTGTTATTTTGATAAATTGTTTAATGTAAGTGTCACCCATCACATTTTGATCATCTTAAAAGTGTTCAAAAATAAATCTAACTATCTTTTAACCCATGTTTTTGTAATAATTCTTACTTTAGCCAGGAAATATATGAATTTTGTTATAATCATTCTGATTCTCGTTAGCAATCTGATATTTTTTCTCCTATTTTAATTAATTCAAACTTTCATCTTCCATTTATCCTGATAATTACACCCCTTCCTCTTATTTTACTTCTTATTCCACCCCTTCTTCTTATTTTACTAGGTTTTGCTATTCGACTTTATTATTGTAGAGATGTTAAAGAATATTACAAGCATTTTACTAAAAAATAAAAAATACCATATTGGCATAGGATTAGTTGAAGTTCATGTTCATGATTTTTTTTTAAAAATTAAGTTAGTTTACAAATCTAAAATCCAAAATAGTAATAATATAGAGTCAGCAATAAGCAAAATTGATGATTTCTCATAAAAAATTGAGTATCCAGACAGTCCAATAAAAATAATTCTATTTTAAATATAACTTTTTTTATACTACTCCAACGATAGAATCATGACTATTTTTATTAGATATTCTTTCTGAGGTTATTAAAAATATTACATATTGTATATGGAAATCTTATGTTTTTAAAGTTATTTGATTTTAATATTATTAACAAAATAGATTAAATTATCATAAAGCATACATAACCATTTTATATTCTATAGAGTTTTTAAGGTCAATTTAGTTTCCAATCCTTCTCCCTCCATCTTCTCCATTCTCAAACCAGTAACTAAACCTCTTTAGATCACTAGAATCCAAATCATCACATAATGTTAAAGAAATTTCTTCTGTTGGAGAAAATCCAAAAGCTACTTAATAAACCATATACCAATGGATATCTCCTTATTAACTTTTTCTTGCATGTTACCAATGATATGTAAATTAAAATATTTCCTATTAATAATCACAACCAGCTACTAATAATACTTCTGGATTTTCTACTTTCATTCCTCCAACACATATAATTGTATCATTATTAGTAATTTTCTAAATGTATTAGACTACTTATCTGTTTAATACTTTTGTAAATAATTCATCATAAATAATTATGAAATTTTCTAAATCTTTAACATTTAAATTAACATGAATTTTTCCTATTAATTTTTCATTAATTTTTTCTTTATTTTAAATTTATATTCTTTTATGAATTTTCATAATATTATTCATAAGTTGTGTCTTCTATCTTTATACACTCTCAAAATTTAAATTACTATTTTTATTAAATATTTTAAAGTCTTCCTCATTCTTTATGACTCTTAATTATTACAAATATAAAATAGATGATGTTCGATTATTATCTGCAAATATCTTTTCATTCAATTAATTTTAAATTATTAATTATTCTTATATTTATTTAATACTCTTTGTTTACAAATTAACAGTTTCAAAAATTATATTATAAATTGTTTCATTATATTACTTTAATTTACTATTAAAATGATTCTTAAATTAATTGAATGGTGTTTCAGTTTAGTTTACTTTTTAATTTAATATATCTATTTGATCCTTCATTTTATTCATTTATTACTGCAATTCTATTTTAAATTCATAAAACAATGAATCTCTTTTTTACTCCATTTCACTTTATAATTCATTAACTATAAATTAAAAATTATCCATATATTATTATAATTCACTTTTACCATTAAAATATTAAAATATAATTATTTGATTCAATGCTATTATTAAAATCAAAACAATTATAGATTTAAATGACAATTAATTTGTTATACTTGGTCTTTGTATCAATTACTTTGATTACTACTCCAAAACCTATTGCTTTTATAAATATCTAAAAACATAAATATATTTATACTTTGATATTTATTGATGTAAATCTAAATCCATCTTTTATATGTAATTGTTTATTTTAATCTAAAGCTACTATTTTTTTTAGGTTATATCCTCAATATAAAAATTTATAGTTTATTAATATAATTTAAGTATTGATGAATGATATTACTACTAATATTCTGTAAGTTTATTCATTTCCATTATTTATTCAAACAATTTTTAAATGAATTAAGCAATCTCATTTTCTACATATGATTTTACTTAATCTAAAAATTCTTTAGGATTATTTTGATAACTTTCAATTATTTAAAACTTCTCTTTCTTAAAATCATTCATTGAAGTTATTGTTTGATTTATGAAATTAATTCTATCTTTTTTTCTCTTTTCAACTTCCTCCATAATCAAACTAATCTTCTTAAAATCGTCAATGTGATTTACGAAATTATTGTTGTTCTAACGATGTATTTTAGTTATACATTCATAACATTAGACCTATTTCCTATTAGATGTACAACATTATTCATTCATACAAATATATTCTTCCTTATTTTGTGTTATTGAACACATCTTAACAAATTCATTGTTCATTACGATTAAAACTTAAATTAAATATCCCTAAAATTAAAGCTAAAAACATTATTTTATATCATGCATCTATTTTAAGATATTCTTAATTTAATAATACTTTAATAAAAATATCAATTTATTCTATCTAATTAATATCATAAAAATTAACTAATTTATTATTTTAACAATAAATTAAAACTATTCATTTGTAATTTCTATTATTTGTGATAGCAATATACATTTCAATTAATCTATTTCTTAATTAAAGTATTAAAAAAAGTATGGTTCTATAAATATATATTGAAAAAATCCTTATATTAGAAATATTATCAAAAATTATTTAATTGAATCTATTTATTCAACTTTTTTTATTACATAATATAATAATGTTATTCTATTTGATTTTAAACTTAAATATCTAAATATATATATATATTTATTCAACTTTAAATTAAGGCTTAAGGCTTTCCTTTAAATGAGACTATTAAATTTAGAAGCCTTGAAATTAGGAAATATTTTAAGTTGTGTAAATAAATCTTGTCAATTATTATTTTTTATTATTCATGAAACTGAATGATAATTTATATTATAAGATTTTACAGCCTTTTAAATATTAGATTCTCCCTTAAAATAGATTAATACATTTTTTTAAATAATAAATACATTTTAGGAAAAGTATTTAAAGGATCATATTTTTTAACAGAAACTTTGGATAAACAATATAATTCATTCAAAATAATTAAATAATTCTTAATAATAAAAAAGATAAATTTTATTTATTTCGAGTAAGATATAATTCATTAATTTGAAACAACCTAAAGAACTTAATTACCAAGAAAAATGAAATTCAAAAGATTCTTTAATTAATTACTTTGACATTATTTGAGAATTAAAAATAATCCTTCTTAACAATTAAAATTGATTTTGATAAAAGACATAAAATGAAAAGGATAATTAAATAATCTAATACCTAAGATTACTTTTAATTAATTTGATATTTGATTAATACTTTACCTTATTTTATTCAATAATTATAAGAATAAAACACATTACTACTCACCTATTTATAATTTATATCAAATTATTTATCAGTTTCATATATTAATCTTTTTAAATATTCTAAAGATTCCTTTAGTATTATATATAGATTCCCTTCTTATTTATGATATTAATTTGGACTTGAATTAATTTTAATTAAGGCTTATAAATCATCGAATTCTTATTTACTAGAATATTCAAACAATTTAAAACACTTAGTAAGTGATTTATTTAAACATTAAATCTATTGATTTATTTCTTAACCTAATGCAATAAGGTTACTAGACTATAAAAAACTAAATGAAGTCTGTAATTAATAAATTTACTGTTTTTATTATTGATTTTCTTAAATTATATTTGAACAATATTATTCTAATTATTCCATTTCAATTGTGATTTTTTAAAATTATTCTAACTATTATTTCAAATATTAATTTTCTTTATTTTATTCATCAATCTTTTATTCTAATTCTTTTATTTAGATATCCTTTGAACTTATTTATTATAATAGTTTAGTTTTCTCTTTCGATATTGTTGATTATATTTTTGAACTATGAAATTGCTATTATAAATGACTATCAATATTTTTTAATTAATCATGAGGATTTTTAGCTTTAATAAACATTTAGTTAATTTTATCATTTATTTCCTATAATTTATTTTTTACTGGAGAAGAAGGTTATGTTTGTTTTATGAGTTAAGGATTCAATGTAATGTGGGCAGAAGTTGATCTTTTTGATTTCATAAATTTAAATAAATTATTTTTATCATTTTAAGAATAATTTATTAATGATGAAAACAAGTATATCAATTTTACTATGTAAATTTATATGATCATTAGTTATATTAATAAAGTAATTTATCTAATTTCTTTAAATCATCATCTTCTTCAATTTCATTTAAATGCATTAATTTTTAATCCATCTTTTTATGAATTCCTGCTATATCCATTGTATCAGTATTTGTTCCTTTTTTGATCATTGTCATATCAGGAAATTCAGAATCTAAAGTAATACCTTTATAATTTAAATCAGCAGATCCCAATATCCCTTAAGCAACACGTCCAAAAGTAGAAGGTGGTCTCTAATTAGTTTAAGATGGAGGTCTATTAGATATAGATTATTATAATTATTTCTATTCAAGCCCATTTCTTGTAAATCCTGAAGGAGGACGATTTAAAGTCTATTAAGCTGGTTTATACTTTAAAAGATCATCAATTTCCTTAACAAATTCTGAGTCAATAGAAGGAACATTCCAAGATGGATGTTATCCATTATTACTTGGAGGTCTCTTTTAGTAATTATCATGCCTTAATTAATAGGTCTCACCTATTCCTAATTTAAGACTGTCTTCAAAATGAGCATTTAATTCATCAATCTTATCTAATTAGACTTCTGAAACCTTTTTATTCATAGGTTGTATTTATGGAACCAATGATGCATTATGATCAATAGGTACCATATTAGAATCTGAAACTAAGGATTAAAGTCCAAATTATTCTCTAAAATTTTGTTTTTATTCTTTTGATTCTTCTTTCAAAACAAGAGCTATATTATATATATATTATTTACGTTTGCTTTCATAAGCAGGTGCAAATGGAGGTGCTTTATTTTAACTAAGATTAGGAAAATTGAAATTTTCATTTAATGCTGGCATTGATAAATCTTTGTATGCACCAACCTCAGCTTGAGCCAAAAGATGAGGTGGAAAAACTTATTTCTCCCATTTTGGATCATTCTTTACTAATGCAATCATTAAATCATCATGATGTCTTTCTTCTTATAAATACTTATTTTTAACTTATTCTTTTAAAGCAATCAATTCTTATTCTGCTTTATTTCTACCTTCTATTGCCATTTGAGCTTAACTCATAACTTATTATATTTATTATTGTAAATTTTCTTATTATTAAAGCATTTATCTTTTAATATCATCAATTTCTCTATTTTACTATATTTCAACTTTATTCATAGGTTAAGGACCATTTCTATAAAAATCAAGAATACTTTAATGTGGACTAACTCCTTCTTTCATTTTTTCATTCATAAGGAATTCCTTTAAATAATTCTCTGATTTAGGTTAAGAAGGAGGAAGATTACGAGAGGGAGGTGGTAATTATTGTTGTTATTGTTCAAATCCCTAAAAGTTCTATTATGGTTAATCCTCATCTTATTATTGATTTTTTCTATTTTTCCTCTCTTAAATACGTTCTAACCTTCTTTTTTCTTTTAAATCAATATTATCCTATTCAAACTCTAAAATTATTATTTAATTAAATAATATTACTTCCTTATTATTGTTTCTTCAAATCATCTTCTCTTTTCTTTTCCATTTCCTCCTACTCCTTTTATCTTCGAAATCTCTCTTCCTCTTATCTATCTTCCATTTCTTTTTACAATCTTTCTTATTCTTTTTTTCTCTTCTTTTCTTCTATCTATTCTTATAAAACTCTTTGCATTTCTATTTTCTATAATTCTTTTTTCTTTATATCATCAATATTTTAATTTTCCATCATTAATCTATTTCTCCCTCCTTTCAATTAAGGATCTCCTTATGGTTCTGTTAAAATTGGTTATTAATCGAATGGTATATTTTATTCTTGATATTAATATTACTAAGGAGTCATAATACTTTGTTAATATTAAACCTATTAAATTGGTTATTAAAAACTTTATTATTGCTAAACATATTAAGGTTATTATTAATAATTTGGTATTTATTATTGATATATTTATTGTTAATTATAATTTTGAGCTACTTGAATATTGGCACCTCTTTAATTTGGAGCACCACCTCCACCTTTACCAAAAGGAAATGCATCTCCAGTTTCCATTCTTTACTAAAGATTTTTCTTTCTGTCATTTTTTTCTTGTTCTTTTAATTACATTTGCATTCTTAAATAATCTCCATATTCTTATTTTTATTATTTATTCTAATTAATTTATTAAGGTTATTGTTATTAATAAGGAATTATGGATTATTGATTGACTTAAGAATAACCACCTTAATTAATTTCAAATTATTATGGCTAATAGATTTATTACTAGTATTATTAAGATTATTATTAGACTTAGTATTATTAGACTTAGTATTATTATTAGGTATTTTAATTATTTCCTGATTATATTCTTCGTTTCTTTTATTCTTCTTTTTCCATCATCTATTATCTTAAAAATTCACCATATTCTTATTTTTATCTATTAATAGGTTAAGTTGGAAGAGGAGGAGGATTGGCAGATTATTACTGAAATTAAGTTTGTTGAATTTATTATTAATTATTATTTGTTCCATCTCTTCTTCTCTTTTTCTCTGCTTCTTTATCTTCCATCTGTTTTTTCAAATATTCTCTATATTCATCCTACTATTGTTTAATAGGATTTTTTAAAGGACTTTATTGTATTGCAGGTTATTATTAAAATTAACTATTTTTATCTCTTTATTCCCTAAAATCAGATTGCTGAGGGATTGATCCTTAATACATTCTGGGTGGATCAGGATTTCTATAGTTTTCGATTGGTACATAAGGTTCTGGAGGGATGTAGGGTTCATATTCTTAAGGTTGAGAAGGGAACGAAATAGGTACTTAATCATCTAATCTTGGAGGTGGGAGTTAGAATTAATTTGCATTATTTTCTAACATTTATCCTTCCATTCCTACATTGATATTTACATTATACTTAGTAATCGTTCTTCTCTCTATCTTCTCTTTTCTTCCCATATTAAATCTCTTTTAGACTTTGCCTCAGTCATTTATTTATTTTAAAATTTATAATTCACATATGAATTATAACTATAAAATTAAAGAATATTATGAAGTATAGAAATTGTTTAGATCAAGAAATTTTAATAATTTCTACTATTAGAAATTATTAAGTGAAGTATACACTAGGTACATTTACAAAGAGAAATTATAGATTATTATTATTTAAATGTTTGAATTATTAAATTCATCTTATATGTTCTTAAAAAAGGAAGATTTAATAATAAGTAATTAAATATAATTTATCATAAGAATAATAAGATTGAATTGTTATTTTTATTAATTAGAATAAAATAATTGATGTAATCTCTTATCAAGTATATTAATTATGATTAAGTAATAAAAACTTTCAATTTACAAAAGATATCTTTTGATGATATTAAATAATATATTCTATTAAACTGATTAATTAATTAATTATTTAGTATAATATAATAGCCTATAGAATAAATTAAATTATTATTATTATTAATTATTGAATTTAGGGATTGAATTTATGTGAAAATAATAATTCAATAAATAAATAAGATAGAATAGTTAGAAAATATAATAAATAATTGAAAATTATAGAATATTTTTAATAGAGTTATATTTTAATTGAGCAAAAACTTCAATCATAATAATCCCATACATTTTCTTCCAACCATTCTTCGTATTTGGAAATAAAATCATGATCTATAGGTTGATTTTATAATTTCTCAAGATAATCATTCTATTTATAATTAGGTTCAGCATCATTATAAACTGGAATTGAATCAATTGTGTTGTTATAATGATAATTATTATAATCAAAATGTAATTTTCTAAGTTCCTATTTTATATAAATATCAATATATACTTCTTAAGATTAAATAATATCACAATTATATATTTTATCTTAGCATTTTTCAAATTTATAAAGAGAATCCAATAGCTAATCTTATTTTGATATATTTTTATTTTCATTCTTAGTATTCTATTTGTATTTACAATAAACTTCTGATATTAATTTCATTGTGTTTCCAAGTTTTAAGTTTTTCTTATTAAAATTTAGAATTTATATTTTTAATAGTAAATGACTATATTTTTTAATTTTCTTATTTTCTGGAAACATTCCTGGAAATTTTTTTATAGCTAACTAACTTATTATAAATATAATTACATATTCTTTATAATCGATTAGATAATTATTAATTTTATCTGAAAAGTTATTACATGTAATATAAATTAATTTAACCAAATTACTAACACATTATTCTAATATTTATTATGTATTTAATTGATCATAATCAATTTTAGTAGATGAAATTGTTTAAGGATTAAACTTTTCAAAAAACTTTAAGAAAACTAATACTCCATTTGCATCTGTAATTAATTAAATTAAGTATGAACATTAAACCTTACAATTATTTCTCAATTTTTTTAAAAACAATAATAAGAATTCAGTTATTGCATAATTCAAAACAATTCTATGTCTATCAAATTCATCAATCACTTCATTTTTTTAAGTTCTTAAATCTTATTATTAATTTGATTATTCTTTATATTTTGCATAATCTGCACTTGCTAATTTACTATCATTCAAATCTTAAATTAAAATTAAAATCTTACAATATTCTTCCCATTCTCTATGAATATCTACTCCTTATTAATTGTTTGATACAGACCCTGCTGTTTTAACTAAACCTCTAAGTAATCCAACTACAATTATCTATCCCATTTAATTTTCATCTTAACTTAAAATTAATCTTCTCTTAAAATATTTATTATTTTTACATAAAATTATTCAGTATTTGATGCATTTTTCATAAAGAATTTAGATGGTTATTTTATTGCTTTTTAATATTCTGACATCTTTAACCAATATTGTCCATCTGAAGGTAATTCTTCATTAAGTTCAATTTATAATAAGACCAAAAAGATTATCATTACTTTTTTAAGAGGAATATAAATAATTTTAAGTGAAAACTTGATTAATTTTAGTAAAAGACTTTCAATAACTTAAATATAATTATAATGATTACTTTTGTAACAATTATTTTTTGATTAAATAATTATTAATGTCAATGTAGCTAAAATCCAGTTCAATACTAATGCTAATTATGAAGGGTATTGATCTTATCTATCTTCATAATTTTGAATAATTTCCATTATTAATTTCAAATCTTCTATTATTTTTGGAATATAAATTTCACTTTAGATAATTGCTTTATGATTTATAGCAATTAACATCTTATCATTAACTGCTAAATATGATTTCATAAATGATAAATAAATTTTTGATAATTAATTTAAATCTTTCTTCCTACCTACTTCCATTAAATCAAGGGTTTAATCCAAATCCATTGGAGCTTCCACTTTTTAAAAGTAGAGTAATTCAACTTAACTAAAGAGCATACCTAAATTTTATGCAATCATTGAATAAATATGATGTTTTGAAAATTATATAATAATTATGTACTTTTATATAAAACAATATTAAATGAAATAATTTACTAATAATTTATAACGATAAATAGTTTTTAAATATTCAATAAAATATTTCCTCATCATTCTAAATAGCATAATTTTAATAAAAACAATTCTATGTATGATATACTTCATTAGAATATTAATGTATGGTATTTATATCATTTATTCTTCTTTCTACTTGTTTATCATAATTATTTCAATAAACTATTGAAGTTTAAAGAATAAATAATTAAATCAAAATTAGTAAGAAAAATTCATTATTCTTTTAAATACATTTATTAAGTAGATCTAATAAAGAGTATTCTGAAAATCTGATGTTAAATTAGTTATATATTAATTATAAATTTCTTGGATTAAAAATAATATAATTTTTTATAAAGCATTCAAATATTATGCATTTTTTTAAATCTCATTATTATTATTATTTTTAGACTGAATATAATGTAGAATAAGGTACAGTTTATTGAATCTAATGATACGGAAGGAATATTATAAGTTCCAGATAATTTGATAGGACAGGTTTCTAAGATCTTAAAGGATTAGTTTGGATTTTCAATAGAAGAAAGAGTTGGAGCAAAATCACAATAAAAACAATAAGTTTTCCAATAATAGTTAAATTTAATAGTATAATTGGTTTTATGTAGCTTCAAGAAATATTGCAATATAAATTAATTTACTACTATTAAATAAGAAATGGAAAATATCTAATAGAAAAAATAATTTTCTAAAAAGTTCAGCTTATATGATTTACATTAATTATTATATGAAAACTAATTTTGTTAAGAGTTTAGAGATGTATTCGAAAATTACTTAAGCAATGGCTCAGCTGAAAAAGATCTTAAAGAATCCAGGAAGATTACATAAGATTAAAAAAAAGAACTAAAAAAAATAATAAGTGAATTATTATTAGAAGTCTTAAAAAATAACCCAAATACAAGTTTATTCAATCATCAATTTAATAGAAAAAAGATTAATAATTGATATTTATAATTAAAAAAATTTCGTTAATGTAATATTTAAGTTTTAACCATAATATATATTAGATTTAAAGATATTTTTATTTTGTTTTGAATAGTTAGCTTTCAATTTTTATATCTATATTTTATTAGTGAAAAGAATAAAATATATATAATTTATTTTAATGGGAAATTTTTTTAATAGATGTTATGCAGAAGAAAATAACGAATAAAAAGATAAAACTCAAGTAAGTAACTTTTAAATCTCTGATTAATTCTAAATTTAAGACCTTGGTTAAAATAATAAAAATCAAGAATTTAAGTTGTAATAGGAATTAATTAAGAGTGATATGAAAATTTATCCTCTTTAACTATTCAAAGAAGATCATTTCTAATTCCAATTAATAAGCACTGATTTTATCTATATTTTTAAGGATCTAACCTAAATTTGCAATTAATCTTTTAATGTTGGCTCAAAATATTTAGAAAATAATAAATTAAAAAAGTTATTTGATGAGCCTCTTTTGAGATTAAGTTCAGATGACATTTAATAAATTACATCACATTAGTTTTAAATTTAAATTTCTCTGTAAAGATATTCCCTTGGTGAAAAATATTTAGGAAATTTAAATAAGAAAGAATTACTTATTGCTGAATGTATTTAAGCTAATATAACAACTGGATTGATTCCTTTTTTTAAATCATATTCTCATATTAAATTTGAAAATAACAAATTGGAAAAACTATTTAAAGGAATATATATTATTTATTTAGTTTGTGATTTTTTTTAGGGAATTTTGTAAAAATATCTTAAGGAATATTAATATAGTGATAATATCAAGATTTATAATCTAATCTACTATCAATTTTAAAAGTTGATACTAAATATAAATTATGAAACTGAATAGATTTATAATGCATTACCTGTTTTTTAAAAAAAATATAAATTTTCATTATTGGGATATGCTATGAGATTCTGGTGTTAAATAGTAATTGCTAATACAGTTGATGAGAAATTTAATAATATTAGCAAATTATTATTAGAGAGTTATAGGAATGTAGATAAGAAAGGAATTGAACTTGAAATTTATAAATATATAATAGGAGCTATAGATATATGTTCAAATGAATATACAAGTAATTGGATTGGACATTAAAATAATTTTAAGATTTAAAAACTATTAATTGATATGAATCATAATGAACTTGATACAATATAAGCTGAAGATTTTTCAAGTTTTACAGAAGAAGCTGATAAAAAATTAGAAGAATTGAAATAATTTTGTCCAACATGGATTTTTGAATTACATTATTTAAATTATTCTCTAGATTTGAAGTTAAAAAATTTGATATAAGAAATAAAGGATAAATATAAATTTGAAAATGATTCATAATCCTCTGTTAAAAAGAATATTTCATTATCATATAATGAAATACCAACTGGATATGGTTTGTTTGATGAAAATGAAAAAGCTGATGATATGGAAAGTTAAATGAGAGTCATGGCTAAATTTCTATTCATAGATCAAAATGTTTAGCCAAGATCATATAAAGCTTTTGCTTAAGAACCCTATTATTCTGCTTAGCCATCTGCTCTTCGATTCTCCTAGAAGATTTCTTTGCCTTTTTCATAACTGAGAATTGTACCAAACTAATAAATAAATGAAAAAGTAAAAAATATAAATCCAAAATATTTTGAAAATCTAAAAACTATTAGATTATAATATAAGAGGGTTTTACGTAATATTAAACATAGAAATACTATTTTGGAAATAAGGAATAGAAATAGATAGATTGATAATAAAATTTTAAATAATAATTATGAATCAAGTTAGGCATATAATTATTTCGTGCATTAAAAAATTACAAACTATGAGATAGAAAAATTTGTTTAAATGTAGAAATTTGAGTATGAAAAACTATATAAAGAAGAATATTAAGAGTAAAAAGAATTATAACTTAAACATGTTAATTATTTTTTTGAAAAAAAAATATGAGATTAATTTAATTATCATTTATTTAATGAGAAAAATTATAAAGAAAGGACAAAAATACTCTGCTATCTAATTATACATTTCCTGTTCTTCAGTTTAGAAAGATAAAAAAGACTAAAGGCAAAATTCTGTTCAAATTCATTATAGAGGGAGATAGATAAATAAATTCAATAATATCAAGAAATTAAGAATCTTAATAAAAAGAAAATTAAATTAGGACTCAGAGAAGAATTGATTAAATTATAAGTAGAGAATAGTACAATAAATGAGAATCAGGAATATTAAAACATGGATTAACAATCAATATAATTTTTAGAGGGTGATATCAATTAATTATATATTAAAAGCATCAAATAGGCAATTAAGATATTTAAGTAGATTATGAAGATAAAGTGAAGAAAGTAAATATTAGGAATTATTGACAAAATTTTGATTTTTAAGTTTTGTGTTACCAAAAAGAAATAATCACAAAATAAATATAAATAATTATTTAAGTCAAATATACTCGAAGGAGCATTTAAAGCATAAAATCAAAAGCAAAAATATAGATAATATATATAAATATTATAGACAATTAGGCAATTGGATTTATGAATAAGATTATATTTTATTTATAAATTAATTACATTATTCAATATATTAGATGAACAATCATTCATACATTTTATCAGTTTTATTATCAGGCCTGTAGTTTTTGCTTTTTTCATAAAGTTTTCTCATTTTCTCCATCTAATCTTATGTTAATCCAGAATCATTATAATTTGTATTTTCCATAATAATTTTACCATAATTATTCCAAAAGTATTCACTATTTTGATAATCTCCATAAATGATGCCTCCACTAAATCCAAAAATCAAAGATAACTCCTTAACAAAGAATCTACTTTTTGTTTACAATACTGGTGTCATCAATAAAATACCAATAATAGCAATAGGAAATGTTCTTAAAGCAAAGAATCTGTAATTATAAAAATTAATTCCATTTAATAAATTTTGTCTTTCTTCTCCTTAAAGTACTTACCAAGCTTCATCTGAAGCCTTTTCTCTTAGTTAAATTCTTTTTTATAATTTTTAAAACTGCATAAAGTATTCACTCATAAAATTAATTGTGTTAATATTATATTTTAAATATTTATAAAATTATAGATAATAATAAGTTCACATTTTAGATCCTAATTTATGTTTCCATAATTTCATGAGATTTCCTTCCAATATTTAATTTATCTTTGTTAATAAATATATGTTTTCTCCTTCCAAATCATCCCTTTTATCAAGTATTTCTTTATTTAATTACTATTGCATCATCTACTATCGAAATTACATGTTAGGTTATAGTAATGAAAATTCTCTACTATCCTCTGAAATAAATTTAGTAGGTTTTAAGATTGTTGGTTTATTCTTGTATTCATCAATCTATTTTTTCCTATGCTAAATAATGAATTAGATAATTGTATTTTTGACATCAATATCATCTTAACATTTCTTAACTTTCTTATATAATTCTTCTGCAGCCAAACTTTTAACTTCTCCCTCTTCATCATAATTTCTACTTAAAAACAATTAATCAAATATTTAAAGTGATCTATGCATATCAGTTTCTTTTTTCTCCTTTTATTTCAATACTTTCTCCTAAGCCATTTCTTCAGCTTTTCTTATACGAAATTAAAATTAAATCTTCTTTCTAAATGAAACATATCCTACATCCCCTGTTTCTTTCCTAACTTTCGCTTCTATTGATTCATGAACTGCATTTTCAATAGCCTTATTCTTTTTTTCTTATTGTTGAATATCTTTCAATAATTTATCTTATTCCTCTATTATTAAATCTACTATATCACTTTTAGTATTATTTATCCGAAATAAATTCAATCTTTATTAAAATTCCTCTAAAGTTGGTTAAGATGCCACTTTTTTAGAACTGTTGAGAATATTTTTAGAGACTTAATACCATTATGAATTGGTTTTATTTTCACTTTAACTTTTTTGTCTAGGAGACATTCTTACACTATAATTTATATTTACATTTATATGTTTGATATTGATTTACGAGAAATCAAATTTTCTGATTATTTTGGTGGAAATAGCTTCTTTAACTCTTCTTCATCCTCAAAATTTGCTTTTTCTAATTTGATTGTTCCTATCTCTTAATTCAATTATAACATTCTTTCCATTTGATCCTTAAATTAAACTATACCTTTCTATTACAAAGCTTACAATATGATCAATATTTATACTCTATTCAAACTCCTATTCTAATTATTCATCAAATGAACTTTCAAATGAGATATCAGATCCTTCAGTGTCTTCTGAATCGAAATCCAACTGAATTTACAATTTCTAATTCATAATTTTAGTATTATAAAAATTAATAGCTAATTTTTGTTATTGTTAATATTTTAAAATTATCATAATCTAAAAATTAAAAATACTCATATTGAATAAACTTTAAATATAAACTAATTTATTTTGAATATATTCTATAATCTATTATATATATATAAATGAATAAAACAAAGTATATATTACAGAATTAGAGTACTAAAATTTTAGTTAGGATTTGTTTCACTTTTTAATATAAAAGATGGATAATTAATAAAAATATTAGAGATTTTATTATACTATTATCAATTCTAAAAAGTCTTAACATATAATCAATAGATATTCAATAGATTCATATACATATTTAATCAAAATTATGGTCTAAATTTCTAAAATTAGTTTAAATTATACTTAGATAATGAGTCTCAATAATTTATAATTTAAATTATCTAACTAAATGATTGGTTTTATCATATTAATAAATTTTAAATATTGATAAGTGAAAAGTAGCTCGGTTTTTATAATACATAATTTAGACAAATCTATTGTATGATAATTCCTTTTAAATTTTATTCTAAAGAAATGAAATATTTATTTATTTTTTATTAATGTCACTTAATTAGAGATAATATTAGTAGTAATAAAAATTAGAAACATAAAAGCGTTTAGAATAATATATTAGTGCTGTAAAAGTATAATAGAGTTTAATTGTAATAGGAATTACAAAATGAGATTAAAATTTATTATGGTATGTTAGAAAGAAATGAAGAACCCAATTCAGATAGATTTAAATAGACTACTTTCAAATTTTTAAAGTTTGAGAAGGAAATGAATAATTAAATTGAAGATATTGTTTCTAAAATAATTAGCTAGAAAGCAAGGAAATGAAATTTAGTGTGTTTATTTTAATAATAAGAATTTGATTAAATTTTTACAAATTTTAAGCTATGAATGTGTTATTAGAGAAAGAGCTTTAAAAATTGGCAGCAGGAAATTATCAAAGAGCATCTGATATAAAAGATTCAATAGAAAATATTCTTTTTGAAAATTAACTAAACCATGCTGAAATTGGATTATGTTCATCCAAAATAATGGCATCAGATAAAAGTTTCTTAGAATTTCTAACAAACCATGTTCTTGACAAGGATACTTATTATGCTCAAACAAAGAAATCTTTGTATCAAATTTTAGCAAAATATATAAAGAATTATGTTTAATATGTATCTGAATATTTGGAATCGATAATTGTACATTGATTTAAATTATTTATTATTAGAGTACTTGTATCTAAAATTTTAAAAAGGAAGAATCAGGAGTAGCAAAAGAAGCATCCCTTTTTCCCATAATGAAAATCTATAAACATTCTGATTAATAAATTTTAGTAATATTTGAAAAATAATATAAAATTAGGTGAAGTTATAAGTACACAAAAATTTATATCATATTTTGTTATAAGAATGTTTGGAAACTAAATTAACAGCTGGTGTCAAGGGAAGGATATTTTAGACTTTAGGTGTGTTAATAAAAAGATTTAATAATGATTTAGGTGAATAAGGAATATATTTACATGCTTTCTAATCAATAATTAGTTAGATTAAGAGTAGTAAACCTGAGATGGTAATAATTGAAGGGATTCTTAAATTCTTTAAATAATGTTTAATGTATCATCAATTTAATTAGGATTAAATATCTTTATTATATTAAGCATTAGTAACATTTTGTAAGCCTGTTGAAGATTTGAGTACATTTAAAGTACCTATAGCTGCTTGTAAATGTATGAAATAGAATCTTGATTTGTTTACTCATTTTGTAATAATAAAGACAAATGCTTTAACATTATTTGATTAATATATTAAAATTTTGTAGCATCGTAATAGAGATTTAAAGGAATGTGTTTAAGAATTACTTGAATTATTTATATAGAAGTTATCTTAATAATTAGATCATAGTATTAATGATCATAAAGTAAATTATTATTATATAATATTTAGATAATATTTAATGTGATATTAAACAAATTTATTGAAATTTTGAATGATAATAAAGCAGATATGTTTTTAATGACTGTTATTATAAGATCAGTAGGACATTTTGCAAAGGCTATTGCTAATTTAAGAGGTGAGAAATAATTAGGAGACTTTTTTGATAAATTAAATGATTTAGGTTTTGAAAGAGTATTATAAGTTTATGAAGAATTTTATAAGGAAGATGAAGGAAATATGAAAAAAGGAGCATAATTTAAAGTTTTACTTTATAGATAAAAGTAATTAAATTCATTTTTGATATCATATGCTAATATTATTAAGAATTTAACTAAAATTTCAGATAAATAAATTTAACATTTATTTGCTTTATGTTCTTTATGTATTAAATAGCATTATAATTATTTTGAAAATTATAGACCTTATTTATATGATGGTATGGCAAATATCATAATTTCAATATTTGGTCATTAAAATATAGGAATACAATTTGTAGGTTCTTTATTATCAAAAGGTGTAATAGAAGGATTGAAATTAGGATAAAATTAACTTGATGGAGATTTATATATTAAAACTTGTTAAGAAATGTCAAAATTTTGGATTGGAATAATTGAATAGAAAGTATGGACACAACATTATTTAACAAAATTTGTAAATTAATTATTTGATCAAATTGCATAATTAATATAAAATTGTAATTTTGAATCAATTTAGAAAGAAGTGAATTAATTTGATGAATAAAATCAATAATAATAATAATATTCATTAAAAATATAAGAATTTAGAAATTTTGCAGTTAATCCAACTTAATTAACATAATTTCATAGATTTATTTTAATGTTATCTGCTTTAATACCTAAAATTCCAATAGAATCTGCAGTAATTTCAATTTTAAATTTATTAAATTTAGTATAAATAAAGATTAGAAAGTATCCTAAAGCATTATTATTACTTATATTTGCAAGGGTTTTATTAAAATATATAAAAGAAACATAATTAATAAATTAATAATTTTTTGAAGCAAGATAAAAATAAATATTGATTAATTTAATATTAAAATTAAAAGGATTGATTTAAAATCATTTAAAATAATATAGTTAATAATTATAAATTGAAGCCTTAAATATTTTATTAACAATTCCTGTTGAATTTATTGTAAAAGATAATTATTTATTACTTAAATCAGAATATATTCAAATAATTATTAATGCATTTTAGATGAATAATAATTCATTATCATGGAGTGCCATAGATTTATTGATATAATTAATATAATCAGAATACAATTAGAAGAACTAAAAGAATTTAAAATATCTATTGAAGATCTTAAAGAATGTTATTCCTAAATTATCAACATATATGTAATTAGTTCCAGAATAAGAAAAACCTTTTTATACTCCAATATAATATATAGATAGTATAAGTCCAAATATTTTATTGTCTGAATAACATATAGATCAAAATCATATAGTTGATAAAGTTAGATATTTCTTAGGTTCTATTGGAGGATTATGTCATTTAATAGTAGATGAAACATATAATGAATCCCTTTTGGCTCTTGATTACAATAGTCCAATTACTATAAATATTCCAGTTGGTTAAAAGAAATTAAAAATTAGATTTGGATAATTCTTAGAGAGAATCTTAAGTTTATGTTTATGTGCTCCTTTAGAAAAATCAAAAATATATGCTTGTGAATTATTATAAGCTTTTGCTATTTATATGATTGGAGATTAAGCAGTTAATGGAACAAAAGCAGTAGCACAAAATACAAAGAAGAAATTTGAATATGCTAATATTTATAAAAAAATGTTTCCTGTTATGATAGAGATTAGTAATACTATGGATCATCCTTGTAAAACATATTTTAAAGAACATTTAACAAGAATAGTTCATTGGTTTGCTAATTCAAAATAATATGAAGCACCAGATGTGGCATAATTATTAGATTGTTTATTTGAATAACCAATAAATAAAGAAGATCCTTAATTAGAATAGTTTTGTTCATAATTAATAGGAGAATTCATTTAATGGACATTAAAATAAACAACTCCAGATTAATTGAAATTAAATTATTCAAATATCAAAACTGTAATGAGAAGAATAATTACATATGCTAATCATCCTGATTTTAGATATAAAAGTATGTCATTAGAATGTATTTTATAATTTGTTAAACATACTCAATAAGAAAAGTTTATAGTTTCTAAATATTTTATAGAAATAGTAGAATAATTAAAATTCATTTTTATTGTTGAAGATAAAGATATTAGTAGAATTGTATCTAATACCAATAATATTATAGATATAATAAGTAATGCATTTGAAAGGTTTACATAAGATTTATTATAAGAGATGAAGGGAAGATAAGGAAAAAATAAGACTCTTTATTCTTTACATGAATTCTTATTAAATGAAGCAATGATTGGTAAAGATGGAGGATGGCAATAGGCAACATTAAGTTTATGGTATTTGAGTGTAAGTAAGACATAGAAAGTAATTAAGAAAAATGCTAGAGAACTCTTAGTTGATTAAATAGCTGAAATAGGTTAAAAGATGAAATTGTTTCCAAAATATCCTATAAATAGATTATAAGGAGAATAGAATTATAATTCTCTTCGTTTAGATGCTGAATCATTATCTTGGTAATGTAGAATTTGGCAATTTATTTATGATAGAAATTTATTTACTTTAGATGAAATCATTTAATTTGATGATTATTTAATAACAACTTATAATATACATTAATTTCTAAGATATTTTATTATCAAAAATTAAAGACATTAAATGGATGAATCTCCTTTATTTGATATGATTATGACATTAACATAAGATAATTTCAATCCATCATAAAATTTGTAAATTGAAGCTGGTAATATAGATAATTGGCTTACTATATAATTACCAGAGAAATTAGTGGAATAATTAATTACTACTTTTGAAAGAGTATATAAATTTGTAAGAACATTCCATATAGATGTTGAATAATACTATAATTTAAGTATTGGAATTATTATAAGACCTTCTTATTTCTTAAAAGGAATATAATTAGATTTATATTTTGGATAAGTTGAAAGTGTTGTTAATGAAGCATAAAAATTATTATAAGGAACTCTAAAATTTACAGAATTTAGATAAGTTTTAAATGAAATCTTTGATAATTAATTTGTTTCTTTTGCATAAACTATAACTAATAAAGATTTAATTAAAGATATTAATGAATTAAAATTCTTTTTAAAGGGATTGAAATGGATTTCAAATCAATGTTAAAATGATTAAGAATGTAATCATTTTTATTAAGAATGTATTGATTAACTTGGTTAAGTGGTTATTAATTTTGAATAGGGAAATGATTAAATTAACAATATTGAATATGTTACTCATCTATTTGAATTCTTACTCTCAGAATAAAGAGCTAAGAATTTTGTTATTGCTAATTTAATAAAAGCATCTGATTTTAGATAAAAACATGAAGAATAACTTATAGCATTTGTTGCTAAAAACTTTGAATCTATAGGTCAAATCTATTTTTAATATATTTGTAAAGAAACTCATTTATTAAGGTAAGGGATATTATTAGTTAATAAAGTATCTGAAAATTTAGTTCATCATTTTTATAAGTTTTAATTTAAAGTCAATAGAGAAAATACTGCTCTTTTATTATTAGAAATTTAAATTAATAATATAGTAATAAATTAAACAAAAGATATTAATAGAGAATATGTTAAAGGTTTATTAAAAGATGGACTGAACACTAATAGATCAATTGAAATTCACATAGATGCTTTAATATTATTTGGATTGTATATTAAACATATAGATACAGATTTACCCAATTATTTAAATGATTTAGCTAATAAGTATTTCCCTATAAAGATTTCTGATTTAAAGAAAGGATCAACAGAAGAGTCGAATTTTAAAACTATTCTTAAAAAATTAACAGAAATGATTAAACTTTGTGGATAGATTTAATATATTGAAGTGTTATTTCCACTTTTAAGATAAGATTTAAATTTTGATTAATTTATTTAAGAATTTTTATAGATTAATTAAGAATCTTATTAATAATTGAAATGGCTTATGTTATAAATAAAGGATGAATAATTGGATACAAGTTCAATTAATAATGTGAGAATAGCATTGGGTAATAAATTATTGATTCCTCTTTTAAGTAATTCTAATTTGTTACTTGAATTTTATTCAGAATTTACACCTTATCTTTTGTAATAATTGAATGTAATATGGGATGATAATTGGAAGATCATGTTGTTTTAATTATAATGGAGAGCACTTATATTTGATCTATTTGGAATAGCTTATAAGAGAATGTCTACAGAATAGATAAAAAAGTAATTACATTCAAATCTAAAATTTTAAGCTGATAATGAAATAACAAAGAAATTAATTGTAGATTGTAATAAAGCAAGTAAATTTAAATTTGAGAAAATTAATATTTTGAATATAAATCAAAAAGAGATACTATCTTAAGTGAATTATTTAAAAATAGTAGAAGATTATTAAAGTAGTGCATATATAACTTATATTTATGTATTGATGAAAACATAGACAAAAGAGAATATATTTTATGCACATTTATTTAAAAAAGATAGAGATATACCTTATTGGGATAATTTCATAAATAAAGATTGGTAATTTAATTTCTAAGTTGAAACAAATTTTGAAGAAAAACCACTCTATACTGAAGTAAAGAAATAATAATAAGATTATTTTTAAGAGAGAATAGTTAAAAATTATTTATATACAGCATCATTATCAGCAGAATAAGTTACAGAGACAGGAATGGAAATAGAGGAAGAGAATGAAAATATATAAAGTACTGTTTAAGTTTAAAAGATTGAGATGGATGAAGTTAATAAACATAAATTGATGATACCAATGTTATCTTTAATAGAATTTATGGCAAATAAATAAAATTTCTAATAAGTGATACCTGGTTAATAATAAACATAATAAACATAATAATAAGAAGAAGAAATGCCAAGTTGGATGACTGCTATTAAATAAGTATTCAATGATGATAGTCTTTATTTATCTTTGAAAATATTCATGTTAAAATTGATTATTAATAAAAGTGATATATTTAATAGGTATGCATCAGGATGGATTGGAGTTTTGTTAGATTATTGTACAAAAGAGAATAAAGTAAATGGGGGTAAAGGATTTCATTATTTTTTAAGAGATGTTATTGTTGTTTTAATTAAGTTTTCATAAAAATAAGAAGTTAGATAAGAATATCTTTAGATGCATCCTTAATCTAGAAATAAGATATGTTCAGTAATTAATAATTTGATAATGTTATCTGCAGATAAAAATAGAAAAATATTTGATCAAAATATTGAAATTATTGGATTGTTTGTATAATTATATAGAGATTAAATGTACATTAGTGATAAATTAATAGTTGATATGATTTCTAAGAAACCTGATTAAAAAGGTTAATAATTAGATCCATAAACAGAAGATACTTCAGTTTTATGGTAAGCAAATGGATTGGCTATTTTACATATTGCATTATTAAATAATGTTGTAATATTATAGGATTATCCAGAATTTGTAAGAACTTAAAATTCATCATTATATGAAAGATATAGATTTATTTTATAAAAGCAATCTCATAATATTAAATTTCCAACAGATTAAATTTATAGATTAGCATGTGCATATACTACTAAGAAACATGTTCTTAAAGGAATTGCAAATGTTTATGGAAGTGTATTGTAGTGTTGTTAATATTTGAAGGTATCTAGTAGTGAATATGAATAAGAAATTATTAATGTTGTTACAGGTATAAAAGCTGATAATAGACCAGGATATGGTAAAGAAAGATTCACTACATTTATGAGGATTTTGACTTTTGTTCATCCAAAAGTTTTAAGCAATAATAAATTATTTTAAGAAACTGCTAATTTAATTGTATAAGCTTCAAATAAAGAAAGAGCAGAAATTTTGATAATATTTAGAGAATTTTTAGAATAGATTGAATAATCTACTTAGGATCCTGAATTTTATATTAATGAGATTGTAGTATCTATAAGTGGAAGTATAGATAAGGTAATTGAAGATTAAGAAGAGAGTGTACATTATGCATTATTGAATTTATTAAAATAATTAGTATAATTGAAATGTTTGAATGCTTGTACAGATTTAATTTTACATTGTTTTAATTAGATTTTAGATAAGATAGATTAAAAATATGGAGTAGATAGAGATATTGGTATAGTAAAATTATATTAAAACATTCTAAAATTATTACATGAATATTTAATAAATTATGAAAATATGGAATTATAAGGTAAAGTAACTACATATATTTTATCATTATTTACATCACAACATATAGAAATTCGAAATTTATGTTTTAAATATTTATAAGATGATTTAGAACGTAAAGCTATTTAATTACAATATTAAGCTGGTTAATAGACAACATAAATAGATAGAGTAATTTCATTAATGAAAGATATATATTAACCATCAAAAGAAATTTTATGGTTAAAAGGAGCAGTTCCTTTATTATTAAGTTAAAGTACAAAGACATAAGAATATGATTCATTTATTTTTGATAAGAATTTAAGTGATGAAGCTCATTATTATGATTAAGAATTCAATAATAAAAAATATTTTAGATAAAATAATATGTCTTAAATGGCAGGAACTTAATTTGGTTCTTAATTTACTTCATCTTCTTAACTTTTAAGTTAAGCTATTGGAGCTAGTCAAAATAATCAAGGAAATAAAAATCCTATAAATTAAAAATAATTAATAAGAGCAACTCAAGAAGTTATTTAATAATCTTAATATTTTGATGAAGAAGGATTTAGAATTCCAATGAAATCTAATAGATCTCATCTTTCTTAATTTCTTTAAACAAATGAAATAAGTTTCTAATAAATTTAATTAACATCAAATAATTAAATAAGATATAAACCAGAATCTGCTGCTAGTTTAAGAGATACAACAAAAAAATATTATAAACTTAAATCATAATAATCTAATTAATAAATGTATAATTTAACTTAGGAAGGTTTTGAGAAATTTGTATAAAATAGAGTTCGTAAATATAGAGAGGGAGATTTACCAGACATTAAAATAAAATATAAAGATATTATAGATCCTTTAATTGTATTATGTTTTGAAGATGAAGAATTGGCAGGTAGAGTATTTACTGCTCTTTTTTAAGAATTATATGACAGAAATACATCAGCTGAAACTCTTTATGAAGTTCTATTAGGATTATTATAAAGATCATAATGTAAGACATTTATATTCATTTCAACTGTCTTAAGAACTCTACATTAAGTATTATGTAAATCTGGAATATTATTACCTGAAAATAAGATTGTCAAAAAAATAGGATTAGAATCATTGGCATATTATTAAAGTATGATATTAACTGAAGAATGTATATTGAGATTGTAAGAAGATAATGAAAATTAAGAGATTAGAAAATCATTCTTTTGGATGGATCTTATGGATTTACATTAAAGTTAAGGTAACAAAGCTTAAATTGAAGGAATTATTAATGAATTATTTAAAGATAAACCAGCTTTTGATTCAATTAAATAAGCTATGGATTATAAACATTAATATTCATATATAAGAGCCAATTAATAATTGGAAGAATTATTAGATGAAATAAATTAGGAAGGATATGATGAAGATACAATTGATGGAAGAATGGTTCATTATTTATAATAAGAATTTGAAGATACATGTATGAAATTAGGATAATGGGAAAAATTAGATGCTTAATTAAAAGATGTAACATAATTAACAGATAGAGAATTAAATGCAAATTTACCATTAATTAGAAGAACATTCCATAAATATATGTCAATAAATAAAACTGGTGAATTTGATTTACAAAAAGCTAAATATTTGGAAAGAAGAACTGAACATTTATCTGATGAATTCTTATTAGAAAAAACATTGATTCTCATTTCAGAATAAGATATAGATTAATCTAGATATTTCCTTCAAAAAGCTTAAAAGAAATTTTTAACTTAATGGGCAAGTTTATTATCTTAAAATGAATTACTATCTAAATAACTTAGACATAAACATTTAGAATAATTATAAATGATGCATGAAATGGGTGAAATTTAAAGTATTTATAGTGGAGTAGAAATTGATATAGATAAAAAAATGTAAATATTAAATACATGGGCTGTTCGATCACCTTCTCTTTAAGATAGTTTATATACGTGGAATAGAATTTATTAAAATCGTTTAATAATGGCTAATCAAACTCATCCAGTATTAGGTATGTGGGCTTTATAATTTGCTAAAGGAGTTGTTTAAATGAATTATTTCTAATAAGCTGCTAATTTATTATCAATATGTTTCAAAGTTTATAAATGTGAAAATTGGAGTACTTATTCTACATTGGCAAAATTAAAATTAAAAGAAGAAAGATTTGAAAGTGATCAAAGAGATTTAGAAACTATTTATTCAAAATTAAATGATAATTTTGATAGATATGATCAACATAAAAAATTAAAACTCTTTTTTAGTTAATAAGCATAGAAAAATACAGATAAATCTGTTTAATTCAGATTTAATATGCTCCCTATTATTAGTAATTAACATTATCTAAAAATTAATTAAGATTTAGTATTCATGTTTAATCAAGAATCTAGAAAACATAATAATCGTTATGATTTTAATCCCTTTTATTAACGTTATGCTGATGCAATTACACAAACATTTAATGGATATTTAGAATTGTAAATATAATTACATGATGAAAATATTAATCAATCTAAATTTTATAATAAAGCAGCCATGTTTTGTGAAAGATGTTTAAGAGTAATTGAACCTGATTCTGGTGGTTCTAATGATTTAAGAAAAATTTTAGAAAATAAAAATATAAGTTTAGATATGATTGCTGATTAATTTGTCAGATATACTATCAATTCATTTAAATTCAATGCAAATCAATTAAATAAAATTGAAACACTTCTTATTAAAGTATTGAAAGTTGTATAAAAATTTCCAAATTAAATTGGTCCTGTATTCTAAGATGCTGTTGAAAAGGGACAATTAAGTACTTGGATTTTCTTATAATATTTACCATAATTAATACATTTAATTAATGATAATGTGAGATTTTAATATTTCAAAAGAATCTTTGATGATTTCATTAAAAAATACCCTTAATAATTTATTTATTAATTTAATGTAACTTATTAAACAAGAAAGGAATTTAAACCAGATTCTGAAGCTAATAAGATGTTCGATAAATTACATCAATGTATTCCTAAGAATTATGCCTTTATAGAAGCACTAAATTAATTGACACATCCAGAACATAGATTATAAGCTTATCTAAATTAGATCAAAGATAATTCTGAAGATATAGATATTGTTATTGATAAAATTTAAGAAGACTTTTTTTCAAAAAGAGAAGATTTTTATGGAAGTTATAATTTAGCATTTATTTAAAAAAAGAAAAATCAATTAAATCAAATATTAAAAAATAAAGTTGATTAACATACTATTAATTAGTTTGCATAAGAAATATCAGAAGAAGCAAAATAAATTTAAGTCAAAAATTAACAAATGATTCATGATATGTCTCGTTGGTTCTAAAATTATAATGAAGAATCTATTGATCAAATTGGTAAATAAACAGAAATTCTAATTCCTATATAATTAAGTGGAATGAATGAATTTGATATATAAATGATACCAAAAATAGCTAGCTTTGATTAAGGGATGCTTGTATTAACTTCAATTAGGAAGCCAAAAAGAATAAAGATATATGGAAGTGATGAAAAACAATATTTATTTTTAGTAAAAGGAGGGGAGGATCTTAGATTAGATTAGAGAATAGAATTGTTATTTGATGTTATGAATAAAATTCTACCAGATTCTGATCTTAGTACTTATGGAGTATTTCCAATGACTAAATTATTTGGTATGTTATAATGGGTAGATAATACTACAGTTATTAAGGAGATTATAGAGAAAGAACATTAAGAAGAAGAAGGGTTGGAGTTATTTAAAAACAAAGCATTATCAAAGAGGGATGATTATGCACTTAAAGCAGCTAAAAGATAAGGATAATATAATGAAAAAAATAAGAATTTTGAAGTTATTGGTGTATTGTAATGTGAGAATGCTACTGAAATAGTTTAAAATTTCAATGAATAAAAAAAATATGTAAAAGATACATTATTAAGAAATGGTTTAAGTAAATTAAGTGCAAATTTAGAAGCATTTGTTTTTATTAGAGATAAATTCCTAATTAATTATGCAGGTATATGTGCATCTGGTTATATTCTTGGTATAGGTGATAGACATTTAGAAAATATATTATTAAATTATTCAAATGGTAATTTAATTGCAATAGATTTTGGATTCTCTTTTGGTTAAGGATTAGCATTACCAATTCCAGAGTTGATGCCATTTAGATTGACTTAAGTTTTTGAAGGATTAGCTAAACCTATTGGATTAGGTGGATTGTACAAAAGTTAATTTGTAAAAATATTGTCAGCTTTAAGAAAAAAGAGACATATTTTACTTGATTTTTGTGAAGTATTTTATGTTAAATATTTTAGGTGTTTATTAATGATCCATTGATTGAGTAAATAAAAATAGGAAAGAATAAAGGAATGTCAGATGAATTTAGATAACGTTTAGAAGAATAATCAAAAATTGAAGAATAAGTTTATAATAGGACAGGAGATTCTTTAAGTATGCTTTCATAGGATTAATAAAAAATAAAAGAAACATGGTATCCAAGAAAGAAAATAGATATAGTTCATAAAAAATTAATTGGAGTTCATTGTTCTTTGATACTTTTGGAAGAATTTGATGAATCTAGACATTAGTCAGCAAGATATGCTGATAATTTAAGAAAGGCTATTTAAGGAATTAATCAAAATAGATTAAGACATTAATACTAAAAACATTAAACTTTATCTGTTATTTAATAGGTTGATTGTTTGATAGATTTGGCCACAGATCCAAATATATTGGGGAGAGCTTGGAAAGGATGGGCTCCATTTATATGAAGAGTATATCATTAATTTTAAGTAATTTATTTCATGTTCAAAATGCTTTACTCTACTAGTTTAACCATTTCAATTATATCATCCAATAATTCATTTCTATACATTGCTTCAATTTTCAATTTAGGTCCACATTTAAAACATTCTTTTTGATAACCTTTTTTACATTCAAAACAATAAGAATGTCCACATGGTATAATAGTAACTGGTTATTTAATGAATTTATTGCAGAAAGTACAAGCAAGACCTTTTTAAATTTCTTTCTATATTATTTTTAGATATTATTTAATACATGAGTTTTTTCCAAAATGGAAATAGTTTCAATAACTTATGTCATATTTTTAGGTTTAGTATCTCCTAATTTTTTATTACATTCTTCTATTTTTTAATTTAATAATTTAATTTCTGTTTATTAATCTTTTAGTTTTTTTTCTTATTCATTAATAGATTTAGCAATTTATTCAACTGAATTTGTTTTTTCATTTAAATTTTTAGAGGTTGTTTCTATTTTTAATTTATATTCTTCAATTTGATGATTTAATTAATCAATATTTTTGATTTACATATCAAGATTTACTTTCCATTAATTTATTTCTTTCTTAGATAAAAATAAATTATTACATCTTTTAATTTGTTTTGTTCAGATAATTATTATTTCAATTAATTAATTGCTTCTTATAATTTATTATTTTAATCCTATGTATTAAGAGGTGATTTCTTAACTTGTTCTTACAATTAATTCTTTTCTTTTTATAATTCCTTAACCTTATTCTAATTATGATTAAATTCTTTTGATAAACATTCTTCTTTAGCTAAGTATTCCTTTTTATATTGATCCATTTAATTTTTGATTAATAATTTCTCAGCAGATATAGATTCTAAATTCTTTTTCAATTCATCCATTATGGCTTATGATTTGTATTTTTTCTCCTTTTAAATATATATTTATATATACTTCACTTTTTCTTATAGAATCTTTCAATTTTTTAGAATCGTCTGGTAAATCTTCCCTTGTTTTTATTTTATTAGCAATATCATTCAATTAGGTATTGAGTTAATCTATAGTTTAATTTAATTAATATTCTTTAGCTTGAATAGCTTTTTAAACAGTTTCTAATAGCTGGATTTTGTCTCTATCTTTATCATTTCCTTATTGTCCTATATTTTTATTAGATTCATGAATTGACTTGAGTTTAGATTGTGCAGCCTGATATTATTATCCTAAATCTTATAATTGTTTAGTTTTTTCTTCATTTAATAATTTCTCTTTTATCAATTCTTGTCTCACAGATTCAAATCCTTTTTCAATAGTATAAATCATATCATTGCGTTGCTCAATGTCCTTATTATATTGCTCTAATTTATTATCGATTTATTTAATGAATTAAGACTCAGCCATAGGACTCTGTTTTTTTGATTTCTTATTGAAGTTATCGGTGGCTAAATTAAACATATGATTGACTTATATACTTCCAAATTTAAGTTTACGAGATTGTGTATGTAGGCGACCTGGAAATTATTCATCTTCTGACAACCGTGGTAGTTGTTGTTGTTAGCGCATTAAATATTAATCATAAATCAATGAGTCAATAGGATCAAACTTAAAATCAGATGTATGTGAAAATCAACATAGATTTATCATACAATAAAGAAAACGAATACAATAATATTGTTTCTAATTAGATCACGAAATCTACAAGAACATACCTAAAATTAATACATAATTCATAAAACAATTCTATAATCCTAGATAATTCATCAATACCAAAGAATTAAACATCATAATTACTATCATTTACACTATAATGAACTAAAAAATGTCTTAAATAAGTTTCAAGTATTTCATTTAAGTAATCATATTAATGGTTTGCAAAATACTATCTAATTATCTTAAAATCATTTTATTTATTATATCAACTATCATATAGATACTTATTAATTCTTCAATAGATTCACTATTAATTATTTTCTAATTCTATTTCTATATTAATAATTATATTGTTAATCTCTATTTAATCAAATTTCTTTATAATTTATATATTAAATATTATAGTTCTTTAAACTGATCTTATATCCTACTTTTCCTAATTATATAGATTTAATATATATATAAGAATAATTAAAATATTTTATTTTATAATCTACTTACTATTTATAATAAATAATTATTCATTTATATAATTCTATCATATCTTTAATTTAACTTTTCCATTCTCCAATTTAATTTAATTATTCTCTTCTTATTCTTGTAAATTTACATCATCTTATAAGACTTTTACTTATTCTCCATCTTTAAATGCAGGCAATCCTAAAAATCATTTAATTATTAAATACCTCTAAATGGACAATTTGCACATCTAAAAGCATCTCCTAGATAACAACTTCCGCAACCTTTAACAGAATTATTTTTTAATTATTCTAGTAACTATTCTTGATCTTATTTCTCTCTAAAATTAAATCATTTTTATTTATACTCCATTTCTTTTCTTCCACAAGTACAATTTGCACATGCTCTAGGTTTAGATGCACAACTTTCAACTTATTTAACTTATACACCATCATTCAATAATTCATTCTCATCTATTGTTTCTTAGTTTCCATTCAAATCAACTTATTTGAATAAATTCATTTGATTCTAAAATTTCTATTCAATATAATCATATTTCCCATAGCAATTATTGAACTCTTATTATGTAAAATTGATTTTCTTAGTTTATAATATTCTTTTTATAAAATACCCTTAACCTTAACTATACAATCCACAAGCTTCTAAGTAAGTTATAATTTATTAATTGATCTCTCCTTCATAATTTAAGACTCCCTCTAATTTTATAGGTTTAATAATTTACAATCTTTTAAGATCTATGAAATCTGAACTGCATCTTTCAGTGATATTTATTAATCACAATCAATCTTATTGAATGTATTATCTCTAAAGATAAGTATTTATTCTAAATTGACTATTATTAGTTTATCATTTATTGAGGCTTGTTAATTAATGGTGATTTTAAGGTTCATTAATAATATTTTAAATATCAATGCCAAAAGTAGTTGATAACTATGTATTAGAGAGAAGTATAGGAAAAGGACAATTTGGAGAAGTGTTCAAAGGATATAATAAACAAACAAATGTGGATATAGCAGTGAAATGTGTAAAGAGGTGTTGAGTATATCAAATATTTAGGGAACTTCTGAAAGGGAAATTTACAGAGTTATTAGAAAATGAAATAAAAGTATTAAGGACTTGTAATAATGATAATATCATAAAATTATATGATATAAAAAAGACTGCAAACAACATATATCTAATTATGGAGTACTGTAATGAAGGTGATCTATCATGTAATTAATAATTTAATCATAGAATACATAAAATAAAAGAAATTTTTATTAGAAGAAGAAGCTGTAGATTATTTATTATAGATACTTAATGGCTTTAAAACACTTGTAAAGAATAAAATAATGCACAGAGATTTTAAATTGGCAAATATCCTAAAACATGATGGCAATATAAAAATAGCTGATTTTGGATTCTCCAAATTGTTGAATGACAATTAAATTTTAACAAATACAATGTTAGGATCTCCACTTAATATGGCTCCAGAAGTGTTAAATAATTAAGAATATGACAGTAAAGCAGATATATGGTCTATTGGTACTTGTTTTTATGAACTATTATTTGGAAAATCACCATTTACAGCTACTAATATGGTTGAGTTGCTTAAGAACATAAAAACTAAATAATTTGTTATTAATAGAAAAGTTAATAATATATCTTAAACAGCAGAAGATTTATTAAAGAAAATGTTAGTAGTTAATCCTAAAGATAGAATATCTTGGTAAGATTTATTTAATCATGAGATAAATTCTTATCAGGAGGAAAAGTTAAAGAAAGATTTAGAAACTACATTAAAAGGTGGAGAATTAATGATGAATATGAGTAAATTTTATATCAAAAATAACATGGTTATTGATCATCCAGCTGAAATAAAGAAAAAAGAAGATTTAAATAATTTTGCAATGTAAGTAGCTTAAAAAGGTCCATAAAATTAATAATAATAATATGTTGGACCATTATTAAAGAAACCCTAAGAAGAAAATAATCTTGCTAGATAAGATTCAGCCAAAAATGTTTAGAGTACTTAAGGATCTCTTTAAGATCTTGGTAATGAAGAAGTAACTGATAAGGAAACATAAAGAGAAAAAGAAATTAAAGCTAAAAAAAGAAATGCTAATAGGATTTTACATGAAAGAAATATTTATGTATTTTTGGCATCTGTTGCTGAAGAAGCAATGAGCAATTAAACTATTTCAAACTATGATGTTACAGGTTTTTTTTTAGTTAAAAAATTGCTATAATTAATTGATTTTTTAAAGACAATTCTATAAAATAAATAAAATTGTTATGGATTAGAGTATTTAATAAATATGATTTTAGATTTTGGGAATAATTTACTTAAAGTAAAGATTTTAAAGATATTCACACATACATTTCAAAAGAATTTGATGTATTTAAATCTTATTTTGATTCAATTTATGAAAAGATTAGTATATAAATTCAATAGAGATAAAAAGTAGATGATTCAATTAAATAAGCTATTAATAATAATATTAAATAGAACAATCAATAAATATTAAATAAATGTTTAGTTGAATACTCAAAATTATTGATTGAAAATCTAAAAAAGACTTAACCTTAAGATTAAGTAATTTTTCTTTAATTTATTTAAGTATCGATAATAATGGATTCATGCTGATAGAGTATTAGATTGTATTAAATTAGAAGAGACTTTTTAATTTGATGACAAAATTACAAATTAGCAATTTAATTTCAAATAATATTATGAAAATGACAATATATTAGAAATAGAAGCTCTATAAAAAAAAGTGTTATAAAAATTTGAGAAACTAAAATGAATTATTAGTTGTTCAACATATATCTAAATTATTTTATAAAACAATTAATTAATATATATATAAAACATATATGTCTAGAAAAAGAATTGAGGCTCCTCCTTTGACTGATAGATCATAATTCCGTAGAATCAGTTAAAAAAGTGTAGATGAATTGAATTAAGTATTGAATTTAAATATTCTAGACTCTTCATGCTCGAATCAACAGTATGGTAGGATTGGATGAACAATTGTCCACGAAAATTAAATAACTTTAAGTTAGTACTTTTACTACTAAAGACTTAACATCTATAGGGTCATCTCTTTAAGACATGGTTACAACATTATAAAAAGTTTCATTTAATGAAATTATGTATAATCAGCTTTTAAGAGATAACGAAAAGTTTAAGAATGAACAATCTTATTTGAAGGCTTAATTATTTAAACTTAATAATCTTAATTCCAAATTCTAATAAGAACATTAATTGTTATTAGAGAAAATAAGAAGTTAAGAAGTTGATATTAATAATCTTAACAAAAAGTTAACTGCTGAATAAAAGCTTAATGAGGAATTATGTATAAACATTTAATAATTTTTAGCTAAAAAATTGAAGAGATCAGAATAAAGAGTTTAAATCATATTAGAATCTAATATTACAATATAAAAAGATTAATTGAAACATAATTTGGTTGAAGTTTTGACAGAAAATGAACATATCAAGAAAGATGCAATATAAAAATAAAAAGATTTTTAAAAGTAGATTATAATAATAATTATTATAGACTTTAAATGGTTAACAATTCTTTAAACTAAAAATTATCTCGATTAAATAATAGATTTTAAATTAGAAGTAAAGTTTAAAATGAAGAAGATTTTATAGATTAAGAGAAAATGGTTATTACATTTACAGAAATACCTAAAAATTTCGTTTTTAGACATGTATTCTAAAATTTAGAATGCAAATGTAATAATTTATAATTCAAATTAGAATTTATTTAATCAGTTTTAGAATTTTCAACTGAAGATTTTTTAATTCATATTAATTCAGTAAATCCTGAAACTAAAAAAATGTAATTGACATGGCTATTTAATTATATGATAAATTACAAAGAATTCAGTTTAGCTCATAATGTCTTTATTATCAAACTATCTAAATTGATGTAAATTTATTCATATGATGAAATGCATAATTTCTTTACTACATTATCCTCTTTCTTTAAAGTTTCTCACATTTATTTATGGTTAAGAGATTTCTAAACAGGATTCTTTATTAATTAATTTGATGGAAAATAAAAAAAAATAATTTGTACAAAAGGAGCCTTTAGAGATTGTTTAGATACTCGAGAATCAGTAAATAAATTAACTGCACATAAACATATTATGTATTAAAATGATATGGGAGAGGATATTTACTAAGATAGTACATACATCTTTCCTATTATTACTGATGCTGCTCTACCAGCAGGATTAATTGAATTTCATCATCCTATATAAAGTAATAATTTTAGTGATATCTAATATTTTGCATCAATCTTAGGATTGTATACAAAGATTCAAATCTAAAAGATAGATGAGGAAATACACAAAACTTCATTATTAAAATAAACTGATATTTTATAAAGCCAATTTTTAAAGTTAATGAAAGCAATAGATAAATTTCATTTTTGTGAATTAATGAAAGAAATGTAATGTAAAGTAATGTAATTATCAACATCTGAAATTGTTTTTGTTGAAAATAATGGTTTATGGAAATATCATAATGAAGAAATAAAGAAATTAGATAATTTAGCTGGAGTATGTGGTTAAGTGGCTATAAGTAAATAACCTGCATATTTTGCTAATATTTCAAAAGAACTTAATTTTAATTAAATAGTTGATATGTATTCAATTGCTCCTTTATTTATTTATCCTATTGTTCATAATAATGAAACTCATGCTCTAATTTAGGTGTCACTTACTAATAAATAAATAGACAAATATAGATTTAAAGATCCCTTGGTCAGTTTATCGTCTTAATCTAATTAAGCAAGACTATTTTGTGATTATGTTACTACTGCATATATACATAAGTTTTTATGAATATAAATAGGCATATTAAATTTTGAGTAATATATATATATTTTTAAAAATAAATAAAAATTAATGTAAAGAACTGATGTTTTAGCTAATAGAACATACATTTTAATTGTCTTTTTAGTAATCTGCATCTTTGTTGCTCTTTTTGGAAGACAATCATCAGATAATCAAGCAATTTCAGAACGTTTTGAGCCTGAAGTAACAGAATCAGAAATTCGATATTATTTGGAAAATGATATTAATTTTAATGATAGTGATCAATTTGGTATTTAAACAATATAAGATTGGTTACCTATTCAATCTGAATTAGCTTAATTGAATTTAGCATTAGAATATTTTTCACGCTTAAATTTGGAAAAAATATTAAATAAACATGATTAATTAGAAGAAGAAGTAAATTTATGTTTAGATTTACAATTGAATTAAGAATTAGAAAAATATGTAAATTAAATAAATTTGAGTCAAATAAATCAAACAATCAATTAAGATGTTCTTGTAAATTACAATATTTTGTTTGAAAAAAAAATTCAATTAAATGATAGAATAGGAGTGAAAAAGGTTGAAATGGATGCATTGTCATTTGAAGAAAAGGATTTGAAATAAATATATACATAATATTAACTAAATTAAATGGAAACTAATAAATTGTAAAGCAAAAAAAAATAATCTGAAAAGTGTGCTCAAGATATAACTTGGTTGGAATAACAAATAAAAGAATATAATGAAAAAAGATAAATATATTTGTAAGAATAAAAAAATTAAGAAGATTTAACAAATGAATATTAAAAAGATTAAGAATTAGCAAAAAATATGAGTAGACTATTCAAACCTGCAGGAACAAAATCAGTAGAAATTCATGATTAAAAATTAGGAGGAATTGTTAATGTCATAGATTAAAATATGAAATAATATAATACTTCAGAAGTTTTTTTAAATGGATTGAATTTCCATCGAGAAATTTAAAAAAATTATTTAGAAGAAATTGAATTAAATATTATAAGATATGAGAGGACAATAGAAAATAAAAAGAAAGATAAAAATTAATTAGAATAAGAAATTGAAGATTTAGAAAAATAAAGAAAAGAAAAAAATGAAGTTTATTAGAATGCAGTTAGTAGATTAGAGGAAATAAGAAGAAGGAAAACTGATTTAAATAATGAAACATAAATGGAAAAAAAAGAATTAGATTCTGTTATTTATGAATTAAAGAATTACAATCCACAAAGTAATTTATAAAATAATGAATAATTAGAAGCATAAAAGAAATTTAAAAGTATTTAATTATAATTTATTATTATAATAGAATATTTATATTAACATTTGAAAGAAGATTAATTATGTGTTGAAAAATGTATTGAATACGATTCTCTTAATTAATAAATTAATATTGGAAGATATAAAATTTCATTGAGTTTAATTTAAAAACATTTTCTAGAATTAGAACAGAAATTTAAGGAATTCAAAATTTGAATTTTTTATGAAAGATATACATAAATATTGATGTCAACCTATTACATCAAACTAAACTTTAAAGCAATTTATTTTTTTTATCAATTTAAATTTATTATGCTGTTTATAATCCTTTTATAGAACTTTATCTTCCTAAAGGTCTTCCTTTAAATTCACATTAATCATTATTTTTATCTGATTCTGTCTTTGATTCTTTATTTGTATCTTCAGAATGTATTTTTAGAACTTTCTCTTCTTCTTCTTAAGGATATTAAGATAACAATTCAGAATTGTCTTTCTTCATTTTTTCAAGTTTAGAAGGATCCTCTTGCAATTTTGTAGAAATAGTTTTTCTCTATAATACATCCCCAATATTAATTTTTTCTTCTTAAAGTAAAGCTTATTTAGCTTTATTGACAGATTCTTTAGATAAAGGAATAATTTAATTTGTATTAGAATTTCCTTTTCTTAGATCAGTAGCTTAAGATAAACTAATTTAATACCAAGTTATCTTAAAGCAAATAAAGATGTTTCTTATTCTTATGTTAAACCCAAGAATGTTGATTATTTATTAACAATTCTTGGAGTTCCTAAACATAATGTCCTTTCTTTATCACTCATTTAACTTAAAACATTATTCATTCTATTTCCACCAATTGTTTTTTCGAACATTTATTTATTTTTTTCAATTAATTCTTATTTATCTGTAGATTCAATCTTTCCATTTTTTGTATTTTTTTAGATAACATTTAAAATATTACTGTATTCTATTTAATACTTCTTACAAATTTTATCTTAGAATTCAACAAATTCATCATCTTCTTTCATCTATTGACATTTTTCTACTATAGATTTATAGATAATTCTCTTAGCTAAAAAACCTGCTCTTAAAGATTGTATACAATCATCTGGCAATTTAGTTACATCTTCTGCTTATAATTAATATAGCTAATATTCATAAAGAATTTTTACAGTAGATTCACATATAGATATACTTCCATATTCTGATCCTTATTCAAATAATAATTTTTATTCATTGAATACTCCAGAATTTTGAATACATCCAACAATAATGAAATTATGACTTTTTGTCGAAGTAAAAATTAATGTTACACCTTTTGTTTAAAAATACAAACTTGCTGTTCCTCCTTCTGGAACTGTCATTATGCTACCAAACTTTTTTTTAGTTTCCTTAAATAATGTCAACAAAGCCTATTTTTTTTATATGTCAAAAGATCTAATTGGAATACAACGTTATAAATTTTGTGATTTTAATTCTAATTCCTACAATTCGGTGCTCTTTTTAATTTGCTACAACTGAATACATTTTTAAATGAGTTGAATAATTATCTGTCGACCTAAAAAGCAATGGCTCCTTCTCCAAATTCAACTTCTTCATTCTAAACAACTTCAGCTTTTTTGTATACTCTTGTCTTCGAACTTAATTCACCTAATTATAATTTATTATCATACCTTCTTAAACAAAATATATTGGATTCGTTCCATCATTACTTGTAGCTATTTTTATATGCTTTATTATCTAATGTAATTATATATTATGAACTTCATTAATTTGATTTCCTTTAAGATTACTTTCTAACCACATATATGCAGTTGGTCCACTAAAATTTTTAATACAATGCTTTAGATAAACAACATCATCATCTGTCATATTTGAACCTGAACAATATATGATTCATAAATCTAAGTACCTTGCTCTAATATTTATCGCATTTATTCCTTTCTAATATCATCCCAATTTGTTTTTGTATTAACTTAAGACAATTTTTATTACATTTTAGCAAAAAATTAATTAATCAAAATTTATATAAGATTAAGTATACGATTTCCTTCACTAATTCATTTTGTTAGGAATAAATCAATAAAATGTAACTTCTCTATTATATCTAATTATAAGTGATAATACGTAATTTATTATTTTTTATTAATTAATTAATCTCTCTAATACTAATTTAAATATTGAATATACTTTATTTCTTCGATCTAATGATTCTTAAATTAAATTTTATTCATTAAACGAATTAGATATGCTTGAGATCAAAAAAAGATTTATTTTGATAAAAATACTTTGAATTATTTTGTGTAGAACAATTTCCATCAGATCATTAAATTAATATTTAAATTCTTCAGATATCATGAGTAGATTTGCATTTATAATTGAAATATTTATCATGAACATAAATAAATAATCATTTCTAAATTTTGAAGTATTACAAATAATATTTATTAATAAAATTAATCTGTTAATTTCCAAACAAATATCCATATTTGCAAATGTCAACCAAAGTCAAAATTTCCAAAAGAGGGCAAGAATATGAATTGTATTCAAAAGAAAATTACAATCCATTTAGTAATTTATCACTTTGCCCTAAATCAATTATTGCATTAGCTTAATCCTCTTATGATTAATAACTTATAGAATTTACTCTTAATTAACTTAAAACACCATGTAATTTAAAACACGAAACTCATTTACAAAGAATGAGATAAATTGCAGATAAATAAGAAACATTTGTCCATGGTTAGATCAGCATTAATAGTCAAATTGAAACCTAGGTATAATACAGTGATCATTCATTTTATGATTAAATGGAAACAAGTCACAGAAAAAATAGTTTACATTATTTTGATGAATCTCATCAACACTTTTGATTTAGTTATTATAAATTATGTATTCTAAAAAATTACTTATTATAATCTATCAATAAGATTTAATAGAAATTATATGTAAATTTTATTAATCATATATTAAGAAAACAAAATAAATTTTATAAAATAAGATAATATAATATTATTAAAAATAAGTTTCTTAATTAGTTAAAGTTTCCATAAATTTGGAATATCATTTAATCAAATATTTTAAATTTCATTAGATTAGATTTTAAAGAACTAATATTTTTCTACCATTCATAATAATGTTTAGTAATTCGAATAATCTCATATCTCTATCCAATCTTTGAGTTTTAATCTTACCAATAAGCATGGATAAAAAAGGTTCATTTAAATCTTTCATAAATAAATAAATTTGATATACAATTATTTGTTAGATTATAAAATTATTCTGCTAAACATTTAGTTAATTGTTTAATGGTATTAAAACAAGAAAATTATGAAATTGAAAAATTGAATTCATATTCATAATCAGGTTTCAAGACTATGATTACTATATTACTAAATTCATCCTAAAAATATAAAAAAAAGGTTTTACAATTTGTTATTAAGATGATTTTTAGATTCTTTCCCAAATTTTTTTTTATAATAAATTCATTTCTAAATATATATTTGGACTATTTTATATAAATTAAAAATATATACTTTTGCATTCTTTTTATGTTTTCAATAAAAACTGATTAATCTATAATGTCTTAAGAATGTATTGAATTCTTTTTTCTTGATTTTTAAATTTCATAGCTTTCTTAATTTATCAAATTTCTATGTTACCTTATTCAATTATTTTAGGAGTTGATAATGTTTTTTTCAAAATTGAATAATCTTTAAAGCTTTTTGATTTGCCAGTTTTGATCAATTTATGCATTTCTTAACAAAAAGGAATTAAAATTATTAATAATTAAATAAATTTAGTTGTTTAAGAAATAAGTTTAAAACTTTAAGAAATTAAATGCTACAAAGAATGAAAATAATTATACATATATTAATAATATTTCATGAAGGCTATAAGGATTGACCATTTTGGTTATCCAAAAATTGTTAAGCAGCATCATTTAATGGATCAACTTAAAATTATTATAAGATATTTTACCTTGAGAGCCTTCATCAAGAAATTTCAATTTGATTGTGCCATTATATATTAGATTTCCTGTAACCAAAACAAAGAACCCAATCAATTCTAAAACAATAGCCTCCCATCTTGTGTTTTCCCATTTTGCCTCTGGATCTATCCAAGTGATAGCCAATGAAACTGCCCATATAATTAATGTTCTTGATACATCTACTAAGGATCTAATTTATCAAAGAAATCTATACCTAGCCAAAGATGATACATATTTAGTAACTGAAACACCACATATATTGAATGTTGCTATTGTAAATATACCTAAAATAACCCAGAAAAGCAATAAACCACTGGCAAAGATTTGCAAAAAATAAAAATCAGCTCTTTCAAAATAAAACATATCAGTCATTCGTTTTTATATGCAACTACCTTCCATAGAGGTTGGACATTAGATAAATGTCAATGCTATTGCCAAAACAACATAAACTGAAAAACCCCATAATCCTTCAATACCTACTATTTCAAAAGGATGTAAATAATAAACATCAAATAACTTCTCTTCAGAAACAAATTAAAGTCCATTCATCACAACTGATAATAATAATAATCCAACTGATATAAAATAAGCTGCTCCTACTTCTGATTTTGTATCTGAATCATCATTGTCTTTTTTTGGAGGGAATAAAAATGAACTCATTCCTACTAATGTTATACCAACCAATACAAAAAAGCATCCAAACCATTAATACCTTTTAATATGTCTCTTTAAGAAGCATGTAGACATAATTGCTGTTGAGATGATTGCTCCTCCTCTTAACATCTAATAAATCGATGGGGGAATATAATTTAAGGATATATAAGCCAATGTTGAAGCAGTTAAATCACACATTGCTGGAATAGCCACCCAACCATAATTAACCTTTGTTTTTAATCTATTATATATAAATTTTCCATATATACCCTTTTGCTGCTGCTTCGATACATCCTTATTTATAATCTGGCTTTTTCTTAATATTTAGAAATAATAAAATGCACAAAGACTCACCTAAAAACATTGTGACTGCTTGCATAAAAGGATGATTGAAATTTGTTGCTTACCATCCATCAACTGAAACCTTGCTTGTATTTTACAATTTATAGACTTTTAATGGTATATTTACAAATAAGTACCTATTGTATTGGCTGCTCCAGAGAGAATCATGGCAGTGATTAAAAGCGTAATGAATGACGATGATTTATCTCCCATTTAATTAATAAAATTAATTAAATCGCCATTGACAAAAAAAATTTTTACGCAATTATTTACGATTAGACGAAATTTAATACATCATATTTATTATGTTTTATAATTATATATTCTTAGTTATTCTTATGTTTTTTTAGATAATTATGTATATTATATAAAGTATCTTTTTAATTAACGGATTTTTGTGATTTCAAATTAAAAAGCTATTAAAAACGAATTAAATTAAAATTGTCATCATATCTATAATAAATACAATATCAAATATAAATTGATCAATAATTTAAATATCGTTTTTATTATAACTTTGTTAATTGTTATCCAAATTAAATAAGTCTAAAATTAGTAAATACTTTTAGATTTACACGATTTATGGGATAACTTATGAGATTATTTGTCCTTTTAGCAACAATTCAATTCTATTTAATTTCCCTTAATAACTTCTCATCCAAAATTTCCTTAAATTTTACAATATTTAATAATTAAGGAAACAATATTACTCAAAATAAAAATATTAATAACATACTCATCATTTGGGTAGATTTATTTTCTAAGGACCTTTATGAGATATTTATTTAAATTGGCTCTTAATATCTATCGAGATTTTTAATAATTCTTAATACATAAACTCAATAATTTCTAATTTAATAAGTAAAAGTGAATGTAAAATTAAATAATTTATAAAAATGATGAAAATTAGATGGAAAGTTTTAAAATACTAAATCTATATTGTTGATTGATTCATAATATAAATGATGATTTGATTGTGTTTTGAATATTTCAATTAAAATTTACCAGTATAAAGTAATACAAAATCAAATGATTTAGTAAAGTTAAGACAATAATTATAATTCTTAAGCACAATTTAAAAGGAAGACTAATATCATTATTACAAGTAAGTGTTAAAAAAAGAACAAATTATTATATGAAAATAATTGGATCATGACACTTTATTCTTCTTTTACTATAAAAATCTAAATACGGAAAAACCTAGGTTCTCGCTCTAACTTCTGATTCTAACATTCTTAAGATTATTTTTTTTTATACATATTCTTTTAAAGCTTTTTAACATGGAATGTGATTAGCAGCTCTTGGTTTCTCATCAGTTTCTGATTCTTCAAAAATGACATCTTCTGGAGAATAAATAGTCAATTTTTATTAATATATTTTTGGCCCTTTAGGTGGCTCAAGGCTTAAGGGATCGAGTATTTAAGGAGACTCTTTTGGTCTTTGTATTTTTAAAACAAATACTTAATATGAGGTTTAGGAGGTGGTTTATCATATGCATCTAAATATTCTTAATAAGTCATGGAGGAATGATATCTCTATCGAATTTCTTAAGTGTAAAGATTATCCATAATATTTAAATATAAAAATATAAAATCTAAATAAATACTCATTATTTATTTATTCCTTCTGGTTGTATGAATTCTACTTCATCCAAAGCATAATAAAATAAAACACAAGGGTACAAATCATGATCAGATTTTGGTATGTCAAGTTTAAAAGTAGTGTTAGACTGAAATATAAATATATTTAACCTTTTATTTATTGAATATAATAGTTTAGTTATTTGGATCATAAGTGCAAACAATAATATCACCCTTTCCAAATTTGAAACATTTAACAACATTATTTTGATTAGAAGTTGTACTTGACCAAGCACCACCATTTGATGAAACCATATATCCACCATGTCCAAGTGATTAAAATGCAAATCCAAATTATTTATTTTACACTATTGATAAATCACATACACCAATTGCTATCCAATTGCTTTAATGAACACACTAAAAATTGTAGATTAAATTAATTTTACATTTAATTTAAAACCAAATACAGTAGTCTAGTTTTTGTCTAAGGATGGTGTCATAACAGCAAACTTGTATCCATGAGTTGAAGAACTTGCTTTAATTAAAATATATAAATATACCTTTAACTATCTTAGGTGATAATATATCAACTTATGGATGTTTATTGTTTGGTAAAAATTAAAATTACTATACTTTATTCAAAATTGTTTTCTATGTTTTTGATTACAATAATTCAATTTATTATTGGAAAACCTAATTAAATTGTGTTTCTAATTAATGTAAATGATCTTTTTAATCATTAATGTGAAAATCGAATATCCTATTGATTTCTTCATAATTTAGATCTTTTTCTGGGATTTCTTCTACTAATGTATCAATTAATTTCTTAACCGAACTACTTAGCATTTCAACATTGGTTTGATTTTATATAATTGTATCAATAACTGCAACTATATATCATTCATTTTTATATTTACATTAATTTCCATTACTGAATTCTCTCATTTTTACATATTTCCTTAAATTTTCAAAAAAATCCTACTCTAAGTTCAAAATTTTGGATAGTTTATTATTAATTTGTGTTTTTAACTCCTGAATGTAAATCAAAGATTTTTCTTCTTATTCATTTATCTTCTTTATTAGGAAATCCTTTTCATATTATTTTAAAGAAATATTTTAATACTCTCTATATGTTCAAAAACAATATACCTTAATTATTAATCATATTCACACAACAACAATTTTAAAGGTTTTAATTGATGTCCTTTATGAAATTCTTCTTAACATATACAACAACACAAAATTTGCCTTTACAAACAATCCTTTTCAAGACATATTAAACTCATGGTTTCTCCACTATGATCACCTCCAAGAGGACACTAAGGATATTAAAGACTTGAAAATTTTTTAATATTCAATTTGTCATCTGACTTATTCATTTGTTTATAAGTCTTAACCATATTTTGTACCAATTATTTCATTTTTATTATTTAAAATTAAACTCATAATGTACAAAATATAGATTTTTATTAATGTTATATGCAAAAAGAAAAGTATTATCATAAATATTGATTTTTAACTTATTTTATAGTTTGCATAATTAGCCTTATTTAAATTCATTCATTAATTGTAAAAATAATATTTATAAGTTTTAATCATTCAATTAATATTCATATTAATTCATACTTTATCAATAATTTTATGACTCCTAATCAGAATAAGTTATTATTTTATTTATACTTTCAATAATATAAAATCATCAAATTGTTTAAGATATTAAATATTATGTGTGTATTATTATTATTAGATTAAATTAATCTAGAAAACTAAAGATCAAGAATTCTATAATTTGAATTTTATGAAAAGTATTTTCAGACAGAATTAATTAATATATAGTTTGTATATATGGTTTAGTTAAATTAAGATATATTAAACCAGCAAATTGTTCAGTTAAAATTGGATTATTTAGAAAGTACTTAAAATTGTAAATGCAAATGGAATCTCACTCAGATTTTCAAAATACCTTCTTTCAGATATTTTGAATTAATTGTATTTGATAATATCCAAATTAGATAAATTATAACGATTATTTAAAATATTCAAAGGCATTTTTGTATCCTCTCCAGATATATAAATAGTATTTGGTTATTATAATTTGAAGAAGAATGTCATTAATGTTTTACAAAGAAACATCTAAGTTAATTGAAATAAGATAAAACTTAAACCTCAAGTGTTAATAAAAAATCCACATGGTTGGATAGTTATAAATATAAAAGGCTACAATTTTGATTAGTTTTATTGTTATATAATAGTTACATTTTTGATACTCAAATGATACAACATTTAGATGATTTTATTAAATTTATATATATTTATTTCTTATGCATTTTTAATTATCTTAAAACATGAGCTTAGACTTAAGAAGTCCTGTAGAAGATGGTGTTGATGATGACATAAGCTCAACAGAATAACTATGTGATGATTCAGTTGAATCGTTAGAAGAATTCCTTCCGAAAATTCATCAAAAATCAAACCCATCTTTCATTATGGAAGAAAAGATAATTCAATATCTCAAACAATTAAATTTGCTATTTAAAACTGATCCAAGAAAAAAAGAGTTTGAATATTAGTATTTTTTGTTTGTTACACTAGTGAAAAATAAAAAAAAACAATACCTCAGTTTTTAGGTTCTGTTGAGGGCTCACCTGCTATAAAAAGTATCAAATCAAAAACTAAATAAATGATACTATATAAAAAACACTGAAAATAAAAGCCTTTTACAAAACACAAATATAAATAAATGATGACTTATATTACGATCAAGTAATTTTATTTGAAGTTTTCAGTTTTTATTTACTGTCTTGATTACTTTTTTTTAATTATAACTCTCTGGTTTCATTTAGAATTGTAATTTTATCAAATCATAATATTCTTTGATTTATTATTTTTCAAAAGAACCTAAAATTTACAAAATAATCTAAATAACTATTATATTTTTTAGATTATGATATCCATAATATTCATTTGATATGAAGTTTCATTTAATCAATTTTATCTGAGTATTTACTTCTTATTATCCCATTTAAATAATCAATTGAATAAAAAGAATATTTATATTATATTTGATATTAAATATTCTCTATTAAAACCTATAACTTTTGCATTCTTAATTCAATATTATTTCTAATTTAATAAATTTATTCACAATATATATAAAAATAATATAACCTTATATTTGATGTGAGGACAAAAATCTTAAATTTATAATTGATCATCATTAAAAAAAACTAAATTTATACAAGAATCAAATATCACTTTTATTATTCATAATCAATATTTTTCAGAATTTGAAATTATTAAAATAACTATAAATCCATTAATTGTATTTTATTTTTGATATATAAATAATTTGCTCTTTTATTTAATTTTATTTCTTTAATTATATATATATATATAGTTTACAATATCATTATTTATAAATACATATATATAATATATTTATCAAATTTAAAAGTAGAATTATATAAGAGTAGAGAATTTAAAAAGAAGAATCTAAATTTAATAAGGTATTGTTTATTTTATCTTTAATTTAAATAAAAGGCTTGTAATCTTCAATCAAAGATTTAAGTATAATCAGCAATTAATATCAAATAAATATTAGTACTAAATTACATATAATTCTTACTTTAAATTATTATATACCACTAATAACTCAAAAAGGAAAACCTTTTATTGAAATAGAATTTAAAAGATCTAAGATTTAAGTAAATGTAGTAAAATGGATTACACAAGAATTATTTAGTTTAATGATCCTTAATTGTAAACTAAAAAATAATTTAGTATTGATAATTTAATAAATATATAAGCTCGTATGAAATTCATAAAAAATAAAATAAGAGATTTACTTAACAATTTATTGAATGTAATCTATAAAAGGTTTGCTTCACAATCAAAAGGTTAATTTCATTATTAATAATTATTTTTTATTTTTATATTAATAAATTGACTTTATATTAGATATACAATATAAAATTCATCATCATGATATCCTTTATAAAGAACAACATCTTGTTGAGTCGTTTTATTGTTTTTTTAAATAAATCTCCAATTTTGAACACTATTCATAAAAACAATATGATAGAATTGGAAAGTAATGTTCGAATTCCTCATTCCCTTAAAGTCGTTTTATTATTAAAACACAACAACCAAGATGATCATTAATTGTTGACATTTATTGATTACTCAAAAATAAAATGTTTGACCTTCTTATTATCAATTCATTCAAATTTTATAATAAAGCCTAAGAAAAAGCATATTGTGTATCAATCAATTCAATTTATTTAAGTAAAAATTCAATAGTAGAATCTCTTTAGTGTTTAATTTCTTATTTAAATGATGTAGTGAATAGCAATTTAGAATGATTGGATTTATCTTTTTCTTAAATTAACAAATTGATTTTTCTTTTATTTGAACAAACTAAACCCATCTTTCTTTATGATTTTTTAATTTTATAATATAAACAATTAACTTAGTAAAGAAGTTCTAAATGATATATTGTAATTCAATTTAGTTACATTAATTATATTTAATATGACGCATACTCATTTCATAATTATTTTTACTTCTATTTATTAATTGATAACTATAAATAATATTAGAATAATATAGGCTTTGAATTTCATTACTCAAAACATATTATATTTATATATATTTTTCATAAGATTCTAAATATATTATCTAAAATATTATAGAAAAAAATTAAATTAAATTATAATGAATTGTAAAGAACATTGTGCTACATTTTTAAAGTTTAAAATATAAGAATAGAAACCCAATAGAAATATTGCAGATCAAAATCAAGGTATTTCATAGATAAAAGTCATCAAATAACATTTTTTAAATTAGAATAAGATTGTAAATATAAATGTCTAATAAAAGAATAATATTGAGCAATTATAATAAGCAACATTAAATCTATATTATGCTATGTATTAAATAAAGGAAAAAAGAAATATATATATGATACCATTTACTTAATTAAAATTTGATCAATCTGATTGGTTGATTATGGCTATTAAAAACCTAATTGAAGAAAAAAATAAAATTATTGATGAACTTGGAGAAGCAGAAAAAAATAAATATGAAAATGTTTAAATAAAATTTATATTAATAGGCAATTAAGTGGACCTAGAAAATTATTGATTCTTAAGAGGAATTCGATGATTTTTATATATAAATCTTAGAAGTCTCTAAGTAACTTAAAAAACCATAATTAAATGAGTAATTTAGTAATTTGTTAGTTTTACAGCAAAACTTAAATGTTAATAAATTTTTAAAGACATTTTGCTTTATTCAAAATATTAAATTAGATCCAAGCTAATACCCTGAAGTTTCATAATTCTCATCAGAAATAGATGAAAAAATGAATTAAAATTAAAACTAATTTGATAATAGTTCAAAAAGAAATTTGTATTTTAATTTCACATCTGATATTGAATAAATAGACATAGACTTTTGGACATTTTATATGTCAGATTATAAAGAAACAAATAAATTAATAATTTTATATCCAATTATTTAAAATAAAAAAGAAAGGTAATTAAAAAATAATACAAGAAATGAATTAATAATTCCAATTATTTATAATAATTCAGTCCAAGAATATCAAATGAAAATTATTTATAAGTCACTCCTTGAATAATAAATCAAAAATTTCAAACCAGATTACATTTATTTTGAATATTAAATATCTGATTAATTTATATTAGATTTAAATGCTTTAGAATATTTAATAAGATAACTATAAAAAAGTGCAAAATTAATCATTCATTTTAGAATTAGCTAAAATTAAGATTTTTCAGAATATCAGCTATCAACCAATTTGAATGCAATAGTTATGGGACTATAAGGATTGAAATATTCAGAGAGAAAATTTATAAGCGAAAATTAGTATAAAGAAATAGTAAATTGGACATTTGAAATGATGTAGTTGAAAGAAAATTAAAATAAAAATATCAATTTATCACTTTAAAGTGAATTACAATTAATTTAAATTTAAATTTAAAATATATAAAACAAGATATTTGGATTCAAATAAGAAAGAAATGAATTTATATGGATAAAGGAAGATAATGTTAATATTAATACTTAACATTTTGTTTATAAAGATACTATTATATTATATAATAAACTGAATAGAGATATTTATTATTGTTCGCCAAAACCCTCTGTCAAAAATATATAAAATATTCCATAGAAAATTGAATTGTAAATATTAGATCTATTCTAAGCACTAAGATAAATTTGGGTAACTAACAAAATCCAGTTGAACCAAGTATAATCAAAATATAAAATTATTTAATATTTGCATATGGACATAATAAAAATAATAATAATAATGACTAAGAGTTTTCTGATAAAATATGGCTTTATGATTTGTAAAATAATTAATAGTTACCTATTATAATGAGTAGAGACGAGGATTACGATGAATTTAGACTTCCTTACTATAATAAGGTTAGAAATTCTCAAGATATTGTAAATAGAATTAAATGGAGGAGAGCTCCATAAATTTGTAAAAACATTATGTTTAATGATGATAATTAAGACTTTTTATCTTTTATTCTAATAGGAGGTGAAACACTTTAGTAAAAACAAGCTTAATAATCCAATTCTAATTCAATAATGAATATAATAGAAGTTGTAATATTGAATCTGAAAAATTAAAAATTTTGTTCATTTATTGTGAATAAATCATTATTATCTAGATTATCTTCCTTAAAACCTTGGCCTTATTAGACAGTACTTGATGCTAAATTAGAGAATACATATTTTTATTTAGTTTTAAATGGAAATTAAACTACAAGATAGGATTATTATTCATTTCCAAAAAACCCTCAATATCTTAAATAAGCTTAACTTCTACTTTAATCAGAAAAAACATTTTAACTTTTCATCCTATCTATTAAACACTCCTAAGATTCAATATTTTAATTAGATGAACTTGTTGATGATTGCAAACTTTAATATTTTGTTGAGTAAAAAAAGGAAAATAATTGTTTTGTTTGGAAACTTATAATTACCAGATTTGTTTTGATTTCAAATTAATTAATAAATCATCGATTATTGAGGCCATTAGAAGATATATTGAAAAAAATGTAAAAATAGAGTATTCAATTTTGTTAATTATGCTTTTAAGTAAATGTTAAACTGAATTTATAAGTTTAAGAATAATCAACTTAAAGTTACTAAGAATCTTATGTAGAAATAGATTATGAAAAGATTGAACTATTGCAAAATAACATATGACTTTAAATTAATATTTGTTTTGGATATAAAATTGAGTCTTAACATTTATTCTTTAATATTAATTGAATTCTAATGTCTAATTAGAATACTATTATTTACTTTTCATTAATGACATATTCATAGGGTAAAATAAAATTCTTAATTTAACCGAAACTTAGATATTCTATAATTTGGGATGAAAATTATTCAATATCTTTCATATTATAAGAACTCTCTATTCTTTTTTATATTCAAATTTATTTATATTTTTTAATTTTTAACAAACATATTAATTTGTTAATATTCTCCAATTATTAAATAGAATATTTAATTTAATTTAACAAAACTTATCCATAATTATCTCATTCTAAATAAATTAATTTCTAGAGATTTATAAGATTCAAGTTCCTAACTTTTCAAAAATTACTATATTGAGTCATAAATTTTCAATAATTTTTTTAATAAAGAAATTCTACAATTCTATAAGAAATTAAAAAATAAAACAAAATTTAATCCTTAATCTTAAACAAATTTAATTCAATTAATAAAGGGCTATAAAATGAAATATTTCTTGCCAAGATTGTGATAAAAAGTATTATAATTATCAATAAAATTGAATCATTAATTAAATTATAGTATATAATATTGATAGTTATTAGATATAAGAATAAGTTTATAATAAATATATTCAAATAAATAAGGTTGAATTTTTTAATAATATTCATGTAAAATATTTAATTCTCTCTTTTTCTTCTTCTGTAATATCATCAACTACTTGTTCCTCTACTTAAACTTATGCTGGCCATGATCTAACCATTATAGGTCTTCCAGTTCTTTTATGAACAACTTATTCTTTTTATTACTCCTTTTATTTTTTCTATTAATCTAATAAATCTTGCTCTTATTTCATTTACTTAACTATATCTTTTCTAGCTTTAATACAATTTTTTTCTTTTTCTAATACAAGCTCAGGAGCTATTTATCTAAACATCTTCAAATCATTTATTCTCTATTCTAATAGTTTTTCAGTCTCTTTAAGCATTTCAATTCCAGTAATATCTTTTCTTGGTTCAAGATTAACATCAGTCCTATATATTTTAGCTATTTAGTTTTCTAGATTTTTTAAGGGTTCAAAAACTTCACTATCACTTCTTATAGCTTTTAATACTTTGATTTAATCATTAACTTAATCAATTTATTTTAAAAATTCATTTTTTGTTTGTAATGCAGTTTTTTATTTTTCTTCTAAAGTTTTAATCTTTTAATAATATTTATTTTTTAAGTCTTCTACCATTTATTCTCTTTCTTTAGTATTTCCAATAAGAAACAAATTCTTTTCTTCTAATTACTAGAATATTTCTTCCAATTATTTTGGTTAAGTAAAATATGTCACTTATTCATCATCTGAATCATTCAATAATTATTATAGTTCATTATTAATTTAATTATTTTAATTATTTCTTTATAAAGCAACCTATTATTACTATTATTATTATTTTGGTTGTTTTTATTTCATCTAAAATTCTTTTGGAGTAATCTTATCTAAGAACTTTTTGTATTTTAATAGATCTTCTAAATTATCTATTTTTTATTATATTTTAGTCATTAAATCTGTTCTATGTTCTTATAAAGCTTTTATTTCATTATTTTTTTCTTATTTTAATTTAGTTTCTCTTTCTGCTTCTTTTATAGCCTCCCTTGAACTCATTTTATTCTGCTCTAAAAATTTATTAAATAATTCCACATCTTCTTCTATGAGTTATTCACTTTTTTCTAATCCTAATCTATGTAATTTAGTCAATTTCTCAAATTCATCTATCATACCTCTCTTATGATCAATCAACATCTAAAATAATAACATTTCTCTCTTCTTATCTATGAATTAATACATAGGTTCTTTTTATCTAACCCTATTCTTAACAGCATTATCAGCAGCATCAATAATATTTCTTAAATCAATTATATCTATACATCTTTGCATTATATTCCTTGTCATTTTTATCTTCTTCTTTTCCAATTTCATTAATTTCCCTAATACTCAATTTTCCTTTAGATTTTATACCTTTTTCATGAACTCTAAGATTTTGAAACTTGATTCTTTCTTCCATTTTTATTTACTTTTCTTTTTCTTTCATTTTAAAGATTTCATATTCATCAGGAACATAAAATGGGTTTTCAATACTTTAATTTAATCTTTCCTATATTTTTGGTAGCTATGAAGTCATATGTAATTATTTGTTAATAAAAAGAATATATAATAATATATTTAAGAGTGATTTTTGCTATTATAAAAATAAGTATATAATAAATAATTTATTTATATTATGAATATAAGGTATAGGTTAATGTACAATACAAAATTGTTATTACGTATCCTTAGCAAATTGTTTATGATTCTAAAATCTATATTAAATAAGCTATTTGGACATATTGTCATAAAGTGTAAATTTTAAGAATCTTTATTTATCACTATTTTTTTGATGATAAAAATTATGTCAAAAAAAGTTATGATATAATATTATTAAAATGATAATAATAATATAATAAATTAATGAGACTTTTTACTGATATAACATCCACAGTTACTTTAATTGTATAGAGGATCTATATTAGATGATTTAAACCTATAATGTTTGATGATTCTTATATGATATGTTCTAATACAATCTTTAATATTGTTTGTGAATAAATCATTACTCAGCTATATTTTTATAGTAAATAAATACATTAGAATTGTTGTTTACACAAAATATTTAATCTTTTAAATAGTTAATATTTTAGAAGAGCAACGATTATGTATTTCTTAATGAAATTAATAATAAATATTAAATAGTTAATTTATCTGAAAAGACTTATTATATTTACAAAAGTTTCTATATTTCTATATTTCAATTCAAGAATAACGAATTATATTTATTTTATTTTATTATTATTATTTACATGTCTGCAAAGGATTTATTGATTTAATTATTTGGATTGCCAAAAGGAGAAATCATCTTTTAAGATTATTCTTGTGCTTTAAAAGGCTTAATTTCAAAATATGGAAGAATATTCATAGCTGAAAATCATATTTGCTTTTATGCAAATCTTGCAGGAAGCAAAACAAATTTAGTGATTAAATTAGATGATATTGCTAAATTGGATAGTAAAAATAAGAGTGATATTGATATCACCTTAAAGGATGGAAAAACATTTTGTTTCAATGGTTTTCATGACAAAGATTAAGTATACAATCTAATGAATGCTTTAATATCAGGTTAACCATTATCAAATTAAACAACATTCTAAACTACAACAGATAGTGCTAGAGAAGATGATTCCTAAATAGAAAATGCTGAAGTAGAAATTTAATTTCTTTAATCAGGAGCATCTATGGATTAAGAAATGTGTAAATTCACATTTTCCTTTAATTTAGATAAATTTTTTGAATTCTTTCTTGCAGATGATGCACTTGTATATTCAATTGCAGATCATAGATAATCAGAAAAAGATACTGATATTTAATTAACTAAATGGACTCCTATAGAAGATAATCCAACAATGTTCTAAAGAGAAATGAAAAATGTTATTAAGTTAACAGGTGTTCCTTTTAAAGATAAAAGTAAAATGCATAAACTTTTTACTTATAAAAAAGAGGCAGATAAATTAATTTATACTTGCACTACTCATACCTTAGATGTTCCTTATGGAAATTGTTTTTAGGCTGAAGAAAAGTGGGAAGTATCATAATTAGAAGATAATAAATGTTTATTGAAAATATTTGCTTCAGTTGTATTTACAAAATCCACAATGATGAAAGGTACAATTATGAGTAAAACAATGTCTGGTTTAAAGGAAGATTATGAAAAATGGATTAATAATGTTAAAATTAGGTTAGAAGCAATGGCAAAATCATAAAAATCATAAGCATCAAACATCAATCATGAATATGAAGAGTAATTATTCTATCTTATATTAGCTCTAAAAAATTAGATGATAATATTTTAAACAAAATAATGTAAACAAATCAATCTTAATAATAAAAGTAAAATATTTCTCAAAGTTAATTTTATTAAGGGAGAAAATCGGAATTACTTTATTTATTATCCATATTTCTTTTAATTATAATTATGCTCATTTAGATAGGAATATTAAATAAATAATCATAAAAACTTGAAAACTTAGAATAATTAGTATTAAAATTATAATAACAATGATATGTATTATTTTTAATATTTTGATTACATAATCATTCTGTACCTGTTTCTTATGTTGTTTCTTCTGTGGTTTCAGTTGTTTCTTCTGTTGTTTCGGTTGTTTCTTCTGTAGTTTCAGTTGTTTCTTCTGTAGTTTCAGTTGTTTCTTCTGTTGTTTCAGTTGTTCCTTCTGTTGTTTCAGTTGTTTCTTCTGTTGTTTCTTCTGTTGTTTCTTCTCCTTTTTCAGTTGTTTCTTCTGCTGCTTCCTCCTCTGCTTAAGTAGTTTCTTCAGCTGTTTCAGTATTTTCTTCTGTCACTTCCTCTTCACCTGTTTCTCCAGTTTCAGTAGCTGAAGTTTATTCATTTTAGCTTTCTTAACCTTCATGTGATTCTGCTTATGTTTCTGATTCTTAATTAGTTGAACCAGCAGCTTAAGTAGTTTCAGAAGTTGTTTTTCCTTTGTGATGATGATGAATAGTAATTTCGTGAGTTTCATCATCTTCAGATGTTACCTTAACACCAGTTTAAGATCCATTACTTGTACATCCTCCTCTAATAATTTCGATATCTTTAATTTATCCTTTGATCTTGATTACTGTAATTGGAGTGCTTCTGCATTATTATCTACAATTGTTAAGACTGTTTATATATTCTCTCAATAATTTACATAATTCCTTTTTGGCAGCTGCTCTATCTTCGTGATCTATAATAATTATTTCATTTATATTTACTTTCAGAATCTAAGGCATGACATTATTCCCTTAAGACTTTTACTTGGCTTAAACCAATTTTGCTTTTTGTAAGTGGTAATTCTAATTTGTGTAATTTCTTTAGCAACTTCTTTCCTGAAACAGAGACTTATGCTTCTAAGAAAGAATGATGTTTTGTTGTTAACATTTTTTCCATTTATTCAAGGATCTTGATATCATGAGAAATGGCTTTTTGATGAATTAATAAATCCTCCCATTGTTTCATTTGTTTTTCTATGAAAGAAAATTGATCTGATCTTGAGCAATCCATTGTTTTAACATTAAAATTTGCTAATTCTTCCAAAGACATCATTTGCTCAGTGAATGCAAAAGCACTCAAAGCCAAAACTAATAAAATCAAAGCTTTCATTAAAAATAATATTCACAAAAACGAATTCACAATATTCCTTCTAAAATATTTTATTTAAAATATAAAACCTAGAAAAAAATAATAATATTTTAAAGATAAAATAGGATAAATTACAAAGAATTCATAATTATTATATTAGTCTAATGATAAAATATAATAAAGATCATAATTATTTTTAGTATTTTCAAAATAATAATTAATGATAACATTTTNTTCTGTTGTTTCTTCTCCTTTTTCAGTTGTTTCTTCTGCTGCTTCCTCCTCTGCTTAAGTAGTTTCTTCAGCTGTTTCAGTATTTTCTTCTGTCACTTCCTCTTCACCTGTTTCTCCAGTTTCAGTAGCTGAAGTTTATTCATTTTAGCTTTCTTAACCTTCATGTGATTCTGCTTATGTTTCTGATTCTTAATTAGTTGAACCAGCAGCTTAAGTAGTTTCAGAAGTTGTTTTTCCTTTGTGATGATGATGAATAGTAATTTCGTGAGTTTCATCATCTTCAGATGTTACCTTAACACCAGTTTAAGATCCATTACTTGTACATCCTCCTCTAATAATTTCGATATCTTTAATTTATCCTTTGATCTTGATTACTGTAATTGGAGTGCTTCTGCATTATTATCTACAATTGTTAAGACTGTTTATATATTCTCTCAATAATTTACATAATTCCTTTTTGGCAGCTGCTCTATCTTCGTGATCTATAATAATTATTTCATTTATATTTACTTTCAGAATCTAAGGCATGACATTATTCCCTTAAGACTTTTACTTGGCTTAAACCAATTTTGCTTTTTGTAAGTGGTAATTCTAATTTGTGTAATTTCTTTAGCAACTTCTTTCCTGAAACAGAGACTTATGCTTCTAAGAAAGAATGATGTTTTGTTGTTAACATTTTTTCCATTTATTCAAGGATCTTGATATCATGAGAAATGGCTTTTTGATGAATTAATAAATCCTCCCATTGTTTCATTTGTTTTTCTATGAAAGAAAATTGATCTGATCTTGAGCAATCCATTGTTTTAACATTAAAATTTGCTAATTCTTCCAAAGACATCATTTGCTCAGTGAATGCAAAAGCACTCAAAGCCAAAACTAATAAAATCAAAGCTTTCATTAAAAATAATATTCACAAAAACGAATTCACAATATTCCTTCTAAAATATTTTATTTAAAATATAAAACCTAGAAAAAAATAATAATATTTTAAAGATAAAATAGGATAAATTACAAAGAATTCATAATTATTATATTAGTCTAATGATAAAATATAATAAAGATCATAATTATTTTTAGTATTTTCAAAATAATAATTAATGATAACATTTTGAATTAAAAATAATATATATAAATTGATTTTCTAATTTAATTTCTAAATTCTTAAGAAATGAGATCTCTTTAAGTTTATTAGCTCTAAATAAGGTGTATAAAAAGATAGGGTTTACTTGATTTTAATAAGCTTCTTAGAGACATTTTATAAAAAATTTTTAATTAAATAATCAAAATAGCATGTTTTCTCTACTATCTTAATTTATTATGATACTAAAAGCATAGGTAACTAATTAACAGAATAAATGTTCTTTTATTAAAAATTGATATATTTAATTTAAATATTTAAGTTTACTAATATAATAGCATTAAGAACTGCTTTAATTAATATTTACTAATTCTTATTATCATTAGGTGGACAAATTCTAGTGGCAAGCTATAAATCATCAAATTAGAAATTTCAATTTTTTAATCAAAAATTATATTAAAGAAAAAATAATATTAATTTTACAAATTAACAATATGTTTTGCTACTTTTAGTGAACTAGATTGATTACGATAATTATCCTTTCATTTTTGAATAAAATTATATCTAAATTTAAGTGGATAGATACTATTTTCAAAAATAAAGAAAATAATAAATCAAGAATTTGAAATTTGATAATTTATTTTTAATATTAAATTTATTTATAAATCTATTCACTTCTCTCCTTTTTCATACCATGAAATTTCTGTTTAAACTGACCAATTATCAGAATTAAAAAGTGATAATTTTTAATAAGGATTGATTTAGCCAGATTCTGACAAGGAAGTTTCCGATTTGTCTATTAATTTATTTGATTATATTTTGGAATTATCATCATTAGATTATTTGGGATAATCTATTTAACGATCAGTAAATAATTAGCCAGATTTCTCATTTTATTTATTTTTTTTCTAAGTTAATGAGATAGTGAATTCGAAAGTAAAAAATAGTCCTTTCAAAATATCTTTTTCAAAATTGTCTTCATTTTATATTTTTGTTTTTTAATCTTTTTTAAGATTGTCTTATGTTTTCTATTTAGTTAAAAATTACAAGTTTTTGATTTTCATATAATTAGTATAAATTGCTTTCCATCTCCATTAATTGTTATTGATTTATGATTATGATTCATTTTAATCCTCTATATCTATCCAATTCACATCTTCATTTATTAACTCTAAAATATTAAAACGATATTCAGAATCATTAGAAACTTTATATTAAATATCTATAAATATAGTTCTATATTTATCTTTTGACTTTTCATGAATCCAAAAAAAAACTAATTATGCATTACAAAGATTTTGAGGATTCAACATTGCTTCATAATAATTATTTTTAGTTTGATTCCAAGGTCTTAATATTAAATAAGCACAAATTATTTCACAATCTTTACCTAATGATTAAAAGTTTCTAATGGGTAAAACTAATTAATATGGAGATGGTTTAAGACTCCCTTCATATGGATTTGTTCGTCTTTTTATAAATTTGGAGAAAAAATAATTATTTTTAACATCAACAAATAAGTATTCTATCAAATTCATGGGTTTAAAGGAACTATATAAAATATATTAAACAAAATTACTCAATAATTTCACCACCAAACAGACTATAAATTTAATATCCCTAAAAATATTCTTATAGTAAAGTGTTTGATTGATAACAGACTGTTTAACCAACTATTTTTTATTCCCTTAATTATTTGATTAACTGTTCTGTTTTAGTATTATCTTCGAAATACAATGTATCACCAATTTTATAATTCTTTTAATCTCTTTAGATAATTTACCAATTGTTTTCAACTAAACTATAACTTAAAATAACATCTTCATTCCCTTTCAACTTTTAGTATTCATTTTCATTATTTTCTTGGATGTTTTAATCATTTATAATTGGATATGCAAATAAAATATATTGTTAATTAATAATTACTATTACATTTATAATTTTGCCTTTTAAAAATTAATTTTCCTTGAATTCAGTGCTAATTGATATTTACAAAGAATTACAAAACAAATTTTTCATCTTAATTTTTTTATGAATCATTAACATTGGTTGATAAATCTTTAAAACAATGATAATAGAACTTTTAATTATTAAAATCTAATAAAATAATTATTTTATTTTAATATGAAATTACAACTCTGTCAAATTTAATTATTTTTTTTTGTTAATTCAGAGCTGTAATTAAATAATGATCCTTTTCCCAGATCAAAAAAAACCTTCTTTTTTTCCTTCTCATTTGAATGATATGATTTTTTTTTCCCTACAAACATAATTTTTGCTATTACAAATAATTCACAAGTTGATTTTATTTAAAATTGTCTTTTATAGTTTTATCAATATAATTAATTGAATCGTCTATTTTTTCTAAAATTAATCGATATGATTAGAATTTTCCTACATTATAAATTCTTTATAATCCAAACAAACAAGCATTGAGTGTTCTCGAAAATTCTAATGATGATTTTTCTAAATTTTAAGAGTTCATATCATATTTAATGTGTATTACAACTCTACCAAACTTCCTTAATTTTTTAAGTAATTTTTCCAAAGCAGTTAAATTAATTGAAAATTATTCAGTGTTACAAATATCAACATAAATAATTGTTGGTTTCAATTAAATGAGTTTAGTTCTGATATAAAAATTAAAAATAATTTTCATCTCAAATTCTTATATAATATTCTTAGAAGATGGAATTATTATTTATCTATGATTCGGTTTAAAATTTTAACATTTCTAAGAATCAGAAATTGAAAAGTATAAACAAAAATTTTAATAATAGTAATTGATGTCTGTCCAAAATTATAAATTATCTAAGGATTCATGTCCTGTTAAATTTATGTAAGCAAATTTTGGAAAATCGATGATTTAGTTTTATTCATATTCTTTATTATTATTAATAGTAATACCTTAACAAAATATAGATTAGATAACTGATGAAATATGCAATAAAAGATTATGCTTTGGGTGGAAATTTTAATGTAAAAGAACAACATTTTAATATTCTTAATTCAATCCCTAATTTTAATATATATTGTTTAATTACTTCCTTCAAAACCATATAAAGATTAACAACTTAAAATAAAAAATCTTAATTTTCTTCCATCTATAATTAATCCAATAATTCTAGCAACATCTAGCTCTATCTTTTATCCTTTATTTAAGCAATTCTTTCCAATTATCTTTATTTATAACTTTAGAATTCAAATAATTTATTATTGAATTGTGTATCAATAAAGTATTGTTTTGATAATTTTATATTAATATCCTTAGTATTTTCAATTTAATCATTATATATTTCCTTATCGCTATTTTGTTTTCTTTTTCGAAACAATGAATAGTAAATTAAACTCTATTAATCACCTATACTCTTTTTTATATCATCTTTTTCTGTTTACTATTTAAATAAAGCTTGCTATATTATGCAGATATCAATATAAATGTAAGAAAAATTAGCAGCTACTTTTTCGATATTGCTGATCGTTGCAGAATTTTTTCCATTCATCTCTATTTATTTATTGGAATTCATTTTTTAGATAAATAATATATATATTAATTTATATAAATAGTTATTGGGACAATATTTTGCTTTGTTATTTATTCATAATTTAATAAAATAATGAAGCATCATAATAAATTCCAATTAATAGATTATTTTTTGTTTTTCTATTATGTACTCAATATTTTTAATTAGAGTTCCTAATTTTAATAAATTTTCTATACATTATAAACTTAGATAGACATAAAATTACTTTATTAATTAACAAATTATATATTCACAATTATTCTATAATATTTTTAAATGCATCCATATCAGATAATTAATATTTCAATTCTTCTGCAGTGTATTTACATTAAATCTTCTTTATTGTATACTTAAAACCCATTTTTTATTATTTGACTTCTTTTATAGTTAATAGATTATAATCTTTTAATAAATTGAGATCTTCTTCAAAATCGACACTCAAGGGTAAACTCATTTTATATTTTATTTCATTAACCTTGCGTATAAGATCTTATAAATCTATATCAAGTTAAACTGAATCTCTTTTTAATAAGGCAGTAATTCCTAATAGAATTATTTGCTGATGTAAAGTCAATGTTGTGACAACGCTCTTCATTTTGTTATCAATTACACTCATACCTATTTCTTTATTGACAGCATCTGTTGTTATTTCATTATTGTCTCTTAAAGTTCTTTTGATAATGTCTAATATATTTCTCATATCTCCTCCTTTATCATTATAGGCTCTTATGGTTAACAATTTGATAGCATTTTCATCATATTTTCTATATATATAAAGGGATATATTGTTACAATATTTCCATTTATTTTAGAATATCTAAAACTAATTCTTATAACTATTAATTTGTATAGGGTTTCAGAATTAAATTTTTATATAAAGGAAGCTAAAATTTGTATCTCACAGATTAAGTTTATAGAAATTCTATATCATTACTAATTCCAATAATGATAGCATATTTGGATAATGAGAATAAATCAAAGGCTTCCTTTTCACTTACTTTGAATAAATTGTCAAATTCATCAATTATGATGATACTATTGATTATTATTAATCATACGTATTTAACTCTTTAAGTTTATCCATAATAATTTATCTTGGTTATTATTTGCCAGAAGAGTTCTTAATATTCAATTGTTTTTTACAAATGTTTAAGAACTCTAGATAATTTTTACATTGCATTGCATTAATATAGATAGTAGTATAATTATTCTGCCATTACTTTATACATTTTGTTAATAACATAGTTTTTCCACATCCAGGTTAACCTGTAATCATTAGAAACTTTTATTCATTATGAGATGTTATAAATTATTGAATTTCGTATTCTTCTATTTCTCTAAATTTCATTCTTTTAATAAGTAAAGTCACATTGCTTTAAGTATTATCTAAATCATCATAAGAACTAGGTTATTTCTTATTATTTTATAAATCATGTTAAAGAGATTGTCTTTTCTTTTTCATTAATTTATATATTATGCCGCTTAAATTAGCGTACCATTTATATAAAATATATAAAATATCAAGTTTCCTTTTTCTTTTGACTTTTTTATCTTGCTAATAATCTATCTTAAATAGACTTTGATTAATTTTGTAATTAAGATTCAACCACATTTTATTTATTTTATTGTTCTTCTTAAATTAATAATTTAGGAATAGGTGTTTCATTATTTTCATTTCTGAATTCAATTTTAGGTGATCTCTTTTTAGAAGATGATTCATCCAATTTTTATATTTATTTTGTTTCATTAAATTAAATTTATGGAGATTCATGATTCTTCATTATAATATCTGGATTCTCTTTATTCTTTTTACCTTCTTCAATCAAATTTTATAGTTGAATAACAAGTTTCTTATTATCAATTTATTAATATTGATCTTCATTTTTAGGAGTAGCATATTCTGTTGGTTTATCAATTCTATCATTAAAATCTTCAAAATCCTTAAAATAACTAACATCACTGCTTATAATTTATAAAGGTTATTGACTAATTTATTAATATTCATAGATTACATTTTCCTCTCTGAAGATTATAATGATCTAGGTTCTCTTTATGTAAACTTATCAGCCTATTAAATTATATTCCTAATTTTGTCTAAAAAATAATATTTAATAGGATCCATTAGAGTATCATATTATTAAACACATTCTTAATACATTCCTACTAATTAATCCACCATATTAATTTATTTAATTGGAGACAAATTAAATTTATTCTCCATAGTAGACATAGTTAAAAAAAATTGTTTCGTTAAATTCATTTTCTTTTATGTTCCTTATTAAACTTCTTTGTGGTTCTATTTATACAGAAACTCTGGAGTCATGAATTATTCATCTATATAAAAAGATCCTTTTGAACCAGATTTATTCTCTTCTTCTCCTTTCTTACCTTAAATACTCTCAAATGCCTATTTAAATATTCTCATTAAATGTATTAAATATATTATAAATTCATTTCTTTTTGATCTCCACATCCTTAGTGAAAGCATACTCAATCCAACTTCCATCATATAATGAGATATTTTTCAATCCTATTCTTTCTAATGCAATATAAATAACTGCAGCTGTTACTCCTTAATAACATGAACAAATTATATTTCTATTCAAATCAATATTGAGACTATTAAGAATTTCTTTAATTTCTTCAGCCTAAAAAATAAATCCATTATGATACAGTCTTCAATAATCCTGTTTTTTAATCAATTAATTGAATGAAAGGTAATGAAGTTGAATATGGCATATGACCATTTGGTAATGCAGGATTGAGTTCAGGTACTTCCCCATTAAATGAAGTTGCTGGTCTAGCATCTAAAACATAATCTCCTTTCTATCCTTTATTTTAATTCTCTATATTTTTAAGAATGAAATCAAGTTCTCTTAACATATGAGGTTAAGGAGTAGCCTTGTATTTTGCCTACTTAATTTAAGGTGGAGCATCAGAAACTGCACAATTTTCTTTAATCCAAGCTGGAAAACCACCATCTAAAACAGATATATCTTTATGTCCAAAGTATTTGAATTGCCAATATACTCTTGCAGATGTAAAGATATTCAATCCATCATAAACTACTATTTGATCATTATTACTAATTCCCATATCAGATACAGACCTTAAATAGATAAATTTATACCTTTCAAAATCTTCTTTTTTTGGAAGCATATGAGGTAAACTAGTTTCTTAGAGACTGTTTGCATCAATATCAAAACGGATTGCACCAGGAATATGTGATTTTTTATATTCTAATTCTGCATTACGATTCATTTAAGGAAGGTACCATGAACAATCTATTTTCAACCTTTATTTTACCTAAAACTTTGACTTTATTGAGATTTTATTTCAAATATTATACTGATACTAATGGTGAAGGAAAGGATGAAAAAGCATATCTTGCAGATCTGATAAACATTATTTTAATGATAATATGTAATTTTTACAATTCTTATTTGGATTTTTATATTGAAATATTCTATATTCAAATCAAATATGAATAAATGTAATAATCAGAAAAATATTTGATTGTGAGAGTAATTGTGATAATATTGTGCCTTTTGTCAATGATTGGATGTTCTCTAATTTTATGGACATTATTCAAAACACCTAGATTAAGTAAAAACCCAGGGAGTATTATTTAAAGAATGACCATTGCCTAAATTGTATTGAAAAGAATGTTATTAGATTATTACATTTTTGATGCTATTTGCTTAATTTTACATTGATAATGATGATAATAAGATTGGTGCTGCCTTTACAATATCATCTAATTTTTGCTCATTTCTAGGGTTTAACGAGATATTTTTCTCATCTGAATATATACTCTATAATGTTTATNTGAAAGGTAATGAAGTTGAATATGGCATATGACCATTTGGTAATGCAGGATTGAGTTCAGGTACTTCCCCATTAAATGAAGTTGCTGGTCTAGCATCTAAAACATAATCTCCTTTCTATCCTTTATTTTAATTCTCTATATTTTTAAGAATGAAATCAAGTTCTCTTAACATATGAGGTTAAGGAGTAGCCTTGTATTTTGCCTACTTAATTTAAGGTGGAGCATCAGAAACTGCACAATTTTCTTTAATCCAAGCTGGAAAACCACCATCTAAAACAGATATATCTTTATGTCCAAAGTATTTGAATTGCCAATATACTCTTGCAGATGTAAAGATATTCAATCCATCATAAACTACTATTTGATCATTATTACTAATTCCCATATCAGATACAGACCTTAAATAGATAAATTTATACCTTTCAAAATCTTCTTTTTTTGGAAGCATATGAGGTAAACTAGTTTCTTAGAGACTGTTTGCATCAATATCAAAACGGATTGCACCAGGAATATGTGATTTTTTATATTCTAATTCTGCATTACGATTCATTTAAGGAAGGTACCATGAACAATCTATTTTCAACCTTTATTTTACCTAAAACTTTGACTTTATTGAGATTTTATTTCAAATATTATACTGATACTAATGGTGAAGGAAAGGATGAAAAAGCATATCTTGCAGATCTGATAAACATTATTTTAATGATAATATGTAATTTTTACAATTCTTATTTGGATTTTTATATTGAAATATTCTATATTCAAATCAAATATGAATAAATGTAATAATCAGAAAAATATTTGATTGTGAGAGTAATTGTGATAATATTGTGCCTTTTGTCAATGATTGGATGTTCTCTAATTTTATGGACATTATTCAAAACACCTAGATTAAGTAAAAACCCAGGGAGTATTATTTAAAGAATGACCATTGCCTAAATTGTATTGAAAAGAATGTTATTAGATTATTACATTTTTGATGCTATTTGCTTAATTTTACATTGATAATGATGATAATAAGATTGGTGCTGCCTTTACAATATCATCTAATTTTTGCTCATTTCTAGGGTTTAACGAGATATTTTTCTCATCTGAATATATACTCTATAATGTTTATTTTCCAATAAATCTATACTTTTCACTCAAAACACAGAACTTTAATTTTACTAAATATTTTAAATAAATGGAGATAATCTCTTTCATGTTTTCATTTGTATTTACTATGACAATGCTCCTCATACATGATATTAAAATAAAGTATATTTAAATTAATATAATATAGTTTTGTTGGAGTATGTGGTCTATTTTTATAAGAGATATCTACAATTTTTGGTAGTATTTTGGCAATCATAACAATAAGTGTTTTAATATTGTTAATTTTCATAGCATCTGAAAAATCATCATTCAAAACTACTCTTTATAATAAAGATTCAGAAAAATTTCACTTTAAATATCAAAAAGAATTCAAAATTGTTAATATATTATATACTACTGTATTTTTAGTTACTTATTTGATTCCAACATGTCTTATATTTTTGAGTTAATCAAATAATTAAAATAACAATCATTACTATTTACTTCCAATTATCTATCCTTTAGGAGGTATATTACTTTTTTTGATCAGAATAAATGATCCAATTGTTAAAAAGTACTTATATAATGTATTAACTGGAAAGAAGAAGAAAAATTAAAATAATAAATTAAAGGATAAACTTTTACAAAATTAGGATGTATTAATTAAATTTTATATTAGTTTAATATAATTGAATAGATTAGTATTGATTCTGGACTAGAAATCAGTGTTTGTAATAATAAGAAACTTAGATATACAGTTAAATAAGTACTGAGTGAAAAATAAATATAATCAGATATTACACTTACTTCACATTTTGGAAGTGGATTTTAAACTAAATTAATTAAGAGTAATTAAGAATTATTTATTTTATTACTATCTATTAAAAATGCTATTAATTAATGTATTTAATAGAAGTCATATTCATTTAAAAACTTAAAACCATTTAATTTTAATCATATTACAAAATATTCATTATATTTGTAAGATGATTTTAAAGAGATGGATTAAAAGTACAAAAATTTTAATGTATATTTATTAAATAATTAGAATCTGTGTTTGAAGGATTATGTTAATGAATTATGTTATAAAAGAGTAATATATTGTTATAGTTATGCTAGCAATACTCTGATTCATCTTTTTAGTTAAATGTTAAATATTGATTTAGATCAATTAAGAACTAGTTTAAAAATTGAATCAAATACTAAAAAAATAGTCAATACTAAATTACCTTCATCATATGGACCCATCTTTTTGACTTATGATAATTATTTTTCGATTGAAATTATTTCAAAATAACATAAATTACTTTTAACAAAGGGAGGAGGGTTGATGAATATTTGTAAACGTTATCAAATTGAATATAGTAAATCAAAAAATGGTAATACATTATTACCTGCTATTTTGGGATTGTATACAATATAAATTGAAGAAGATAGATTTATAAATGTTGTATTAAAGTTAAATTAACTAAAAATAAATTATCCCTTATAAATAAATTAAATTAGTATCCCAGAAGAATAAGATCATCTAATTTAATAAGATGTATTTGGTTGGATATAATTAAGTTTAGAAAAAGGATAATTTAAGTTATTTATAGCAGAAAAATTATTTGATGATAAATTTTAAATTAGAATTGAAGATAATGATTTCAAGTTATCTAAAAGTGCAGCATAAGATTTATTGACTATTTTAAGTAAAGATATTGAAGAGTTCTGTTTTTTTAGAAATCTAACTTTATCTTTGGTTTATTTTAAATTACCAACAAATAGATTAGATTCTATGTGTAAACATGAAAATTCATTATCTTATCATTATTAATTAATTAAGAATAGTTAATAAATGACTCCATTATAGATGAATGAATATTTTAAAGGTTTAGGATAATTTGAATTAGATAGTAAAATAGGATTCGTTAGAATATATATAGATAACTTTTGGCAAGAATGGGAATATATATAAGAGAATGAGAGATGTTTTTATTTTGATAAACTAACAGAATAGTTATCAGAAATAATTTGATTTCTTTATTTGATAACAAATAATTAAAATTAATACAAATTTATTCAATTTGCTAGTTCCATAGATTATCTTCTTGTAAATATTTCCACTTTCTTATTTTTATTATCTACTTAATCTTTAAAATCTTTTTTTCTTGACTTCTTCTTCTTATCACTATCAACTATATATTAATAAATTAATATTTACTTCTCTCTATTTATATTTCTTAAAAGATTTCAAATATTCTTATATAAGGAAATATTTATGTATTATTAGAATAAGAAAATAATCTTAAAAATAGGAAATCATATTGTTCAGTTGTTAAATCTATATCCATATATTCAAATGTTTCAATTATTTATTTTCTCTCTAATAATCCTTCATATTTACTTGGTAATTAATCGAAATATTATTTCAAACTATTTTTGTATTTACTAATAACCTTATAATCTTAATATATATATATACTTAAGTTATTTCCTTTGTTTTTTAAGTTTCAATTTCAACAGTCATGATTTCAAAGTTTCCAACCAACTTTTACAAAATACTCCTTACAATTGTTGTAGATTAAGTCAATTAATCATTATAAACAACAAATTCTTAAGAATTATCTTCTGTAAGATATCGTGCAACTAATAAAGCAGAATCTTCATCAATTAATAAAAATGGTTCTCTTTATAATCTTTCTGATATCTCTTTTAATTTAATTTCTCCAGTCTTTTTATTTTTATTGTCAAATAAATATCTTTCAATGGCATCTGGTAATGTAATCTTTTTAGTTCTTAATCTATAATTTAATTCTAATCCTAAATGTTCTACATCATCTTTTTTAATAACCTTAAATTTTTATTACTATTAATTTTTATCTTGATTAATACTATCTGGAGTATTATTTTAATTTAATGGTCTCTAAGTTTTTATATTAAGAGTAGCAGCAGTTGGAGCCAATTTATGTTAAATAGATGGAACTGTTTCTTTTAATCTAGATTAAGCATTAATAAGTAATAAATGTTTATATTTTTCATCTAATTCTTCATAAGCTAACTTAAGTTTTTTTAATTCTTCTTATAATTAATCTTTAATTTTTGCTTCCATTGATGATTTTTCATTTAATTTTTATTTCAATTCTGTTGTTGTTTTATCTAAATATTCTATATCTCTTGTTTTCTATTATAATTCTTTTCTTAATTCCTATTCAATTTTAACTAATCCTATTATTCTTAATTGATTATTATCTAATTTATTTGCTTTTTATATAAGATTCTAATTTGTATCTTTATATGCATCCAATTCTTCTTAAAGTCCATCAATATAAGCTAATTTATCTTTAAGAGTCTATTATAAATCATCAATCACTTATTTTTATTTATTTAGAACCTTTTAATCTGTATCTATTTGATTTTAAAGTTTAAACTTTTCTTCTTATTCAATTGAAATTTGACCTTAATAAAATGAATTTTCTTATTTAAGAGAATTTATGATTTGCATTTAAATGTAAAATTTCTCTTCAAATTAATTAAAATCATGAGTCATTTAATAAATCTATTCATTTCTTTAAGATTATTCTAATAATGTTCTTAATCTCAGAGTTTCCTCTTAATATACATTAATTTCTTTTTCTAATTCTTATATTTTTGTATATTTAATATCATGTTTCAAATTTTATATTTCTTCATTCTATTATTTAATCATTGTTCTTAACTCTTTTATTTGCTTCTTTAAAGTTATAGTTAATAAATTCTATATGAATTTAATTTTAAATTAATACTTCACTAATTCCTAATTTAGTCATTAAAGCTAAATCCTATTTATCAGCAACATATTTTTATTATAAATATCCTCCCACATTTTAAACTACTGTTTACATTCGCTCAGTATTTTTATTTAAAAATCTCATTTTTGCTTTTAGATCATAATTTTCTTAAGTTAACTTATTTATAATATCTTTCAAATAGACAGTTTCTGCATATAAATCATCCTATTCTTATAAATTTATTTATTTACTTTATCTTTAGCCATATTAACTGGTATTTTTTTACTTAAGTCTTACACAACAGGTGAATTTCTAAATAAATACTTTCAAAAAATTACTTTACAATTTCTGTATGATTAGTTTTACTTTACGTAACTGAACTATCATTAATTAAATTAGTTTTTCTTGTAGATAGTGTTCTAAATTTATTAGGTGATGGTTTCAATACAAATTTATCTAAATCATTCTATTCACCTACTCCAGGAATAAGCATCTTTAACCCATTTGGAGACACCTTTTCAAGTTTTTTAGTATCATATATAATGCCTGATTAAGGACGACTTCTAATATGACTGAAAGTCTTAGACGCAATCCTTTTGTTATTTAATTTCTTTACATTATAAAGGTTTTTGGATGTAATATGTTTTATAAAATAAAATAAAATTCAATACTAAAAAATATTCATTTGACATTCCCCGTTTATTTTTTATATATCCCTAATTAATACTCAAGATGAGTTACTTGGAATGAATTATATTTATTTTATTATATTTAACAACTTAACAATATTTAAATTCTAGTGATTCTTTATATTTAAATCACTCATATTGTTCTTTTATTAAATTTTGACCTAGTTTTATAATAAATAGAATTAAATAATAGAGAAACGTAAAATATCAATACAATTTGATTTATTCCAATTATAAATATAAATAATGATATTATTTTATGACTAAAATTTAATCCTTATTTTTACTATATTTAAAATATGATTCTTTTGATTTCAATATGTCAAAGTTATTGATATTTTTATGTAATACTTATAAAAAAATAATTATATATAAGTTTTGATTTATTTAGTTTAATATATAAAAATAAAGAGTTTATTTGGTATTTTAAATAAAAAAAATAAATAAACAGAAAAAGTATAATCTTAATCAGGACAATGAAGCAATTATGAAAACTTATTTATAAAAGCAAAAAAAGAATCGTATTGTTGTTATTAGATTAATTGATTATATTATAAAAATAAGTAATAAAAGGATTGAGTGCAAATAAAAGATATTTCATTATATTATTAATTTAAGGAATGAACTCAAACATCTTTGATAAGGATTAATTCAATAATAATACATGGGATGAGGACTCAAATCAGATATGTTGTGAATCTCCAGTCCTTTTTGGTGTTCCATACCATAAAAAAATAGATGATAATGAACTTTCTATAATCCATCTTCAGTATCATTCTGACACAGCAGAAGAATAGTATAGTTAAGAAGATCAATTCCTAATCCCAAATACTTAGAAGAAGATATAAAAAATATCCAGAAAATATAAATCAAAAGGTAAAAAAAAATCAAACACTTTCAAGAATATGATTGAAGAATTTGTTTCTTTTGTTCATTTTTCAGGGGAAAATACAAATTAATAAATACATTATTGTTAAAAGATGAGAAAAATGATTGACAATCTAGAAGGCATATTATTCTCTATGAAATAAGAAATCTTAAGCTAATATTAAAAGAAGAATTCAATTAATAATTGATCTTATTGAACTTTATATTTTTCAATCAAAAAATAATATCTTAATTTTTAAATTATTATGATGTTTTTAATACATATAGATAATAATTAATAATAATTTGCAAAGATCTTTTACTCATTGTACTAAAATTTAGAAATTAGAAAGATTTTATATTTATTTAATTGGTGAATGCTTAACATTATTCAAAATAATATATAATTATTATATTATTAATGGGGCTTATTGATCAAAAAAATTAGAGATATTATTTATTAAATTATATGGTTTTTAGAATTAATGCGCATTAAATTATAGAAATAGTTCAAATTCAAGATTTAATAATTAAATCGAGTCAATCATCACAAGAGCTGAATTTTGAATATCTTTCAATTGATAAAATTTATTTTTTTAAAAATCTAACCATGGATCAGAGTGCATTCTTATACGATAATTTACCTCAACCTTTAGAGAATAATGACCTGATGTCTGAAGAATGTCATCAATACATTTCTAAAATGAATTTAAATAAAACCTTATTTAGAATTCAAAGTCCTGAACCTTCAATTCAAGATGACTTTCTCTAAAATGAAATTGACTAATCTTTTGATGTAGATTTCATGTATGTAAATGATGAGAATAAATGTCCTTATGATTAAGATGAAGACATTTAATGTTCTAAAAAGATTTAAAAAGCAAAAAAATTAAAAAAGAAGAATAATGATAAAAGAGGACCTTTGTCTGAAAAGGAATTTATAGAAATAATGAAAAAATTGGAATAGTGCCAGTAAGTTATGAATATGATTGACAATATGACTATGATATTAAATGGATTTAAGCACTAATTATAGAAACAAAGGACTCCAAGTCTTAACTGAGATAAGTGGATTATTTTGTTTCAATATTATATATATTTTTTGCTGTTGAACTGACAGTTTATTCGCTTATGAAAATTAATGTGATTAATAATTTAAAATTATAAATGATAAAAAACATCTGTCAAATGAGCATGAAAATTAAGGTTATTAAAATGTATGCTAGAATAGACACAATTAAAAGATTGACCGGTGAAGCTAACTTTCTTGGCCATTAAGTTGATGGATAATCATTCTTTTAGAATCCTCTAAGTTTATCTACACCTATGCTCAAATACCACATCAAAACTAATAAATAAGAAAATTCATAATCTCTTAAAGGTGCTTTCCATTAATTAATTTATCTAAATTTATATAATAATATTTACAATTTTGTTCTTGATAATCTTCCAGTACTTTTAGATGGACTTAAATTCTTCATAGGTATTACTTTTATAGTGGATATTGGAATGTTAAATTGTTCACCTAAATATTAAACAATTTTATCATTTTTAATCTTCTTTTGTTGTTGATATTACATTAATTGAATAATGATTTGTTGAATCCATTTATCAATATTCTCTTATTATTTTATCAAAAAATCTTCCTCTTTACTATCTTTAATGTAAATATCACAGAAATTCTTTACTTCACCATATGCAGGAATTTGATATGGTTAGTTTCTCTAAAATTTTAATAAATCACAAAAGAAGGAATTCTAATCCTAAGAATATATAAAGGTAAGTAAATGCATTATTCCTTAATATTCTGAATCACTAATATAGTTTAAATTATTGATGGATTTAAATATTGTAATTAATAGTTTTGTAAAAAATGGATAATATACTCTTAATAGATTTTTCATATGATTTTTATTTTAATCTAATTCTCTAAAATGAAAATCTATTTAATATTCATGTGAATTAAATTTTGATTCAATACATTATAATAAATTTGAAGGTCTAAATTCTTTAAACAATATTGCTTAAGGACATTATCCAAATTTATTTTAACATAAATAATAAATAGGTTACAATTCACTTAAGATAAATCTAGTAATTGGATTGTTGCTTTTGTATTATAAATTTTATTGTTTAGTTAGATAATTTAATATAGTATTTTATGATATTAAACAAGACATTAGAGCCTAATCAAATATTAATACCTAATTATATATTTAATTCTCATAGACTGCAAATTATTATCTTAAAAATAATACATAGGTAGATAAATGGGAAAGTAAAGAAATTTAATTACATTATCTTTCATTGTGATATAATTCAAAGGCATTCTATAAGAATTTATATAATCCTTATTAATATGTGATTTATTGTTTTTATCTTCCACAGTCAAAAAAGAATCCTCTATTTTAATAAAAGATTTAACTTTATTTATTAAAGATATCAGTACTTTTTACAAAATGTTTAAATTATGAATATGTAGCTTCTAAATCTTATCCAAATCTATTATTAAAAAATATAGTTAAATATATTAACATCATTTAAGTATCTAATACAACACTACTTGGTTTGATTTTATAAAATAACTTTTATTATTCATTTGTTAGATTTAAATCAATTAATTTTTATACATATAAATGTTCATACATAGAATATTCTTATAATAAAATTATCATTTATTGAAATGTAAAAATAGTAGCTTGTTTATTTTAATTATTTTAAAGAGGATTATTTGGTTTAATTTAGATAACCATATATTCAATAATTCTTCTAATTAAAATTAAATAAGGATTAAAAGTTAATTATTTTAATAAGAAATCCTTTGTATTACATTTCTTTTTGCATTTATTAAATGCACAATCAAGGATTTTTTAACTATTTTCTGTTGCATGTAATGCACTTTCTTTAAAATTTACAGCTCCATTTAATAAATAAATCCAAAACATCATTTTAGCGCTAATACAAAATTTTAGTTGATTTTTTTCAACTAAAATATTGTCTTAAAATATTTCTTAAAAACTTTAAAATTAAGAATTCATATTAACAATAGAAGGATCTTTAAAAAATAATTGTAAATGTGCAGGCAATATATCAATTTGAACTGGATTAAAAGGATATTCAGAAGGTAATGATTGATAAAATGATTGTTCATTTGGTGAGAGGATATTAAGTATTTTGATAAAAAATAATGTATCCTCTATAGATCCAAATCTCATTTAAGTTGTTCTAAAACTACTATTTAATATGCCATCTTATTTGAAAATTAGTTCATATACTAAATGCTAAGATTTCAAAAACTCTTAACCATAAGAATACTCTTTCTATTTAATTAGTTCATAACTGAGATTCTATAACCAATTTAAAAATTCATTTCCATTAGCTTTTTGAGCATATTTCAAATCGTCTTCAAATTTATTCATAATTATTTTATATAATAAAACTCATATTTTAAATTAATCAAATTTATTTCATAATTAATAAAGGTTCTGAATCTTTAAAATAATTTAAATATATATATATAATCCAAACTGAAATAAGATAAGATACAATTCATTAATCTAAAAAAAATAGTATAAGAAAAGCATTAATAAATTGCATATAATGATAATTAAAATTTGTTATAAAAATTTAATTAATAAAACATAATAAAACCTTATAATGAAAAGATCTAAATTGTAGTCGTCTGACATCTTAGATTGGTATAAGAAGAGGTAATTTATGTATTTAAGACAGATTTCCTTAAAATGTAAAGCCAAATTATTTGTATTTACCTGAGGAAATCAAATAATAGGTGAGAGCATAAGTTATATTTGAGAATTTAGATAAAAAGAAAGAAAGTATTGTAAATTAGAAAGTATTAATAGATAAATTAGCAATTGATAAATTATATGATATTTGTGTTAAGAGTGGAATGAGTATAAATAGAAATTAAGTAAGAATGCTTTTTGAAAAGATTGATCAAGATAAAAGCAGTATAAATGTATTATTAAAATAGAATGGATTGATTTAGAAGAGTTTTAAAAATCAGTTCTTGATTAAGAAGTAGGAGAATGTAAATCTGTATTAAATATTTAGAATTTACATAAGTTGCAATGAAAGTGAGAAAGAACTTAGATGAAGGATATTTACCAATATATTATAAGAGTCTAATATCACATTTAAGCTTTGTATCTAATAGAGAAGAGTTAATACAATAGATAAATGATTCGAGTAAAAGTAAAATAGAGAGGTTTGAGAGAATTAAAGAAATAATGAAATTACCATATGATGATATAGAATAAGAAGAAAATAATTAATAAGTTTAATAAGCAAGGAGAAAGTTGAGTGAATTAAAATAAGATTATGAAGGAGTTTAAAAGGTAGATGCAGAAACATAAGAATTTATTACTTCAATGACTTAAAAATTAGAAGATACAAAGAAAAAAGGTGATGATGATTCAATATTATTAAAAAAGAGAATGAAAAGAAAATCATTACCACATAATAGTTCAATTATGTCTTTACCTAAAATAGATCAAAATCATATTAAATGGCACAAGAATTTAAGTTTGATTGATAATCAAGTTAGATAAAAAATATTTAATGACGTTTAAAATAACAATAATAAAATAAATTAATTACTTTCACCAAGAAGCAAAAAACAAAAGGATTTAGCATAATTAAAAAATCAATAATCAAAATTTATAAAAAAAGCAAAAAAATAATTTGATATTCAATTTGATTTTATTAATGAAAATTAGTAATCAATTGATTATACTGGTGGTAGAAGTTTTGAAGAAGGTATATTAAGTCTATTCCAATAATAATAATAATAATAAGGAAGTTTGTGTAACTTTACTAATATTTCAACAATAAAAAATGAAAAGAATGACAGAGATGAAATTTTAGATTAATCTGGAGATCATTTACCTAAATCTATTTTGAGAAAACTTTAGTAATATAAAAATGTTACAAGAGACTCTACTTAAATATTGTTAGACAAATCTATTTTATCCAGTTAATAATCAAAGTAATCTGGAAAATTAACACCAATTTATTATCAAAGAATGATTCATCAAACTCATACAAACACAGATTCTCTAAATTCAAATGATATGCCTACCTATCCAAAAAGAAGAACATATTCACAATAAGATCTAAAATATTAAACTGTATTATATTCTAATAATAATAATTTAGCCGTATTTTAAACAATCAGAATTCTAACTTCCGTATTTATGAAATTATTTTATTATTATAGATATATTTAATTTTTTTTTGATTGTCAAAACTTAAATCAGTCAAAAGTTTTTCAATTAATTTAATATAATTTTTATGGGGCTCTAGTGTTCTAAATGCTAAATTAATAATGAAAATGAATTCATTCTTGCCAACGTAGTTACAGAGCATAAAAATTGCATATATATGGAAAATCTTGAGGATAGTTTTGAAAGTGATCCAAGTATTTTAGAATCAGTATACTATTTTTATAGATTATCCACCTTCTTCAACACTAAATAAAACATTAGAAGAAAAAACTATTCAATTTTTAAAGACATAAAAAGAAAGCCAACATACAATACCATCAGAATCCTATAAATCTGAAGAATTGTAAATGGATGATGACTCTAAATTTTTTGGATAAACAAAAGATGGTTAAGCTAATGGAAATGGAAAATTATGGTTAAAAAATGGAGATTATTATGAAGGTGATTTCTTCAATAATTATATGCATGGTAAAGGAATCTATAACTATAAAAATGGACCTATTTTTGAAGGTCAATTTTTATATAACAAACCAGATGGATACGGTGTTGAATCTTGGCCAGATGGTTCTTTATACGAAGGATACTTTAAAGAAGGCAAAAAATGTGGAAAAGGATGTTACAAGTGGTATTAAGGTTGTGTTTATGTCGGTGAATGGAAAAATAATAAAATTCATGGCAATGGAAGATACGATTGGCCTGATGGAAGGGTATGTTGATAGATAATAATTCCAGTCTTACTCCGGTAGTTGGGTCAATAATTAAATGCACGGGAGAGGAAAGTACATTTGGTCAGATGGCAAATGCTATGATGGTGAATATTAGAATGATCGAAAATAAGGATTTGGAATATTTTATTGGCCAGATTGCAAGCAATACCAAGGTTAATGGAAAGATGGAAAACAACATGGAAAAGGAATAATGTTGTATCCTGATGGAAAAAAAAGAGTAGGACAATGGGAATATGGGAAATTAATTAAATACTCTGAAGACGATAATATTCAAATAATTCCAGATAATTGGTTACAATAATGATAATAATAACTTTTTTTTTTTAAATAATTATATAAATTTTGTAATTAATTCAATGGATTATTAAAGATTTGAGATATCATTTTATTTAATATATATATATATGATTATTATTATTCAAGTATGTTAAACATATATATGGTTAATAAATCATTATTAAGGCATTTAACGACCAAATTGAGGTAAATTTTAAGAAATACCAGTTGATATAGGCTATTAGATAATTGTTTATTACACTTCTGAAGGAATAACTTGATGTCTAATGACCACTCCTTTTCTAGCTTCTATAATTTTGCTTTCATATTTTTATTTTAATTCCTTTAAGTATTTTCGAAATTGTTCTTATTAATTATAATTGAAAGATCTACCATCTTCTACCATATATTCTAATTCATCAATATCAAGTTGTAGTTTATCAGAAATTCTTCTTTCTTTAATAATTTCATTCTCTAATTTATTTGCTCTATCTTCCCAAATACCAATTATTCTTTACAATTCTTTATTTTCAATATTCAGCATTTCTATTTCAGCATCATCTCTCACATATCTATCAACAAATCTATCTACAGGAACTTCTACTATTTTTTCAACAGGCACTTCAACTATCTTCTCAACTTGTACTTCAACAATTTTTTCATATGGAACCTCCACAATTCTTTCGTATGGAACCTCAACAATTCTTTCATATGGTACTTCCACTCTCTTTTCTACAGGCACTTCTACATACCTATCTACTGGTCTATCAATATATCTATCCACATATCTATCCATATATCTATCTCTAGGAACTTCCACAATTCGTTCATAAGGTACTTCTACCACTCTTTCATAAGGATAAGGAACTTCATAAGGGACAGGCACTTCAACGACCCTGTCAACAGGAACTTCAACTATTCTATCAACAGGCACTTCAACTCTCTTCTCTACTATTCTATCTACAGGCACTTCAATATAAACAGGAACTTCCTTTATGACTTCATAGGGCACTTCTTTGATGACTTCTTTAATCACTTCATATGGCACTTCTTTAATCACTTCTCTAATAACTTCATAAGGAACTTCTCTGATCACTTCATAAGGAACATCTCTGTAATAAGGAACTTCATAAGGAACTTCAATTCTTTAAACTACAGGGACCTCAACAGTTTGAACTTTTGGAATTTCAATATATTGAGGAACTTGTTGATAAACATATTCAATTTTTGGTATTTCAACTATCTTTTCAACAATTTTAGGTTCTGATGGTACTTCTTTAATAACTTCTTTAATGATTTCAGTTTGTTTCATCTCTTATACTTGATGAGGTTGATTAACATATACTGTTTTTATTACTTCTACTGGTTTCTCAACTATTTTTTCCACAATTCTTTCTTAAATTTCAATTTGTTTCTTCTTCTTCTTCTTTCTCAACCTCTCTACTTCATCTTCTAATTATTTAACATAACCATTTTATCTTTCTAATTATACTGTTAAGTCAAATACTCTAAAATTAATATTAAAAATTACTTTTTATCAGCAACCTTGAGCAAAGATTCTAATTCCCCTATTCTATCAAACATTTCTTGATTTTCTCTTTCCAATTGTTGTTTAATAATTAAAGCTTCATCTCTTTATCGACCTACTTCATAAAGTTCCTTTTCAAGAGATTTAATCTTTTTACACATTTTCTTCAAACACTTTTTATTGTCCTCTAAATATACTTCTATCTCTGAGTTATTTTATTATTTTGGCTATTATTCCATCTATCTTATGATTCTTTCCATTTCTTAAATTTCTCTTTTTATTGTATCTATTTCTGGATCTTAACCATGTTATAATGGTCTTTATCTTTTTGGAGTCTCAGCAATTGTAGAAACTATTATTTCTTCTTTACTATCTTTCAATTTTTTATTCTTTTTTTTCAACTTCTTTATTTTATTTTCTAAGTGTCTTTGATCATTACCTCCTTAAACTACATAAGCCTAAGGGGCACACATCTGTTATTATTAACAACCAAATTATGGTTAACAGGCAGATTAATGCATCGGTTGGTACATAGGTTAACATGGTTAGCATATACTTGGAGTACATGAATGTCCTGGACTTCTTGCCACTGTGGCTACTGATTCATTCAATTAATCTGACACTCTTGAGGATGTAAGTTTTTATGCTTAATTATTAAAAGATGTTCTCAACTCCTGAATAGCTGATGTCACTTTAGATAAATTGCTTGACCCTATACTAGTAGTATTAGTATTTACAGGCTATAAAATTTTGTGGCCTTCATTGAATCTCACAGATTTTGAAGACTAATTATTCATTATTTAAATTAATAACCGCTAATGTAAATATTTTATAAATAAAAATCATTTTTTTTCATCAAATAATATATACTCCATTAAAAATTATAAATCAATTAGTAGAGTTTGCATATCATTTAAATGATGAATGAGATCAAAGAAAAGTTTCAGATTCATAATCTTTAAAAAAAAAAGAAATAATTTTCTAAAGATTTATGCACTCAATTTTATATAATTTAAATAAATATTAATAATGTGTATTTATAATTTTTGATACTTATGATATAATATCACAATCCTCTCATTGCTTCTTTTCCTCTTCGAAGGTTGGGAAATCAGTGTATCCCTTTTCATCTCCTCCAAAATAGGTCTTGAAGTCAAAATTAGTATTGAGTTAGAAAGCATTTCTTACTCTATATACTAGATCTGGATTGTTTATATATAATTATCCAAAGGAAACTGCATCATACAAGCCATCTTTGATATCCTGATTAGCTCTTTCAGGAGTTATAGAATGGTTTGCAATCAAAATTCCTTTGTAATGTGGTCTTAATGATTTGTAAAGGTTTTGAATTTGCTTATCAGAAGCAGGATAACCAAAGCCTTCAGCATTTTCTTAGCTTTTGTCTTCGACCAAAGTGACATAAGCCAAATTGAGTTTGGATAATTGTTGTAATAGATATGTGTACAATTGAATAGGATTACTATCATTCATGTCTCCAGTATGGCCAATAGGTGTTAATTTAATACTAACTCTTCCTGGATAGATAGCATTCAACTTTTGTACAAGTTAAATAACGAATTTGCATCTATTTTCAACACTTCCTCCCCATTGATCAGTTCTTTTATTAGCACTATCTCTAAGGAATTAATCAGGAAGATGTCCATTACCAGCATTGATTTCAACTCCATCAAATCCAGCAGTTTTAGCTCTTTTAGCAGCATCAACAAATTCTTGTAAAGTTAATTGAATTTCAGCTTCTGTCATTTCATGTGGTTTTTCAAATGGTTTATTTTAAGCACTATAACAATTTCCTCTGATTGCAATTGCAGATGGTGCCCATGGTTCTAATCCATTTTACAATGATGAATGAGTTTTTCTTCCTCCATGAAATAATTACAAGAATAATCTACCTCCTTTATCATGTACAGCTTTTGTTACTAATGTCCAACCTTTAGCTTATTCATCATTGTAAATACATGGTGATCCTGGATATGATATAGATCTTTAACTTACAGGAGTAGCTTCACAAACAATTAATCCAGCAGTTGATCTTTAAGCATAATATTTAGCATTTAATTCAGTTGGAATATAGGGAGCTGGAGTTCTAACTCTATCCATAGCAGACATTGTAATTCTATTTGGTAAAAATAAATCATTTAATTTCAATGGATTTAGTAATTCACTTAATACATTAGATGGTATTTGATATTTAGGATAATCAGTATATCCTTTTGAATCTCCAAAAAAAACACTTCCCCAATCTATACTCTTATTTAATTAATAACCATTTCTGGCTCTATCAACAAGATCTGGATTGGAAATAAAAAGTTAACCAAAAGCAACAAAATCAAATTTTCCAATTCTGATTCCTTCATCTGCCTCTTCTAATGTGATTCCTCCATTAGCTACTATAGCTCCAGTGAAATAATTTCTGAATGCCGAAAAAACACAAGGTATTTATTTTTTAGATGCTGGGTATCCAAAATCTTAGAAGTTTTCTGGATCATTTTCATTCTTTAATACAATATAGGCAATTTTCAAATTACTTAAAGCTCTCAATAAAGTTTAATATAATTCTAAAGGATTAGAATCATTCATATCAGCATGATGTGTCACAGGAGTTAATTTGACTCCAACTCTACCTGCTCCAAATACTTCTATTAATGATTAAACAACTTCTAATAAGAATTTGCATCTATTTTAGGCACTTCCTCCATATGCATCAATTCTTTTGTTAGCACTATCCCTTAAGAATTAATCTGGTAGATGTCCATGACCTGCATTCAATTCTACTCCATCAAATCCAGCTTTCTTTGCTCTTTCAGCAGCCTCTTTGTATTACTTTACTACTAAATTTATATCTTAAAGTGTCATTTCTTAAGGAACTTCATAGTCTTATTTAACAATTTGATTCTAGCTTCTAATTCTAATGGCTGATGGAGCCAAAGGAGCTTAGCCATTTTATAAACTAGAATGAGTTTATCTACCACAATGAAGCAATTAGATGAAGATATTTCCCTTAACGGAATGTACTTTGTCTACTACTTTTTTCCATCCTTAGGTTTGTGCATCGTTGAATATTCCTGGTGCTCCACCATAAGCTAAGGACCTATCACTTATAGAGGCTGATTCCGTAACTAAAAATCCACTAGCGGCTCTTTGTGCATAATATTCAGCATGTTGATCTGTAGGGACTAAGTCTTGACCACATCTGCCTCTTGTCATGGCTGATAGAGTAATTCTATTCTTGCACTCCAATCCAGGTGACACCACTGTTGTCGAAAAGCATCCTGTTCTTTCGATTAGACCTAATTTGAATGGTTAGAATAAGGCCTAATAAGGTGTATTTGTTTTCTCCATTTCACTTAATTATTTGATTACTTTCGTTTCTAAATTCCTAAAATACCCACAAATACTGCGTACTATTTTTAGAAAATTTTAAAAATTTCTCCAAATAATATTTAAAATTAATTATTATAAAATAATTATTAGGATAATTAAAACAGAATTTGTGATTCAAGTGGGATCAACTTATTCTTTTTTTTGGGATATATTTCTAGCATCATTTATTATAGATCTCTCTAAGTAACGGATAAAGAATCATTCCCTATAGAGTTTTCGGATTTTTTAATTTAAGTATGCTGTCCAGAGTTGTTTGTATTTTATTGTATTCTCTATTAAACTCTTTCTTGATATTGAAACAATATTTTAAGTTTTCTTTCGAATTTTTTGCCACTCAATATGAAAAGTTTTATTCTGTAATCATTTCAACCAAATCCTAATATTTAATTGTATTCATTGTATAATTGAAGTATTCATCATTAAATTTAACTCAACCTATATATGATCTTCTGATAGATACCTAATTAAATATATTTTTATAAATCATTCTATTTCTACATTTAATTAACTCTACACTTTCTTTCTTTTTAAATAAAATAGAATGTCTGTTACTTATAAAGCAATTTTAGCATAATTAATTTTAATTATCTTCATGACAATCTATGAGACTCTTTTTGAAGAGTTTATTTTCAGCTTATTATATTTAATATATATATAAATGTCATATTAATTTGGAATCAATCAATTATAGAGCACAACAGTTCCAAATGCAAAGTATAAAACTATCCTTTGTAGACATTATTAAGGTATAAGAATTCAAATTATAAAAAATAGCAACTAAATAATGTGCCATAGGTTCTAAATGTTAATTTGCTCATGGAATTGAAGAATAAAGATAAATGAATGGTAAAAGATACTACAATAATTCAAAGATCCTATGCCTGCTTCAGCATTATCTTCAATTACTACTACTTCTTAAATAACAACTATAGAACAATAATAAAAAAATTAATAACCTTTGTTTAAAAGTATTAATAATGAAATAAATAAGTACCTTGTAAATATCATTAACTTAATTTTTGTAAGAATGGTTCAGGATGCCAATATGTACATGGTATGTATTAATTATTTTTTATCAAATAGATTCAGACATATAAATATAAACAGCATCATAATAACAGTAATAACAATAACTATAATAATAATAATAAATATAATTATTATAACAATAGTAATAATAATAATAGTAATAATAACAATAAATACTTTAATAACAATAGCCAGTAGATCCTATGTCCTTAACTTTATCGCATATCTTGATGGAAATGTAATAAATCTTCAATTAAGAAGTAAATTTAATTTAATTTAATGTAGGATTTATTATAAAAGATAAGATTTGCGATTGAATAAATTAGATAAGGAAATTTACCATTAGCCTGTGACTAGATTAGATCCATTATTAACTCATCAGATAGAACTGCAGATGAAATTCAATAATATACATTGTTATATAATTAATCAGTAGCATATTACAAATAACTATTATAACAATGATAATTTATATATATGTATTTCTATAAACATTTTATCTATTCATTCTCTTAAACCTGCTTATATTTATTTTTCATAACAATCTCTATAAATCACTTTAATAATTGCAAAAGAAAAGAATGCTCCAACGAATGGTAAAATAGAATAAATCCATAAATTCCAAAATCTACCCCAATGTCCATCTTTACAACATTCAAAGAATACTAAACTAAAATATTTATTTTATATATCATCTACCCAAATGCAATTGCTGGATTTAGACTGCTCTTAGCTACATAACTAAGTGTTCTTCCTACACTGTATAAAGCACTGATTATTATACTATGTTCTAATCTGTCTGATGAAAAATCCATTAATTCATCATATTAAAATATGAATCCTGCACATAGAATAAGAGAACCCAAAATTTCTCCAATTATTACTGCAAAGTATGCTTCAATATTTGTTTAAGATATATATGGAACATCATTCACACTATTTTTTGTAGTCTATAAATAATTTACTAATTCTTAAAACACAAAAAACCAAACAAACTTGCTAAAAATGCACCTCCAAATTAACTACCAATAGCTACTGATACCCACAATCCTTTATCATTTCCTGATAATACTGTTGTTATTGCAGGATTGAATGTACATTTTTAATTTTAAGCTACTAATATTAACATTCCATAAGCACAAGCAAAAACAAATGGATTATTACTTATCTTTAATATAATTTGGATACTTGCTGGCATAGATGCAGAAAGTTAACATGAATGTTCCTATGAATTCAAACCAAAATATATAGATTGTTTCCTTTTTCATTTGACCAACCTTTGTTTATGGCATATTATCCACTTCCCATTTTATAGGTTTATTTTATTTTATTTCTTGATTTACTAAATCACTATAATTTTATTGTTATTATTCTTCCATTTTATGATTATTATTAATAATAGTAATGTTAGCAATATTCTTATGTACGTAAGTTTACTATCTTTAATTGTAGTTATTATTTTAGTGAACTCTAACTATGCTATGAATTTAAGCAAGAGAGAAATACAAAAATATTAATAATAAGTGAATCGCATTGAAAAACGATAAATTGGATCTTTGTTAATTTCTATGATATAATTAGATTAGCCATAGATAAATTAATTGATTGAATAATCTATAGAAGATTTTGAATCAGAATATTCTACTTTACAAGATTTTCACATTAGCAGATAAACATAAATTTATTAATCTATGTAGCAATTGAAAGCATAGCTCTTAGATCTAAATTTATTATAATCCTCATTTATAGATGGACCTTAAGAAAAAGAAAGAGAGTTTCATGAATAAAAGATAAAAAGACTAAATCAACTGATTAATCAAAATTATAAAACAATTGATTCAAAAGAAGTTCAATTGATAAAAATGTAGAATAGGTAAAATATATATTTTTTGATTAGTTTAGTTTAAGTTCTTTAATTGATGAATATGATATAAATATCAATTACATAGATCAAATACTTTAAACTATTGAATCTATTTTATATGATGAAGAGAAAGTGGGCATTAAATTTTTTTAAAAAAGAGGAAGAGTTAATGATATAATTGAAAATTTAGGGAAATCTAGCATAAAAAATATAAAATTAGATTTACCTATGCTAAAACAGATAATATAAATAGGAATTAAAAGTAATTTTGCAGATAAATAAACTTATAAATAAGTAAATATATATAGATTATCATATTTAGATTTAAGAATTATTGATTTCTTTAAGAAATAAAATAGTTGGAGAATTAAACAATCTTAATACAGATAAAATTGATTAACTTGAATTTAGTATTAATGAATTAAAGAATGAAACTCTAAGGTTGAAAAATCAATTACTAGAATCTACTTAGAAATTATAAATAGAAAATAGAGATATCAGTGCTATAACAGAATCAAAGAGGAGGATTGAATAAGAATTAATAATTCTTGATGAAGACTTAAGATTAGAGAATGAATTATTTAATTAAAAAGAAGCATTCTTAATTTAAGAGGTTAATGAATTGATAGAGATTGAATAACTTTTAAAAAATAGAGAATTGATTTAATACATTCAAGAATAAGAATAATAATGATAATATAAATTAATATAAAATTTGATGGATTATCAAATGTAACCAAAGGAGTTATTGAAAAGACTGCATTAGTAGTTGAAGTCTGCTGTGACTCTCTAATCTAAAATTCAAAACCTGAATTATTTGCTGTCTTCCACATCTGATTTTTTAGATACGTATTCTTTTATTATTAAATTGAGGTTTGCATAATCTAATTCAATGAAAATAATTACATAATACTTAAAAGATGCTTTGAAATCCATTCAAATTAATGAAGATTTGATTGATAAAATTTTAGCTTTATTATTGAAGATGAATTTAAGCGAAGAAATACTTAAAGAATCAGAAATTGTTTAGCCTCTATTAAAAATTAAAGATAAAAAGCTTTTTGATAATATAAGATCTAATATGATTGAGCAAATATAATAGAAATGGTCTAGATGTTATATAAAATTCAAACCATTACTTGAAGAATGGAAAAGAAATAATAATTAAAAGGATAAATAAGAAGATCGTAAAAAGAAAGGAAAAAGAAATTAATCATCAAGTTCTAGTGAATCATCTAATAAAAAAAAGAAAAATAGAAAGAAATTTGTCAGGTAATATTTAATTGTATAATATGAATAGATTTTAAAGAGATGATCTTTTACTTAATTTTAAATATTTTAAAAGAGATGATGAACCTAATCAAAGAGGAATGACAATGGAGGAAGTTGTTTAATTTCAGAAACAATATGCTGGTGAATTAAAGCGATTGAATTAAATAAATGGAGCATATAATATTAAACATAGAGAATCATTAATGGAAGGATAAGAACATAAAATGCAATTAGATAATATTTAATAAATGATTGAACAGATACAATTTATTAAACCTGCAAGTTATTCATTATTTTTAATCTTTAGAACTGTTTTTATAATCATAAGTAACCTATGATACAAATTATATTGAAACTGCAATCTAATAAAAAAGAACAGAATCTAAAATGTCTGCATTTTACAATAAAGATGTATATAATTATTAAACAACCTTTAGAGTATACCTGATTAACCTGGATATAATGAGATTTCAAATACTCAATCAGGCTTATAACCTAAAATAATTCATTTAGATCCTCCAAAAAGAGAGGATCTTATGTATATGGTCTAAGTTATTTGCAACAGAGGTCTTAAAGAATTAGAAGAGAAAAATAAAAATGCCAATAAGAAATAAGTAAAGGGAATTCTTAAAAAATAACCTGATGAATAAATTAAATAAAAAGATGTTCTCAATCAAGCCAAACAAGATTTACAACCAAAAATGCAATAATTAGTCTAAATGGTTGAGTAGAAGCATTAACATAGCCAGGAAAGCATTCGTATTAATATTTCATTATTTAAGTAACTTTATTACATGATATTATATAAAAATTAAAGGATATTGGTGAGGAAAAATATATAAAAAATTTTAAATCTATCCTTGAAACAAAACTGAACGACAAGCAAACAATAATGAGTGAAAATGACCGTATAAAAGCTCAATAAGATTAACAGAGACTTCGACTTGAGTAGTTATAAACTATCAATCCTGCTCAAGCCCTACGATTAAGAGCTTACAAAACTAAGCATTGTCACAATTTTCATTCATCTATAGGATGTACAAGAGGAGATAATTGTAATTTCATACATGACTCTCGTTATCCTGGAAGACCAGCTCCAACACTTTAATATCCAAATTTCCTAAATAAAACTCTATATCCCTAATCCAATATGGCTATCCTTGTTCCACCTTTGCTTCAATAACTTAATCCTGCAATTCTGCTAGGAAGAAAGAAAAAGTATGAAAGTCTATGAGTCAAAAATTATTATAAATTATAATATTATAAGAATATAAGATTAAACAATATCCTTGAAAATCATTCAATATTATATGAACTATTTTCATAAAAATATTTAAGATTCTTTTTATATTACATTTTTTAATTATACATTAAATAAATTATTATTATTATTGTTGTTCCATACTAGAAATATTTTCTCATATTTTTATCTATTTAAATTGAGAAATATAATAAAAGTACAAATATTCATTTTTTAAACTTATTTTATTTAAGTAAAAATATATACTTTTTTTACTCAAATAATTTAATTAATAGTTCTATTTGTCTTTATTCAATTCATTAATATCAATTTTATAAGTTAATGTTTATAAAATTATATTATTATATTTTAAAATTTAGATTCAATTATATTTTGTCTTATCTAAATCAAATTCAGCCAATCAAATAAATGTTGAATATTTATTTTTTATCAATTCAAAAATATAAGAATAAATATAAATAAGTCATTAATCAAAATTGAATAATACCATAGATTCCTTTGAAAATATTTATCTCAATTATACTTATTTTATAATAGCTTCGATTTTAATGATCTTTATATTAAAAAACTATTCATCTTATTTTTAGCATTTATATTTTTTAAATGAATAAAAAACTATCATCTGATATTTTTTAACTTATTCACAAAATAATAATAGTTTTATATTGGGGTATATAATATTCCATTTTTTTAAGAAACTATTTAATATTAAAATTGTTTAAAAATATAGGAGTATTAAAAAATGATATTCAAATTTTAGTTATCTATATGTGTATAATGAGGATCTTAATATAACATTTTTACTTTTTATGTACTTTTATCTTTAAAGTGTCTTAGATAATAAAATTCACACTTTTCTTCTTTAATGCTTTTTAACTTTGCGTATGTTGAGTTATTTTCTAAATTAATATTTATATGGGATGCATTTGTGGAACAATGCCAAGAAAAAATTAAATTATGTCTATGTAGACAAGAAATAGAGATGAAGTGTTTACTTCAACAGAAGATATACAAAAAATATATATTTTTGGTAAAGTTCTTGGAGTTGGCTCTTTCGGAAAAGTGATTGCAGCCAAAATGAAGAGTAATCCTTTGAAAAGATATGCTATAAAAATTATTGAAAAGAGAAAAGTTAAAGGCAGAGAGGATATTTTAGCAAATGAAATTTTCATCTTATAGAAGTTAGATCATCCTAATATTATAAAATTCCATGAAGTGTATTAAAATAAAGTGAACTTTTATATTTGTATGGATTATTGTTAAGGAGGGGAGTTAGTTGATTGGATTCCTAAAAAATACAAGAATTTTCATGAAAGTAATATTTAGGAAATAATGAGAAAAGTATTAATATATTTATAAATAGATCATATCAGCTATAGCGTATATACATGATTAAGGAATAGTACATAGAGATATTAAAGCTGAAAACATTATGATAACCAATAAAAATGAAGATGCTGAACCTAAATTAATTGATTTTGGATTAGCAAATAAATTTGATAGTACAAAGTTACGACGATTGAAATCATTTGTTGGAACACCAATGTATATGGCACCAGAAGTTATTCAAGGGAAATATGATGAAAAATGTGATATTTGGTCTTTGGGAGTTTTACTTTTTACATTGCTTTCAGGTCATATGCCATTTCATGGAGAAACAAAAGAAGAATTGTATGATAATATTTAAAGATCAAATGTAATTATATTAAAAATATTTTAGATTGGATTTAATTCAAATTCATGGAAATTCGTGAGTAGTGAAGCAAAAGACATAATTAGAAGAATGCTTTAAAAAGGTCCTTAATTAAGACCTTCGGCTAAGACATTATTAAAACATGATTGGTTTAAGAAAAAGTTATAGTCTAATGAAAAAATAGCATAATCAGATTAGCTTTAATAATTTAAAAATTAGATTTCATCTTCACCTTCTATTTAAGATAATAGATCTATTTATGAAATGTTATAATAAAATTCTTCAAAGGGAGGAAGTAAATTTAGAAAAGAAGTGATGACTTTACTTGTTAAATAGTTAAATGAATAAGAATTACACAATTTAATAGAAAAATTTAAATAAATTGATACAGATAATTCAGGAACAATCACTATTTTTGAATTACATAAAGCCTTAATAGCAGAAGTAAAAATAGTATATAATATTCAAGGGTTCATCTGTAAGCCAAGAAGAAATAGAGAAGCTGATACAAAATATTACTCCTAAACATAATTAAATTTAAGAGGCAAAAAAAAAATCAAGACCTTCATTAGAATTAAAATATAGTGAATTTTTAGCATCTTGTATTGATGAAAGGAAGTTCCTCACTAGAGAAAAAGTAAGATTATTTAATCATTTTAGTTATGGTCTTTATTTAAGTTTTTTGATACAGATAATTCAAATTTTATTACAAAAGATGATATTAAAGAAGCTTTTGCAAGGAATTCTAAAGCTTTCACAGATGGGTAAATTGATGAAATGATTGCTGAAATTGATCCAAATCATGATAATAAAATAAGTTTTGAAGAATTTTGTTAAATGTTTGATAATGCAGGAATTTATTAAAACTTAGCGGATGATGATGAAATAATGGAATGATGTTATATAAAATATAAATATACTAATTAAAATAAAAGATATCACTTTTCTAATTATAATCTTAATTAAGCTATTTCTTCTTAATATTTTTTGATTATTTTTTATATTTCAGGTTCAAGGCCAAGAACTGTCAATTAACGTATTTCCTAGGTTTTATTTTTTTCCCATTATAACCTTGATGCTTTCTCTTTCTATGCAATTTATTATTTTTCTTACTAAAATTGAATTTATAATTTTTCCATCTCTTAAGAATGAGATTATTTTAATGTCTTAATTTCATTTGTTAAATTGAGTTATTCTTATTATAACTCTTTCTTATCTTAAATTAATTATTCTATTATTGTTAATTATCTTTAAATAGTAATTTCATATTGATCATATGCTTATTTTGATAATGATTATTCTGTCTATTTTATAAAATTGATTTTTTCTGTCATTTTATGTGTAATTTCTTCAACTTATTATTTTAAATGTAAGATCTCTTATTTTAAAGAAATGTTTTCTTCAATAATTTTTTGATACTTATATTTATGTTTTTAGAATAACTCTTCTTATTTAATCTAATCTTACATTTGTTTATAAATAATATTATTAATCAATATAATCACATCATATAAATTATTGCTCCCATTATACCCATAAATATCAAAAATGCAATGGACATCAAAATCAAATACCAAAAGACAACATATCTTAATAAATTACAAGGTTCATTTTTAAAATATTGAATTATCAAATAAATATTGCTAATTACAAACCCAACAAGTAATATTCCTGATATATAAAGTTTTAATTTTGAATTTGTAGAGGATCTCCATTAAATCATTATACTATTTATAAATACTATTTCAAATACACCCTATTATTATGACATATACTGTGTATAGACAAAACATAAAATATGCACATTGTCTTAATGCAATGCAATCATCTCCTCCATAGAGTTCTGGTTTAGATGTGAATTAGTAGAATAAAAAGCTAACTAATGAAAGTGAAACAATGGTAAATAAAGAAACTTTATCAAAAGCTTATTGATCTTATTACTCTTAATGCATGGATATGAATTGTATTTACTTATAAATTATAGTTTATTTATAATATAACTTAATTTGGAAATACTAAATTTTAGTATGAGTTTCATGTATACATACTTCCATCTTCAGTAAAGTTTTTATTAACACCTGCATTATCAAACATTTAACAAAATTCTTCAAAACTTATTTTATTATCATGATTTGGATCAATTTCATCTATCATTTCATCAATTTATTTATCTGATATTTATTTTCCATTTCTTGCAAATGCTTCTTTAATATTTTATTTAGTAATAAAATTTGAATTGTCTGTATCAAATATTTTAAATAGATAAGATAACTATTAATAATGATTAACATTTACTTTTTCTTTTGTTATAAATTTTCTTTCATCAATACAAGAAGCCAAGAATTCACTATATTTAATGACAAAATCTTTTTTCCTTTTTCCAACTTCCTCACTTGTTTGAGGAGGTGTAACATTATTTATCAATTTCTCTATGTCTTCAAAAGTAGCTGGAGAACCCTAGAGTTATAATGAATTGATACTTCAGCCTTCAAAGCTTCTTTTAATTCTTAAAATGTAATAGTTCCAGAATTATCAACATCTATCTTCTTAAATATTTCTTTTAATGAATTTAATTCTGTCTCATTTAATTAATTGATTAAAAGAGTTTTAACTTCTTTTTTAAATTTAGCCCCTCCTTAATTTTACTTTAATAATGAATAAATAGATCTATTTTCAACAATACTTGAAGTGAGAGAATTGTTTAATACTGATTAATTTTTTTCATCATTCTTAAACTGTTTTTTGAACCAATTATGTTTGACTAATTCTTTTGATGTTGGTCTTAATCCTGGTTGTTTGGAAAGCATTCTTTTAATAATGTCCTTTGCTTCACTACTTATATGAGACCATATTGCTGAATCAAATGAAATCTGTCTTGTAAATGAAATGATACATTTGCTTTCTATATATTATCATATAATTCTTCTTTGGTATCTCCATGAAAAGGCAAATGACCAGAAAGTAACGTAAAGAGCAAAACACCCAAAGACCAAATGTCACACTTTTCATCATACGATCCCTTAATTACTTCAGGTGCCATATACATAGGAGTTCCTGCAAATGATTTTAGACGTCTTAATTTAATATTAATGATACTTAAGATGTGAAGTATCAAATTTATTTGCTAAACCAAAATCAATTAATTTAGGCTCCCCATCATCTTTTTTTGATGTGATCATAATATTTTCAGCTTTAATATCTCTATGCACTATTCCTTGATCATGTATATAACTCACAGCAGAAACAATCTAAAATTAAATTAATTATTTGTTATAACCTTTTTCATTATCTCTTGAATATGTTATTCATGAAAGCTTTTGTATTTTTTAGGAATCCATTCAACTAGTTCTCCTCCTTTACAATAGTCCATACAAATGTAAAAATTTTAATTGTTTTAGTAAACTTCATGAAATTTAATTATATTTGGGTGATCTAATCTTTTCAGCATATAAATTTCATTGGCCATTACTTCTTCACGACCTTTAACTTTTACTCTCTCTATAATTTTTATAGCAAATTGCTTTTCAGGATTTTTAATCATCCTAGCAGTAACGACTTTACCAAATGAACCTACTCCAAGTACTTTACCAAATTAATAAATTTTAGAGATATCCTCTGTGGATGTGAAGACTACATCCTAATTTCTTGTTCTCATTTAAACTATAGAATTCTGTTTTATTTCAGCTCCTGAAGCACATCCCATTATTAAATAATTTAATAGGATATAAATAAGGAATTTGATTTGTTTTGATATAAGAAAATAATGAATATTATGGGATAGATTTTAAAGAACATTATTTAATAATAATTAATGACTTAGAACATTAAAGACAATGAAATTTCAAAGAATGATCAATATCAAAAAAAATTTAACTAAATATGAATTTACAAACTTTACATTCATCTATAATTCTAATGGCTTTCCCTATTTTATCTAGACCCATATATATATCAAAAACCATCAAAATGAAATTTTGTTTTCAAATTATGGATAAATTTCTATTGTCATTTTAATCTATTTCTTTTACTTTTATTGCTTCAATATCCTAAATAATTACATTAGTATTTGAAAATAGTACTTTACTTTTCTCCTTTAAAATACTCTTTATACACTTATAGATAATGGTTATATATATATATTTCATTCTATAATTTCTAGATTATATTAGTATGAGAATTAAATATATCAAAATTTATATGTTATGACTTATTTAAATGATTGAAGAAATAGTTGATTTCATCTCTCAAATTTTTGTTTTATCAAAGACTAACAAGATAAAAATAAAAATTATATATTTTATTTTAGACAATATTATCTTAAATGTGTTTTTACAAAAAAATATTAATCTAATAAAGTGGAATACCTTAATTGAGTGTATAAAATATATTTATTAAAAAATATCCATCTTTAAGAATTCTTTATAGTAAATATATTGAAATGATAAATTAGATCTTTTCTTTTGATTCATGATATTGTTGACATTTTTATTATTAACAAAAAAATTGTTAAAATTAACAAATCTTGATTAAATATTATCAAAATATATTGAGTTATAATAATAACTTCTATTTTTATTCTAAAAATTTCTAAACTAATTACTTAAGTTATTGACTAAGAAATATTTATTTTAAATAAAATATTACATAATGATATTGGAAATCTTCTATTTACAATTATTTATAATTAGATATTATGATGTTAGAGATAAATATATTGTAAATGATGTGTAAATAGTGAGGATTATTAAAGAATTTATTAAGTAAGTAATACTATTTATATATAAAAATTAAGAATTATATCAAAACACATTATCAATATGATAATTTGTTTGAATGAGATTTTATATTATTTAATTTATGTAATCAACTTTATATTTCTATTTCTTTAACTTCATCTCTAATATTCATAGTTTATTCAATGCCAGCAACTCCCATCATTTATAAAAATTCATCAAAGCTTATTTTATTATCATGATTAGGATCAATTTCATAAATCATCTAATCAATTTTCTCATCTGACATTTATCTACCATGTCTTGCTAAGGCTTCTTTAATATCTTCTTTTGTTATATAATTAACATTTAAAGTGTCAAAATATTTAAATAGTGACCATAACTAAATGGATAGAAAAGAATACTTTTTCTCTTGTTAATACTTTTCTTTCATCAATACATGCAGCTAAAAAGTCTGTATATTTAATAACAAGAGGAGATGGTTCTTTGTCCATTTCTAAGTTGTTATTCTCTTCATCATCTTCCAAAACTATAGTTTATATAATTTATTCGATTTCTTCTAATGAAGCAGGAGATCCCTAATTTAATTAAATTTAAATACTTCTTACTAAAGTGCTTCTCTTAATTCTTCAATAGTTATAGTTCCAGAATTATCAACATCTATTTTTTGGAATACCTACTTAAGATGATGTAATTCTTTCTCATTCATTTAATTAACTAGAACTTTTGTTACTTCTTTTTTAAATTTGGCTCCTCCTCTAAACATTTTAAGCATTTAATAAATAGTTCTATTATCTTCATGAGTCTAAGTTAATAATTATTAACTCTTTTCTCTATGAACTTTTACATTCTAAAATTGCATTTCAAACCAAGAATGTTTAAGACATTCTCTTGCTGATAATCGTTTTTTAGGTGTTTTCATTAACATTTTTTAAATTAGATCTTTAGCTTATTCACTGATGTTTCTCCAATGACGTCTGTCAAATACAAGCTAATAATAATTATAAAAATTACAGCTTATGATTTGATATTTTCATATAATTACGCTCTGTTTTTACCATAGAAAGGTGGATAACCACATAATAAACTAAATAGCATAACTCCTAAACTCCATACATCACATTTTTCATCATATTCACCATCAATTACTTCAGGTGGTAAATATAAGGGAGTACCAACAAATGTTTTTAATCGTCTTATAATATTCTTGATTCAAATACTTTATGTGAGTAGTATCATACTTATTTGCCAATCCAAAATCAATCAACTTTGGTTCTGAATATATATCCTTTTCGCTAAACATGATGTTTTCAGGCTTTATATCACGATGTACCAAACCTAAATCATGAATGTAAACAATTGCTGAACAAATCTATAAATGAAAAACTCAATACTTTTTGTATAATTGTTTATACTTATCCTTCAGATAATGTAGATTATTATTTGGCTATTCTTTCAACAAGTTCACCACCTTAACAATAATCCATACAAATATAGAAATATAGAGGACTCTAATAAACTTCATAAAACTTTATAATGTTAGGGTGATCAAGTTATTGTAACACAAAGATTTCATTAGCAAGTAATGCCTCTTTACCTTTAACTCTCCTTTTATCAATTACTTTGATAGCATATTATTTTTCAGAGTTCTGTTTCATTTTTGCTAATAAGACTTTTCCAAATGAGCCAACTCCAAGCACTTTCCCAAAGTTATATAATTGATGAATATCAGCAGTTGATGTGAATACTTAATCTTTATTCATGGTTTACATAGCCACAATTCTATTTCTTTTTTTTGATTAAAGACAACCCATATATTTATGAAAATTATTAAGTAATTAAATTAAATATTAATGCATAAAATTTTTATATTTACTTTTTTGAGATTTCATTATTATAAAAACTTATTTAATCAGCATAAAAGCCTTTTAACATATATGCTGAAAATCTTATCCATCAAAAATGAACTATATTCACTTTTTTATCCTATACTTTAGAGACTCCGTTTTATTATCTCCTTTTCTCATAAATTACAAGTCTACATTAATAATCTATATTATCAAATCAATTAATCATTCTAAAATTTACTATCATAATTTTTTAAATTATTTCTAAATCAAAGGTTACCCTACAATAAGTTATGTTATTAATTGTAGTATAATATTATATAATCGTTTAAAACTATTTAATGCACTTTATGTCAGTAATCTCTAAATTCCTAACCAAAAAAATTAATAAAATATAATTATACTTAAATTTTGTACATCATGATTAATTAAACAAATTCTACTATTTCTATTTGTTTCATCTAAAAATTAATGATTTAGAGCTAAATATTTAAATAGAATATTCTTTAAATATTATTAGTAATTATCTTAAAAAATGAATAATATGCAAAACTATTCTATAAGTTAATCTTTAAATCTCGCTTTTCAAAAACATTATAGATCTTTATTTCACAATGACGAAAACCTTTTATTTTTAACTGATTCAAATTTAATGTAAGATTTATTTCATCCTCTTTCAATAATTAAAACTCATAATTTGTCATCATTAGTATTAGATGCTATAAGAGAACTTGAAGACAATACTTATCGTTTATTTAGAGAATAATTTTAAAAATAATCCATTAAAACTTTTAATGTTTTTCATTAAAACTCATCAAATTCCAAATTATGCTAAAAAATTTTACAACTATCTTAAAATATCCCTTATTATCAATTATAATAAAATATATGTGATATACTCAAAATTCTAGAAGACATTTATAAATTAGTAATTATATTATTTATTTTAAAGTAATTAAATTAATAGATCGCAAATGCTATAATTTTTTAATGTTTCCAAAACTAATTTTAGAATGAAATATTTCAAGCAATTTTATTCTACAGTCTATATTCACAATAAAGTAATCTCATAAATTAAATTTTTAGTATTGAATAGAGTTTAAAAATGTTTATTCTTAAATTTCTCTGGTCTTGACACTATTGAATAAGATTTTACAATTTTTAAAGAGCTTAATTTACTCAAAAAAAACAATATGGATATGTATTATTTATCATTTCACAAACAAGAATTATAAGCAAAATTAAAAAAAAAAAATTATTCTATTTAATATTTTGAATAATATTTTCTTGAAATTTAATAAGATCATCCCATAACATGGTTTTAAATCAAATCCTTTTTAAAACCTAATTTAAAAAGAAAAATTTAATTATTCAATCCTCAGGTTTGTGTATTATAGTTATTAGTATCATTTGATAAATTAGAGGATAAAGAAAGTCTAAAATTAGATAATGATTGTATTTTGAAAATAGTTCACTTTTTTTAAAAGATTTCTAAAGATAAATTATTAATCAATTTATTAATTAAGAATCAAGAATCAAATGCAAAAGATTTAATTGAATAATAGTAAAAAGACAATTTCTTAAAAGCAAGAAAAGTATATTTAAAATAAATTATAAATGCAATTGAGTAAGGTATATTTGGGAAAATTAAAGTAGAATTAGTTGATAAAAGAAGTTATGATTAAATTATAATTGATTTCAAATGTTAAATAAACTAATTTAAAAATTAAAAGTATCAAGAAGAAATATAAAGATCTTTTAATAACTTAATTTCTCAATAAGCAATTTAAATTAAATATAGTTCTGAACTATAAGATTAGGCATATAATTACATACCCTTTATTGATAATAATAGATCTCTGCTATTTTTTGAATTCTATTTTAATTAAAACAAAATTAATATAAATAATTTTACTTAAGTTTTTTTGAAGTAAAAAGAATAAATTGCTATAATTTTTTAAGTGTAATAATTCAAGCTTTATTATTGTAAAATTGATTGCAAATGTGTTAAAAAAGATTGGTAATATTTTGAAAATATTTAATAGTAAATTACTTAATTTATAGCATTATTAAAATTTTGATAATATAAAAAATGATGAATTCATGAAAGCTCCAATAATTGCTGTTATTGAAGACAATATATATTTAAATTATGGATATTTAGGAGATTAAATATGGGAATATAATATAATAAACTAGAGTGTCATTTTTAAGAAAAGAAAAGGATTACAAAATGTTAAATACTTGTAAGATGCAGGAGAATAATAAAATTACATTTTAGAAAGAGAAGGAGCAAGTGTCTTTTACAATTTAATAGAAAATAAAGATAATAATCATTATTTTATTGCTGGAGGAGAACTTGGTTAGAACAGTCCTATCTGTAATATCATAGAAAAAGTATTGCCAGGAAATGAAGGTTTTTCTTCAGGATTTGTAGTTAAAAGTCTATTTAAAATAAATTTGAAACCATTTAAACATTCTTTAGTTTTGGAGGGTAATTAGTCTGTAATATTCCTTCCTGGAGATTATAATAAAAAACGTTATAAATATTCTTAAGTAATAAATCATTAACATTACTAATATGCATAAAGGTTAAGTGTAGTAAGAAATGATTGGTTGATAGAAAATATAAATATTGTATATGAGAATGAAGAACTTGGTAGAGTTTATCCAATTCATTTAATGCCAAATAATTAATAGATTGTGTATAATGTTGAAAAGGATCATTGGATAGTTAGTTTTTTTGGATTATAATTGTAATCAGTTGGATCTACTAATTTATTTTCGTAATAGATTTATAAGGATGAGATCAATTAAAATGAATTTAATTATGAAAAATGCAATAAAATAAATGAAGGTAATATATATTAAGTAATAATTAAAATGGAAATCAAAGAATATTAAGATTAACTTCATATTTCTATAATTCCATTTTAATTAGGAAAGAATGGATCTATAATAAAAAACACTGTGAATTTTAAAACGGATTGATTGGTTTTCTGAAATTTTAATATAAATTTATATATTTATTTTTATTTTTTAAATGAAGAATAGGAATTCATTTTCAGATAAAGATAATCTATATTTTTCAAGATCTACTGTTTAATAATTAAAACCTCAGATTGATTAAATTTTTGATATTAATTTGAGAGAACCTCCAATATTAAAAAAATAATCAAAAAGTTAAGGAAAGATATTTAAAATGAACGATTAAGATAAAAAGAAAATAGATTACTTAGTTTCTTTAGGTTTATAAGATAATATTTATGAAATAAAATATCCATATTTCAATTTCATTTATAATGTTAAATTACCAGATTAATTGATAAGGAAATGGAGTATAAGAAGCATTAGTTTTAATAAAGATAAATTAATTGTGGATGTTTTTCAAGGACAATATATGAAAAAATAGAAAGATATTAATACAAAAAATGAATAGTTTTTATATCCTGCAATAATTGGAACTCAAAAGTGATTGCATTATAATTTTAGGTTAGAGCAAGATCAATTATATTTGAATAGTATCATTAATGGATTCATGGTTGAAGGTAGAGTATAAAAACAACTTTAAGTAAATTTAAAATGAATTTAAGTATCCTCTGAGAGATAAGCATGCCAATTTATATCTTTGGAGTGGCTTATTATTTTTATTGAAGTTTATCTATAGATTTTATCAAATAGAATCTATATGAGCTATTAATAATATATATATATAATTATTTTAAATGGATAATAATTTTTTTGGAGACACTTTCGTTAATAAAAATGGACCATGCAAAATTAAATTGTCAGATATGAAGGTTGTAGTTTTATACTTTTGTGCAAGTAAATTCAATTATTAATTTAAGGTTGGTGTCCTCCTTGTGTAAACTTTACACCTACTCTTGTTGAGTTTTATAATGATGTTAATTTAGAAACCAAATAACTTGAAATTATTTGGGTATCTTATGAGGAATCAGAAAGTTAATTTAAAAAGTATTTAGAAGAAGTATTACAATTAAATAATTTAAAGATGCCTTGGCCAGCTATTCCTTATAATGATAAGAGAATCTAGTAACTGGTAGATAAATATGAAATTAAAGGAATTCCTACAGTGACTGTATTAAGGAAAAATGGAGATATAGCAAAGAAGAATGGAAAATAAGATATTTTAAAAGAAGGAGAAGGAGCTTATAATTTGTGGGAATAATTAGTGAATAGCGAGTGAACTCAAATTTTTATTATAATTATTTATAAAATATTAATAAATATATAATGTCTGCTGGAATATTCATTGGCACTATTATATTTATAGGTATTGGAATTGGAGTAACTGTTTGGCTTAAAGGAGTTGTTACTAAGGCAACTAAAAATTTAAGTGATTTGAATGATAATTTATTGTAATACATCAATAATAAAGATAGGCTAATGTATGTTTCAGTTATTTCTGGTACCATTCAATTTTGGCTCCTATGGTTTTGTATGTATATGCACTAACTCAATCCAATAATAACGCCTGTTAGAGGACATGAATGAGTTATTAATAAATCGTATTAAAATTTAATTTATAGATCATTCAATTACATAATTCTTATTATCATAATTACATAGCATTTTTGATACAGGGATACATATATTGAACTTTTGTTTTTCTAATTAAAAAATATAGGTTCTTCTATTTTTGATATAGAAATTTATGAAATATTTAGAAAAGAATTAGGATTTGTAATATAATATTTGAGAAATTCTTAAAATAAAATTTATTTGTTTCCTTGATTAATTTATTATGTTTAATACTTGATCAATAAATTTATCTTTTAATAATAAGAATTATATTTCATTGATAATAATTATATTATCTAAATTTACCAACCTATATTATGATTATTAGATTAATTTTGAAAGATAATATTATTATTGTTATCCTTTTAATTCATTAATTTATTTATTTTCGATATTATTTTAACTTAGATTTATATTTAAATGTTTGATAATTATATGGATAACAATAATTTTATATATTTTATTAAAGAGAATAATATATAATGTAATCTTTTTATCATGCTTATTTTTTTATAATAAACGTTCTACCTTTGCTTTAGGCAGTTCTAGGTGGAGCATACATAGTTTTGTTAAAATATAATGAATATTCTCTTGAAACCCAATTAATAAGTTTATCAGTTTCTTCAAACCTTCTTTTTTAATCTTTTGCTCCTATTAAAACTACTATTATTGATCCTAATACACTCTCATAAGAGACAGCAAGACAAGCACCAGCATTAGGTGTTATTCCTGTTTTAATACCATAATAATTTTCAAAATGCAATAATTAATTTGTATTAAACCATTCATAATTTCTACAAGAGTAGGATTTGCTATTGCAAATTTATTTTAAAATAGGAATTTTTAAATAAGCTGAACTCATTTTACACATATCTGATGCTGTTGATTTATTAGCCTATATTTAATATAGTATCTATAATTTACTTTTGAACTAAGACCATGTGGATTTGAAAATTATGAATCTCTCATACCTAATTTTAATGCATTTTCATTCATTTATCTTACAAATCTATTCATATTACTCATTTATGTATCATCATAGAATCCTTATATTGTATCACATGTAATATAACTGACAATCTTTTATTTTCTTTAAGTGTTTAGTATAAATCCAAAATGCAGTGCAATTGATATTGCAGCATCATTTCCAGATGGTAACATTAATGCATATAACAATTCTTCTAAAGATAATATGTCATCTCTTCTTAAAAAAGCAGATGTCCCTCCAATCTATGTGGCAATTCTAGGAATACGAATATATATTTCATTCTAAAATTAGATTAAAAAGCTTTAATTACATAATCAAGATTTAATTCTTCACATAATTGTATTGCTGTATAGGCAGTCATAATTTTTGTAAGACTTGCTACTTCTAACTTTAAAGAGGAAGATTTGCTGGCTAGTTCATCTCCCATTAAAGTGACAATACACCAAGATAAAGCTGTTGTTTATGGAGGGTTTACTATTTTTAATAAAATTTTCCATACATAATGATAATGCTGACTATCTTTTGGTATGCAAAGATTTATTCTCATTCATTTTAAATAAATAATAAATTAAGAAATTAATAGCTTATTATCAATACTCATTAACATTAATTATATTGCTCTATTATTTTTTATAGTTCAATTCTCTTCTATTCAACTTACTATTTTAAAATCTAATTTTCTTCAATTAATGCCTTCATAAATTATGAATCATCACTAATCATATTACAAGTTAAATTATTTCCTCTTTAAGTAAAATCATCTCTTGAAGTAAAGGATACTGTATATGCATTGGGTTTATGTAAGATAGGAGTTATTGATCTTTATTATTGTACTCTAGGAATTTATTATTAAGCAATATATTATGTTTGAACAAATATTGGTTATCTCTAAAATGGCTATGTTATTGATTATTTGTACATAATTATTTTAATTATTAATAAACTTGAAAAGTAGATAAATATATCATCGATTCAAATTAAAGTATTATTAAATATGATTTCTCTTAATTTAATTATTTATTTTATGAATCGAAAACTTGAACTAAAATTATTAAGCCATTTTTAGAGTTTAGAAGGAAAATTATCTTTATTGTTCTTACATATATCAGATAATTCAGCTGGTTTCTAACATGTAGGTAGTTAAAAGGAATAGTTTACAGCCTTTTATAATATATGCATACAAAAGTAAAAGAACATTTTTCATTTTATAAAGAATCACTAAAATAGTATTTCTCAAAAATGGTACATAAAATTAACCTTTTGAATAGTAATGTATATTTTGTTCAAAATTAAAGACTAACTCAAGTTAATAATTAATATTGCATTTACTTTTATTTCATAAAATAAAGTATAGCTATAAATTTACTTACTATTAAAATGAAAAAGTTTTACATATTGCTTATTTTCGATAATAACCTAAGATCTTACCTAATGTATTTAGACATTATAAAGCCATCAATTAAAATTAATTAGATTGCTTTATGTTCTTAACTTTATTTTCTTAATCCAATTCAGAATTTTACTAAAAAAATAGTAATAATTATAAAATTTATTATTAGCTCTTCCATTAGAATAAGATTAACAAATATCTAATTTAATGAGTTAAAAATAATTCTATTGTGGTCCTGCAAAAAATTTTAAACCAGTTTAAAGGATTGAAGAATTTAAAGAATTAGAATCATTAGACTTTGAAGCATACAAATAAAATGAATTACTTTGTTTAACTAAATCCTCACCAGAATTTAAAGGATCTCCTATTCAATAATTTATGATGCTATATAATACTAGAGTATTAGAAGAAAGACCATAATAATTAAAAGATTTTTTAAAGTAATTTACTAAATTATAGGGAGAATTGGCTATTTGTTTTTAGAATCATTTATTTACATTACTTTGTTATAGCATGATAGATTAATAAACATTTGTAGAATTATCTCTTATGATATAAAAATGAATTTGAGACAATTTACATTATTAGTATAAACTTTAATTTTAATAATATTATCAATTTCAATTTAATAATAACTTTGTATTTATAATTATTCATTATTATATGATCAAGTATTATGTAAGATATAAATATACATTGTATTAATGATTAATTTAAATAGGTAGTTAATTATTATAAAGCAAAGATGAATTAAAATCATATCATCATTATTTTAGTTAACTTGTCTATAAGTTGAAATTTCATATTAAATACTTATTATTTGCCAATCATTTATCTTTTATTATCTTATCTATTATCCATTTTTAATATTAATCTTCCTCTTTTTGCAACTATCTGTGAAAAATTAATTATTTTTAATCTTAGACAGTTTACACTAAGGATTAGGTTTATGATATATATCTCATTCTTAATAGTCTAAACTGAAATTAAAGTCTTTCTACATTTATTATATATATATTTTCAATTTAACAAATTACATATAATTTTATATGAAAAAAACACATAGTTGTTAATTACGGACCTTAGGTTTTGTAAAAAATTATTAATCAGATTCCAATCAAAATAATATCATTAACCACACCCTTTATCATAAATATGCATCATCTCAAAATTACTATTATACAAGAGAAATTAACGAGATTTTAAGTAAGCAACGAACTTCATCTGTAATTTTGTTTTAAGTATCAAAGCGATCTAATAATAGGATTATTTGCATTATGATGATGAAGATGAATATCTTAAAAGATTTTATATTTATGATGTATATCATAATAAGATGAAATTGCTTAAAGAGTTTTATAAATACCATAAGGATCTTCCAAGATTTACATTAACTTAAAAAATACTTTAAACTCTAAATTATTATTATGATAAGCGTAGAAAATTAGATTATTATAGAATCTAGAGATAAATAGAGTTTGAAAATAAATAAAATCCTTAATTACCCCAAAAAGGAATAGTTGGAGACAAACCAATAGAAACTGAAAGTACGCCAAGATCAGCTAGTAGTTCAACATCAAATGTTAATACTAATATTGAAAATATACTTAAAGACATTACTAGATAAGAATCAAAGCAATAAATTGAGATCAGTAAAATAACTTAGATCTAAGAAGAATAGTAAAGTGAGATCATTAAAATAATCAATATGATTAGCACACCATAAATTAAGAATTATTAGGTTTTTAAAAAATCTAAAACCAATTTCAAGAAATAATTGAAACTTGATGAATTAGGTCTATCATTATCATCAAGAATACAATAGAACCCACAAGAAGCTAAAATGCCTTTATCAGCTAGATATCCTTCTTATTCATTAAGCAGAGTTAACCACAAACATTAATCATTATCAAAAGAGAAAACTGCTGATACTCATTTAATAAAAGATAATTTATTGTAATTATTTAACAAATATCCAACGACAAAAAAGATGAAAGTCGAAAATAAAAGTAGTTCAAGAAATATTCAATTTGATTAAAAAAAATTAATTCCTGATATAAAATAATTAGAATTGAAAATAATTAAATCATTATAAGAAATAGAGAAAAATAAAAATACTTAAAAAATAGTATCTTTAGATAGCAAAGCATTACACTAAATACTTAGTAAATTTAGTAAGCCTATATCTTAAAGACATATTTAATAAGTAGACTCATTTAAAAGCACTTCAAATCAATCTATTAAATTAACTAATAACAGAATTGCTATGCAAAAGGCTTACACTCCACGAAATAAATTCATGAACTCAAAACCTAATGAAACCAATTAATAACATACTAAAACATCAATAGAAAAATAGTAATAATTAGTTAAAGCTCTTGATCTTAAGAAATTGATGATCTATAAATCTGAAAAACCTGCTAAGACAGAACGAATAAAAAAAAATGTTCCTGTTTTGAATCTGAATGCAATTTAGATTAATAATTAGTCTTCTCTAACATCTAGAAATTAAAGTGGCAATCCAAGCTTCATTTAATTATTAACTCCAAAACCACAAACTAGTAGATATAAAGTTAATAATCTTATTCATTGGTAAGTAAAGGCTATTTAAGCTGCATAAAGAGATTATAAATTATAGTTAAAAACTTAATAAATGAAAATAGAACAATTAATTTGATATATTATATGAACTAATTTTAAATAGAAATTATATAATTAATAATCATTAAAAAAATTAACTTCAATGTCAATCATAAATTAAGAACTTTTACAAAAAGTTATATAGCTAATAAACAGTTAACCCTCCATTTATTAGTAATTGAATTCAACAGAACTTGATAAGGGAATAGATCTTATTGATATCTATTCTGTTTATGGAGATGTAGATTAAAATATATATGAAGAACCAGGCGAAATTCAGTTTAATTTTGAAATGGAATAAGAGTAGCCATACGAAGAAGTCAAGGAAAGTATTCCTTTATAGAATACTAAAAAATCACAAATCACTTTGGATTAAATTAAAAATTATGATAAATGCGATTAAGTATATAGAACTATAGCAGAAACTTAAGGGGAACTTGAAGTATTTTTAGATAGGAATCAAGATATATACCGTTCTTTTAAAATTTGGAGTGATTAATTAAACTATGGAGAACTTTATTCAAAGGATCCAAAGTATATTGAGAAAATTAAATTTACATTGATACTTGTAATTATAATTATATAATAAATAGTTATCAGAATGGTTAGTGGCTGTGTGTTATAAATAATAAGTAAAAAAAAGGATTTTAATCTAAACTTAAACTTAGCCAAGAATTTAATATAAAGCGAATATTTTTTTGGAATATATTTATGAGCCAAAGAAATTAAGTGAAAACAGAAGAACAAATGAAGTAAGAAGATAAACTGTTCATGAAATTTTACTGGCTGCAACTCCAGATATGGCATATGTTCTTTCTGAAGGTTTTATCATTTCAAAATTAACTAATTAATTGATTGCTCCTATTTAAGGAGGATTTTGTAGAATAAAAGATTGGCTCATAGCAGTTAGGGGAGTAACAAACTTAAATATGAAAGAATTTTAGGAATTGTTAAAAATTAGTAGAGAATATTTTTCTGAATAAAGAACTATTTGATTATTTATAAGTTTAATTATATTTAATATTTATCTAATTAAGTTTTATTAATAATTATTATGAAAATAATTAAATATAATGAAAATTATAATATAAGAAATAGTATTATTAAATAGATGAATAAATTAATGTATAAAGTGGATTATATATTTATATTCATTATTGATATGATTGCTTTTTAACGGATAAAAATGCATTACTATTTTTATTTCTAACAGTTGTCGATTATTCTACATTCTCTTTAGAAATTAGTTTTTGATTTTTGATTTTTTATTAACTATTCAATTTTAAAACTTAATTATAAATAGACTCACCAGGATGACTACATAATTCTTTAAGAATTCTATCTTTTAAAGTATCTTCATTTGAAACATGTTAACTAGGTTATGAAATATATTATTAAGAATTAACATTTGCTAATATAAACTATCTTTTACCATCTATGTGATCAAAAGAAGGTTATTTAGCTTGTTTGGAATTTGATCTTTTATTTTGATGATTATCATTTTTTTAATATTATTAATTATTATTTCTAGATTAAGGTTCTTAGTGAAGTGGAGTTAATGATTTTTGATTAGGTAAAGAATCATAATTGATTTTTTAAAATTCTTTTTAACTTTTTTGTTCAAATAAATTGTTGTTCACTTAAGGATATTAGTATTAAGCTTAGATATAATAAAATAGTAATACATCTTTAACTAGCATGATTAGTAAGGAGTTTAAAGGTTTGAGGACCTGCTGCTGTCATGTTTTTTTAATGTTTTGGTGTTAATTATTATTTATCTTCAAAGCTTATCCTATCTGTATCTTTACTATTTTTTTATATATACAATTAACTTAGATTATTTATTAATGGTTAATTAGATTATTCATTAATTTTATCAAATTCTTAAGAGGTTTTTTATTTTTCATTTTATTACACATAATATTTTTCATTCATTTCCAATTATTTATTTAAGCATTTTTATGAATTCAATTATTCGCCTACACTAATATTATGTTTATAACTTTCTCTTTCATTAGGAGTTATTAATGGATTATTTTTTTGAATGTATGTTTTTTAATGCCAACTTTCTGGAGTATTTGCTCTACTTTCTCTTCTTGAGTTTTATATAGTTGAATTAGGATTAGAATAAGCATTAACTTTTGATTTTTAAATTTATTATTATTATAATTGATGAATTGTAATTGGAGATTAATTATGATCTTTAATTGGATTAGAACAAGTACTCTAATAAATATCTTCTGCTTCTAACATCTCAAATACTTTCATATCTAAAGGAGAATTATTAGTATTCTATCTAATCTTTGGACTATTTTCTAATTTGATTTATACAGAATGACTATCAGATATTGATGAATCATCACTTTTTAATAATAAAAGATTGTAACACATTTTATTCATATCTGCTAAAATTTAACTTTATTCAAATTTAATTGGTTTAAGTTAAAATTCTTAATTACATTCTTATAATTATTCCTTTGTCTAAAGAACTCTCTTTTCATAACGACTCATTATGTCTTCAAAAGGTTTCATATCCATTTTTTTCACTATATTTTCATGGTTTTTATCAATGTCAATCTAAAATTATTTTAGTTATTCATCTATTTATTTAATTTAATTAGCTTTAGTATGAATAGAATTCAATAAAATATGATGATCATTTTAAAACTTTTGTAAATAAGTTTATTTTAATTAATTTGCAGTCTATATAACAGAATCAAAGAATTATTAGCAACTTTCTTAATGTTCCAAAAGTTATTTACTAGATATTTTCTCTAAGTTATTAAATTCTAAAGATCTATTTGTGCATTATTCCATTATCTATTTTAATAATTCTTAAAAACGATGTATCCGTTGTTATCTTTGAATTTCATGTTAATTCTCTTATGTCTCTTCTATTTTTAATCCTTTCAATGCTAAATTTAATGCACATTTAGAACAAAATTATTTACTTTTATCACATTATACATAATATTTTGCCTTTATTAATTTATTGCATTTACCTTTTTATTTGGATGCTTAGCACACTTATTATTACTTTATTCTTTTCGTTTGAATATGTTTGAACTCTTTAAAATTCTTTCTTATTCAATTAATACAAACGATGTTTCCTCTGAATCTGATGATGAAATTTATCCACTCATTATCGGTTAAAAATTATTAAAAAATAATAAAAGAAATTTCATGAAGCCAACCTCTAATGCTTCTCAACAAGCAAATCAATGGGCAATGAAAAAGAAAGAGCAAATGGAAAAAGCTGCTTAAATGAGAGCAGAACGAAAATTAGCTGCAACTGGAGAAATGGCTTTAGGCCCTAAAACAAATTATGGTACTTATATTAAGTATCCAAAGATTATGATAAACCTCCAAGTTAGAATTCTTAAAAATAATATTATTAAGCTGATTTAGGTAATAATAATGTACGATAACAATAATTTGGTCAGTAGTAATTTTAAATGAATGATATTGGTTTTCAAAATGTTTAGCCTAATCGGTAATCTTCCTTAGGAAAATAACAACCCTAACCTACTTATGATAAATATGGATATAATTAAAACACTTAATTTTCAAATAATAAACCACCTAGTTAGGAAGGGTAAAGAAAAGTTTAATAGGGTATATAATCTAAGCCATAAGTGAATTAAGTATAATAGAGTAGATAATAATATGGTAAAATTGAAGATGATTATGATTATTAAAATAAATAATATGGGCAACTTAAATCATAATAATAATAACCATAAAATGTTAAATAGCCTACACCTGTTTAAAAACAATAATATAGACCACCTTCAGGAACTTATGATCAATCTAATGGATATAATAAACCTTCTAATTAAACAATAAAGCCACCTGTTCAATCAACTAAATAATCAATTAATAATAAATAATAAGGTAATCTTAGAAATAATTAACAAGCCGTTTAATAACCATAATAATAATAATACTACAATCCTATTGATGATATACCAATTAAAAAAGGAGATAATTAACCTAATATAAATATTCCAAATCCTGAACCATTATATGAATGCTCAAAAGGGTGTGGTAGATCTTTTGCAAAACTTGCTTTATAAAAACATGAAAAGATTTGTGTGAAAGTCTTTCAAAAATAAAGAAAATAATTTGATGCCTAAAAACATAGAATTATTAGTAATGAATAAATAAATCACATAAAAAACTAAGATAAAATTGAATAAAAATATGAAAAAGCTTTAGGTTTTTATTTATTAAATTATTTCAGCTAAAAAACAAGATTGGAAAAAACAATCTGAAGCTTTTAGGGCTGCCATAATAGCTGCAAAAGGAGGAAAATTAACAAATGATCAAAAGGTTGAAATATTAATAATAATATAGAATGCAATGCAATAAGCTAGCAAATCAAATTTAACATAATGCAATTATTGTGGAAGAAGTTTTAATCAATAAGCAGCTGAAAGACATATTCCATTTTGTGCTTCAAAAGCAAAGATTCCTCCTAAACAACCTTAAAAAAGGAGATGATCATTAATAATTCAATAAAATTTATATATAAAAATCAACTAATTATATCTATCATGAAAGATTTTCTAATAAAGCTATAAATTCGATCTCCTCAATTAAACCATCTTTATTATGATCACATGATGTTAAGATTTCTTACCAAGCATTATTATCAATTTAAATTCCTCCAAATATTTCCTCTATTTCTGATCTTGAAATTGTACCATTACCATCTAAATCAAATAGCCTAAATGCTGCTCTTAAACTTTCTTTCAATATTTATTTCTCTAATAAAACTGAGGCAGTAATAAATTCAGTAAAATCTATTTTACCAGATTCATTTGTATCTATTTGATTCATAATTTCTTTGATCATAATTTAGGATTAAATTTAATTTATATTAACCATGAGCATTCCTTATAATATTTCATCCTCACATAAAACACCATCTCCATTTTTATCAAGTTTTTTAAAAGCTTCTAAACATTTTTCACATTCTTCTTTTTTAAGTGTTTAAACTGTAATAAATTGGTATATAGCCACTCTTAAATTATTATACCCTTTAAATTAAGTAATATTTCTAAAAAATGCTTAATCAAAAGGTAAACTTATTTCAGATTAATTTTAAATCCAATTATGACTCATTGCCTCCTTCATTGATACTCTTTAAACTGGATCTTTATTTATCATTAACTTTATCAAATCTATTGCATCTGGACTTATTTTTTACCATATCTTTGCTTTTTAATACTTAATTCAGATAGTACCATTAAAATCAATTTAAGCTTATTAAACAAGTTGTAATGTTTCATATTAATTTTTTCCTCTAAATGGAGCCTTTCCAATCAATAATATATAAAGTATCACTCCACAAGACCATACATCAACTTTTTCATTATATCCATTAGATCTTAATATTTCAGGAGCTATAAAATAAGGAGTACCAATTTTTGTAGTCAGTTTTCTAGATATCATCTTTTCGCTTGCTCCAAAGTCAATAACTTTTAAATTGGAATTGATATCTAAAGTATCAAATAAAATGTTTTCTGGCTTGTAAATAATCAAAATTATAATACTTTAAGATCTCTATGGACTATTTTTCTCTCATGACAATATATCATAGCGGACAAAATTTGTTTCATATAAATTTTTGCTATTTCTTCTGAATAATTTTTAATTTTCCTAACTCTATCTATCAATTCTCCTCCATCTAAACTTTCAGTAATTAAATAGAAATGTTGACTATCGTTGAAAACTTCAAGAATCTTTACAATATTAGGATGATCTAAATTTTTTAGTATTTCTGTTTCTTGTAATAATAATGTTTCATTTTCAACTGATTATCTAGAAATAATCTTTACTGCTCTGATCAAATTGGTTTTTAAATGTCTTACTTAATAAACTTCTCCAAATCCTCCTTAACCTAATTTCTTTATTATTTCATAATGCTATAAAAATTTCTCCCCTTCTTTTTATTTTCTAATAAACAAATCTGGTGAAAGTGATAAGTCTTTTTGATATTTGGTCTTAATATTTGAACTTTAAGAACTAAAAACATTTGGTGTTTAACTATCAATGCTTTCCAAATTGACACCACTAGTTTATTTAAAAATTATTTTTGCTTAAATAGAGGTTTTTTATTCTTCATCATCTGCATTGATTGCTTAATCAATAATTTCATTACCTTATTAAATACTATTCTAAGCTAAATTTATTTTATTTCATTACCTTGGGTGTTAACTTAAAATTTAAAAATACAATTTCCCATTTAGAAATTTCTAAAATCTGTATAAATATAATTTTTATAAGGGATGCTTTAATTATAAAAATAGATGGTTTTTATTTAAAAAGACTTTTATTTGATTTGATAAATATAATATATTAAATTTATTTATACTATTTTTATTGTATTAAAAAATGTTCATAATTTTTTTTTAAATATCTATTTATACTATAATTGTCCATTAAATGCGGATGTTGTAAGTGAATGGAATTATTAATTAAATCTATCATTATTTATTATGCTTCACATTCCTGATGTAGTAATTGGTGTTGAAAGAGCCAATCATAAGCATTTTGATGATATCTAAGAAACTTCAAAACTAGAACATCCAGCAAAAATAAGCATGATCAAGATTTAATATAACAAAGATCATGTTATAGGAATCAAGCTTAAGTACAAAGGAATTGATGGAAAATAAGTAAAGGGAACTTGCTCCATGAAATTCAAACTACTTGGAGGAGTATTTTCTGGAACAAAGAAAGAGAAATTCTCTATTGATGATGGTAATTAACTCATATAACTTTTAGGCGATTATATCAAGGAAATACATGGATATGTGGGCACAGAAATAAATCAATTTGGATTTACTACTTATAAAGGAATTTCTCATAAATGTGGAGTATCTAAAGGAGTATCATTCTCTCACCATTTTCCTCTTCATACTTTCACTTCAGCCAGAGGATCTTATGATAAATTCTTAGAATTTATCGCATTTAGAGTAGCACCACTAGCTCCTGAATAGATATAAAAATTGGTAATACTTATTTTTATCATTTTAGGGATTGAATTAGCAATAAGGAAATGTCAATATCGTAACAATGCACACTACTTAACCTCCTCCTCCAGCACAAAACCAATAAATTCAACCTACTGGATAGTATCCACCCCAAGGATAATATCCACCTCCTGGATAATATCCACCCCAAGGATAATATCCACCACAAGGATAATATCCACCTCCTGGATAATATCCCCCACCAGGATAATATCCACCACCAGGATAATATCCTCCACCAGGATAATATCCTCCACCAGGATAATACCCACCACCAGGATAATATCCCCCACCTGGATAATATCCACCTCCAGGATAGTATCCACCTCCAGGATAATATCCCCCACCTGGATAATATCCACCACCAGGACAATATCCACCATAACCACCATAGAATACAACTGTTATCATAGAATAGTAGGCCCCACCTCCTGCACAAAAAAGCGGTGTGAGCGGCGGTGTCGTTGCAGGTGCCGTGATTGGAGGAGCATTGGTTGGAGCTGCTTTAGCAAATAACCATCATAATCATCATCGTGGTCCAGATGTGGTCGTTGTGAAGAAGCATCATTGAAAAGATATATTTAAAAATAAAATAATATATTTTAACCATCTAAAATAATGTGTAAAAATTAAGTTCTAGTTTATAAAGAAATTTATATAATTTATTTGCTCTCTTAAATAATACTAAGATAGTATATTAAATCAAAATTAATATAGAAAAAAGAGATAATATAATTGATGGTTGAGCAGTTAAAAATTAATATAGTTGAAATTCAATTTTCAAATTTTAAATCTGATATTGGTATGTTTTACCTTATTTAATATCAACTATTTAAAATAGTTTATATTAAGGGGATATTTTATTTATATAAAAGCTAAGTAAAAAAAATCTTATTTTCTTTTGTATATTTTTTTACCTTTTAGTGGCTGTGAAAAATAAATTAGCAGAACTAAAAAAAAGGTCTAGTATTTAAAAGACTAAAAATTTATTGTTTAAATGTACAAATCTATCATATTTTGAGTCAGTATCTAGAAGACATTACATTTTCTAATATTTTATAGACCAAATCTGAAGATTTTATGTATATTGAGTATTTCCCAAATAATGAGAGTTTTAAATGAAATTAAATTCTAAATTTTCTTATCCATAAATTAAAGAAACTAATAATCTTTTTTGAAAATTTATTTTGCTAATCAAAGAACCAATAAATATTTGGAGGAAATACAATAATAATACAAAATAATCCTTTTTATTTACAAAGAATTTTTTCAGAAAATTAATTACTTAATTACCTTAATAAGAATAGCCATATGAAGATTCTTATTAAAGAAAAAATAATAAAAACATAAAGACTTTTTTTATTTAAAAGTTTTTAAAGAAATTTTAGTACTCTATGTGCAAATTGTTCCATAAATTTTCTATTTTTTTAAATAAATAGTTTATATAAATAAATTAATTTTCATTATTTTTATCTTTTTGAATCATGGTTTAGTCTACCTAGATTGTACCAAAGATTATGCATCTGCAAAGAATTTCACCACAAGAATTATTTTTGGTAATATAATAATGCCTACAGCATTTAATGCTCCTTATATGGTTGGAGAATTAATGAAAAATGCTCATAATAAGATAAAAATAGGTATATCAGCAAAAGAATCCTACGCATACTTTCAAATTATAAAACCTTCATTTCATCATATAATTATTTTTAAAACTAACAAAAAAATGAGGAAAAAGTTAACAAATTAAATTGATCAAGTCTAATGGTTTTTATTTAATGTGTGTTATTCTCTTAAATGGGTCAAAATAATAATAATATGAATTTTTTCTTATGTAGTTTATCATTGTGTGATTAAAGACTTTAATTAATATATTTAATAACATACCATGTAGCTATCATAAAAAAATAATCTTATTATCGCATTCATTTTCATTTATGTCTTTATCGGTTATTTTAATACTAAATTAAAATTTTTCTGTTGCTGATATCAAAAGACATTCTATATGATTGATGCTAATATGGAGCAACTTCGTCATTCTTTTCTTCTTTAAGATTCGCTAGGCCTATGCAATTACTTCCAATACAGATTAGAAGATCTATAAATAAAAGATACAATTTCAATAAAAACAAAAGGAATTTATTCTGAAGGATGAACCCAAAATCTTTGCTTTAAAAAAACACTCGAATGAGTTTATAAAAATACATCAAAAATATCTTATTGTACATGTATGATTTTATAGAGTTAATAATATCATTTAAGTCAATAATATCTTAACTGCAATAAGAAATCTTTAGATCATACGCACTTTAAAAATCAATTCAAAGTCTTCAAAGTTTGGTGTATTATTTAATTATTTTAATTTAAAATATTTTATATTTTTATTATATATATATTTTTATTTTATTGATAAAAGTGAAATATGATATTTAAAATATAAAATCAAAATAGTACTAAAAATGTCTCAAATGTAGAATAACACAATGTATAAAATATTATTTATTTGATAATTATAATTATGAACATGATATTATTCATAGTTATTTCTATTTCTCTGATATTTTAAAATTATAATTATAAATTCAACCTCATATGTATATTTGGATACAGTGAAGCTTATTTAACAATAATGAAATAAAAAATAGTGTTTTTATATTAAATTGATAAAAATTCATTAATTATTATATGAACTCACCGCCACCAAATAGCAAATCAACTGAAACTCAATTCAAATTTGGACTACTGAAAGTGTTAAGAAGCAATTACTTTGCAGATGTGGATAGGATGACAGAGGCCCATAATTAGGGATTATTTGTAAAAATCAAAAATAGAAATAGGAATCAATTATTGATGAGAAAGAATGGTTGAATTGTGGTAAACCTATAGTGGATAAAAGACCTGTTCATGAAGCTAAAAGAGCTAATGAAAAAGAAGTTTAAGATGAAGGAGAGGAATAAAGAAAATAAAGATTAGAGAATTTGAATTTGTATTTAATGGATGGTGTATTTAAGGCAGGTGAAGAGATGGGATTATAAGAGTGGAATAAAAGAAGATTGGAAAAATCTTTAATATCAGAATAAAAATTTTATTATTTCGATGATGATGGAAATCTAGTTGCAGATAGAGAATTTTTTGAAGAGAAAATATAAAGATTATTTCTAATTGATTTTGATGAAAATCTGGCATTATAAACACATTAAAGACCTGCTTCAAGATGTGCAAGAGAAAATCAAAATAAATAGTTACCTTTTAGATTAGACATTTTTATTGGAGTATTACAATTCTCTTATCATCCTTAATTTTCAAGGGAAGATTAGTATGTGGCAGATCTAAAATATCTGATTAAGAAATATCGAAAGAGGGCTGATTTGGCTCTGATTCCTCATTACTAGAAGACATTAAATATTTTAGAGAAAGAAACTACAGAGTTGTAAAGTAGACCTGATGATACTAAGATGGAGATGGAAATGATTTAGTTGGAGAAAGAAAGATTAAGAGAGGAATTAAGAAAGGAGATAGAGACCTTATAAAAATTGATGGAATAGATATATGCAAAATGGGATACAATAAAAGAGGAAAGAAAAACAGTTGGGGCAATTTCATCTCCTTATAAATTAGGAGTCAGATTTTACAATTCGACGGATAATACTAAGGAAGTGGATTTTATATTATAATAAATAGAAATTAATAAGGAGAGTAATAAGGATTAGATAATTAGTAAAGCAGAAGAAGGAAGAAGATAAACAATAAAAAGCTTTAGAGTTTAATTAGAAATAGTAATTAATAATTAGGTAGTAGCTTAAACAAGGAAAGTAAATTTAGATTGGCCATCTTTTGAAGCTAGAATAATGGAGAAACTTTAAGTGTATGTATTTACAAAACCAACAAGTGTTAAATTAAGAATATGGAAGGTTCAATTGATTAATAAATTAATTGATGAAATTGAGATAGAATTACCAGGGGAGAAATCTTATGCCATAACTAGTACTGGATTTGTTTTGAAGGAAGCTTATTTTGCATAAGGTAGAAAAACAATAAGAGAATCTCGTTATTAAGATTTGATAAGTTAAAACAATAAAGCTTTAAATTATAAATCAACTGAAGAAGAATTTGAAGGATTTATTTCATTTCGAACAGAATGGCCAGATTTTGGTCCAAAAATGCCTCCAGAAAGTCTTGATATGCAATATCATTAATTGGAGACAAAATATGAAGATGAATTAGGTGATGCAGATGATATTGAAAAGATGATTGTTGATGAGAAATACTTTGATATTAATGATCCTAGAAATGAAGAATTATATGAAAAATTAACAAAGAAATAAGATAAATAGACAGAAGTGATTTCAGGAGAATGTGTTGTTCCATATTCTCATATTAAGAGTAAAAGATAACAATTATTAAAAATGAAATTTGTTTAACCTTAATTGAGTAAATATAAGATACCTTTATTGGAATAATAAATCGAAAGAGATGGAGAATTAATTTAATTTTTAGGAGAGGATGATGATTAAATGGATTATGAGAAAGAATTAAGAAATTAAAATAAGGAAGATTAATTTTAGATTTTAGGAGATTATATTAATGATGAGGCAACTAAATAAAGATTATTGACAATCTAAAAAATATTGTAAGCAAGAAAAATAGAAGCTAAATTAAAAAGAGCTAAAAATTAGAGTGGTTTAATCTCTATTGAAAATGTAGTAAATGAATTTCATTTTGAAGCAGCTGCATCACTTTTAGCAGAATGTATCAAATCTATATTTACTAAAAGAAGAAAGTTAGGACCTTAAAAAAGAACAAATTTAGATAAGAAAAATCCTACTTAATTGTCTGAAGTTTAAATAAGTGCATTAGTTATTTAAGGAAATAATGTTCCTATCAGATCATCTGATGTTAGTAAATTATTAGAAGTAAAATAAAAATTAAATTAATATAATTCTGTTAAAGAAACTATTGAATTATTAGGAAAGATCAAAAAAGTTAGTCCTATTATTTAAGTTACATTAGATATCTAATCAGATAATGTTAGAATTATTAGAAATATTGATGTTCTTAAGAAAAAATAGAAACCTTAATTACCAGGTTAATTATAAGCATTTGGTTAGTAAGAAGATGATGAATATGAGGCTGATATTGAAAGATTAATAATTGGCAAAAAAGATGATTAATTGACTTCAGAAGTTGAAGGAGTTAATCCAGAATGGAATGAACTTATTGATTTTAGAATTGGAAGAGAATTTAAATAATAATAATTTGATCCTGAAGATTTAATTAATTCTAGAAATAAGATCACATTCACTTTATTTGATTAAATTGGTTGGTTCAAATAAAAAGGTATGAACACTTAAGAACATACACTTACAATTACAAGAAGATATATAGGATCAGTGACCATACCATTATTAAATTTATTTTAATAAGAAAAAATGAGTGGAAGATTTAGAATAAATAGACCATTGTTTTTGTTAAATTATAGAACTTTGAATGTTGAAAATTTCTTAATGGATTAAAGAAATTAAACATAATAATAAAATGAATTATAAAGTATAATTAATTAAAATATATTTAGGTTTGCATAATAATTTTGATATTATAGATCCACATATTCCAACAACAATAGAATTAACAATGACATTAGAACCTTCAATAAAAGTAAATGAAGATTTAAGTGCAACTACTTATTTTCCAGGAGCAGAAAGTACTAACCTATTTTTGTACGGAATTAGATAATTGAATAGATACAGAGAATAATATAAAGATCGTTATATTAAATTTTGGGCTGAAAATTTAAAAGGAGAATCAGTATTTTTACCAAGATTTATAACTCCTTTGAAACCACCAGAAATAGATTTTACTGCAAATTCAATAGAAAAGGCAGCTAGATATGTTTCATTAATTCCATTTAGAAATGATACTGAGGTATTTAGAGATTTACCTGATATTTATTGTAATAGCTAAGAATTCATAGATTTAAGAGCAGGAGATTTTGAAGAACATGCTCTTTTATTGTGTAATTTCTTTATGTATATTGATGAGAAAATATTAAAAAGAGATGATATTAAAAATTATGTAGTAATGGGTAGAGGATTACCTGAAGGCAAAACTTAATATGTAATGAGAAGATTCACAAAATCTAATTTTGTGGAATTATGGAATCCATAAACTGGTGAAGTATTTGTCTTTCAAAATTAAGAATATATTAAAACTTTATTTTGTTTTACAGTATCAAAAGGATATAAAAATTTAAATGATGTTGATGATGATGCATGTCCATTAACAAATATAGGATGTATTTTTGATAATTAAAACATATATATTAATATTCAAAATACAGAAACTCCTAGTGAAATGAATTTTAATATTGAAGATACCCATTTTTGGGAACCACTTTTAAATAATGATTAAATAAAAGCATTTTTCCCAAAAGGTATATTACCAATATCAAATGAACTTGTATTTGATGTTCCAAGTGTTGAAAGATCAATACTTGTTTAAGATGAATTAGATAAGTTTTTAAAGAATAAAATTAAAGATTATAGATTTGAAGATCTAGGATAAAAGAAAGCTCACTTTACTACTACCTTCAATAATCAAAAATATGCATAATTAACTGAATTTATAAGGGATAGAGTTTTGTTTGATTTGGAATCATTTAAATTTAGAATTAGAACTACTGGATTAGCAGTAATATTAATTATTATTTTAGAGTGAATATGGAGCCTAAAGAAATAATGAATAATAATAATAATAATAAGAACAGTAAAATTAAGAAGAATAAGTACCTTTAAATCATGAAAATAGTCAATAATGGACATATTAGAAATCTTTGGATCATTTAAAAAAAATATAGGAATAGTTGATTAGACAATAAGTATGATTTGTAAAATATTTAAGGAAAAATATGTAAGATCAAGTAAAGAAATGTATGGATTTCCTCTGAATTTCTCATTTGTTGATTATGAAAGAGCATGGGATGAAATCAAAGCTACAGGAATTGCAGATATTATGAGTGATGATATTGAATTTCTTTGCATTACTAGATGCTTTCCTTATCCTCATTATGTATTATCTACATGGGTATTTATTGCAGTACTCTATAAATCAAAACCAGCTGATATGTGATAACATTTTTATCAATTTTATTCATTACCATCTTAATTATTAATTATTTCATTATAATGAATTAGTAATTTTAGGGAATTCCAGAAACTATAGATTAGAAATTAGAATTCTTTAATGAACGTAAACAATAAGAACTCCATAAAAGAGCTAGAATTCTTAAATTTACATAATTAAAAACCAAAGGTTATACTTTTGGTTTGGGTAGATATGTAACTTTAATTCTTGTGCATTCTAGCCTTTGGAAAAGTAATTAGAAACACCAGGACCAGGTCATTATTCTACTTAATAACCAGAAATTCCAATCAGTTATAGTATGGGTGTTAGACTCAATTAAAAAGGTAATTATGATAACATTTTCTTAAGTTCATAAATTTTAAGCTCCTCCTTTGGGTACTTATGAAATTAAAGGATTAGATAAATATGGTTATTATACTAATTCCAAATTTAAAAATGCTTGTGCAACTCTATTTAGTCCCTTGAAAAACAGTAATGTTAAATAAGTACTGTGAATTCATTAAAAAGCCAATTGTATCTCCTGGTCCTGGTGATTATGAATTGCCAGGTAGTATTAATTCAAAAGGAAAGCATTTCATTTCTAATTTTAAAACGAATTAAGGTTGGGCTCTTGGTAAAAAATCACTTTCTCAAAGAAAACCTTATTATTGAAATAATGATCAATTAAATTTTCTAAAAATTATTATTAAATGTAAAAATACTCTTAAATAACTTATTTGCAATCATATAAATCTGTTGTTTACTTATAAAAATAAAATATTTTAATTTAGATATATGTATTTATATAAATATATATATGATTAAATCTTCATAAATATATAAATGTCAGAGCAATTAATGAATTGCATTCAAATATTATAAAACAGGTTTATAATACCATCTTTTTGGATTCAAAACTCCTTCAAACCATGATATATGTCCACCAACTTGAGTCATTAAAGATATTAGATTTCCATTCTTTAATATAGCATCTCTTGGATAGACAGCCCTATTATTTATAACTGGATCATCAAATGAACCTAATAAAAATACAGGGATTTTGATAAATTCCATATAGTTTGCACATTAAATAGATAAATAATGGAAATCAACTGAAGGTGCACCAAATATTGGTTTAGTAAAGTAAGTATCAAATTCTAATGATGTCTTGGCTTATTACACCTTATTCATGTCTAAATTGATATGTTTGGGTATCGGTAAGTATTGATCTATCTTTCTTACTATTAAATTCATAAAGATTACTCCCTTGCTATTCTTTATCTATGCTTTCTGATATAAGAATCAGATAAACTATCTTCTAAAAATCGCATACCAAGTTAAAAGTCATAAGGATTTCCAACACTTACAGCAACTTTAATTAATGGATTAGTTCCATTACTTCCACACATTCCCAAATATTTTAAAAGAGTATTTGAACCAAAACTATGGCCTATAGCATATATGGTGCTTTTATTATGTTGTTTTGCAATATATTCTAAAACTCTTCTAAAATCCTCTACATGATGAAAATTTCCTATCTATGGCAGTATTTATCTTTTTGGATCCAAATAGATCCTATTATTAAATAGTCTATCATTATATAATACAATTCTCCAATCAGATTAATTCTGGCAAAATTTAGAAAAAAAGTTAGTGATATAAGGTTCAACCCTTGAAGCAGTCAAACCACTTAAAACAACTACCAATGGCTTACCTTCTGTCATTTTCGCTTCTTATTCACTTATTTTTCCTTCATAACTCCCCCAATCTAATGCAAAACAACCAAAATCTTATCCAAAATCTACATATTCTCTAACAAATTTTAGTTTAGGATCAACATCCTATACTTTAGAAGCAATAAAGGCTTATAATAATCCTGCAAATAAATATGGTGTATAGTAAAACATTTTCTATATTAATTAAATGGATAAGGATACCTTTTTTATGAAATTACATCTATTAATGATTGCAATGTTAAGATCATTAGCAACATAATCCAATTAACATCTGCAAGTCAAATAGTAATACAATATCAAAATAAGCAAAATTATGAGAATAATATAATACATATATTAATAAATAATCAGATTATTGTTTTAAAAATAACTTAACTAAATTTGTATCATAATTAAATTCTTTTGCTATACTTAATTTATAAAATCATTAAGATAGTTCCTTAAAATATTTAATGTTAAGATTAACTTTGAAATCAAAGTATTAATTCTTAATTTTATTCTTGATATAATTTCAACAGACAATTTAGATTAAATAATCTATATTGTTTTCAATACTATAGATTATTTTATATAATTAGAATTATTCTTAATTAATCATTAATGACAACTATTTGATAGATACAATCTTTGAATAAATGCTTTATAAAATTTTAAAAATCATTAAATAAATATAAATATGAAAACCTCTCCATAATCATTTTAAAGGGAAATGGAGGAAACAGTTTGGCATACTAGAAAAATGAGATAGGAGACTGAAAAGGATATTCAATTAATGAAGAATCGTCTTAAATTATTAAAGCGAGGAGATGCTCAGTTATCTAAGAGAATTGATGAAACTAAAAAGAAAACTTAATCTATGATTGACTTAAAAATGAATCATCATTAACAGATTGAATAAGTAATAAAGATTATTTATTTTTTATTAGAAAAAGCTTAATCAAAAAAATGGTGAAGCATAATTGAAGGAGAAATAATAATTAAATTATGATCAAAAAAAATAATAAGAGGAATAACTAGAAATGATTAAAAAAGCAATGGAATAAATTAAAATAGAAGAATATAAAAAAATTAAGTAATAATCTAAAATTATTTTATAGAGAGTTATCAATAAGAAATGCTGAAATGATTTATAAATAAAAATAAGATTTTGTCATTAAGAATAAGGAAAAGAGAGAACATATTAAAGAGATTATGCATAAATCTAAATCTAATATTTCTCTTTATTGGAATGAAAAATTATCTCACATATAAAAAGAAAATGAAAAGTATTTATATTTAATAATATTAAAATAGAGCAAAATTAGAAAATAAAAAAGCATGTGAACATAATAAGGCTTATTAAGAAAAAATGGAAATGGAAGAATCATATATGATGTAGAAGTTAATTAGATCTTAAGAAGTATAAAAAAAATTAGCAGTTAAATTGGAAAAAGCAAAAAACTTACCTCATGATGAATTTAATTAAATGATTAAAGAGGAAGAAGATAACTCCAATAATTTAAAAACTAATAAAAGTGCTGAGATTCCAAGATGGTTACCAACTCCAGAGAAAGATGCTGCAATTATCCAAAATTTAGATACTGAACCCAAACAATAATCAGATTAATAGAAAAATGAAGATGATTAATAGAAAAATGAAGATGATTAAGGATAATAAGAATGATATAAATATAATATCTAAATTAGATTAAAAATAAATCTTATGAAAATACACTCTCTTAAAATAATATAAGGATATGTTTACCATATTAATATATTTAGATTAAAAATGATTAATTTTAAAATCATTCTATTTAATACTGATTATCAATTTAAATTAATCCTTCCAATTTTCTAAATACATTATTACTTATTTGTGATAATTATACTAATAAAATGTGTAAAAACATCATAAATATTTTCAATCAAATATATTAATTATGATTTATATATTAGAAATAAAGATCTATAAAGTTCTTATTATTATGGTCTATAACATATAAATTTTATCAAAGAATAGTGACTACTTCTAATTAGATTTCATTAGATATTAAAATAACATATAAAATTTATGTAAATTAATGGCCGTTTAACTTCAGGTGATAAATACCCTGAAGACAATATAGAAAAGGAGGCGGCTGAAATGGCATCTAGGATTATGGAGAGAGTTCGTTAAAAATCAAATGTCAAATCTGCTTAAAGAATTTTGGTAAAACCAGAAAATTTTAGATCAAGTGATTATAAATCTAGATAATCAGAAATTCAAATAGGTAGAGAAGGAACCACATCTATTACTGATCGTAATCAACTCAACTTTGAACCAAATTTCAACCAATTCAATCCACTTAAAAATGGTTTTACATCTAAAAACAACTTAATTGAAACTATTAAAATACCTTAAAGATCATAGTTCAAATCTGCTTCTACAGGTATATAAGACATCTTTTAAAAAACAGTTAAATAAAATAATAACAATTTTTATGTTCCTGAACATTAATCATAATCTACTACTGATAAGCCAGATAGTACTAAATTAATTAAACTAACGTATAAAATATTATTAATTATAATAGCGATAGTGTAAATAGTCTAGTAAATTAGAAATTAGATCTATAAGCAAAACATAGAAGAATAGAAAGTAATACATAATTTAAGTCTATTTTGATTTCAAAACCTTATCAATTACACACTCCTGTTAAGTCCAATAAAGAAGACATAGTTTCATAATTATTAGGAAGTTTGCGAAATCAAAAAAAATACTCAGAATATAAAAACTCAGCTTAAAAATGAACTACTATTTATTAAATTTAATTTACTCTAAATTTAAATAAGTGTCTGAATAATATCATTAAATCTTCATAAACTAATTAAGTATATTCTTACTTCTAAATTATTCTTATTATTTATTTATTTTATTTAAAATGATTTTTAGACATATTTTTGTTAATAATAATTTTCATTACCGAATTCATTGATTTTATTCGATAAAATATGATTATTTTACTAAAATAATCTATATTTATTAGTATAATTATATTTTTAATTTAAAACATTCTTTAATATCTTATGATTAAATTCTGATTATAATAATCTTACGTATTACTCATTCGAATTCTTAAAATATTTAATAAAAATCTGAGTGAGATATATTTTTAATATTCAATAATAAATAATTTATTAGATATACTATTTTATTGTATTAGAGTTTTAATGATTGAAATTTGCACTAAATTTACTTGTATTATTATCTTTATACAAACATAATTCTCTATAAATTTAAATTTTACACTTTCAATCAAAAATATTCATATATTTTTCTTTGACGTTTTGAAAAAATATTTTTAATATATTTTTTAACCACTACTTTAAACAGTCTTATTTTCTTTAAATTATGATTTTAAGAAAAAAGGTATATAGTTTATTCTAATTGATTTTTGATTTCATCATATATATGTTGTCATTAATTTATTTAATTACTTTTTAATTGAAGAATGTAAAATTGAATATCTTTAATTATTGGAATAATCCATATTTAACTTTTTGATAATAAATCATTATATGTTGAGATAATTATATTTGATTATTAGAATGAAGTGTAAAATTGAAAAATTAAAATAACTATTAATATATTTATGCAATCTCAAATAATCTTAAATTTATATAAGTTAAATTAAATTTAAGTAATTTTTGAGTTTCTTCAATATTAATATAATTCAATATGTATTTAATTATTTTTAGAAAGGATCAGTTTGTATTACTAATAAAATTTCAAGATTTTAAGAAAACATTTGGAATTAAAGTTATCTAATTATGCATCTTTGATAGTGCTATCATATTTTTTGAGATATAAATAATATTAAAGTAAGTATTATTATTTAATGATACATTTGAGATACCAAAAAGATAAATTATAAAGAAACGACAACTAAGGTTTATTGATTTAAAAAAATATAAAATTAATTGAAACATAATGATAAAAAAATATAGCTTATAATTTGCATCACAAGAAATAGAGCAAATATATAGACAATCTCTTTTGAGTGGAATAAAATATCGAAGAGAATATACATATGGGATATTATGTATCTATTTAGGATTAATAATAATAAAATATAATTTGTAACAGGTCTTGTTACCTCAAATATTTGCAGGTGTTGGAATAATATTAGAATTGGCATTGTTTTTTTTTATGAAGAAATATTGGTAAAACAAGGAAATATTAATAACTCTAAATATGATTTTTATGGCTGCAATCTGTGAAAGTTTAAGATTATTTGGATTTGATGATTATCAATGGTATTATGGTTAGCATTCTACCTCACTTAAATTAAGTATGATTATATGATCTTACACTTAGTAATTTATTTGTAGGGAAGCTAGTTTTTAATTTAATCCTTTATTTTCTGTTGTACCTAAGCTGTAAGTATATATAATTTTAGTAAATATGATGTATCAACAATAATTTCTCATTGTCTAATCACTTTAATTCTTGTTATGCTTCGTTATTAATATGAAATTATCAGTAGAAAGAACTTCCTTTCAGGACTCTCCAAAGAACAATATGAAAATGTGATAGAGGATCTTCTCCCATCATGGGTTGTAGTGCTTAAATACAATAAATTAGCTGCTTAATTATAAATAGAAAAAATCAATAAAAATTTAAAAGAGAAATTCAATCTTAAAAATAATGAAGCTTTAAGAGATTTTTTAAGAAAATTAAACTTATATGATCTTGAAGTTAATGGTTAATCATAAAATATAAAAATTGAACATGAAATAATTTAAATATTAAAATCAAAAAGTGAAGATCATCCAGTTTAAAGATATTTTGGAATATTGGAAAAGGATGTCAACTCAAAATTATGTAGATTTAAGATTACTTAAGTTTATTTTAAAGCATTTGAACCTTTGGTAATTCTTTTATTTGAAGAGATTAAAGAGGACAAATACGATTAATATGTGAATTAAATTGAATAAAGAGATAATTAATAATATGTATAATTATAGATTAATTTAGTATAATTCAAAAATAAGTTTATACTTAATTACATAATAAATGTAGCTAATTTAATAAATGCTTAATTAAATATAAATAGATAGTCCCTTTAAGTAAGAATTATTGAATACATTCTAATAGAACTTATAAAAATAAACATAAATAAGTTATTATTTATACAATCTTAATAATAATTTATTGAATTTATTCAAAATATCTCATAGATTAATTAAATATGAATATTAAGAAATTTAGATTGAATAATTCTTTAAAACTTTATGTGATAATCTTCTTATTAATTATAAATCAATGAAGATGAATATTATTAATTTTTCAACAAAGAAAGAGATAATAAAAACAGATAAAAATAAATTAATATCAATTATTATGAACATAATGGAATTTATAAAAATTTTATTATCTATAATACATGCAGAAGATGGAATCATTTATTAAATGCATCCTATGAAAAAACCTTTTAGTCTATCTATAAAATAATCTAAAGTTCATAATGATTCCATTTAAATATCTTTAACTCATCCTAATTTAAATATTACAAGTTAAATGATAGCTTTAATTTAAAATATCACACCTGTTTCTATTGATGATAAAAAAAGAAATTGGAATAATAAGAATTACTTTGAAATGATTAAAAATTTAAATCAAACTCTATCTTAAATGATTGATCATTATAAAAATGAGATTTAATCTCTTACATCAATATCTTTAGGATTAAAAAGTAATAGATATTAAAAAACTAATCATTTAAATAATTAAAATAAATAATTTAATACTTTAGGATATATAATGGCTTCATACTTTATTAGTTAATTAGGTCCATCTAATAAAATTATATTTAAATAATCTCTAATAGAAAATGATATGTTAAATCCTTAATATGTTTCATCACTTTATTAAACTAAGATATAATTTACAATATATAAAGATTTATAAAGTTTTTCAAAAGAAGTTTCAAAAATAGAAAAAAACTTATTTGATGACAATTAGTATTTTTCACCAAAAAAATATACTAATTAAGAAATTGCTGAAAGATTACTTCAAATTTAAGTGGAAGATTAGATGAAAAGATTATTTTGAATTCTGAAAAGGAAAACTTACACTAAAAATTATCATTATTTATTATCATTATCCTATTTTAAAGATTGAAATCTAGGGTATTCAAATATCTGGTCTTATTGCTAAGATTTGTCTAAAATACTATTTTCAAATATAGTAGATCTTTTGGCAACAATACTCTTTTATAAACTTTATGCTCTTGTTTACTAGGTTAAAATATATTTAGATTTGGTATCTGAATTAGCTATTGAGTTAAATGAAGTGTTCTTTTTATGAGAAGAATCAAATCTAGCTCTTCTGACACTTGCCTATATCTATTATTAATAATCTTAAAGCATTTTAGGTTCAGTTGTTAATATTTTAAGATTATAGTTATAATTTTTCATATCTTAATATTCATATAATTATTCTTTAAATCTTTAAATAGTTTATTAAAGTTTTTCATTTTTTTTAACTTATTTGATTAATGCTTCTTTAGTAAACATTAATTCCTTAATTATAGTTAAATAAATACATTTTCTAAAAATTTATTTGTTTTTGTAAGTGTTTAGACATTTAACTTTAAGTGTTTACATTATTCATTTAATGAATGACATTCTTATCTAAAATATACCATCTTATTTTAAGCATTAATAACCTATAATAATATAATTAAATAACTTGTGATTCTTATTCATTATATTCAACATATTAATGAAATTTTTCATTTATTCTATCTATGTCTTTTTTCATGGTTTCTAAAACTTATTTAAATGCATTTAGAATATTGTTTTATTATGACTTTAACATTTAATTTACATTTGTATTAGTTTAATCTATTAGACATTCCATTTCTTAACATAGTTCTTACATATTTTTGGCTTAATCAGGATGTATTTTTTCTAGAGTTGGTAATATATGTTTATTTTCAGTTATGAAAAGTGGTTACTCTGTCATAATATATATATATTTTAATTAAATATAAAAATAAAATAATAATCACAAATTTCTTTAAATGATTTTCAAACATTTTTTTGAGAATCATCTGACAAGAAATTATAATATGGATCTGTTATTTATTTAAAAAATGACAATCTAGATTTAGGATAAATAAATAATTCTTGATCTATGTTTTTATTATTCATTGTTATTATAAATCTTTAAATATCGTTTCTTACATCAGTTTTTAATTATTCTAAAATTAATTTAAATTAATACTTGATGAAATTGGAGCTTTTAGACCAAGTTCTTTATAAGAAGTTTATAAGAATCCTTCAAATTCATTTCTATTTATTAATTCATCATGAATATATTGACATCTTATTCCATAAGGACAATATCCTTATTAAAAGAATCTTTTGCATGGTTTAGTTTTATATTTGGAATGTAAATGAGTTTTAGGCTATAATTCAGTTTTACCATGAGCAAAAGAGCACTTTAAATTTAATAAAAGAAATACTTTATCACCATATTTACATTTTCCAGTCATTACAAAATTCTTACAGAGTTCAGTTTTTTTCTTTTTAGTATACTCTTCTATATATTATTATTTTTCTTGTATGGTTTCGAAGTGCTTTTTTTAAGGCTTAACACTTAGATTTTTTAAACAAATATTTTACTCGATTTCAAAATTGTTATCCTCATTATCAGTAGTATCGGTATCGATTGTTGACAATTCATTATGGTTCCAGTTTTAAGTCCAAGTAGGGTAGAATAAGTTCATTTATAAAATTAAGTTATATAAATATTTATAAAGAATATTGTCTAATAATCTTAATAATAATTTAAATGTGACCAGTATAATCCAAAACAAACTATCACAATAAGTAATCATTTTTAATAGAAAAACAATGAATATTAATAACAAATAGAATGTTATATTCTATTAATATACTTTATTTAAAATTATTATTATAAAATTATTTCAGATTAGGAATGTAAAAATATTATGTAATTTAAACAAATCTATATAATCTCACTTCAATCAAATTATACAAAAAATTTTTAATTATAGAAAATTTAGAAAGAATAAATAAACAATTAACTTCTTAAATAGCTTATTATGTATTATAATTATTATTAACTATTTTTGTTTTATAAATGTTAAATATGCTTGATGTCATATCAACATTCTCTATTCATTCTTGTTAAAGTAGAAGGTATTATTATAATATATAATTAATAGAAATAGATAAACAGGAAATCTATCTAAGGGATCTACTGCAAGACAATCAACAAGACCAACTTAAAAATTTCACAAAATATAATTAGATGATTTAGCTTTTAAAACATCTCCAAAAAGTGAACAAAGAGAAATAAAAGGAATATAGGCAATAAGTGAATAAAATAGATATAGAGAGAATTAAAATGAAAACAAATTTGAAAGCAACATTTATCCATTAATCATTTTTTAAAAAAGTAATTATTAGTGATTAACAAATAAGTCTCCTACCGTTAGCTTTTGAAAGAAAGTAATTAATTCATAATTTTTAGTTAAGTTCGAAAAAGATATTAAATCTCTTCATCCATCTGATAAAAGAAATTTAGTTATTTACAGAATTATGTGTGAACTTTTTTAAGAACTATAATTTGAAATACAAAATATATTGATATGTCAACATCCAATTTCAAAACTATTTTACATTTATTTTTCTGATACTAATTATTGTCCAATCTCAAAATGTTGTAACTAAAATGTTGTAATAAGAATTGGTGAGGCATTAGGTGGAGAGATTAAATGTTTAAATCCTAAATGCCCTTTAGGTATTTTAACAACTTTTGAAATAGAGGAAAAGATTCTATGGAATTCTAAATTTTAATAAAATAGAGCTATTTCAACATTTATATCAAGTGGAAAATATAGAACCAAGAGTTTATTATAATCTGTTCAAATTCCTGAAAATAATACTGCTTATGCTCCAAAATAATAGAAATAAAGTTAAAAGTCTTGCAAAAGATCTTCTACTTTTTATTAAAGAGCTAGTTAAACTAATTACGAATAATTATATAAATATGAATTATCCAAAAATTTATTACTTAACTCTCAAATATTTAATAAGAATTTTGATGATTAAATTGATGAAAAATATAGATATTAATGTAAATTTTGATGATTCTATTAATATATTATTTTTAATTTATATTATTCACTATAATAATTTAATAATCTCTCAATAATTTAACAATATTCATATTGATTAAAAGATAAAAAAGATATTACCAAAATAATAATTTTAATTATCTATTCAACTTTTAAATAATTAACATCATTCAATTATTCATTTAAAAGTATTAATTGTACTTTCAAATTGAGTTAATCACATTAAAATCTAATATATATTATCTGGAATCTTTTAAAGAGATTATTAGAATTAATTCTACAAACTCATATCCACTTTACTTAAACCAAGATGAATTTTAGATATCTTTTATTATCTAATTTATATTAAGTTTAATTTAAATTATTTCTTATTTAATTTCCATTATCTTTAGATAGACTTTTTTTAATCATCATAATTATTTCTTTTTAACTTCATTTATTTAGATATTTTCATAATCTTCATTACTTTCTTCTTTTTAAATCAATCTAGCAATATTCTTAAAATGTTCTATTTTTTTATAATTTTGAGAACATATTTTTAAATCATTTTATGAGCTTATATCATTTAAGATAGGTATTAATTTCCATCTATTGATTATCTTCTTATTATGACCTACTTCATTGTAATAATTGATTATTTACTTAATAGAATTTTCTTAATACTTGTTTATCAAATGAGAGTTTCTTAACTTTAATTTATTCTAGAAGTTTTCTAATTTTAATATAAACATAATTTCTGTGTTCTATACAACAAAATTCAATATTATAATTCTATTTTTTTTATATTCATGATAGAATTAAAATGATTATTGTGAATAATAAATCATATTAATATTCTCCCTTTGTTCATCAATATCAAATAATACATCTAGGTTGAGAAAGAATATCAAGGAGGTGCCATTTATTAATTCTGATTATTTTTATTTTCATTTAATATTGAAAATTCCAATATCTTATATTATTACTCAAGATTATAATCTATATAGTATAACTTATTAATCTCTTAGTATTCCATATAGATACTGTTTATTCATTATTAATATATATATATATATATAAATATATATAAAAAAGAATAACTGTCCGTTTTATATAAATTTACAATCAATATTTTAAACAATAAATTTGCAATACAGATATATTTAGTTTTGTTGTTAGAGAAATCAACCAAATATAATTGAGTGTTCTTAATATAAATAATTTAAAATTTTTAAATAATTGATGAAATACTTTACTATGTTAAGTTTTGATATTGTTTTTACTATAAAACATTATTTATATTTAGTTTTCATCATAATATTTTAATACCAGAGAAGTTAATGTTTTAGCAATTTTATTTTATTGCTGAAATTAAAGTATAAATTTGATCAAAATAGTTTTTGAGTTTATAGAACATATTTAGTATGAAGTATAGATTAGAAACGAGTTTAAAGAAATAATTAATCAATATAAAGAACTAATTATAATTTTGGAACCTATTTTTTTGTTCATTTGTTAATTTTCAATATTCATTATTTAACTATCAATATGGCGCACTAAATCCCGGGGGTGGTAAACCAGTATTTGGGTCAGTATTCTTTGGTCGTCTAAATAACAAGATGTGAGGTTCAGGTCTATGAGTTTCATAATGAACCCATCCTCTAGATTGTTGTACACCTATTGCTCTCCATTCCATTTCATTTAATAATTTTCCTACATTTAACTAATTTAAATACCTTTTGTAATTTTTTTAAATATGTGTTTGGGCAAGATAACATGTCTATATTCATAATAATCATCAAAATATTTGTCAGAATATTCTATCTCCTCTGGATAATGAGGCATATACTCTACTTCAAATTTTAAATTAAAAATATAATACAATCGTTGAATTAATTTAAAATATATTTATATTTCCCAAAGAAAGTAAAAAAAAAAAAAAATTAAAGTAGATTATCAAACTTGAAAATTATAAAATAAATGCTAAAAAATAGAAGATCTCATATAAATTATAATTTTATATCTATATCATTTTAATATAATTCTTATTATAATATACATTAAACATTATTATTTAAATTAAACATAACTCTAAGTATATTGTTAAGTATATAATTAGTTTCTCATTTGATTAATTAAGATATTAATTCAGAATGGTTTATTTCTAAAGCTAAATAGTAATAACTTATATTAAGGATAATTATCAAATATTAAAATAATATAAATATAGTAAAATAAATTAAACTGCTCCATCAAGAATATTCTTCTTCAGGTTTATATTTTTATTGATCTAAAATAATACAATTGAAAAACAAATATATTATTTAAAAAATTAAAATAAAATTATAAATGACAAGAATATCATTATAAAGTATTCAATTTTTTAATTTATAACAATTCAGTTTGAGAGGATCTTAGAATTTTGTCATTCTTGAGAATAATAAAATTCTTAAAAATTCTAATAATTAAACCATGATTATTCAAGAATTTATTTGATATTTTAATTAATGAAATTCATCCTTTCGTGCTCAATATGCTTATAGAATTTAAAAAATCCGGTCTCTCTGAGTTGTGGACACACTTTTTGTTAAACTTGCATATAAAATTCTTTTGAAACATAAGAATTTTGTGCATGTCCCTTGTGTCGTTAACCCGCATTACTTGGCAACAATAAAACTGATGAATTACTACCAATAGTTCAATAGATTTATGAATAAGAAGGAACTTAAAGTATAATTGATATTTAAATTAGGTTTATTAAATGAATTTCCATCTTTAATTATATGCCTTTGTTGTGGATTAACTCCAGTCAACCCAGTAGTGCTTTCTTGCTAACATATGTTTTGTTAAAAATGTATAGAAGAAAGTTTAAAAGAAGAATTATTATGCCCTGCTTGTTCAGATTATTGTTTTAATATCAAAGTCAATACAAATAAGAAATATAAAGATCTCATAGATTGGTATTTAAAGGAATTCAAAATAGAAGAAGAGTAAGAAATTAATTAAGGTGTTTAAAATGATAAAATATATGGTATTCCAATCTTCCTTTACGATTAATCAGTATTCATATATGGATCAACTGAGTTCCAATTTTTAGAATTTAGATATTTAGAAATGATAAAAATGGTTAGTTCTGGTTCAGGAAATTTTATTGTATCTAGTGATATGATAAATGGAGATTTGGTATAAATAAGAAGCATTAAAAAAACAAAGAAAGGATATTAAGTTTAAGTTGATGGTTTATAAAGAATAAAAATAAAATAAATCTATGCTTATATTGATGGAGTTAAAACATAATATTAATAATGGAATAATTCATAATTATGGCTTGCTTAATGTGAATATGTAAAAGATTAAATTTTTAAAGAAAATTGTTTTTAGCATTACAATTATATTGTTGCTACATTACAAAAATTATACTAAAATATTAATTTGGAAGTAAGAGATATATTTTAGAATTTTATGAAAAAAATTACTACTTTATCAAATTCTGAAAGCAGTCTTATTCTATTAACTTCACTAAATAATAATTTTGAATAATAATACTATGAAACAGATATAGAGAAAAGAGTTTAATAAATTTAATAACATTTTGCTATTTTAGAATAAAAAATTAAAGGAATTTATGGCAAAGACGATTAAATTTAATATGCAAAACTAAAACAAGATAACATTGAAATAATATAATACCCAGAATTCGATGTCACTACTTAATATTTTCTAAATCTCTTTAATATTAAAAAAGTTTTATGTTTTTGACTTACTTATTTCATATAAACTCTATTTATTAACATATTTTAAATATTATTAATATATATAATTAATAAAAATAAGAATTTCTATTCAGAAACAAATTAATCAATTGATAATAATTAACTTATTAAAATAAAAAAATTACAACTCTATTATTACTTTTAAATCCATCAATTAATCATTATTTATAAAAAAGAAAAATAAATTAAATAATTTATTTAATATAATTAATTAAGAAGATTAAAATAATTTAAGAATTAATATATCTAATATATCTAATATATCTTATGATTAATCAATTTTATTAAACAGCATTATATTATAAATTCTGTATTCATTAATTATATTTGATTCATTCTACAGATATTTAGAATTTAATAACTTATTTGAATGTAATAATTTTAACTTAATTATTTACAGCTTTTAATAATAAATATTTAGATTATATTATTTATTACTCTTTCTATTGTTAATTATATTAGGATAAGATAAAATATATTATTAAATACATTATGTTTTATATAATTTTATAAAAATCTAATACTTATAAGTTTGTTATTTTATTATTCTGGAAATTAAGAATTTATAAATTAAAATAAATAAAATAATCATATAGTATTCTTTTAGTTAACATTATAACTAGATAATAGTGTTATTATTCAATATTTATATACTTCAATTTGAAGATTTATAAATTAATTAATGGATTTAAAAATAAGTCTTAAAATAATAAATTAAATAAATAAGCTTCAATGATTTTTAATAAATTCACTCTTAATTTTAAATCGAAATCTGTTGAAAATGATTATAGAAAGTTGTAATAAATCTACATAAAGTAGGAATTCACACTATTTTCAATACAGACAATAGTAAAAATAATATTGATTCTAGTTATTTTTTACAGCTTATATATTATACTACTTTTAAGAATATACTTTTAATGGAATTATCATAGCAAATATTTTAGCTTTTATGTTATCAATAGTATTGCTGAAATTCATAATGAATTCTCATCCATCATGGAATGAGTATATATTGCCACTACTGTAAATTTATATTGCCTACATTTGGAATTTAGACAATTTTTTCCCCACAACAACAGAAGATCCTAATTATGATTATGATGCCAGTTATGAGTATAACTGGTATTATGGATTGCAAGCATTCTACTTTCATTTTGGTAACAAATAATAAAATGTATTAAAGCAATTTTGCAACTTGGGTATCAAATATGGCCTTAGGCAATTGTTCTTTTTGCTGTATATATTTAATATGTTACATATTATCCTACTGAGACATTAGAATATTTAGCTATGTGTTTGACAATATTTTTAGTTTTTATTGGATTAGTTGTAATGAAATATTCAAATGAAAAGATAAAAAGATTATAATTTAGAGACAGTAGAGAATAAAATAGATGGATTAAAATTATAGATTAAGTTTTAGAGTAATCTATTGTTGTTATTAAGTTTGATCAAAAATAAGATTAATTAATACTTTAATAAATAAATGAAATATCAAAGACAAGATTAAAAATTGAAAATAATAAAGAATTAAGAGAAATGCTTAGAAATGTACCATAATATAATTATTATATTTAGATGATTATAGAAATTAACAATTTGGAGAAAGATCATGTTAAATAAAAGAATTTAGAGTAAGAAATAAGAGATCTCATAATTAAAAATGATTAATATAAATTAATTACTCATTAAGTTGATGTTCGATCAAATGTTTTACAGTAAGAATATAAAGTAAAGTTGATACAATAAGTATTATCAGATGAATATTGTGTGATTGCAATATTTGAATCAAATTTAAAACATTAAAATAAATAACTCTAAATTGAAGTTAGGTAAAAAGAAAATATCTTTATATATTTATTGAAGTAATTCTTCTAATAAATAAAAACTGCTAATACTAAATTGAAAATACTATATTCAATGATTAATTTTTAATAAATTCGTCTATTACTTTATGATGAGAATCTAAAAACTAATTAAACTTGGGTATCTACATCAGTCATCATAAATTAAATTAATCTATTATATTCAAAGAAAATTAAAATTATTATAAAAAAAGATTTATAAGGGTTTTTGACTAATTAAATATATCTATTTAGTATATTAATGAGTATTACATAAATCTTTGATGAATTTTAACAAATGAAAATTAAAGGCAAAAATATTTTAAATATACAGAGAGTAAAAATAACTATGATAGGTAAGATGAATGATGCAATTGCTAATTAAAAATTATTAAAATAAAACTTAGATTTAACTCAATCTCTTAAACAAAATTAAAAGATTATATTAAAGCATATTTAATAATTAATAACTAATAAAAATATATAGACACAATAGAAAAATTAGATAATATCAATCTATTTAAATAAATTTTTGTTATGGGAAGGATTTAGAGAAAAATATTTCAATCTTAAAATAAAAGGAATGTATATTCATATGTCTTTTGAATTTGAAGTTTGATTTACTTCAGTACATATATCTCATTTTCTGATTAATAAAATATATTTAGATGAAAATTAAATATTATAATTTATTTGTAATTTAGGCATTTTATTATTATTTCTTTATATTCAATATCTATAAACTGTGCTATAAGCTGGTGCAACATAGCTGGTAGTAACTGGAGCAATTGGAGCAGCAACACTGTAAGAGAGAGGTGAAGCATAAGTAATTTGTGGAGCTGTATTGATAGGTGCAACAAATGAGCTTCTTCTTACTTCTCTTTCTAAGTAGTCCACTCTTGGAACAGTTTTTTCAACAGGAACATAATCAACTTATTTTTCATATGTAACTTATGGTATGTATTCTTTTTGATATTCTACTGGGTAATAATCTGTCACCCACTTTTGTTTAGGTACCTAAAAATATAAATAAGAAACTACTTTCACAACTCTTTATTCCTCCTCTAATTCTACTACAGATTTCTAATATGGCACATATTCAAATCTTGATTCTCCCTTTATTGTTGTTGGAGCTGGTTATGCATAGGTTATTGGTTAAGCATATGAAATTGGTTATGCATAAGAGACTGGTTACACATAAGACACTGAATAATTGTTATAAATTATTACCTGGAGCAGGTCTTACAATCGATGTAGTAATTGGAGAGGCAAATGAAACACCAAGAGGAGCATATGAGTACATTTGATAAATAGAAATAAAATTTATTGAATTTTATTTTGGTTTATTCTAAAATGTTAAATATAAAGAATTTATCATTTAAAATAAGCTAGTAATCTTTCATAATTTATGATATCTAAAGAATTTGAAACTTCAAAACAAATTAAATTGAATCTCTCTTATTCTCTATGACTAAATTGAATTTCATGGAATTTAAGTGCTTAATCTAAATCACACTATTCACATGTTCCTGGTAATAGATTTTTCTTTTTTGTTAACATCATTTATATAGTTTCTATTAAAGAAGGGTTCAATTTCTATTATAAATATAATAATTCACTTATTAAATAGATTATAAGATTGATTGTTCTTCTTCACTAGACAATATTTCATACTTTCCAACTATCTTTTTCATAACTGAGTTTATTATGGCTGTTTAATTTGTTCTATCCTAATCATACATTACATAATCTTCAGCATTATCTTCTATTAAATATCTACTTAACAATTTAATTTATTCATGATCATGAATCTCAAAGGGAGGTCTTTTTAGATTAAAATATCTACTTATGTAAAATATTTTTCACTTAATGAATACTCAATTCTTCTGATTCATTAAAATATTTGTCAATATCTTAATATTGTACTCTATTTTTGAAAAGATTCAATCTAACTTTCATACAAATTTCTCTAATATCTGAGAATTGAACTTTAGGCAACTTTTTCTTCATAATCTAAGATTTCATTTCTATCTTCATAATTTAAAATCCATTCTATAAAGGAGGTTCGATTTAACCTACTCGAGAGACAGGAGAGTAAATTGAAAATTCGATTTCTCGAATCTTATCTTCTTAATTTTCGATAAGCTTTTCCATTTCTTAAATATGTAAATTCAGTCTTTAAATTTCAGTTTTTAATGATCTAATTTCTTAAATTTTAGTACTATTTAATTATTTTAATTTAGATACTCCATTTCTAATGAATATTTATTCTACAATTATTCTAATTAAGATTGAATCTTAAATAATTCATCAGATGTTGTATTTTATTGACTTTATATCTAAACCTTATTTTAGACTTATAATTAGGATATGAGATCATTGCATTATTTATTATATTCATTCAAATCTTTAATAATTTTTTCATAACTTATGATTTCATTCAATTATTTCTCATTCTATTTTAAACTTTCTTCCAATTAAATCTTTAATTATTCCAATTAAATACTTGTAATTTAGAAGTTATAATATCATTATTTAACTACTTTTAATTTAATTCTTGATTGTCCCTTTATAATATTTTGACTATCTTTTCTAGATGTAGAATTTACTTTTCTAAAGGCTCTGCTGATGATTAAATAGCTATCATTTATTCATTATATTCTAATTTTTATCTTAATCTAATAGTTTCATCTATATAATTTTGTAATTCTATCTAATTTATAATAAAGATATTTACTTCTAATTCTTAATAATTTGTAAATCTCATAGTTCTCTTTAATTCAATTAATTCTTTATTTTTACTCTATAACTCTAAAATCAATTATTTCTATTTGGTTTTCATTTTCATAATTAAACCATATTTTTCAATTTATACTTTTTATGATGATGTTTCAGGTTTAATAGAACCTTCAATTAAGTTTTCAAATCTTTGTAACTCCCTCTAATTTAAAAAATGACATTCTTACTTCTAATTGTTATATTTTAGATTTTGCTTAAAGTAATTATTAAGTTTATTCATTCAATTAAGATTTCAATTTTATATTCTCATCATATAAATTTTCCTTCTCTCTGCCCATTTTAGGAGTTGTGTATTATTTTCTAAAGATCAATATTGAAAATACATTAATCTACTCTCTCTGATTGAACTATTATCTAATGGTTTATTGTGATTAGAAGTTGTTTAGGGACGAGTCAACTTTGATCTAATATAATAAGACATAGATAATTATTAATAAATTTAATTGATTATATTAAATTAACCAATTCAAGTGTTTTCCAATTCCATCTTTTTAATACATTATCTAATAAACATTCTAATTTTACGATTATTCTCTACTACTTTCATTGGTATCATATTTAACATTTACATATTTAAGTTAATCTATTATAAATTATGATTCATTATACTTAAATATTTAGTTTCTGTAAAAACAATAACCATATCACTGATACAACTAATTCTAATATCAATATATAGATTATGACTAATATTAATTAAATAGTTAGAGTTGTTGACATTTAATTAGTCATAAAATCTAATTCAAAATCTGTTATCTGAGATACTGCTTATTTTATGTAATAAAATAATGATTAATCAATTTCATAGATTTCTTCATTATAAACAATTTCATCTAGATTTTCATTTCTGAAATATTGTAGATAATATTGTTCAACATTATATATACCTAATTGAAGATTACCTTCTATTATCTTATAACATTTTGTATCATTATTTTTATTAATTATTGAACAAATATCTCCATAATAAGTTTAGAAAAATAGGTTTCTAAGATCTGGTAATCGATTTAATAAATCTTTTGCAAACTAAAATAAATTTAATATTTACATTTTAGAAACTTAATTAATTTCCTGTAAATATTGTTTAATCTTAAACAATCTTAGTCAAAATAGACATATTATTTATTTAAAAATCTGAATTCAAACTTGACAATTTGTATAGATTTATGTAATAACCATAATTTTCAATTTAAATTGAACTTTAATAAAATTAAGGTAATAAGAATTATATTTAAGATTTCTCATTTGCACTACTGATTATATTGTATACTGCAAAAACTAAGGTTAACAAAGCAATTAATAGAAATCTAATATATTATTATCATACTATACAATTATTCCTTAATTGCCTTTTAATTTGCTTTTTCTATATTTTTGTATAATCTTTCTTCTTTTCAATTACAATTAATATTAATTATCTTCCTCAATAGCTTTAGAGTTCATCTTATCTTAACCATCTACATGTTATTATAAATCTATTAATTATTATTCTTCATCTTCATCACTTGATTCATCATAATCAAAATTATTTAGTTTCTTTAAATCTTCATTATAAAACTTCAAAAATTTATCAACTTTTCTTGATAAATTTTAAACATCATTTTAAGGAATCTCAAGAAATAAAAATATTACATTTTCTCTATCTATTTTGATTTCCAACATTAAAGTTATAAATTTAATCATACCAATTGTAGTTCCAATAAATAAAACTAATAAAGATATTAATAAATTTAAATCAGGATATTATACTTAAGAGATAACATCCTAATATAAAATTTAAGATATTTTTATTAATGGATCATGTATCTAATTGAAATAATTAAAAAGGATAATTTAAATTGAATTACTTTAAAATACATTATTAGATTGACTTAAAGATAGATTTAAACATACTGATGTAATTAAGAGAATTGAACTTTCTAAAGATAATTATATATCTTCATATTAATTGGATTTTTCATACATTCTCAAATTTATGGTTTCTGAATCAAAGTAAATTCTATAAAATTCCTAATTAAGATCATTATCAAAATTAATAATTAATTATGCTGATTCTTATATATCAATTTACAATTGAGTAAAATTAAATTACTAATCCATACATAAATCTAATGTTCTTGAAATTAATAGATTTAAATTGATAATTTCATTATTAATTTAATAAATAGCTTTAATTTCAGAAGTAAAACCTTCAAAATTTAATTAACAAAAATAATATTACATTGCAGTTATCAATACTATAAAATCTATCCAAATATTAGCATAAATACAAAACTTAGTAATTTTATTATGTCTATGATTTTAAGATAATGCATTTCTTATTTTTATTTATGATTACATATTACTTAATAATTTCTAATCATTATCATATTCATCCTAATTATTATTATTTCTAAATATAGAATTCTCCTCTTCTTCTTCTTCCAATTATTTCAAAAATCCTTATTCTTTTTCTTCATCTATATTAAGAATTTAATTATTAATTAATCTTCTCACTCTAATTTCCAAACCATAATCTAATTTAATTTATGTTTATTAATCTTCTTATTAATTTATCATATCTTTATAATCTTCATATCGTTATTCTGTATATAAATCTTACAAAAACTATACTAAATTCTAATCATATTCAAAATTAGTATCAATTCTCAATGCTAATGTATCCAATGATTATACTGTTTGATTGGCTCTATTAGGTATTAATTTTTGAGTGATAGAAATAGACTATCTTTATGTAATCTGTATGGATTATCTACTTTAATTAGGTAATAAGTTTCTAGCATTACTAATAAATGTTGAAGCCTTTCTTCCACCCTAGACATCAGGAAAATCTATTTTTTCCAATTTAACTAACCAATATCCTGATTTTACTAACTTCTTTGATGCTTATAATTCTAACAGTAGATTCTCATTAATTATTTAAGTGATCTCTATTTCCTTAACTGAACATTAGAAATAATAAACAGAATCAATATTATTCTGACCAGATTTATGATATTATACTTATTTCCCATTTTGAGTTAAAATATCTGGCAAAAGAGTATTCAAATTTACTATCTATTTTATATGTCTAAGTTCTATATCGAAATATTGAATTGATCCAGAAGACATCTCTATAATTGTTGTTTCTTAGTCTATAATGAATACAGCTTATCCCTTAAAAGTAGGATCACTCTTGAAACATACTAAATATTATAATGAATCTATATTGAAACTTACTCTATATATAAATGGTATTATATAACCATTTCTATGTTTAATAAATTATAATTGTTCTTAATCAATATAAGTTCTTGGATAATCTCCATCATTTTACATATTAATTAACATATTATCAAAGAATTCTATTAAATAATTATCATGCTATTCAGCATATACTTTAGGCATTAAAATATTAATTGATTTGCCTCTCAATTCCTCTTTTTAATATCCAAAAAATGTTGTAAATAAAGAATTTAGATTAATAATTTTACCTATTTCTGATTTTCTAGCACATACCTAAAGAAATGGTATTGGATGTTTCTCTATATTATTTTCAATTAAATCTTCATCTTCAACTTTCACTTATAATTACTACTTAGCTAACTTATGTTGATTCTTAAGTATTTGACCCATAAATGAATCATTAAATACTTGATAATAAAAGTTTGCTAATGTTTTTAGATCAGCAAATCCTAATGAATTCTTTTTGCTCATTTCTTAATGTTTTTCCATTACTTAATTACTTACTTTTGTAATCATAGCACCTATATGCATGAGTCTAACTAGATTTGGTTAATCTTCTTTAAGTTCATTCCAAAAAGTTTTGTAATATAATGCTGCCATTTTCATTTTAGAATACAATTCACTTTTATTATTTTGATTTGCAATTGCATCCACAACATCATCACTTTTATCTTTAATAATCTTCCTATATTATAATAATTCAGTTACATATATCTATAAGTAATGAATTACTAGAAAAATTTAGGTTTGCTTTTTAGAGATACCAAATTAAATTGAAGATAAGCATCATTCTTATTATTTCTTCTTTCCATCAAAAATAAAGCATAAAAGATTCTTAAAGATGCTGATGACCAAAATTTCCTTAATCCCAACCTAAACATCTTATCTAATTCAATAATCAATCCTCTTTTTAAATCATCTAATTATTCTGAATTTTAAGTTTTTCTTCTTTGTTTAAAATAACAATCATTCTATTTACATGTTTCTTTATGTTTCTCTATATATCCAATTAAGAGCATATAAGAATTCCTATCACTATCAGCCTAAGATATCAATTAAAGAACATATCTAATATGAATCCATACATCCTCTCCACTTGAAAACTTATTCTAAGCTCTAACCAATGTGTCTACTTTAGATTTCTTAGTTGTCAACATTATAGATACAATAAATGGAAGACCAATAACCCAAGCAATTAATCCTCCTGAAAATTCAGCACTTTCCTAAACTTTACATATAACCAACATAACATTAGCCCAAAAATAGTATGAACTGATAATAGAGTAAAATCTTCCAACTTCAAAATCATAAATTGGATCAGCAAAATTATATTCTTTAAATAACCAAGCAGATAAAGTGAATGTTGTTAAAACCAAAATCCATGATTCATTTTTACCTAAAAAACAATACAAAACTTAACATGTAACTTTATTTATTATAAATGCTACTTCTCCATTACTATCTTATCTTGCTGTTCTATTACCACTAGTCATTCCAGGTTCAAAAAATGCATAAGCCACAATTGCACATATTAATACAAATATTAACATAAATAATAATGTTATTAGAGCATGAAATATATGCCATCCTTACCAACATTATACATTAATTTCATCATATCCATATATTACATATTCATTAGTTATTGGATCATTATAACATTGAAGTATTGAAGTTAAGGTTTCTGTAATAGGTAAAAAAAACACTGTTACAAAATAAAATGCTACTTATCTTAATACATAGACAGGCCACATAAATTTAAATTTATTCTATGAAAATGAGTATGAAACGTATATGATATTCAAAATTATCAATAAAATTGCACTTAAACAAATATAAACTGAGACTAACAATGCAAAATATGATAAATTTGGTACATATGTTGATATAGAAAACACATTTACAAAATTTAAAATATTGGTTAAAAATGAATCAGCTTTCCAAATATATAGTATTTTATTATTGAATGGAAATGAATGCATCTAAACATAATCCAATGAAGTCAGAATGTAAAAGTAAATCATTTAATCATCAGCCTTTTCTTCTTTTGCCAATACAAATAAAACTTTGAAAATTACTACCTTAACCTTTGTTAAAAAATAATCCAACCCTTTCTATTCAGTCTCAATAAGATTTTCATTTTCTTCTTCATCATCCAATTACCCTTTCATTTATAATAATTTTAATTAAATTTGTTTATTTTGATCATTTATTAAACACTATAATTATGTTTGATTTAATAATTGATCAATGTAAATGAATACTAAACGAATTTTCTTAATTAATCTACTTAAATTAAAGTTAACAATTTATGAAGAACCAATAAAAATTATTGATATAGATTATGAAAATGTTAGGATATTTGATTTATGAAATTATATTAAAAATAAATAATTTAGAAGTTCATCTTGAATATTTTAATTAGACAAAATAAAAATTACTTTTTCTTTCATTATGATGGAAAAGGTTTTAAAGTTTTAAGTAGTCACAAAAGGAGAGAAAATAAATACCATACAACCATTGCTACCAACAATTAATTTCAATTTCTCTGAAAAATAAAATAATTACACAGAAATTTTAGATCATTAATATATTGGGAATCGATATTGTGGAACTTATCGTAGTAATAGTTAGAAAAGAAATTAGATAAAATCTATAAGAAGATCAAAAGGTGTAGGTTATTCATAGTTGATTGATAATTATAAAAATACTAGTAGATAATCTTAGGAGAATCCCTTTTAGACAGAATTACTTATAAAATAATTTTAAAATAGTAGAACAAAAGAATAGCCTACAGAGAGATAGAATACATTAACAGATTGTCCATAACTTAAATTTCACACTATAGAGGCTATGACTAAAAATATAAGATATAAGTCATAACCTAAGAAGACAGAGTATAATGAGACAGACATTAAAATTACTCCTTATGTACATTAGAATAAAAGATATTAATGTATTGATTATTACTACATTGTTTGAATATAATTTTAAATAGGGTTGTTTTTATTATAAATTTAAAACTCATTTCTTTCCATATGAGGTTTGATTAGCCATTTCTAAAACTTATTATTTGAAAATGTGAATGACTTCATCAATAATAGCATTTTCCTCTATAAATTAATATAAAAATTGCAATACCATTTCTTCTATTCAATTCAGTTTCATACAAATCTCTTAATTCTTATAATGTAGCAGTGGCAGCATTGATGGCATTCTAAGAGTCTTTCAAGACACTGTTAGCTTTAGCTTAAACAGCAAGTGCAGCTTATTCTTACTTGAAATATGAGAGAATAATCATACCACAACCAATTTATCTTATAATTGAGTCTTTCTTTGGATTTCATCATTAAGATGAGCAACTTCAGATTCAGTATCAGCAAGCCAATCAGCTAATTAATAATAAGCAGCAATTTCATTGGCTTCCAAATTAGCCAAAGAAGCTTTTAATTAATCTTCTAAATCAGATAAAGCATTATAAACAAGTTATCCAACATTATTACCTGGTTATCTATCAGAAGTTGAAGATCCATCATTCTCTCCAAGTGCATGTAATTCTGCATTTCCAGATGCTTATTCAACAGCTAATTAAGCAAATTTAGTCATAGCATCTTAATTAAATAATTGACTATATTATTTTAATTTGTCTGAGACATTTTGGACATTAATTTCAACCATAGATGATGGTTATCCTGTTAAATATCCACTCAAATCATTTTTCAATACTCTTATAACTCCAAGAGCATCATTATGTTATTTAATTGCTCTAACAAACAAACCATTTGAGAAACATCTCAATTCTTATAATTCAACTGATCTTCTATCAATATCAGCTAATCTTTAAGTTGCCCATGCAATATAATCTGTTGCTTCCTATATTAGATAATTATTTAAGTACTCTATATTCAATTCCAATTTATTCTCTTCTTGCTTTAGCACTAGCCCATGCTTTTTAATTTAATTCATTGACTTTTGATAATGCAGCAATTCTAGCTTAACCAATTTCTTCATCTGAGATATTCTTTTCATCTGCAACTCCTTGGGCTTCAATATTGCTTGTTTTCAAATCATTCAATAAATCATAAACTGCTTAAACTGCATCATTTGATTCTGAACCTGTCTAAATAATTTATCAACTCTAAAGGTACTTGAAGTAATAAAGAGAAATCAATATCAAATGCTGATACACACATTAAACCTATCATTGCCAAAATTATGATCTTGTTCATTTTCTCTAAACTTTATTATTATATTAAATAAAAACGGTATTGTAAATATTCTTTTTAATAAATATTCAACATAAATTCATAGTTCTATCAAATACAATATCTCTTTTGATAGTTTATATTAACTTCAAGATATGCAAAACTATCAATTTATCATGTCTCAAAGTTTATAAACTATATTAATATTTTATTTTTTATATATCTAACTGCTAATTATGAGTGACTCATTGAGATCACTGTCAACAAATCAATCGATTGAAGGACAAATCAGCAAAAAGAAAAAAGTGTAATCTACTTCTTCAAAGACTAATCGTCCTTAAAATATTAGTTATAGTGAGCTCATAGATTTATTGCATCCAAATCATTTATTCATTAATATTAGTTTAGAAGATAAGTTCAATGCAATTGAAATGTATAAATATTCATATAAAATAGCATTGATTCCACCTATTTCCCAAATTTCAAATTTGTAGTTGATGAAAACTTAGAAGACACAGAAGTTAAATGGAAGCGTTTACCTTCATTTATTAAATTGACAACCTGAAATAGGTATTATCCTTTTAGTTTTCATATATAATAACATATTATGTCATACTATCTTATTTTCATCATCCTTTCTATCAAACAGATTTAATTTTTCCAAATTAAACCCATATAAATTTCATCTTATATATATATATATAGAATTGAAATTCTTATTTAAGATAATAATAAACTTAGAATCATAGAACAATTCCAAACAGAAATTGTTTTCAAAATGGATTTTACACATAATGGTTTCATTAAAATATGTATATAAATATTCCAATTATCTATTTTTTTCCCATATAATAAACTTAAAAGATGGAAGAATCTAAAGAAATAATTATGAATATAATTTTCTTTGGTTATTTATAGAAATTCATATATGTTTAGCCTTAAAATCAGAAGAGGCTTCTTTGATTCCTTCATGTAATTTCTTTAAAGCTTCTTAATATTGAAGTAATGAAACTTTGTTCTAGCCTTATCCACCTGTAGTAGTTTTTCCTGATCCACAAGAGCATTTTTTAACCTCAGATGATGTATCAGGTTAATCATTATTTCCTCTCAGTTGTTGGGCTGTCACACTGAGTATCAAAAACACAAGCAATAATACTTTTAATATATTCATTATATTAAATAATAAAAAACGATTACTCTGATCAATATCGAAATTTTAATACTTAAAATGAATCATCATTTATTAATGATTTCTTTGATTTCTTTTACTAAATATGTTAAATAATATATATAATACAAATCTAACTTTGGAAGGTGTAATGAATTCTTCATCATAAGATGATTTCTATTTCTTTAATATATTTTGAGCATCACGAATGAACTTCCAATCATCTTCTTATGAATCATTAATATTTTATGTATAATATCGAGAAGAGCTAATAGAATCCTTCTTTTTGAGAGCACTCTTTAAAGGTTATTCTTTAATCTTCTTTGGGCTTTTTTAATTCAAATGCTACTCAAATTACTCTAATATTTATAATCTTTTATGCAAATATTCTATTTAAAATCATACTTTACATACATTCATCTAATTATTCCAATTTCTTAACATAAATATGTCTAATCTCTTTCAATCTTTTATTTAATATGTTTTATTCTTCGTTTATTATTTTCTCTTTTTAAACAAAAGAATGAATGCCTTCTGATATTATACATTAAGGATGTTCAAAGGATTAATCTGAATTATTACCTTATTTTTTATCTTTAACCGAAAAATCAATATTATCTGATAATAGTGAAATGTAACTTTTTTAATTTGTATCAATAGGAGATAATTATAATTGAATTGGTATGTTGGAGTTGCAATAATCACCAAAAATCATAGGAGAAGAATTTTTTATTTTTTAGAATGGATCCAAATCTAATAAATCTTAATATATTAATATTTACAATCATCATTCTTAGTTTTGCATTGAATATTTAGTTTCTATATTACAGCATCAAAATCGGTACTCTTTAAAAGTTTTTTCATTTGTTCTTTGATTGTTATATTTATATAATTATAATTTAAATTATAAGTAATTAGGTTTATTATTAATATATATTAATGAGTAATAGATTAGTGGCTATAGGATAAAACTCTTTGATTCCAATTAAAGCAACAGGTAAATTGGGTGATGAATTTTTTGATAAACCAGAATATGAACCAAATTCAATGGAATTACTTAAAAAAAAAGAGAGACATCAAGAATTAAGAGATAAAGGATATTTAATTAAGGATAAACTAATTGAAGATGTTCCTGATGATATACCATTTTATGAAATTTTTGATCCTCCTAATGAAAATTATAGAAAGATCTTTTATCCTCAAGATTTAAAATCAAAAGTAGCTTACAATTATCATTCTCCAAATTTTGAGAATAATGAACAATTTTTAGTTGATTAAGAAGATATAGAGTAAGCAGAATAAGCAATTAAATAATAATAAGAAGCGAATATGAGAAAAGAATCAAAATTATAAAGATTGAATCAATAATTTAAAAAATAGAAAGAATTAGAAGCAGAAATAGAAAGAAGATAGAGATAAGATCAAGCAATTGAAAATGTAAAGAGAGAAAGAATTTCAAGTAAACATCCAATATCATCACCATCAAAAAATCAGCCTTAAAAGGTCAGTCCTCATTTACCATTTAAAAATTATGGTTTGGCAATAGTTGGTCCAAAGGGTAAAATGTCAATGCAAAAAGATAATAAAAATAATAAAGTTCTCTCAAAAAAGTAGTAAAAAATAGAGGATGATGATGAAAATTAAAAGAAAAAAACTGTAACGTTTGCTGAAGAAGATGAAGTGAAATATATACCTAAAAATTGGAAATCTCAATCTGAAGAGCTTAGGGAATTAATTAAACAAAATAAGAAAAATAAGAAGTTTAAATGATTATAGAAGTACTTTTATTTTATATATTATTTTTTTGATCTTTTTATAATGTCTGAGAGTGAAAATTTCAAATTGAGAAGAGAAATTATATAACTAAAAAAATAGATTGAATAATTAAGAGAGGATGGTCGTTAAAAGGATTAAAGGATTGCCTTTTTGGAAGCTGAATAAGAGTTTCATTAAGGAAGATATGAAGAATAGAAGGCAAAATATAACGATTGTTATACAAGAATGAGAGAATTAGAAAAGATGGTGAATAGAGATGATGCATATACTAAAGAGACTTTAAAGAATTAATTAGAAAAAGCAAAAGATGATTTAGACAGAGAAAAGGCTGCTGTTTAATAATATATTGATTAATTAGAGAAGGTGAAACTTGAAAATGGTAATCTGATGTGGTAATTAACATAATTGTCATTGAAATACAAGGATGAAAATATAGTAAAAGATGAATTCCATTACAGAGATGAAGTTTAAGATAATAGAGAGAAACTTAAGAATTTAGTTGAAAAAACAAATGCATTAAATTAAGCTATTGAAAGATTGAGTGCTGAAAATAGAGTATTAAGGAAAATGGCAGGAGTTCCAGATGATTATTAATTTGAATTGGATGATGTGATTTAAGAGGGATAATTATAAGTAGAAAAGTACAGAGCTCAAGTGATTGAATTAGAGAGAGAAGTGGAAGAATTAGAAGAAGAGAGAGCAAGATTAAGAAGAAAATTGAGAGAATAAGTTGCTGGAGGAGAAGTGAATTTAGAAGAATTTGATTCTTAATCTAATAATCAATTGAGAAAGGAAAATTAAGAATTGAGAAGTAAAGTGAAGATGTTAGAGGAAGAAAATGCACATATTCGTTAAAATTAATAAGATTATGGAGGTATGGGAATGGGCACTTAATAAGGATTTATGAAAATTACAAATGATCAGATGTAAGAAATGATGTAGAAACAATAACAGGAATTAAAAGAACAACTTTAGGAAATAGTTAAAACTATGAAAGGGTAAAATTTCTAAGAGACTACATAAATAAAATAATCAATTATATAATAAAAATAAGTTGTTGATACAACTGGATTGGATAAATTAAGTGTTCCTCCTAATCCAATTCCAGGAGCATTCGGAAATTATAATGATATTAAAGAAGGTTATAGTTAACGGTTTAATGTTAGATTTCCAGTTGATATGTCCTCAGCATATGGGGATTCAGGCATGGATCAAATGCAATTGAAATATGAATTAGCATCTTTACAATTATAGAATATAGAGACTTTGAGATTATTGTAATAGAAGGAAGCTGAGTATACCAATTTATTATAAGAAGTTGTTACTATAAAAGAGGATATTAAAGGAAAGTGTTTGTTAGTTTAAGATCAATTATTTGTGAAATATATTGAAGAAAGAGATAAATTTAAAGCTATGTATGGAGAGATTCAAGAGAAGTATAAGGCTTAATTGGATTTGAATGTGGAAGCCAAGATTAAATTGGCTCATTATGAAGATTTTATGAGAGATAGAGAGAAACCAAAGAAAGAATTGGAAGATAAATTGGGAGAGATGGCTAAGAGAACTGCAATTTTAGATGTCAATTTAATTAAATTATCAAGAAAGTATGATGCATTAACTGAAGAATATAAATAAATGAAGACAAGTTATACAATAGTAGAAAGTGAGAGTATGGCAAAGGAGAAGGAATTGTTAGAAAAAATATATAATTTGATTTCATGGAAGAAATCAGCAGAAGAACATATGAGAGTTATGATCAAAGAGTTAAAGAATTCAGTACCAGCAGATGAATTCAATAATCTTAGATAAAAATTAGAATATACATAGGATAAATTAGCTAATGCTTAATTAAAAGAGGCAGAATTCTAAAAGAGAATAGCAACTCTTGAGAGTCATGAAAGAGAGGCATTTGAAAGAGGAGAGAGAATAAGATAATTGGAAGAGGAATTAGTAGAAATCCAATTGGAAGAAGAAGTAATAAAGAAAAGACTGTAGAGTTTTGATCCAGCATTTGATAAATATGTCAAGATATATCAACATATTGTTGAGTTTATTAAAATTAAAAATATTTCAGTTATTGAAATATTTAAATTATTCGATGAGAATGGAGACAATAAAATTTCAAGAAATGAATTTACTACTGCAATTGGTAATATTGGAGTTCCTGTTACTAATGAAGATATGGAAATTGTATTCATGTTCGTAGATTTAGATGGAACAGGCTAAATTGAATATTAAGAATTTATAAGAAAACTTAAAAGATCAGGAATCAATCTTCGAAAACCAGAAGATTAATTACTATATCAATTATATAATGCAATTAAGGAATCAGGTTATGATTTGAGATCTGCATTTTAAGCATTTGATACTAATTGTGATAATATCATATCTAAGGCAGATATGAAAGAAGCTTTAATTTAAATGAATATAAAACATGATTAAAAGGCTATTGACTATATATTTAGAATGGCAGATACAAGTGGAGATAATTAAATCAATTATGAAGAATTTTATGTATTATTTGATGAAATTGTTAAAAGTGAGTTAATCAATTAAGGAAAATCAATCTAATTAACATTAGATATTAAATATCAAATTATGTGTAAATTGGATCAATCAATTAAAGATCAGAGATTAACATTATTAGATGTGTTTAATATGATAGATAGAGATGGAGATTAAATTATTACATTAATAGAATTTTAAGCTTTATTCAGAGAGTTAGAAGGAGGAATATCACCTGATTTGGTTAGATAATTATTTGATTAAATGGATTTAGATAGAAATGGTCAAATTAGTTATAATGAAATGTTAAATTATTTGAGAACTGCAAAAACAGAAGAGGAAAAATATCAAAAATTACAATTTATTTAATAAAGAACAGAACAATTAAAAAGTTTATAGGAGACAGATCTTACACTATAAAAGGCGAAATTAGAGAATAAAGGATAGACATTAGAAGATAGATTAAAAATGAAAATAAGTATATTGGAAATGAGAGAAAAAAATGCTTAATAAAAATGTGAAGTTTTACTTAATTAATTAACTGGTACTGAATTGAAACTTAAAGATACAACTAAAACTCTATTTGAACTCTAAAATTAAATGGAAAGATCAAATGATACTTTCTATAGGGATAGAGAAGAGAAATTAATGTTATTGGAAAGATTAAAGGGGGCGTTATCCAGAGAAGAAAGTGAAAAATTGACTAAATAAATTGAATAACAAAGATTAACAATTTCTGATTAAAATAGTGCAATCACAACTTATAGATAATTGTATGATACAGCAGTAATGTAAACTAAAAGTATGAAATTGACTATTGAAAAAATTAAAAATGATTCAGATACTATGTAATAAACAATAAAAGAATTATAAGCAATATCAGATTAAAATATGATGATTGGCAAATTATATCATCATCTTATGGTTGCTAGATGGCATGAAGCACAAACTAATTAGAAATATGAAAAAGTATTGGATGAATTAAGAAAATTGAAATTATAATCTGAATCATATGATACTACAATTCTTAAACAATCACAAGAAATTATTTAATAAAATACTATATTTTCAGAACAAATTAGATCATATGAATAGTAAATCACAGAACTCAAATTAAAAATATTACCAACTGTCACTTTATAAAGAGTAGAAGAATAAGCAAAAAGAGTCAAAGAATTATCAGATATGAAATCAGAAGTTGAAAGATAAAATAGAGAATTAAGAGATAGATTCTATGAATTATAACTTAAAGCAGATTATTTTGATAATTATAAAGAGAAATTAGATAATTTAGAAAGAACTTTAAGATAGAATAATCCTGATGAACTCAGTTAATAAATAATAACAGTTAGTTAAAAATTATCAGATGAAAAAATAGAATTACTTAGAGTTAGAAGAGAAATGTAAGTGAGTGCTGAAAAATAAGATTATTATTAAAGATTAAATAAACAATATACTGATACAATTAAAAAGTTAGAATATGAATTAGCACATGCAGATTTGGATTTAAGAAAAAGGGAAGAAGATTGGAGAAAAAGATTTTATGAATAGAGAAAAACTATATTTGCCCAATTAGGACTTATTGAAAAAGATGATATGAAAGAATTTTCTTAGAAAAATACAGATGCAAGCAAAATGTTGATTGATGCAATTTAGAAAAAATAGAAAGAACAAATGGAATAATAAAATTAACCAACTGAATAATAATAAATAGAGGTCTCATAATTAGAGAAAAGAATCTAAGAATTAGAAGCTTAAGTCAAAGCTAAAAATATAGAAATTGAAGGATATATAGAAAGATAAAAGATTGTTGCAGGAGGTTCCATAGTATTTCAATAATAACAATTAGAAGATTACACTAAGACATTATTAGCTTAAGAAGCTGAAAAGGTTTCTGTTGCTGGTTAATAAATGCTTAAAGCAATGCAAGAAATAATTAAAGATAAAGATAGAGAATTGGAAAGAAAGGAATAATAGATAGAAGCTATGAGATAAGAGACTTTATTACATAAGAAAAAAGATATTTCAGAAATCTAAAGATTAACAGATTTATTACATAAAAGAGATTAAGCATAATAAGAAGCAAGTAAATTAGGTAACAACAATAATTATAATAATTTTTCATATTTGTAATAAAATTAGATGTCTGAATTGTAACCAGTTTTAATAGAAAAATATTAATAATAATTATCAGAAAAAGATAGAAAAATTAAAGATTTAGAATTATCATTTGAAGCAGAGAAAAATGCTTTGAAAAAAGTAAAAGAAGAATTAATAAAAACCATTGCTATTAAAGAATAATTAGAAATAGATTTAGAAAATGAAAAGAAATTAAATGAAAGTATGTAATATGTTTAAAAGATTGAGAAATTATAAAATTTAGTAAATGAAAAGAATACTTAATTGGCTTCACTAAAGAAAACTGTTGTTGCTTTAAAAGAAGAATAATTTAAAATAGCTGGAGAATCTATTAATAAAGAGTAGGTTTATAAAACAAAAGAAGCTAAATTAAATAATAATACTACAGAACTTGAAACAAGATTAACTAAAATGGTTAATGATATGAAATTATTAAAAGAGGAAATTAAAGATAAATAGAAAAAATTAGAATAACTTTAAGAAAAGGAAATTTAAAATAGAGCATAAATGACAGATTTATAAAAGAAAAACTCAGAACTTAAAGCAATTATCTAAGCAGGAGGTGGTAAATTAGAAGAATAAGATCAAACTGTATCTAATATCCAAGCTAAACTTTAATAGTTTAATTAAATGTCAATGGAGAAAGTACAATTAGAAAGAGAAATATAATTTTTGAAATAATAAGGAGGAACAAGAGAATTATTTGATAAAGATGCTACATTAAAACCACCTACAGGTTTATATTTTAAAACATTTCCAGATTTATTGGATACTTTAAAATAATACTTAATAACAAAACCAAAATTTGATTTACTTATTGAATTTAAAAAATTAGATAAATAGTTTACTTAAGTATTACCAATGGCAAAGTTCTTTGAAGTATTATCTAATGCTGGTGTAAAATTGAAAACAAGGTATACTATACTTTGATATTTTTAGGGATTAAAAATTAGTAATTGATACAATTAAGACAAAGGATGAGAATGCAGATTATTATACAAAATTTTATTACGTTTATAAGGGATGGTCTGATAATGTAGTTTAAACTGATTAAGATGACAAATAATAATAATAATAATAATAGCAATAAATATAATAGTAGTAATCCTAAAAATTCAGTTTAAAAAATAAAAAATGAAAAAGATTTAATTGAAATAAAATAAATAATTATTTACTCAATTCATTTATATAGATAAATTATATTTTTTATATTTACCAGATGATATTCTTGGTTTAGAAGTATTTGTACTTGATCTCCTATTTTATTTTATAAAATTTTTACTGTTTTATATTTTATTAAGGTTTAATTTACATAGTTGGTTGTTGTTTTTATTAGATTTATTATTATTATTATTGTTTTTAATGCTTTTTAATTTATTATTTTTTCATTTAATTTAAATATTAGATAGTACTTTATGCTCTTACATCCATTCCAGTGTTACATCTGGATTAGTTTGTAACTGTAGTTTTATTTTTTTAATGATTATTGGATAGTCTTGCTTTCATTTCTTCTAAAGGTTCAGTAGAACATCTATTAGAATTTCTCTGATAACTTGATAAAGAGGAGCGATTTAGCAATTATTTTTTCTGTAGTATTTATGCCACAGTTAATGCTTATTATTATAAATCCATAGTTTAACTATTAATATTAACATTAAGATTGATATGACTATTATTAACATTAAAGATATTATTGGTCTTGGAAGGGTTGCTCTTACTTTTCTATTTTAATAATATGGCTGCGAGAGTGGTTTTACTAAGTGACTTTTTAGATTCTGTTGGAATGGACTTCTTCACAGAGGAGGTTTTGGTATCTATTTCAAAGGGTCTTTGATTTTTTTTACTTATACTTCCGTTGATAATGACTATTATAATGTGTTGTACTGTTGGAATTGCTCTTAGCTCTGGAGGCACCTTTTTATTCATATTTTTTCTTAATAAAATCTTTGCAATTTATAGTATGCAACTTGCGTTCTAAATCATTTAAGATGGTTCTATATGTTTATTATGTAACTGTATTTTTGGGCTTTTTAGGTTAAGGAGGCTTTAATTTTTATTAATAAGTTTTTGGCTATAATACAACTGCATCATCTGATATATGCTCAGATGAACTATTAAAATTAAAATTTAGATCTAATTGATCCTCTGATTTTTCATTTCCTTCTGTTTTTAAACGATGTGGAGATTGAATTGTTTAATATTTATCAGGTGTTTCTTCAAAAGGTATTCTAGGAAACACATAATCTTATTTTGATTATCTAAATTTGAATTCAATCTCTTCTATTTATTAACATCTATTTGAAGATAATGGTTGACAAACTTGCATAAAGTAATCATCTGTTCTATTAGAAGAATCGCAATTAAATTTATCAGTCATTTGTGAATATATATCATCCATTTCTTATAATTATATTAATAAAAATAGTATTGAATAATAATTAATATTTTTACAATTAGTTAGCAGCTTCATTTTTTTAGTAATCTATTTCCTTAAACAACCCTCAATTATAATTCTTTTACTCTAGCAGCTCTATTTAAAATTTATTTAATTTTCTAATCATCCCCACAATACAATTCTAATTCACTTACTAATTCTTAATTAACTTTCATTAAAATATCTATATGTGTCTATAATTATTTTAATTTATTCTTATATGAAGTATTATCATTGATTATTGTTTGATTATCCATTTTAGTTTTATTCAATTCTTAATCTGCTTAAGAATATTATTCTTAACGATGAAGGTGTGTTTTCTATAATTGTGCTTTCTTCTTATTCAAATCATCTTTTTTCTATTATTCCATCATCAAATATTTCCTTTATTTTGATAAATCTATTTCATTTTATTATAATTCTTGATTCATACGATTTATCTATTATTCTGTAGATTTATTATTTTATTTATCTTATTGAAATTCAGTTTCTATTTTTTTAATATGTTCATTTGTATATGCTAATTATTATTAATACTATTATATTTATATAAATATATTACTTTATTTATTTCCTATTCTTAATCATTTTATTATAATTATATCAATTAATCTTACAATATTTAACAATCTTATTCAACTTTTCTATTTTTTAATTAAATTTCATTTATTTTTCTGTTTAATTCTTTATTTTTTATTTCTGCATTATAACTTTCCTATTCAAATTACTCAAGTTTATGTTACAAATTTTCTATAATTGATGTTTCTTAAATAACCTAATCTGATAATTTATTCAACTGTTTTCTTGTTTATTAAATTTCAAGTTATCTTTAATCATTAATTTCTTCTAATTCTTTTTATTATAAAATTTATCTCTCCTAATCCAAATGTCTCTCCTTCAATATTTTTGATAATTAGTTAATTTCTTAACTCATCATTTAAATTTAACCAATACATTATTCATGTTTCTATCTATGTTCATGTTCTAAAAGTAACTACATAAATAAGAATATAATTAAACTTTTTCTTCATTAGCCATCTTTATTTTGATTTCCCATTTTCCCATTTCTTATTCAAGCTATTCTAATTCCTCTTATTATTTTTAAGCTTCATAAATATCTGCTTTTAGTTAAGCTATTATTATATCTTTTTAATCAGATTCATAATAAGAAGATCTATACATTTATTTTTTTTTTGTTAATAAAATTTTATTGTTTAATTAAATGCTTCATATTAATTTAGAAAATTAAGTAATTATTTTACCATTGAAATTATAATTACTTTATTCATATTTTGCTTTCATTAAAGATAATCTCTCAAAAATTATTTATCAATTATTTATTTAAATTATAATGTAGGTGAATACAAATAGAACTGATAATGGTTTATTATAGGACTGTTATTTTGGTCCTTGTGTTTTGGTTGATTCTACTCATGTGAACAACTATAAAAAGAATTCACCTTCTAAAAATTCAATCTCATCAGACATAAGTTAAAAAGAAATTGAGTAATAATCTAATAATATTTCTCAAAATGTTGAAATGTTACCAATAACTCTTTAAGTTTTAAAGGCAAAATAAAACTTTAGAAATAAAGGGAATCCTAACCAATAATCATAAAGTAATTTCATTAAGGGAAGTAAGAGACAACTACTTGAACCTAAAATATAAAAATCTGAACAATCCACCTTTATGAAAACCCTTATTAAAAATAACATCATAAATAAATTTAAAAATAACCTATACTAATCGTCCTATGTACTTCCAGATTAAATGAAATACATATTAGAAAAAGAAAGTTACATCTAGGAATAAAAGGAAAAAACAAAAGTTAATTCAAACAAAATAGGGATGAGGTAATTAAATTATATTTAAAGTCAGTAAAGAAAATGGCCAAACCAGCAAAATTTTGAAATTAAGTGTTTTACTCATGCCAGATAGAAATCTAACAATTTTATGGGATTTCATATCTTTGTTTGTTCTGTTTCTTAGACTGTTTTTTTGCACTATGATTGCATCCTTTGGATAATCAGATAATTTTTATAAAGGCAGTGAGGTTTTCTTTAATATATATATACTCTTTGAAACTGTTCTAACCATTTTTAGACCAATAATACTTTAAGGAGAAATTGTAAGTGAACTTGAATAAATTTGGATTCTATATTTGAAAAATTAAATGTTAGAAGATTTATCTAGTTTTGTTATTTGGTTTATGATTTATTTTGATTTAAATTAAGTTGTAGTTCTTAATGAAATCTTGGCCATAATCCAATTTATTATAACTGTTAGGTAAATAGCTAGAAAATATAATATTCAAATTGAATAATTGTATTTAAAAGGATTTAATAGTGATTTTCTAGATTTAATTAGTCTATTCATAATTATATGTTTTTTTGCTCATACAATGGCTTGTTTGTGGCATTACATAGGCTATATCACATTAAATTAAGGTTCTTGGTTAACATATTATGAAATAACAAATGAAAATATATGGGTTAAGTATAACTTCTCTTATTATTGGGCAACTATGACTATGGTTACAGTTGGATATGGAGATATTACACCTAAAAATTAGGTTGAAGTAGCATTTGTATCAATAGTGATGATATCATCTAGTTGTATGTTTGCTTATTCAATGAATTCTATAGGAGTGATAGTAAAAACTATTTATGATGAAAAAATTAGATTTAAGTATTGATTCATTAATATAATCATTAGGAGAACATTAATATTAATGAATCAATTTATGTCTAAAAATGAAGTAGACTCTTAGATATAAAGTAGAGTGAAGAACTATATAAAATTTAGTATTGAAAATGAAGTCTTAGAGAACAAAGAAGAAACTACTAAAATAATTAATGATTTACCAGTTGGTTTAAGAAAAGAATTAGAATCAGATATTTAATAAAAAGCTATTTAAAAAATTAAAGTCATTACAGATTATTTTTCAATATAAACTTAAAATTAAGTTAAAAACAATTTAATTCCAATTAAATTTACTCCTAAAGATATAATATATCATAGAGATGATATTAAAGATAAAAATTTGTATATTAATATAATAATTTAGATATTTCATTTCTGAAGGGGAAGTATAAATATTAGAAGAACAAAGTCAAAAAATAATAAGAAGATTAAAAGCAGGGGATGTTTTTGGAGAATTTTAATTTTTTACTGGATAAAATCCTAAAGAATCCACTATAAGTGTAGGATTTACATAATTATATAGGATAGATAGAGATAAATTTATAAGTATTATTAAATAAACACAAAAAGATTATGAAAAATTTCATAAAATCAAAGATTCTATTTTATATTCTAAAAATTATACAAGTATACTATGTAAATGTTATATTTGTAATAAATATTCACATAAAGATATTGAATGTCCTTATTTAACATATCAACCTTCTAAATATTTAAAAATCTTAAAATTTAATAAATTTGAACATAATGAAAGATAAAAACAAAAAAGAAATGATAGAAAACATGTTAAAGCATAAATTGATTAATAATAAATTGAAGCAACTATTAGAGATTTTTAAGAATTCTTATCAGAATCAATTTTAGGAGAACTTAATGATTAAGTGTTAACTTATTAAGTATCAGATAGTATGAGTGGTTAAATTGAAACAATTCCTATAGAAGAATTAAGAGAGAAATCTTCAAATTCAATTAATAAAAATATTCAACAAAACGTATTAAATAGAAGAGAATCACAAACACCAATTCTTGATATAGATAAGAGAAAGTCAGTTGTTTTAGTTAAAAAAAAGTTATCTTTAACAGAAGAGGAAAGGAGAAAGACTCAAATTTATAGAGAAACTTTAATTTTTAAATAATTAGACTAATTTTAAGTGAAATAATAGTTTTATGTATTAGAAGGAATTGATAAAATGTAGAATTATATAGATTATTTGCCACACAATAATGCTAATTAAGTTATCAGAAATGCAAACAAAGAAAAACCAAAGGCTAAATCTATTAGACCTTAAGTCTTTAAATTTTCAAATAGTTTTAGAGTGATGAAAAATATATGAACTACATAATATTTAAATTTTAAATAATCTTCATTCCTGAGATTATTAATAATATCAAAAATATGAATACTTATATCCGTAATTTGATTAACAAGAATGATGATGATGATGGTTATGATGATTATGAACAGGCTACATTGAAACCCAATGTTATTAAGTAGTATAATGAACTGGCTAGAAACAGACAGATTATGGTTTTATCATATTAGAATTAGTTGTTTCTACTATCCTTTCAACTTAATATTACTTAAATATAAGATAATAGTAATACTTTTATTGGTTATTCAATGTATTTAGTTTGTTCAATAATAGGAACATATACAGGTATAGTAATTTCTTCATTTTGTTAATGTATTTAACAAGGCTATATAGTATTATTTATTTATTAAGTTTAATATAATTATTATGAATTTTATTACTAATTTAATTATAAGAGTCTTAATTATTTTTCTAATTCATTGATTGTGTTATGTAATCGTTTTAATTATTCATTTTTTTTTAGTATTTCTGATTCTATCAATTAATCTTACTTGAGTTCAGATTTAAGATACTTAATCTCTTAGGATAAAAATTCTTATTCATTTAAAAGTTACTATTGTTTTTATTTTAGATCTTGAATTTCATTTGAATAGTTTTCAACTTAGATTTTGAAATGATCATTCTTAGATTACAATTATAATACTTCTTTTTTTGTATCTACATATATATATATATTATTATATATACCCATATTCTGTCTTTATGTTTATTGAAATTAGTTTTTCAATTCTCTATTTTTCCTTTATAAATTATTCAAAATTATGTATTATTCTCTATCTTTTTATGCTATCTACTATTCTAAGTTTCTAATTTTGTCAATCAATGCTTCATCTAATGGATTTAATGTATTTATCATAAAATAATCTAACGTATAATAATTATATATTAAATATGAGTATGCTAATTTTATTTAAATTCATTTAGAAATAAACTATGTACAATTTGATATACTTTATCTTGATTCTCTTGTTGTATTTTACTCAAATATTCTACCAATTTAGATATCAAAATTAGGTAATCTATTAACAAGAGGAGAAGAATCATGACAATCTTCAGTGTCGTATCTTTGCTTATAGAGATCATACAAAATTGAAAATTAATCATAAGCATTCTTTAAATGTATTCTGTCAGAGATTTTCTTTTCTAATAGAGATTTTAAGAGACTCTATAAATAAAAATTCTAATTTACAATAATATTATTTGAGAAAGCATCACATTTATCTAAATCCAAATTTAATTAACATATTCTATTATTATGTATTAGTTATTCTAGTGTATCACCTTTAAATGGTAATTCATGAAATAATCTACAAAATCAAATAAATATTTTACAATTGATAAAGTAAACAACCACTACTAAAAACATCACAACTAAATGAATAATATGTACATTGAGAATTCAACACTTCAGGTGCTGCATATCCAGGTGTACCACATTTATATAATAGATATCTATTAATATTGGTAAAGGTTGCAAATCCAAAATCAATAATTGTGAGAGTGTTGAAATCATCTTCTTCTGCTAATACTAAATTTTAAGGTTTAATATCTCTATGAATGATCTATATTTAGATATTAATTTACTTCCAATTCATATAGTTTGTTTAAGGCTTCAAATAGACGTTTCATTATAGAAAATATTTAAAACAAAGAGAAAGTCTTATTCAATTTTTTATTATTCTCCAGATAATTAGACAATGAATACCCTTCCAGATAATTCATTATTATTAAATATTATTAATCATCTTGATAAACATCTTGGATTTACACAAAATAATCATATCCTTTTACTTTATTCATCACAGCTATTTCTTACTCTATGATTGACTTATCTTTAGATGTTTTATTTACATAATTTAATGGCGTTAAATCCTTTTTATTTATATATTTAACAGCTAATTCATTTCCTGTAGATTTACATTGAATTTTCTTTACATTTCCTGAAGACCCTCTACTTATATCACTCTTTACAGTAAATAATTCATCAAAATTTCCAAAACTACATCTACAACTAAGTAAATTCTTTAATCTAATATTCATTTAATGATAAAATATACTTTACTAGTATGTCAGGATCTTTACTAATGAAAGTCTTAGATTTTTTCTTAATTTTTATACTAAACCCAATGAATTTGGGTTAATTGTTTTCAAATTTAATTATCCACTTAATTAGAGTCATTATTCTAATCAAAAGTTGAAATCTAAATATTAAAACTCCTTATTTTAGCTTTTTTAATTAGCATGATCATCATACCTTATACATTAAAATTTTATCTCCAATATATTTTAATTCATAAGGATGATCAAAAAATATATTCTTACTATAAACTTGTAAAGTGAGAATTGTTTAGTTATCCATTTTAATCAATAAATATTTCTTATCTTAATAATTTATATGTATATTTCTAATAAATAGTTTTGTTATTTTAACACAGTCATTTAGAATTTTGAATCTCAATTAGTCATTAAATATATAATGGCACATTAAAATAAACAAAAAATTGGAACTACTTTACTTTTTACAACTATTAATCAAAATATTGCTAACTTAAATAAAATATAAAATATATATTATCATTTCTTTTATTTTCTATAACTAATATAAAATAACTTTGTAATTTCTTATTTTTATTTTTATTTTAGTTTAATATCTTAATTATTCCTTTTATTTAAATTGTTTTTCTATTTTAAATAGAATACTAATATATATATATATATATGTATATAAATTTATGTAATTATATTTAATTTTATCATTTCATCTTAGGAACTAACTAATTATTTGATTAATCTTATTCATTTACAATATATTTTATATAATATAGATTTTATATTAAAAATCTCAAAAATAATATTATAATTTTTGTAACTACATCTCTTTCATTCTTGAAATAGTATCACTAAGTTCTAATGTGTAAATAAAATACAATAATTTAAAGAATAACAATATATCAAAATCTATATAAGACATTTTTGATTTAATCTAAAAATAAAATGATTATTTTCTAATAATCTTTATAAGTTATTTATAGTAATAAAATAACAAAGATATCAAATAATCTTTTGTCAAGTTAGGAAAAATAACACATAAATAAAAAGAAATCATCAAGTGATGCATATTCATTTAAAATTTAATTTTAGATCGAATCTAACCTTTTTTTTTACTACTTCTTTATTTTAGGTTGAATTTTGATTTTAACAATATCTTAGGTCATGCTTTAATATTGTTTTTTTTGTATTAGTATCATCACAGTGAATTGATTCAGCTGATTCTGAGGATGAATCATTAATATTTGGAATACAATCTTATAAGAATTGATGAGACTGCTGTATAGATTCAACTGCATCCACATCACCATTAACTTCCTTTATTTCCTGATTGTCACCTTCGAATTTGAATGGTTCATGGATATATGTCACAGAGGCATCTTCTTTACAATTTTCCTCTTGTTATTGACATTTCTCTTTATTTAATATATTTGAAGATGAGCAGCTTTTCTTTTACGAGATATTTGAAGTAGTAAATTAATTAAGATTTGTTAGCTCTTCAGGTTTATCATTATATTGCCTACAACAATTAGCACCCATCAGTATTTTTAATTTATATATAATAAATCAATAATATAGATTAGCATCTTGTATCAGATTCAACACAAGATGCATCTAATCATCAAATTTTATTTTGTTAATTAATCAACACCTTTATAATTGCTAAAATTTTAATCAATCCTTTAGATATATTCTCTTTATTTCATCAATCTCTTCTAACCATGTTTCATTCTAAGCAGTATTATACTAATTTTAATACCTATTCTACATAATTTATAATATTAAGCTAATTGAACCTTTTGTTCATATAATATCTGAACATTTTCCTATTTTTCTTTTGATTAGACAACTTAATCATTTTGTAATGCATACATAAATCTTAGAATTTAACAGTTAACCACTTATGTTTCTATTCACATCATACTGATTATTCTTGAAAACTCAATAAAAAAAATGTTCAAATAGATTTTTACTACTTTTCATCTTATTGAATAAAAACAAAAGGTATCAATTTAATAACAGTTTTACTATTCTTTTATAGCAACATTATCATAGCTTTTATTATGTACAGCATTTTACATAATTAAAATATTTAAAAAATGTGTAATAAATTATGTTTATAATTTTAAGTATTTAACATCTCTCAATAGTAATATTAGTTCTTATTTACTTGTAAATATAATATTCATTATTTTAAATCTATATATTAAATATAAGTATTTTTAATATTACTATAATTAATAGTATTTCTAAGAATGATATATTATCATTTAATAATAGTATTAATTATATTAAGCATTTTAGTCATTATAATGATAATTATCGAATTTATATACTCAAATAAATAATCTTAATCATTTCAACATTTTTATTTCTTATGATTTAAAGAAATGACTATTTTTTATTGAATATCAAATGATTATTTATAAGTGTATATTAAATATTTTCCTATTAAATTAATCTATTTTATATTAATTATTCAGTTCAGTCTAATACAATATTAATTAAACTAATAAACTTAATATTAATAACAATATTATTTGAAAATTAATTATAATACACCACAGTAATTTTTGATAAAATCAGTTTTTTTATTGTATTTTTTATAGATATTAAGTAATAATTTATCTTATAATGCATTCTTAGACAAAAAATTCACTATTATATCAACAATTTGATAGTGATTATTATTAAATTGGTTATTTTTTGTATTTTAAAAAAATTAGAAACCATTTTACTTAATTCACAATAGAATTGATTAAATCTAAGGGAATTATGAGTAAAAAATGGAATATGTCATGTATTTCATTGAATTTGTGTAATTTATAGTGAATTGATAAAATTTATATGAATGGAGATAGAATAAAGCAGAGAAGAATAGATTTTTAATGTTTGAAGATGTTTTAATTAATATTTTAAGTGTTAGAAGAGAAATACTCAATTTAATCTCAAATAAACTTTATTAAAATATACTTTATTAAGAAAATAAACCGAAAACTTATTTTTTAAAGCCAAAACATTAAATGATTCAATATTATATTTATAGCAATGTAAAATCCAAATTTCATGCCTATTCTCCTTTACACTTAACCTACAGGATATCCCTAATATTATCCCATGTACTATATGCCAATTATGCCAAATTATATGATACCTCAATATCAAAGCTCTTAAGAACCTGAAATAAATTAGATAATCTCAAAATCTAGTGATTAAAGTTCATTTTCTAATCAAAATTTTGATCCAAACAATCAATTAAACTTTTAATCAATAAAACAAAATAATAATGAAATTGCAGTTGAAAATAATGAAGAAATTTAAACTAATACAGAATCAAATAAACCGAAATAAAAATCTGGAAAAAAGAAGATTAATCTCTTACAAAAATCTACTAATATTTAGAAAAACTATGCAAAAGCAATCGTCTCTTATGCTTGCGGACAGAGAGTTCTAATAATAAACACTTTAGGAAAAAAGAAGGGAATTGAATTCTTAAAAATAATTAATCAACTCAAAAATAAGTTAAAAAATATTAATCACATAAAGAACTATACTTAGAAAGAATCATTCTTAAGCATGTTCAGAATATTGGGGTAAATTTTTAATATTAATATTTTTAGTAATAAATTCTTGAAAAATGAAGCCGTTAGTTACATTTATCACTCAAATATTCAATAGAAAAGTTGTCATCTTAAACACTTAAAGATGATTGAGCAAAACTTATTGAAGTGCTGATCGAGTTATATGATATATATTTATTTATTTATTTAGTAGTAATTAATATCAAATATATTAATCTCATTAAATATTATAAAACAATATAATTGAATTAAACAAAAAATGTATTAGACTTAACCTATAAAATAACAATTATATAATTATTCTAAAATTAAATACGAAACTTAAAAATAATAGTTAATTAAAATCAATTAAGAATTCTTGATTCAGTAAATATATATTAATCTAATAAAATGATTAAAAATAATAATTTACCAAAGCAATATTTGATTTCCCTTTTGAAAATAATTTATAGGTTTAGTTAGTTTATAAAAATCCTTGATTTATAATTAATTCTAAAAATAAAAGAGATTCTTAATTATCCTATGATATCTAATATAAAGATGTTTAGTTATAGTATTACTTGTTGATGAATCGAAATTAATGAGTTCTTGAAATTTATTATATTTAAAAAATAGCTAGATTATACGTAATTATATAATTATTAAAATAATTTTAATAAAATTAATTAGTAAATTTTGTTCTTATATTCATTCCATCACTTTATGTGTTTTTTTTCATAATACTCCTATTATATGCATAGATTCTTTGTTTCTTTAGATACAAGCTGAGATTTTTTCTTAAAATTAATAGATCTAAACTTTTAAATGCTCTACTTTATTCAATCGAATATTTGTTAAGACTAATCATTTCTATAAGATTCGAAGTAATTAAAGAATGATTTCTATTTATGAATTCTAAATATCAATTATTTATTGAATAAAATTGTATAAAATAATTGACATTAAAAGTTTCTCCTTATAAATTATATACTATATGTTATTAGAAGTATAGATTGTTATTTATACAATTTGAGGTAATGAGTTTAGAAAGTAGAAGAAAGACTTTTGTATAAAATTCATAAAGAATTTATTCTATATTGTACTAATAGAACTAATTTCAATTGAAATAAGTCTATATAATTAATTAAATAAGTTAAATCAGAATTAAAATAGAAATTGATCATTGATAATCCCTTTTGGAAAAAAGAGTTAACTAATGAAGGAGAGAGACATATTTATAAATAAATAAGGAAAGAACTTAAAGTAGTAAGTGTGTATAAATTTGAATTATAAAGCAGAAGTTATTATTATTAATTATATATAATAAAAAAAAGATTGATTTTTATGATAACAAATCTTTTGTATTGTTTTATATAAATTATAATTAGTATCTAAATTAAATACGTATTATCATAAATAATCTAGTTAAATCAAATGTTAAATGTATTTAAGTCTCAGTTATAATACAAGATATTTTGCTTGAATAAATAATATTTCAAAAATGCAATTGATATTCCTATTCTTCTTGATTGAAGTTTCGTTTAGTTGGAACCCCATTTTATCATCAAGAATAATAGAATCAATTGATAAAGAAAATATTATAATCAAAGAGGATTATTAAATTATTGCTGAAGGAAGCTTTTCTATCTCCTATCAAGGTTTGTAAAGCTATAGAGAATTATACATTATGTTTGATGCTAAAACTAATAAGAGTGAAAGTGAAATATTGATTTTAGTTAATGGAGTTAGAAGAAATATAATATAGGTAAAGGGAGTGTATAATGAATTTCATATGAAATTTTAACATTAAACTCCAAATGTGGTGATATAGATAAGAATTGAAAAATAAACCAAATTAGAAATAAGAAACTTTAATATGTTTGTTTAAGAATGTCCAAAGGATTGTAAATATTGTCTATCAGGTGGATGTGATCTTTAATTATATGAGAGTTGTGATTAATTAAGATATAAGGACTTATGTGTAGAAGAATGTCCAGATGGGACTGTAGCTGAGTAAAATTAATGTGTATAAGCAGGTATTATATATTCTTAATATTTAGGTTTAAAAGAGATTGAATAAGTTAAATCCTTTTTGTAAGATGAACTTTCAACAATCTAAAAATTTGGAGATTAGAAATTGCTTAAATTAAATTTTGATAATGATTTTAATGGATAATTGGAAATAGTGTTTAATTGTTATAGTAATTAAAAGAGAAATGCTGATCAAATAATTAAGGTAGATTTGATGAAGGGTTAATCTCAAATTATGTATCCATTTTTAAATACTTATATAAATTTATAACATTATAAAGAGTGTAAGTCTAAATATGAATTAGAGTGTGTATAAGTGAAAGGTTTATTTGAGATAGATTTTCTAAAATAACATTAAGTAAATATTGATAGTTATACAAATGGGATTTAATAAATGGGGTATTGGGAAGTAGAAAGTCTTAAGATTTATAATGAAACAAAGAGATTTTATTAATGTGAAATTAAGAATTGTAATTAATGTTCATTCAATAATATATGTTAAAAATGTCAAGATCAATTCTATTTATACTAAAACTAATGTATTAAGAAATGTCCTCTATTTACAATATTAGAAAACTATAGATGTATCAATTTTAATGACAATCAACCAAGTAATAAGATTTTATTAAAATTAGATCTAAAATTCTTAGTAAAGTTAGAATCTCCATTCTAAGATTTATCTGAAATTTTTGGTTAAATTACATTTGATTTGAAAGAATCAATTAGTTTTAGATATGAAAATGAAACAACTTTTATTGGAGGAGGATTATTAGATCAATGGAAACGTACTACATTTTCAAAATAATTAAATTTGGGAAGACACTATGCAATAAGAATTATGTTTAATATATCTTTAGAAAATTCAACTTTAGATTAGGATAGTTTTATTTATTCAATTGATGGAAAAACTTTCAAAGTTTTAAATAATTAAACTTATATTGATCAAACACTTTACCATAATAAAAACATTCTAAATTTAAATTTAGGATGTAAAATCTCGAGTAATGGTAGATGTGTAATTTCTAATTACTATTTTATGACTATGAAAGTAATTCTATTTTTAGATATTCCTTTAGTGTTCTCACCTTTGTTAAAGTTGTACAGGTCCATCTTAATCTGATTGTAAAGTTTTTTAACCCAATATTGAAAAATTTGATTATAAAAAATTCAAGTGTTTTGATGGTTATTATTTGAGTGAAAATGGTTGCATAGTTTGTTCAAAAGGTTGTTAATTATGTGAGTCATTCGATAGATGTCTCAAATGTTAAGACATAAAAGAAGCAGAATTTATTTGTAAGACAAACCTTTGAAAAAGTCTTCTTGATTTAATAATTGTTTATTTGTTTTTTTAATAAAATTAATATCATTAATATATTACATAAACAATGGCTATTTTCATTATAATGATATTGATAAAAATCTTGGCATAAAATAAATTATGATTACATTTATTTAATACAATTTTTATTAGAAAAGATCAAATTCTCTATTTGATTCTATTCTATTATACTAATACATTTCAAAGATTAATCGATGTTTTATTACTTACAATTTAAACATGTTTTTATTCAATTAGAAATAATAAGGAAAGTATAATTTGGATGTATCAAATGAATAATTAATAAAAAAGATATGTTGAAATAATATTTTATAGATGACCAATTAATTGATAAAATTGTAAATAGAATAATAATCATGAATTAAATCCATTTCCAATTTATAAATTCTTCTTTATAAGAAATTCTTAAAGGTTTTTCTTCAAAGATCTAAAATGATTTCGCTATATTACTTAATTTAACTTATAGATTTAATTGAAATAAAGGATATATAATAAAATTAAAAAAAAATCATCTAGATTTTATGAATATATTTAATCTTATAGCTGGTGTAATATTTTCTAAGAAGATTGTTAAAATATATTTTTTTAATTTATGTCTGAGTTAAAAGTACTTAGATAATTGTTAAGTTAAATTATTATCTTTAAACTTTCTAATATAGAGCAAGTCCAAATCTAAATAATTGTAAGTTGATGATATTATTATATTTTGCTTGTAAGAGATTATTGACAGAAAATCATATTTTATTTATATATAATCAATCTAAGCTGTATTATCATTGATAATGATTATAATAAGCCAGATTCTATTTTGAATACCAGAATTATTTAATCATATATATGATTATAATAGTTAAAATGATTATTTTCTGTAAGATTAATAATAATTTACACACAATTTTGTAATTCATCATGCACTAGACATAACAAATCTGAACATTTGTATTTCATCAAGAATTCATGTCAATATAATTAAAATACCAAATAATGTAGATAATGATATTATGAAAGTTGTAAAAAACACTAAAAAATGAATTAGATAGATTTTTGTTTTGAATGTACATCTAAATATCATTGTCTAATGTTTAAAAACGATTTTTAACTTGATTTAGAAGTATCAAAATGAACAAATGAAAAATAATGATAATGTTAATCGAATTATAAAAAATTATAATAAATCTAAAGAAATTATAATAAGATTTTTTCTGTAAATATTTGAGTATGTAGAAAAATATTATGGCATGACTAAGATCATGCTTATCACTTTAATTAACAATAATAACTATTTTTTAATCTAAAGAATTAATCCTTGCTTGATTTCTATACCAAATGGGTAATTCTGAAAATTCATAAATGATCAATCAATTTAGAAATATTAGCTTGTGACAACTATGGCTGAAACCTATATCATATATACTTAAAGTGAGTAATATTTGATTCTAAAAAAGTGTATAAATTAATTTGCTATTTGAAGTATTCCTATTAAGTTAAAAATTGAAAATAAATAAGGTATTCAAACAGAATTTAGAATTTTTATAATTTTCAGCAAAATCTAGTAAATAAATTTGTTTTATATAAAGATTATTACCTTTTCTAAAACTACTTGTTCGGAATTGAGAAGAATGATTAGAATATCATGCGTAATAAAATTAGGAAATTAGATTTCCTTTGATAAATTCTGATTAAGAAATTTAAATTTTAGTATATAATATTTTAATTTGAAGGTCTTCCTTAGAGGATAATTTCAATTGAATCAATCGTTTAAAGTTACTTAATGAATTAATAGTGATTGAAATTTTCATGTTGTAGATCTAAAATTTTTAAGGCAAAGTAAGTGAATAAAAATAAAAATTTTAAATATAATTTTAGTAAAGAATTTTTTGGGGGGGGGATTTGGTTTGATTTCTAGAAGGCAAATTATTGAAATGAAACGATTCTGATTTAAAATTATTATATTCATATCAGAATTTATCAAACATTTTAAGTATATCTCTGGATTTATGTAATATGGAAATATTTATATAAATAACATAATGAAATGGATATAATTGATCGTCTTGAAATTGCTTATGTAGATAGTGTAATGTGGTAAGATATTGAATATAAATTAAGGTTGGGAACTATTTAAATCAGAATTAATGGATAGTTCAACCTTCTCCTTGTGGAAAAACTCTAACAATTCACCAGGTTCAAATTTAGTTTAGGTTTGTGACTTACAACCAGTTCTGAACTCTAAACTTCTATAAGGGGATATAAATTTGACAAGAAATATTTTAATGCCAACTTCTAGAGCTTTCAGCAAAATTAGAATTAGTTTTGATATCTACTATATTAACATATGGAGTGTAGCAGAATCTATCACTGTTTATGCCAACAGTTTATTGGTTCAATATTAAAAACCTCCTTCAATTTTGAATATAGATTACCCACTAAGATTTTGTGTTTCAAGGCCTTTTGGAAAATCATATGCTGAATACTTTTAACGTATAGATTAGGAAATATCATTTAATGATCCAAATTTAAATATTGAAATTGTCCATGATAGAGCTTCAACAGGAACGACCAGTGAATATGGAATAAGCAATTTCATTTTGCAAATATACTTTTGCCCAGATAGATGTGGGGAATGTGATGGAGAGATATGTTTAGTATGTGAGATTGGATATTATTTGATAGAAGATTAATGTTTATGCCATCCATTTCTATAATATTCCTATTATAATCCTGATTTAACATGTGTTGATGAATGTCCTTTGAATTATGTATCTGATTAGAATCGAATATGTTAATAATCAATTGTTAGTACAATCTACTCTGATCTTGTAGAAGATACATTTAATTCTTATAAATTTAAATTTTTTGCTGATAAATATTACAGTGTAAATTAAATGATGATTAATACTATTGGATCTAAATCTATTGCAGGTATGTTTACTAATACAGATTCAATAATATTTGATGACGTCAACTTGCAGCCTAATTTTAAATATATCATCAAATTTAATCTTTATATTACTGGTAAAATATCAAAGTTCTTCCCTGAAACTATTTAAATTCTTTTTAATTAATATGTTATTGCTTATATGATGGATTTTAACTAAATTTAACTCACATCTCCAATTAAAACATCATCAACTGTAAGTTAAGCATAATCCTGTTCTATTCCAACTTATTCTTAATGTGCAACATATGAAGTAATTATGCAAGTAGAATTAACTGAATAAGTAACAGAGATTATGTTCAAAACTAAATTTTAGTTAAATACTCCAACAAGAACATGGGGAATTAGAGATTTCTAAATCTCTTAATATCAAATAACTTCAAATATTTTTTAATGTTCAAATAATTGTTACACTTGTAATTAATTTCAACCTAATGTATGTTTATCTTGTAATGGAAGTTTAAAATTATTTAATGGTAATTGTGTATTATAATGTCCAAATTACACTATTACTAATGTAAACTCTTGTGATGATCCCTAAATTACTTCAGTTAAGGAGAAATATCTACTTAATATGTATTATGATATGAATTACTATTCTTAAGATAACATTGAATAATTACCATAAATTTCTTTATCCTATTTTATGAATCGAATCATATTAGGTGGATTTGGTATATGGTAAAATTAATAAATCAATTTTAAAATTAACCATGAAAAATTAGTTTATAAAGTAAAAGTTTAATTCATGTTATTGTTTATTGATTCAACAAATAATTAAATTTTATTTCGTACTAGCATTAACAATGAATTACCATAATATAATATGTTTGGAAGCAGTATTTCAGTTGGTAATTAAGTTGGTTAATCTTATATTGAAGTTGTTTAAAGTGTTTCATATGTGAAATCTTTTGAATCTACTTAAGATTTAAAACTTTAGTTATAATGCATCTAAGGAATAGACACTGAAGCTTATTGTGGTATTTATGACTTTAGAATTATTGTATCTACTTGTGAGGATAATTGTTTAAAATGTGATGAAAATGGAAATTGCATAAATGAGATTGATACAATTAGCACAGATATTAATGGATGCAAAGATGGATATTATTAAAGTGGAAATGATTGTGTACAATGTATATTAGGATGTAAATTATGCAGTGAAATGAATAAATGTTAAGCATGCAAACCTGGTTATGAATTAAAATTCAATACATGTTTTTGTAGTTCATTAAAAGAATAAATAGATTATTGTGAATAGACTAATTGTTTTCATAATTGTTAAACTTGTTTGAACCCAAATGTAAGTTATGGAATTTGGAAATAATATCATCCTAAGAATTGTTTATCTTGTGATGAATCAAAAAATTTATGGCTTAATGTAAATTAATGCAGTTGTTTAGATGGTTATTATATGGAGAATTTCAGTTGTTATTTGTGTTTACCAACTTGTTTAAAATGTTATTAATAAGCAAGAACATGTATTGCATGTCATCCTGGATAGAATAGAATATTAGATAAAGAATAATGTCGTTGTTAAAATGGATATTTTTAAGAAGATAATGATTTAATTTGTAGTAAATGTAGTGATTTATGTTAAAATTGTAATTTCACAAAAGATTAATGTAATTCATGTTATTCTAGTCAGAATAGAATATTAAATATTGATACATGTATTTGTATGGATGGATATTATGAAAATGGAGATTTAATTTGTAAAAGTATGAATTAATTAATTAATATTAGAATGTCCTTCAAAATGTAAAACTTGTTTAAATGAAACTACTTGTATAACTTGTAATGAGGATTAATTTAGAATATTAAGTATTGATAATATTAATTGTACTTGTTAATCTGGATATTTTGATTAAAGTTCTGAAAATACATGTGGAAGTATGTATTTTATTTGATGATTAGAATGTCACTCAAGTTGTTTAGATTGTAAATTAAATAGTAATATTGAATCATGTACAAGATGTCCTAATACAAGAGAACCTAAATATAAAAATAGTAATGTTTTATAATTTGAATGTAAATGTAGAAGAGGATACTATGAAACAAATAATTAAGAATGTTCTAGTTGTTCTGATTATTTGAATCCACCTATTAATCATTATTGTTATTCAAATTGTGGTGATGGTATAATATAATGGAATGAAGATTGTGATGATGGTAATAATATAGATAGAGATTCCTGTTTTAAATGTTTACATGGTAATTCATTTTGTTTTGATTATACTTGTACTGGATGTTCAGCAGGATTATGTACTGGTTGTATAGATGGATTTTATTTAAATCAAGAATTCATATGTTTACCTTGTAATTCAAGTTGTAAGACTTGTATTGGTAGAGCTGATAATTGTACTGATTGTATTATCTATAATGAAGATTAATCTGGATGTTTAATTTGCAATCAAAATTTGGGATATCATATTATTGATTCTTAATGTGTTCCAATTTGTGGAGATGGTATTAAAGTTGAATTAGAAGAATGTGATGATGGTAATTTAATTATTGGAGATGGATGTGATTAATTATGTAAAATTGAATCTGGTTTTGAATGTGGATCTCATTGTTAATCAAGTGTTTATCCTAATATTGTATTTGAAGTCAATAAATCAGATAAGAAATTTGATAAAGAAAGAGTTATTCGAATTAAAACAGATTCATTAGTTTCTATCTCTGGTAATATCAATTCTATTATTTAATTCAAAGTAAATAATTGTGATGAATATGACCTTACTTATATTGATTTAACACAATATTCTGATAAATTCACTTAATTATTTCTAGAATTGACATTGATATTCAAATCATCTGTACCTGATCCAGAATTAGTTTGTTAAATCATTCATTAGACAGCTGTATTTAATTAAGAAGGGAACACATTTGCAGAAAAGAATTACATGATAAAATTAATGGAATATAAATAACCTACTATTTCTACTGAATAAGCTACTGATGGATTAATGAAATTAAGTAAATATGTACTTTACTTACTCTTTGGATTTGCAATATTGGCATTTCTATTTGGTGGATTAAATATTTTCTGGAATCTATTAGATGCATTACAATTAGTTTCTTATCTTTAATTCTTTAATGTTTAATATCCATACAATTTAAATAATTATTTTACTATCTTTGGATTTGCTCAATTTGATTTCATAAAAGATTACTTAAATTTGGAAGCATTCATCAGCTAATATGTTAATACTCCTGATGCTGACCTTAAATTTAAAGAAGAAGGTTATTCAACTGTTTTCTATGTCAATATTAATACAGTTCTTATTGTATTTCTCACTACTCTTATTACTTATATAGGATGTACAGCATTATTTTCTACACTTACAAAGTTTTCACATTCATTTGTATATGTACCACTCAATTCTTAAGAATAAAGTATTTGTACCTTTTTCATTTACAGAGTGACAAGAAATCTATAAATATAATTAATGCGTTTTAATAAAGCATTTACATCAGGTGTTATTAGAACATTTATGGCAGTAGCATTTGATTATAATCTTGCTTTGTTTTTATAATTAAAAGATTTTGATCTAAATGATCCAATCCTATTCACTAGTTTTCTCTTTTGTTTAATAGCTTTTGTCATAGAAATTGTATTCATCTTTATGGCTATAAACTTTATGTCTAAACCATCATTTGTATTTAAATAAAAAGTTAGTCTAGATAATTTTGGAGCTATTTATGAAGGAATTAAATTAGATAAAAATCCATTTACTTATTATTTTAATATTATTCTCTTAATCAAAAAAATGCTCTTTATGATGTGTTTGGTTATGTTTTATTCCTCTCCTTGTTTATAAGTGGGATTAGTTTCTATCCTTAATATTGTTTTTGCTCTATATCTTATCAAAATTTAACCACTTGAAGATAAAGATGAATTATTTAAATAAATTGGATCTGAAATCTTAATTTGGCTTGCTGAAATCCTTATTTTAGGTTTTGCTATTAATGAATAATCAAAATCATTAAATGAAGACTCATAACTTGTGATTGGATGGTGTGTAATTGCATTAACTTCATCTTTGATCTTATTCCAATTATTCATAGATGTCAAATAACATGTCAAATTCTTAATTAGTGAATATTCCATCATCAAAAAATTGTTCTATAAACTCAAGCAATTGATTTTCAAAAAGGAACCTAAATATGAATAAAATATATTTCTCAAAGGAAGAAGAAGAATGGGAATTGAAAATTTGACATCCTAATCTAATATCATGACTAGTAAATTGAAAACCTTAAGTAATTACAAATAAGGAAGAATGGTAACATTTACCGTCAGCTCAAGTAGTAGCTGAAAACAATCTAAATCTTTTCCTGTGTATATTGTTTATTTATTTATACATCATTAAATTAATTATTTATATTCATAATCTTTTTTTAATCCTTCCACCATTCACCATTATAATATAATTCTCATTAATCATAGTATCATCTTATTATTAATTGTTTCTTGTCCATATATTATTAATATTGAATATAAATTTTAGATTTCTTTCTTATATGAAATTTATTTATGCTATATATTTTATATATATTTATTTATGAATAATATAGATTTATTATATAACAAAAATTCATCTATCTTCAAATCTTATCCAATCAAAACTATCATTAGATTTTCATAAAAGAATTGGATAATTGTTCCAAAATTCAATAATTTATTTATAAACATGGGAAATTTAAACAATATTATAGTGATAATTTAGAATGATTCTCAAAGTATTCTTATATAGATATTATAATATCCATAAAAAAATGAATCTTCAATTAAGAATAAAAATAGTATACTTCTATTTTTAATTACTCATATATATTAATTATTCATATTATTTGTAATGTCCTTAAAAAAACAATGAATGATTGATTTAATCATGAGCTCTGTGCAATTAAAAATCCTCATCTTTACAGTTTTTAGCTTATAATCTAAATTTCTTTATAACCTACTAAGCATACCTATGGTAATTACATGAAATAAGTCATATTTTATAACTACTCTTTATGGATTCCTCTAATTTAAAAGATTAAGATTTTAAAATATCTAACTTATCTTATAAAGTAGATAGACTTGCTCTTCCAGTCCTTACATTAGAGAATTTTAGGAAATCAGAATCTACTTGTTAATAATAATTATTTTTTATATGCTGCTGTAAAAATACTGTTAGGAATATAATTTAGTTATAATTCATATATTTTTAATTATGATGAATAATATATTTATAATAAAATGATTGGGATGTAGATTTCAATTTATTTTTAATAACTAAGGAAATTAAAAATAAAAATAGTGTTTTTATTTCATTATATAAAATATTTAACTGTAAATGAAGTAATTTATCCAAATATTCTTGTCTTAGTTAGACTCCATCAATGAGATAAATGTAATAATATGGATAATAAGGATACCCATAATAATTGTAATAATATGGATCACCTAAAGCAGCAATTCCGTAAGTTTATTTTATATATAAATTAGTTCATTTCAATAGACAACATAAAATCAATAAATATAGACGTAACTAATTGATATATATATGAAAGATAATAAAGCAGATAAGGAAATAGAGCAGATGTTCATCATTTTGAAAGACCCCTTTAAGTAGTACCATAAGAGGATATTGAATAAAAATGGAAGGAGAAATGCTGTATTTAAATAGTTATATGAATAATAGTAAGACTAGAAATGCATGTATATGAATTACAAGTAGAGATATAAAAATTGAGATTGTAAAATAGTAGTGGATAAATTACATATATTTAAGATGATACAAGAGTAATTTAAATATTTAGATAGTTAGATTAATGAATTAATGTAAGCAAATAAGGAGATAAGAAATTAAGAATAATAGATGAGAATATAAAACAAATAATTGTTAGAGGATTTGGAATCTTGGAAATCTAGATATAAGTTACTTTAAGAATCTAATTCAAAGAGTTCAGGATTGGATGAAGAAATAAGATAGTTGAAAAAGAAGATAAATGAATTATCTGAAGATTTAGCAGGGAGTCATGAATAAATTTAATAGAGAGATAATGAGATTTTAAATTTGAAATAATTATTACATGATAAAGACAATGAATTAGATTAATTGGATGCTCGTATAAGGGAATTGGAAATGATGTGTGAGAATTATTCTTAATCAGAAACATAAATAATAAGTCTTTAAGGAGAAGTAGAATTATGGAAGAAAAAGTTTAAATAAGTGAATGAATAGAATTCAGATTTAGCAGAAAAGTTGACAATGGCTGAAACATAATTAGAAGCAATAAAAAAAAGATAAGTAACAGTCACAAAAGAGACTGAAGTAAGAAAGAGTGGTACTCATGGAGGAGGAACAACATCAACATATGAATAAAATGTAATAAAAGGTGCTTAATTATTACATCCAAGAGGTTCATAATATTTAAAATGAATATTTTTGAAAAAACAAATTAAATAAAATCTTTTTTTATTTTTTTATCATGGGTGTTGGTAAACCTAGAGGTATGAGAGCTGGAAGAAAGCTCAAAGATCATAGAAGAGTTAATAGATGGGCTGATAAAGAATATAACAAGGCTATGATTGGATCAAGATATAAAAATCCATTTATGGGTGCATCACATGCTAAAGGATTGGTTGTTGAAAAAATTGGAGTGTAATTTATAATATTCTATTTTAGTGAATCCAAATAACCAAACTCTGCTGTCAGAAAGTGTGTTAGAGTATTACTCAAGAAAAATGGTAAAAAAATATCAGCCTTTGTTCC